ACACGTGGTTCCTCTTCCCGACTCTCTTCATTTTCTTCTCTTGCGCGTTTCCTGTACGGTTCTACGAGACCTAAGTTCATATTTCTCGATTTCGAGATTCCACTCGAAACCGTCAAATTTTTCGAAATTTACCCTTCTATCGCTAGTGCAAACAACTTCCAACAAGAGTTCCAACGATTGATCACACCTCTGAATTCGTTTCGCTGTCCACGTTTATCGAATTTTCCTTCGAATTAAAAGGGTTGATCCATCAAGTAAGTCACCGTACAATTCCATGAGGAGAAAGACGAAATAGTTTGTAAAATTTAAAGTTTCGTTCTGCAAAGGTCTATGAGTAAACGACAGCTGGAATATGAAGGTTATCAGCGAATAAAGTCCGGAGTAAGAGTCGTCGCGGAAGAACGGGCAGAAACGAAAGTCTCGGTGCAATTTTTAAAGAGATCGATAGTCGTTAAAAGTTAATCTCTCAGAGAGGATCAGAAGCTACACGAATAAATGGTGAGGTTCCATGAAGAAAGAGGGAGATGGTGTAACGAGGCCGGAAAGGATGTGGTAGTGCGATCAAAAAAAAGAAAAAGAGAGAGAGAGAGAGAGAGAGAGAGAGAGAGAGAGAGAGAGAGAGAGAGGTGGGTTCCGCGGAGACAGAGCAAACGGAGGGGAAGAGAGAAATTCAGAGGAGCCATGTGGTGTTTCAGGAGATATCAAATCATACTACGTGTATGCCACGCCGCCCCCTAAATATAGTTTATTGCGTTACCGAGTATTAATGGAGCTTCTATAGAAAGGACGGAGACGCGGTTGCACGCCACCGAATCCGTTCCTCCTCGACCGATTCGGAAAATCGAAAATAAAACCGTCGATCCCGCGTCAATGAAGGCTTTTCTTCCATTTCACCGTTCGAACGTCTCGCGAATCAGCGTTATCGAGTCACCTTGATGATTTTATGGTCATGACGAACGCAATAGGAAACGTTATTTTCTACCGTCGATTAAAAGTAAAATCATTCATTTATCTTTTGTACTGCAAACGACAGAACTCGTGTCTACACAGAGAAACAGAAAAAATTTCATTATAATAGAAGAAAAAAAATGATTTTAAGTATATGAGATTAGATATGTATTCTTGCATCGATACCAATCGCTATCACTTGCACCTCCTATGAATACATATAGGCTCCTTATACTTCTACAATACATATATTATATGTAGTATTCTTCTAATTTAAAGATAATCCAAACTTCCTGTTTATTGATCCAGGTCTCCTGTAAATGGCGGCAGAAACTAATTTATGGGAAATTCTTTACACGCGTCTGTTGTATCTCGCACTGTGTACTCTGGACTGTTCCCAATTAACCTGAATCCTCCGTTGTTATTCGCAATAGATTTCCTACTTCTAAATTTAATCCATCAAGATTCTAGAAACAATTCCAAACCACGACCGTGTCCACAGTTGTTTCTGTGTGTCGTCCGGATCTCGATTTGACCGCCGATTTTCACCATCGGTTCAACTTGTTTTGGTTCGATAACCGACAATTATTCGATATGCACCACGATGTATGTACCACGAAAATAAGGCCCTAAAAGGTAATCGAACGATCGTTGCGGTTGCAGGTCGACGGATTTGATCCTAATAACGGATTGAAACTAACATACAGTGTATCTAAAAAGAAATCTAAAATCCATTTAAAGAAATATTATGAAATTTACCTTAAGATAAATTTTGCCCCCTCCCCCTGATAAACTGACTACGCCTATGATCTCTATAAAAACCTGTCGAAATTAATGGGTTAATATGAAAATTGAAAATGCCACTGACATAGGCCACGACAATTCTTGCAAGAAGATCCATGATCACGCCGGATTTCGGATCTGTTCCGGTGTCACAAATTGAAAACATAAACACTGGGGCTCGTACACCGCGTACACGTGTCCTCTGTATATCATAAACTCCTCGACGGTCGTCAGCGCAGCCTTTTCGTCTTGCTTACTACGTCCGCTGGCTCCGAGGTTCATTCATAAAACTCTCGACGGCCCTTTAAACCGTGAACGAGACTACAATGAATCCCTTAAACATGGTCATTCCTTTCTTCATGAGTCTTTCCTTTTCAAGGTTAATATCGGCATAATCCTCGAGCGTTTGCATGCCATTGCTGTTTTATGATGGGAACTTTCTCGCCATTCCCATCCTATTCGTCGCTTTCTTTGCACAGAATTCAAAATTTCTTTAGACGTCATTTTGTTACCAAGATGGCGTCCGCAAAATTGGTGCATTAATTACATTCTGGTTTCTCGAATAATATCAAATGTACAGAGTCAGTTGCTACTGTGAACGTGTTTTGAACATCGATTTCCGTAATGGTTACCGTCCTCGTAGAGATAATGATTTAAAAATTTATTCATGATTGTTATAGTTAACCTGTAGAATCCGATTCGTCGGTGAATCTTCTTAATGCAGCTGTCATTATATTATTTACAAAGTTTCATGTATTATCATTCTTGCACGTATAAAGTCGTATCACTGCTATCATTATTCTGTAAGTAGAGGAAACAAGATGGCGTTGATCGTCGTCGAGGCACATTGTATGACGCGCGTCAACGTCGACGAAAAGGTTACTCCTCGCTACTGAAATAATAAACAAACCCTTTTTGTTCGTGCAAGTATATACACAGTGGTCCGTTGTTAAGGGAACAGGGTCCCTGATCTGGGTTAATAAAAATTTGAACGGTGTCGCGTTTCAAGGAAGGCCGACGTCCGGATTCTCTCCGAGTATCGAAATCACCTAAAGTCCTCTCCTTCTAACCGTGTTAAAAAAAAAAAAAGGATGAAGACAGTGACCGCGCTACCGAAGAAGCAATCGTTCCCGGAAAATCAGCTTTAAATCATCTTTGTCGTCGTAAAATTCGCTTTGAACGCCTCTGCCCGCGCGACGTGTTAACTCTCATTGAGACGCGCGTGTAACAGAATGTTGTTTACACGACTGAAATCCAATAAAAAGGAGGTTCGTTCGAAAAAATGGTAGGGAGTGATTTCGTTTAGGGTTCCTCGAGACTTCACCACACCAGTTAAAGGAGCAATAGTATATCCTAATTCCACCAATGATTTATAAAATGTAAGATATGTAAACAGAAAAAGAGTGGTAACACGTATTAGAATATATCATATCTTAAGCTACTATTTAACCTAGACGACAAATAGTCTAAATAGAAAAGGAAAGAGAAGAAGAAGCGAAGGTCCGTTCTCCGCCTCGCGATTCCATCCGTTTTGTAAGCGCGGATAGGGCTCGGTTACATCGCGAGATAAAAATATTAATTCGTTACGCGCGAGGTAGCGAGCTCGCGAGCGAAAAAAGCTGACCGACGACGCGTTGACGGTGATCCATGGTGACAAGAGGGAACGTTTTTGCCATCCGGGCGAACCATTGCCCCTGGGAAAAAGGAAGATAAAGCCACTTACGCTGTTCGAGCCGGGAGGAATCGTGCACTGACCGCTAATATTTTCAGCTCTTTTTGCCGCTAATTACGGCGCTCGTGGAAGCGACCTTTATCGAGAGCCACTCGAGAGCGCCTCGGACACTTGAAGATTAAAACTCTGCTACGAATTTAAAATAGGACGCCCTTACGCGGGCCGATTCAAGGAAACGGGACCGCGATTCGACGGATGCACACGCTTTTCTCGGAGTTTAATTACAAACCTACTTGGTTAAAACTGTTCAAAGTAACCACAGCACGGGATCATCCTGTATCAGGATCGGTCACACGATTCATTCCAAATGAACGTGCGATCCAGAGAGGGATAAATTGTTTTTATAGTCCCGACTTCTGACAATTCGCCGAGTCTATCGAATGGTGATTTTACTCATGTCAGTCTATTGGTCTTATTGGTTTTTTTATCGTGTCATATGTTTTCCAGTACTGTTATTTATAGTACTATTACGATTGGAACATCAGAACAAGTATATTATAGCGCTTCAGTGTGAATGGCAAGGGGAGCTATGTACATATACTATTATAGTTTGATAAATTACTAATTAATTAATTAATGTTACCCAGTTTTTTTTAGACGTGTCCAACGGAACCCAGAAGGGATCCTAACCGTAATTATCCGTAGAGATCATACAGCTGTGATCTTGTTCAGAAGCAATAACACGAGATCCATAAAAAATTCAAGTCAAAGATCCACTACCTACAGCCTACAGCGTAGTAACTACACCATAAGATACCAAAAACATTCCAGTCGAAGATCCATATAAGGGAATCCTCCTCGTCGCACGATGAAAGCTCTCCCAAAACACAGCTTCGGATCGCGATCGAAAGCTCCATGGAAAGGGAAGAAAAACAAGGAAGAATGGGACCGTGATCGAGTGATTCGCGGCGGTCTATCGCGAATCGGAGAATGCGATGGCGGGTGGCGAGAGGCTGCTCGTGGCACCCTAAATCATGGCCTGCCGCCGCTGATTCCCGTTCAATTTACTAATTGAATCGAGAGGAGCCCGCATGGGCGTAGACCAGCCGGAGCTCCGCCCTTGTACTCTCTCTTCCTCCCCACGTTCCCGTGTCTACACCCACTGCGAGAACGTTTCGAGAAGGAGCAGCAGCACCCGGATAACACTCCACTCGCTATATGCTCGACCGTCACCGAACGAAATCTCCCTTCTCAGTGTTCTCAGTGGCATTTCGACCGCATCCGGAAACGCATCATCCGAAATTCTCGGACAAGACACCGTGTCGCGTGTGTCCTCGCCACCCCTAGTGTCCTTTGGTTGATCAGATTGATCATCGAACAACAATTTTTCATCTTTTTAGATTTTTTGTTCGACAAACGACAAAATTCTTGTCTTCATTCGTCACGTTTAACTTCCCTGTTGCAAAACAGTCACACTTTCCTTTCGGAGCGAATAATATTATTGGGGGAAATTTCGTTGGAGAACGTTCTTTGATTTTGTTGATCGACGTGAATGGTGTACCTTTGAGACACGAGTTTACCGCGGTGAATTCGAGGGGAAGGCGAGCCGATTGAAGAAGAAAGGAATCAATTGGTTGTACATCTTTTGTGAACTTGTGTGACAGTTCGTGAAGGGGGAGCACGATGATGCTCGGGGGTTACGAGACGCAGCCGGATTACTATCCGCAGTGGCATCAACCCTATAATTATGTTACGCAATTACCCTACGGTAAGTTATGACTCTTCTGAAAGTTTTTTTTTTTTTTTTTTTTTTTTTTTTTTTTTTTTTTTTTTTTTTTTTTTAAGATGGAATCTAAAGCCACGATAAATGGCTGATTCTATGCGCAAGTTACTAGTCGTTGATATTAAAGAAAGGGGTGAATTTATACCATTCCAGCTAATTCCTTGGATTCTATTACTGATTCAGGATTATTGGGTTTATATTAGCAACAATATCCTTTTTTTATGTAAGCAACTGATACGTATAAGTAACTGTCATGTTTAATTGACTAAAAGTATAACTCATATTGTATACTATTTATTCGCACGTACGTTGAAGTAATTCATTACAAACTCTAGATCGTTAACATTGGTGCGTTAATTTCTCAGCGACGGAAGCTACGCTTCGTTCTATACATACACCGTAAAAATCGTAAGATCACGCACAACAATACGACCTCATAAACTACATTGAAACCGTCACATTCGTTGTCCAAAGTAGTAAAATAACAAAAAATTGTATCATAATAATTTCTGTTACCAGAATCTTACTAAAATCAACTAACCTTATTTATACATCTACTAAACATTTACAAAGATCAATTATAGAGAAAAGAACACACCGTAAACCGAATTTAACGAGTACCGATTTTACAGTAAATCCAAGTGTTAAATGCAAAGTAAATGCCCCTATATAACTTCTATTATTCACTTAATGCACCGATAAGAAGCAAAGCTTGTCCCCTTGGTGACAAAAAGGAAACCATTTCTGTTGTGCAGGCCCGCTGAACGTTCCGGACGCGGACAGCCAATCGACGTACTGGGGTGCGGATTCTGGGATCTCCGGGGGTAGTTCCGGCGCGGGGAGTCCTACCGCCTCTACACCACCCCTGATCGAAGAAATCGGTGTCCAGGAGACCACCGCCGGTTACTCCCCTCTACAGCAATACGCTCATCCCTCGGTCAACCAGCACTACCAGAACCTTTCCTATCCGGCCCAACAAGAGCTCTCCCATCATCACCTGCATCACCATCATCATCATCATCATCAACCGAGTGACAGAAGGGATGCTGAGTACACAACGGTCTCGTCGATGAACCAGGTCGACGGCACCTTTCAGCAACACCTTCGACAGGGGACGAGGGAGGGTGGCTTAGTGGTCCGGCCGAAGAGGCGAAACACCGCGAACAAGAAAGAACGAAGACGAACCCAGAGCATAAACAACGCGTTCGCGGATCTACGTGATTGCATACCGAACGTACCGGCGGACACGAAACTGTCGAAGATCAAGACGCTTAGGCTTGCTGCATCCTACATCGGCTACCTGATGGCGGTCCTCGACAGCGACGAGGGCGAGGAACCACAGACATTCCGCGCGGAGATCCTCTCGAACGGCCGGAGGAACAAAACGACTCAATTGAATCAGGTTCGTGAATTTTTAATCTTGTTGTAGGGTATTAGATTCGCTAGTAGAGATTTTTAGGGGTATCTTGTCGAGTGATAAACCGTGTCCCTGAAAGCATTAGTGGTGTAAGTCAATAAATATGCTTTTGAGGTATTTAAATTAAAGATTTAGGAAAAAATCTTGTAAACGCGCCCTCTTCTCTTGAATTCATGCACTCATCATTACTGTATCCGGATATATTACATTGATCAAAGATAAATATGAATACTCATTGAAATTATTCAACACCCCCAGGACAGAATGAAACTAGGGTTATTTTTCTGTGATAACTAAAATTGATGGAAAATTGAATAACAACCTTTATCAGGATAGAATGGAAAAGAACTTCTGAGACTCCCGGTGCAGAATAGCTGAAATTAACAATCCTAAAATACCTATTATACTTCTTTTAATCCAGTTTATTTATTTGGTAAAATAGTAACATTGAATTTTTAATTATTTGTGCCGATGATTATTAGAACGCGACATTTCTTCAGCACTTATAGATTAGAATAGGCTCCCGAATAAAAGAAGGGTTCATAATTTCTTTATAATTAGAGAAACACATCTCTGGTTAAGCAGTTCGATTTCCGCTGATTACTTTTACGGGAGAACTATCTCGAGGGTACCTATACACTGTGGGCTTGAATCTACGCTATCCTCGTGGACTTTTCTGAATCTCCTGGAACACTTTCATAAGCGCTGCCTTCGCGTAAACATCGCCCTCGTTTAATTGGGTCTCGTTCGTCGCCGCTTGAGCGCACTCGATTTTAAACTTGTCATCGTACCTCGAGATGCCTCGAAGGAGAAAAAGAGAGGAGGAATCTCGTCGTATTCGCGTGCCATTAGATTGTCGTCTATACGTCGACAAAGTAACTTGGTCAACGTTACAGTAATAATAATACCACCAATAACGATTTCCTTACTGATCAAAGAAACTACAGAAAGAACAAAGATGGGAATATAATCAAGTATAACGATTAATAACGAATGCAAAAGTTTGTAAAGGGCGGGGTACAACATTGCATTTCCACGAAAATTATAATTATAAAATTATGTATTTGGGAGTCTTTGCGAAACGAAAGTGGCCTCAGTAGAAGTAACAATTAAAAACGAGAATACTTTGTAGAACGAACAGTCCACACCCTTTCCTAAATATGTAACTTAAGGGCGTGTTTTCAATAGAACCAGACATGATAGTAACGGACACGGAGAAACGAATTTTTGGTGGCAAGCAATGAAGGCAATGGAGTGCTCGGATCGTCCAGGTACCACAGGTTTTCGACCATCAGTTGAAATTCTTTCACAGTTTCTGTAATACATCGACTTCAGGGACACGTGTTTCCATCAGACCCTGTAGTTTTGTGGTTATCCCCATTATCCGCGATTTCCCGCCACCCACGAAGGAACTTCTTCGTTTCGAAGGGACGTCGACCCACATCGATACTCGTCCTACGATCTCTATCACATTATCGTCGAATAAAAATTATTTATTGCGCTACATCTAAAGACACCTCCATTCTATATGTAGAACTATTGGGTGTACCAATAAGTAGTCCACTATTTTTTATGTAAATTCCGAATTTGGTTTAAAATGATTCAGAACCCTTTGCTATATTAACAGTATTCATTATTCTCTGGCATTCTGACTAGTCAGGAGGTTGGAAAATCATTCTGAATTTAAACTGAAACAGCATGAAAACCATATTGGATTACTTATTGGTACCCCTAATAGACTTCCTAAAATAATACAATCACAAAGTTTTTAGGACTAGTAAAAATAAAAGGAGGTTTCATTTTTCTAATTGCAGAACGAGTCGTGTTTTCATTCCGCGTCGAGTCTCATGCCCGAGGAATCGTCAAAGGGCAAAGGACGAACCGGATGGCCCCAGCATATGTGGGCCCTCGAATTGAAGCAGGAATCGCAGGCCAGTCAGATACAATAAGATCATCGGATCTAAATCACTATCTATATTTCCGACTGAACTTGGTGGGCTCGAACCACAGACACCCAGACGAATCGTAACGGAAAAATATGAATCGAGGCTCCGTCCAGCCACGATGGAGATCCAGTAATTTAGTAATTTAGTTTATCGAATTCGTCAACAACGAAGGATGACGTTTCATTATGCCATTTCTTCGCTCGTTCTCGAATCGAGGAAAGAACGAACGAAATGAAACGTTCCACGAAGTTTAATTTAATCGGTGGACCGTGGATCGAAGCACCTTACGAGAACGAATACGATCAATTAACGATGGATTCCTAAGAATATTCGTATAATTTTGGCAATCTCTAGATTTCACGGTGATTCGAGAGTCAATCAGGCTTTGAAACAGAACAGAGGAGCTAAGAAGAATCTTTTTCATGGGAATCGTGTTCCCCGCGAGAGCATATCATAATTCGTTTTGTAAGCTAGATTATCGGTGGAAATGGGCAAATTCATCGAAGTAAAATTTCGAATGACAACAAGAAGATAAGTAGTTAATTCTTCATCGAATTCACATAGGCATTTCAATTTTAAAAGTGAAAAGCCGTTTCCTATTGAATTAGTACACATATACATATGTATATCTAAATAAGCATTTAATCGAATCAATTGTTCGACTACATATAATGAACATCTTGAACCGTCTTTCTTTTTACCATGTGCTCTTTGAGTAAAACTGTGCCCAGCTCTAACCACCCGTCGAGTGTCCGAAAGATGATTTAATTTCATCTACGAGCACGCTGTACAAATAATGATCGATCGTTTGTAAATACGCGTCCGTGATACGTTACGTGTGTAAATAGAGGTGTCCTGTTTCGTAGTTGATAATTAAATGTTAGCCTTTTGTGTCGGTTCTCGCCGTACCCGTACAACCTGATAAAACGTTCAGGCAGCTGAATGTAATCGTTTCCAGAAAAAATTCAATTTTCGAAGTAAAACACTCGAGAACTTATTGTTTCGAATATTCCTCCTAAAGTTTTGTTTTAGGATGACTAGAATATTCGACCTAGATATGTTACGTAGAATGTTTTGCAATACTCACGAAATTATGGGTGAGTTTCTCGAAGAATAAGTTGTATTTAAATAGGACGTTCTTTTTATTTCAAATTCGATGCTGTACGAGAAATAAAACGGAAGACGCAGACGGCTAACGAATTATACGAGAGTTATGTATATCGATCAATACATCGAAGCAAAGGGGTGCGAGGAGTAAAGTCTAATTAAACGTGTAATTCCCTTATTACGGTTCCTTTCGATTATTTTTCCCAGAATAGTGCAATAACATAACGTTACTGAAACCCTCCGTTACCATTTAGGTTCACTTCGTGTCGTATTAATTGACAAGAAAAAGGAATTTTTCGTGTCGAAAATTATAAAGGATTCCCGCGATGTTTAAACTTCCGAACACGCTCCGCCCGTTTCCCCGTTCGTTCGGTAAGACTCTGGATCGGTTCGAAGTGCTTGTAAACTTTTGTATAAAGTACCGCGTTAACGATGTATAAAAAGCTACTAGCAATAAACAGAATATCGTAATTTAACTCCGTTTGCCTTTCTTTCATCCGTTTAACATCTTCTGCGTTCAGAATCTCTTCGTTCTAGAACTTTGTTCCTCTCTAATTTTTCTTTTCAGCGTACATTGCTATCGTGACAATCGTGACACAACGTCGCGATTTGAGTTCCGTCTGCCAAGGCGACAAAATGTTCAACCCAAATCACAATGTTTCGGCTCCCGTGTCGAGGCCTTCCGTTGCATGGAAAACGTGTTCTCCTCAGACTACACACTGAGCAAGCATTGTTCGACGGCGACGACCGGCTCGTATTTCCTGGATATCCTGGCGCCGTTGCTCGATCCGTGGTTGTAGAAATTCAAACGAAAGAACATCCTTCTGCCTTCTCCGGTCAGAATAGTTTATACCTATGTATAAAAAAGGAGGCTGGAAAAGGCGACGATCGATCGACGTTTGTTTTCGTTATCCGATTGTCCTCGGGGAGTTATCCTCTTCACGCCGTGGACCGTGGATCATTCTACCGGGCGTAAAATAAACTATCGCTCGATCAAACCAATCCAGACTAAATATTTGCGGTGTCTTACGAAGACATCTCTATCTGACGCCGGTTCGATAACTTCGATCCGACGACATTGTCGACTCTGTATATTGCAAATGAGCTGTCCCGTTCCGCAATCTAAACGGAGCAATCGAGAACGATCTTGAGCTCGGAGTTCGCTTGCAATCAAAGAGGTCAACATCAAACGATGGACGCGTCGATGATGGACGACGAATCTAATGTTGCGAAGAAATTCGATAAATTTTCTTGAGGTTCCAACGATCCTTCACTAATCACGTTCACTAATCTCAATTCTGTCCTCTGTAAGTTAATAATTTCAAGCAAATCACTCCAAAACGATGAAATCGTAAAATTTGCGGAGAATTGCGCGCGACATCTGACTTTGAAGCTATTCGTTTCGCCGTAAATCGCGAATCACCGTCCCACTCAAACGCGCGTTAATGACTAACGTCAATTAGTCGATCGAGGCTCGAGCGTGCTCGTTCCCGCACGCAAAAACCGTTGCCTCTTTGGACAGATCGCGCGCCGTACTCCATGGCAAAACCCGAAGGACGATACTGGCAGCAGGCCGATTGATGACTGTTTGTTTATCGGAATACGCGTCGAGTGGCAGTATATTATAGCCGCATACGTATACATATGTATACGTGTTACACGTTATACATTCGGCCCCGTACCGTATTCTAGAGCTCGGTTTCGCCTTGTATACACTTCAATCGTCTTATGCTGACCATGGTTGCCCGAAGAATTCCCTATCGTAGGGATAAGGTGATGTTACACAGAGCTATACATATACACGAATACGACTTGTGCACACACCATGCTAATATCCCATTAGAAATGAAATTGGAACGACGCGTCCCCAATACAAAAATATACCCCCTCTACTACTCCCTACTACGTCATTTTGTCCCTGGCCATGTTTTCCCTACTTCTCGCGATACTAATCTTGACGAGATTTCTGTAAAGAGTCAAAAATTTTTCGAATTTCGTGAGTCACTGTGATCGACAGTATTGGTCATGAATCAGGAACAATTATAAACTTAGAAACTATAAGAGTCAATTGATTAGAAAGTTCAAGAAATCGTCGTAAGTGGACTGCGGATTTTTATGGAAAATGATATTTTATAAAGTAATTCACAAAGACAAAAAAATAGTAGGAACTTCCTTTTTTCTTTAAGAATCTTCTTGGGTTAAGAATAAAAATGTTCTCTATTATTGTATTTCACAGAGTCAGATAAGCATACAAATGCATAAAACCCGCAGTTAAGTCATAGGCAATGTATGATAATTCATTGAAAAAGTAGAGCACGATGAATACTTTAGATCGAAGATTTAGAAGAAATGTGACTTCTTTATCTCAGTTTGTACGAGTTGATGTTTCATGAAGGATTGAACATTTGTAACCGTTCGAGCAACGTATACGCGAGAAATTGTAACGTAAACGTGGAAATTCATTACAGCAGCAAAGACTCCAAAAGGGTAGGGACGAGGTACGTGCTGCCCCGCTGGAAGGTGTTAAACACGGGAAGGTGGAATCGGCGTCGCTGTTGTAAACTCTTTCCTTGACGAAGCCCAGAACACCAGGCGAACCCCTGAATCAACGATATAAACACTCCGCGGTGCCTAGGAAACTCGGTTATTCTCGGTAACGGCGAAGAGATCGTTGCTTCCTTGTCAAAATGTTGCCCTGAGCCCTCTCGGTACACAAAGGGAATCGCGAACTTTTTCTCCCTTTGCTTTGTACAGGATGTTTTCGCAAAATTCGTATTGTTTCGAATGTGTACCTTTTTTATCGCGTCAACGTGGACGACAGTTTTACAATTTAAAAACACTTTGAACTTTCCGAATAACCGAATATATTGTATACATGCAGTAGAAAGTATTTAAATGCACTGTACAAAGAAATTGTTTTCGGTAAGTCTGCGTAACATGTGCAGAGAAAAATATGAAATTTCAATCTTCTGAATTAGAAGATTCTTCTTCTTTTTAAGTATACATATAAGGAAATCGATATAATACAATGATAAAATGTTCGACCAATCGATCAAGAATATATGTAGAGGAGGGTTCGAAACTAGAAATTTAGCACTATTGTTTCTCTAATGTATGTGATCTCTGATATTCTGTCCTGTCACTTTGCGATTTATACATTATACACCCGGTAGCAAATTAATTTCAAACTCCCATCGAGGTCAGATCCAAACGTCAAACTCTGCGCCACAATCTGGTCAATCTGCCCTCAACCCTCACCGTTTGTTCCATAAATCTATCAGATCTTATCGTACCTCAGGATGACAGATAGTCATTTAGAAAATGAACCCTACCGATTCGCTCACGGAACTTTTTTCCTCCTGCTTACTCCACACTTATTATACTTGTACAGCTACACTACAATTATAAAACGTTACATATTTCTAACATTTTCGTCCATAACAACGACCCCAAAGATTTTTCGTGACGTGCTCCTGTAATAGCAAAAAGATATATTAAGAATATTGGATTAGTTATAGAAACGGTTTGAACCAAGTAATCGAGTAAACGTGAAAATACGAGGTCGAAAAACAGAAAGCAAAAGACATCCTTACGTGGGAATGTTTTCGAGCCAGAGATCTGAGCAAAACAGATACATTCGTGTGCGAGCAACACACCGAAAACGCATACGCGCCCGGCGTAAAAAGCATGAAGCAGACGTTTGTTTGCTTTGACGAGTATCGAAGGTCCGCTGTACGAGGAGTCTAAGTACAACCAACTAAGTACGACTCGACCACTTAGCGTCCTCATGAAAAACTGTCCCGTGCATGTGTCAGCCCGCTCCCTAATTGCTGAGCCCGCGAGATGCTCTTCTCTTGAAGCTTGATGCGCGAGAATAACGCTGCCCGTAATGCTTTGTTTGTCCCCTTTAGGAATTTTTCTGCTTCAATTATCGATGACCATCGTAGCATTTTCAAACTCACCTTGACAGAAACATTTTTCGTTCAACGTGATCGCGCTTATATTATAAATATTAAAACACTTGCTGTATACGAAGATAGTAGTGATCTTACACGGAAGCTACAATATGTATAATTAAACATTTTCCTTTAAAGTTCGTCTTGTATTCGATAAGAGCTCTAATATTTATTCAGTTTACAGTGATATAGTAACAATTATTAAACGACAAACGATACGATTTATTCCGAACGGAACGCGTTCGAACGTCAGACGAACGGATCGATGGAATGACCGAAATGCACCAGACTCGTAACACCACAAATCTTCCTCGAAACCGTTTACACTACGAGAGACGACTGTGCATCGTACCGTAAACAATACCGTTTCCCTCTAACATAGATTATGTTTTCTGTCCGAGTGTTAAACTTTAATGTCTCGCAAATATTCCCTTGTTATCTTCGTTGTTTTCAGTAATGTACACTTTACGATGGTTTAATATCCTATCTACATACAACGTTCAACTGCCCCTGCAAAGATCGTAGACAGTAGTTTGGCAAAGCTGATCCTACAAGGCTCTATATTATCGTATTGATATCCCTACCAAGAGCGCTATAACCTTATTTTCATCGTTCTTCAAGTGAAAATTGAATCGTGCTCCCGCCGACCGACCAGTCACTAAATGCGCCGATCGCGAAGCTGAATCGTGCTTTTATACGCCACAACAACGGATGACCTTCCTCCGCTCAGCCTCGATCTTGTTGATCCCGAAATTGAATTGGTTAATTGACAGGCTTAATCGAGAACAGATTGTCCCCATGGAACGCCCGGAGCGCTGGCTCCAGTCGACCGGGAACAGAGAACGCGAGGGTTACCCCGCCGATTCCACCGAGCCATTATATTTTTCAATTTTCAGCGTAACACTGCTGCAAGTCATTCGGCTCACATTCGTCTCCATTTCGGCTCTACGAAATCACCGATTATCGATTCCTTGCCCAATCACCCGTACCCCCTAATTGCACACGCTCCAGTCATCATTTTGTCTTTTATTTCACAGGACGTATCCAAGTCTCCCTGTTCTTCCTAATCCTACGTATAATAAAAAAAACTTGTGTATTATATCTAAACGTGAAGTTTGGAGAACAGACGAAAGGAAGCACGTGGGAAAAGCTAAGAGCCTTAGATAATCGCAACACCTACGGGATACAGAGGACAAACAGGATACCTATACCACACACAAGCGTTATCGTGTTACTCGAACGCGACCGATTGGAGGTGTAATTCACCCCTCTTCGGTGGAGCGAAAACACGGTAGAAACTGAAAACAAATAGCGGTGAAATTCCCTGCAAATCCCGGAGGAGTGAATGAATCGGGCGCGGGTGGGTAGGCTTCCGGTTTGCAGAGCTGGGAGCAGCGGGGACGATTGCAGGGTTGTCACGAGATCGGAACGCATCCCGTAGCAGTCGGTGTGGGATCCTCATTAGGTATGGAGGACCCGTGGATCTCGATTGAAATTGAGACAAATCGTTTTACGGGGCCGGGTTCGAGATTGGCCTCGGCGGGGCGGATGTTTGCGCGTCTCGGTGGCTCGGGGCGAAATGAATGAAAGAAAGGGAGAAAAATAGTCTCGATAGAGAACCAAACGAGGAGGACAGTAACGCGCGTAAGCAAAAACCCCCGGATGGGTGGGTCGCACCCTTATAAAACCTGCGGATCCGGACCGTATCGGCATCATTCGACGACAAGTCTCGTGATACGGTGCACCCGAGGAAGCAATGATCGGTTCAAACGTCTTCTCACCGTCCTGCGTCGCGTCAATCTGCGCCCTGGTTTGCCTGCTTTGCACGGTGTCCTGCACTTCCGGCGAATACGGTAGGTCTTTACACTACAAAACATTATACTGGAAATTCCGTGCTTTTCCTCGTCAAAGAAACTATGTGATAGCTACTGTTGCTGTGTCACTTGTTTACCTGGCAGCTTTGTTCTTTCAACGGCGTCGACTGTCATGGCGTTCATTGATGACTGACGCTGTTAGGTTCCGTGACAAAACCACTGAACTTCAGTGTAATCGATACTAACTTATTTCTTCAACAATACTGACAACAGTTTGGTTCTTACCGTTACACTTTCGGTCCCGTGTCCCCTTCTCGCGCCATGTTTCAGAACATATAGAGGAAGCTCTTTTCTTTTTTTCTTGTCAGAGGGGAGAGAAACCTCGAGCAGCATCGTGAACGACAGAACGTCGGGCAACGAGTTCGGCTCGTGCACCGACGGCAAGTGCATAAAACGCACCACACAGGAGATCACTAGCGGTATGTGGTTCGGACCGCGGCTAGGACGACGACGAAGGGCCGACAGGAAGCTGGAGGTCGATCCGGACCTCGAGGCCCTAGCGAACATCCTCGACGGTGGCCGTTGGGCCGTCATCACGATTCCAAGTATGTACATATACTACACTCCTCGATCATCTTTTACCAAGAACGAAAAAACAGTGAAAATTTTAACAATCTGCTCTTGTATGTACTGTCTACGCTTCCGTAACGAGCTGCACTTGTTCCGTTGCTTTCTTATTCTTTTTCTCGCACAACACGGACGTATCAGAACATTATCATTACAGATTTCGTAGAGATGGGAAATATTTTCCTTTCCAGTTGAGGTATACTTACATACGAAGGTTTCCGCCTGCCATCACTGTGTAGACTATTCCTCGAGAAGCAAACGGTTTTTTGCTAATAATTTTTCAATAATGTCTTGATTCAGGCGGTGAAAAACGGCAACCGACCCAGTTCACGCCTCGATTGGGGCGCGAGTCGGGGGAGGAATTATTCTCCTACGGGTACCCGAGGGATCAGGAAGAGCTCTACGCCGAGGAGCAAATATTTCCCCCGTTGTTCGCGCCTCGTCTGGGACGACGACTGCCCTGGACTCCATCCCCGAGACTTGGACGTCAATTGCACACTGTCTTTGAGAAACCGAGACAGTACGTCGAAGATTCACGCTTCTGAGACCCGACACGATTCGCTGAAACAAAGAAAATAGCCGAGGACATAGTGTAATTGAGACGCAAGGAAATAAAAGACTTGTATTTATTTGTATTATAAAGCACGTTGTTGTTCCCTTTTGGCTTTAAATTCCATCTCGTTATAGAATCACATCAGAACATATTAATGGTAACAATAAAGAATGTCTCTATTAGATCAGATATACGTAGATAATGAAACGTTGACGGTTCGGCAAAGATGCCGTTCCAAAAATCTAACCTGGAACCCCAAAAATTGAAGTAAAAATAGAAAATAAGAAGGAATTAGGATAAGTTGAGTGCAACAAGGGGAGACGCGTTTAAACGAAGTAAATGATTGTGCAACAGAAAGAATAGATGAAAGAAAGAGGATCGAAATTTGGAAGAGTTGGTTTTTGCTAGCCACCGATAATTAAGAAACGGGCGCGAGAGAGCCGTCTCGCGTGTTATTCTTGTCCGTTCCGATAGTAAATTGTTACTCGAGCAAAGAGAGGCGGAAAGTTAACTTGTATCTGTTGGCAGTGTTCCCAAGCTTTATGATTACGAGCGGAGTCTACACTGCCACATGGCCCCGCGGTAGTTCCGGTCGAGGAATTACACGCGTAGTTACGCTTCCCTTGCACCCTCTTCTCTATCCTCACGGTCTTCTCTGTTGAACGAAAATTCTCCCTTGAATTTCTTTGATTGCGCGAAGTACATGTACTCGTCAATAAGAAACTTAAAAAAACAATTTCGAATGCCTTTTACTACTTGAGAACGCAAAATCATCGAACAAACCCTAGAGTTTCAATCGGGAAGTAATCAAAAAATCTTTGGGTGTAATGTATATGCATCACGAAGAATAAACGGAAACGTGGATCGAATAATTCTTGTTTTTTTTTTTTTGTTTTAATAGAAACGATACACCGACGTCCAAAAGACAGAAATTGTTCGTACAACCGAATGCACTGTAACAATGGTAAATTCAGTTAGTAGTTACGTAAATGCTGAATGTTACGTTTCTTACACGAAGGAATTGCACTTAGAAACATGTACCGTATAATCACAATGTTTACTTACGCGCATAATACTGTAGTTTGTATTTCGACAACGCATCACTGACTGAATTCGTTCGTAAAAAAAAAGAACTACTAGATACAGCTTAAATAGTAACATCGCTTTTTATAAATATTGAATAACAGGTTAGTAAGTTCTGTTGGACTTACAATCCATTTGCATTGCGACTTATTGTAAGTGGCAAGGCCTGTCTCTGTATCACCACAACAGTAAAACTGAATAAGTGACAGCGTAAATGGATTAATTGTTAATCCTAAACCATGAAGCAATAAACAACGAACAACCGCTTAGAAAAATAAAACACCAATCGCTGACATCGTGTGAAATAATTCATATTTTTGATCGCACACGTTTAGGTTATAATCGTTGGAAAGAACTTGTTTTATTAAATCGAAAATCGTAATTCGTACGTATCGATTCGCCAACGAGGAGATGCTTCTTGAATTTCAAACTTGTGACCAACTGTTTAAGTTTTATCGGCCGTTGTCGTTCCGGGACGCGGAATCAATGAAAGACAGCGGCGTAAGTATTCCTGTTTTACCAGGGCTCGTGAAAATACGCCCTACGATATGATTAAGTTATCGCTCGACGCATCCACCAGAACGACACTATGTAACTACGTTTAATCAATACCCGCGACAATCTCCCAGCGTTTTTGTACGTTTCCCTGCCCCGAGGAAACGTTTACGAAAAAATTTCTCCACTAGCTTGCCTCGTAATGTTACAACCCGTCAACGAATCAACGTCAACTTTCGAGTCAAGGCGTAACAAAACGAGTTGTCTGCCGAACGAACAAGTTTTGTCTTCGCTATTGACAGTGGAATCGTACGAAACTGCGATTGGAGCAATAACAATAAGCAACGATCGAATCGCTGTACAATCAGAACGACTAACCTCCGATAGTTGAAAGATCCAGTTCCAATAGGAAACGAACGTTCTTCTCTCTTTGTTTCGACTTAAAACGTACACACAACTACATGTAGAACACCCGCCTCTCAACAGCTTCGCCAGGAAAGCACTCGTACGATCAACGCGAAAACATTGCCGATCGCATTCCAGACGATCAGCAGCAGAAGATCGTACCATCGAATCGTTTTTCTCTCCACCTTCCATTTCTCGTTCCCCGTGTCCTCAGTGTTCACATGCCCTCGATTGTCACCGATCACGTCCCTATCCTCGTATAAATTAACACTTGACCCGCAAGCTTGCTCAAATATAACGGAGGATTCGCTCCATCAACTGCTGTTCTTTACGTCCGACTCGTTCGTGTCCTTGTGTCTGATCGAGTCCTCGTTCACAATCGATTCATAACCACGATCGAGCCTAACCTCCAATTTCGAGTGCGACGCATCGTCAGAGTCCTCGTCGAAACCGTTATTTTGATGAACGTTTTGTGGTTTTGGCCAGGAATCGTTGTTACTTTCCGGGCCACCGATTACGAAAATGAACGGACATCGGTCGTCCCGCGAATGAGACTTTAGATCCTGCGAGGTACCGGATGCGTAAATACCCTGTTGATAATTGACATCACGCGCAGAACTGTACACGCTGTCGTCGTTCGACGTCCGATTGAAGGTGTCGTCGCAGGCCTGCGGGATAGACGACGATGACTCGTTCGTGGATCGATAGATCTCCTTGCTCGAATCGGTCGAACCGAACATCTTTCCCTGGTTGGGCTTCGTGGAGAGCGCAGACTGGCTCTTCCTGTTCGCGAACAGCATACGATCCAGGGTCATGAATGGCATCTCGAAGCACAGACTCCAGACCGCGGCGAGTAGCATCGTGAGACACAAGTTGCTGCAGTAGCTGCGGAACTGGAAATGTCGACAGAATTGAATTTTATTCATTTTCTGTCCTTGAAAGTTTTGGAAAATTGGATCCGGTTTATTGTTGGAGGGAGCACAGTTTGGACACAGGTTACTTACGATCGACATTGGTGTGACTATGCCACTGGTTCTGACCGAACCAGCCTCCGTCAGTAGAAACACGTAGTGACACAGGTAAGCGCTGTAGGTCAGTTTACTGAACGGAACCCATCCTTTCCAGGACAGACACACACCAACGAAACCTTAAAAGAGAAGTACCTATTTTAGTGTATGAAACTTATGAAAATTCATAGACTGACGTATAACGTTTCGCGTGGGTAGCATCGTTTAGATAAAATTGAACGTCAATATTAAGGCAATCAAACAAATGCCTTCAGATCCGGTGCAAGTTGTTTCTACATGTAAACATAATTTTCATAGAACTAATTTTTCCAAAAGAACGCATTCATTCTCGGTGGCAGACATTTGATCGTCGATAGAAAATACGGTAAAGGGAACAGTATATTTAGCAAATGCACAACGTGAAAAATTGTATTTAAACACAGCGATCACATTTCAATGACCACTACCTCCGTATCCGTGCACACAGCAAAAAATGAGCCAGGAGATGGAAAGGGTGAAGATCTGTCTGTGCAGTCCTGCGTAGAAGCTTGCTTCAAGCCTGTCGTAGACGTGCTCTTCGAGATACATCCATCGAGGACCGACGAAAACGAGTAAACCGGACACCGCAGCTAGCAACCATCCGCTAACCATGTACATCTGTGAAAAATCACGTTATAGATAGAGCACAGATGCATCGTGAAAAGGTAATGCTGACTTGAATACGTTATACGACTTTTCCGGCGAACATGCATGAAGTTGCGGGGGATTTTCTTTTTGCTTCAGAGGAATACTCTTCTGTTTTCATTTCTAAACGGAGGAAACGTTTGTTAACTTATCGGTATCGAGGCTGTGAGCTTCTGCTAGCGATTTTTTCATTATTATACGCGGACGTTGACTTAGTTTTAGGGCAGAATTTCTTTGAACAGTGACTGTTCTCTCCCTATAAACGCGCTGCTGAGTTCACACGGTGCTATTATAGACGGAGTGTTCTTTGTTAGGTGTCTTGTTTCTATTTTTAGTAAAAAAAAAATGAGCGACGATAGTGAGGATGAAGATGATATTACAGAGAGGTCGATGAGGCGCGATCATAAAGAGAGAATCCAATGTTTCCCTCATCGTTTTCAGCTTCTTCGGTGTAGATAGAAGAAAATGAATGAAACTATTATGTTTAAGCATATATGTATACTCACCGGACGTATTTTGATGACTCGCGCCCGCGTCTTGTACAGTATGTAACCGAGAGCCAGTCCGATGAGGTACGCCCCGTACCTGTTGTAAACTTTCGTGTAGATTTGGACGTAAACGTTGGCCACATCGTTAGAACTAACAAACAAAACACAAGTATGACTAAATAAACAATATTAACCGGAAGAAAAATTATGAACTGGCAACGAATACGCTATTTGGATATTCTAATTGTGCGATCTACCATTAGATTCATACAGTCAGATATTTATAACACTATGTAATATAAGAATATGTAGACTTCTATCAGAGAAGTGGTGCGTACGCTGTACGACCAGAGAAAAGACGTCGACCAGGTGCAACATGTGGTCTCGAACGAAATAAATCAGACGATTCGAAAAGATATCGCAACGGACAGAGGAAAAGCGATGTTTCTTAAATTTTTATACTCACTCTTTGTAATAGAGCATGGTACCGGTCAGATTCAGGCTGAACGTAACAAAGAACGGTATAAGGATCGAAGTGACGAAGCCGACGACGATGACGATCCAGAAGAAGATTTCTCGCGTGGACTTGAGCATGGGGTACAAGATGATCGGCGACAGCCAGACAAGTTGCATGTCGGTCGCCAAGTACCAAGACTGTGACAGACACTGAAAACAAAAGGCGAGGATAGAATTTAGAGCCGATACGATTGGACCGAAAGACGAGAAATCAGCCAGAAATCGGGGGAAAACAGTTTCTCGTGTATTCGTTTGTATAATCGTATGTTCCCTTGCTGTACGTACTATTCTGGGCAGATTCACGTAATTGTTCACGTATAGTAGATTGGTCCACCAGTTCTCACGACAGTAATCCCTGTTTTGACCGACCCATTCGTCCCAGGCTGGTCCAGTCCCGACTTTGTAGAACAACGTCGCGTAAAAGCCGATCATCATCGCGTACGCCGGCGTCAGCCTCATGTATCGATGTAGATAGAGACCGATGGAAGAACGTGTCGGTGATTATGTTCGCGTTCAGCAGTAGCATGTTGCTCCAGTTCAAGTGCATCTTAAAAGTCCAATGAAATTGTTAATTTTAATACTGAACGGACCAAGGATCTTGATAGTGAAATTTCGCATGGAAAAATTGTGAATGATCAGCTCATCGAAGTAGTGAATTGAGAAATTTCGATTACACTACATTTTGTGGTCTTCACATATAAATAATATAGTTTTTAGAATCCTTGGAGAAAATGCGTTGATAATAATAATATGTAACGTAATTTCAATACGAGAGGTTAGTTATTCTATTTCATTCGTTCACATATGAACGATGATAGATACAGAAAATATTGAAACAAAGACACTTTCACCTCGTGGACGATCAGAAATTGACTTGTACTACTGTGTCTTCCTGCAGATTCTGACTGCATACTGGATGCAACGAAAATGAATGTTGAATCCTCGTGAACTATCTTGTGATACATGATTTATAGAATTAATAATAAATGCAAATACTATTTATTGTTATCAATAATAAACTTCTTCTATTTACTGAATGTGGTTTTCTTGGAAGTAACGCGGTTTTAAACGTAATTTCTCTCTAAGGTTGGATCGATTTGAGATTGTCACCACGTATCATATTGTTATACAACGCCGACGAATGTTCTTTTTATAATCTCCAAGATTCACCGGGAAATCCATAGTTCGTCGCGTCTTAGAAGCCGTTTCTCGCTTACCAGCGGGACCTCGCTAAGGTTCATTTTTACGCCGACGATCTCGCAATAGAACGTATGACCGCAGATTATCCAGCATATGCTCAGATAACGCAATCCATCGAGACATTTGATAGAGTTTCTGGATCTGTCCGTCCTCAGCAAATTCCTTCCATTCGTGTAGACGGAGAAGGACGTGAGAATCGCGTGTCTCGTGTCTGTAAAACCACAAAAGGACAGGATTGTTTACCGATTCTCCGGTTCGATCTATGAGCAATCTATGCAGACGTTGATTAAGACAGTGATCGTCGAGAAACCATTTAATCGTTCCATATCGAGAAAAGACAAAAAACGATAAACTGACGCAAGTGACAAACAAAGCATCCTTAACACCGATCGTTATCGGCCCAGGCCAAGAATCAGTTGTTATCGGTCACTAGTAAGATCTCGCGATCCGATCGCAGCCTGAAGCATCGTTCCGCGAGAAATTGATAAGCTGACACACACACACCCACACACATATATACGCACAGTCAGCGAGAAACGAACACTTTTACGTAACGAGAGTGAGCTACCCACCTTTTCGGTTCAACGTACTCAAACGGCCTTGCCTGGCGATGTCGTAACTCGTGCTGGCAATTATGATCACCGCGAATATCGAGAGGATTGATCTGCAATTAAACATTATCACACACGTCGTACGCGTTAGATCGTTGACACAACTTGACCGTTTTGTTGAATATCATACGAGATTCACCGGGCCATGTATAATTCGACGAAACAATTGTTACTCCTGCTAATCGTCTATACTTTTTATTTCTGTCGGAGAACGCCAGGGTTTGCGGGTTTGTACATTGCCCTGGTTTGAAAGTATGTCATTTTTGGACAGTCCGTGTGTCAAGACCTGAAACTATGATATTTTGTGATTTCTCAATATCCACTATCTATCCTTTAGTAATATGCGGTATTGGAACGTCATCGTCGATGAATAACGAAGTCAATCCATCAGACTAGAATCGCGACTATGAAACTTAAAAAAAAAAATGCTTTAATCACTATACATATATCTATTGCAAATGCATTGTAAATATTATTCGTTTAAGTGGCTGTGTTTATAAGATTTCACTAGCAATGGAATTAACTCGTTGTAAAGGGTTACAAATTGGTGATTCAAAATTGCTCTACCAAGGACGACATTACTTTCCCAGTGACCTAATTTGTGGTGACACGATGACGATATGTATTCTGGAGAATCGTCAGCTCCAAGAACGTACGGATACTCGTATTTGATCGCCACTTCAAGCACAAAATTGTGCGCCGATAATCTCCAGCGTCCCGATTTTTTTCTGGCGACACAATAAAGGTGAAATCGAAAGTGACGAATTCGAGATTTCCCTTCCACGGCGGTTTGAGGTATACGCCCGAGTGTTGTTAAAAATGGCGACGTCGCGGTCAAAGCGGCACGATTGCGCAACGTCCAAGGCAGATACCAGTTTTAAATATTATCATCCACAAACACCAAGAATTCGCCACTGCGCACTCTGTATAAACTTGGATGTGCAGTAAACAACGCGTGTTTTTTAATGACCTGGAGCAAACTTATCAGTCGCTCGAATTTAAACATACGGCATTTATATACAGGATGTAACAGAAATAGCTGAACGAACATCATATTTTGTACTCAAATCAATGAAAAGAAATCTTGAGATGGACGACAATAAAAGTAGAGGATTTAAATTGAACGTGAAATTAATTCCTTTATTTTTATGTTCCAATCTTACATCACCCATAAGATGCTCAAGCTCCTAAAGTTTGTCCTTCTATTTCCGTCACACCCTGTATACTTCGATCGCGCATCGCTACGCACTTACGTCAAAACCCCAGTGAATGCAGCACGATAGGGAAGCAAAACACTTTCAAGTACGTCCAAGAAAAGACGCGAATTAATTCATAACGTTAAAGGTCGCGCAGCCCGACCAATAAAAATTCGCGGAACTTCATCGGCGGAAGCGACCGAATGACGCAACACACGTCGACCAAGATTAAAATTTTTACGTGAAAAGGTCACGTAGGATATCCACGGATATGCAGAACCATCAGAGCCTTGTCCTCGAAGTGACCAAGCAAACAACGAACAGTTGTCTTTTTGGATCACGCGACAAAAACCGCGGGGCGCACGTTGCTGGTACGCCGATAAGGATATTGTATATGTATATTTACATGTAGATCCAATCAGTTGCGTCGAACACCGGCCGATCCGTTTCTAAGGTGTGACAAGAATTTTCGGGAACGTTCACCACCAAGTCCACGCGACCTTCCACCTTCAGAGGATCGAGGACGATTTCCAGCGCCTCCTGGACTTCCGTGTGGTTGCAGCTCGATGGGACGCACCACATCCACTCGTAAATCACCGTTTTCCCGGGGAGCGATTTCATCCCCTGAATTCACACATTTGTATTTCTTGAAAGAGAATACAGATGCACAGTTTCTTTTAATAGAGGCCGGCGGAGGGAGGGGGGGAGGGGGTATGGACTATAAAAGGATAAATCCATTTTGACGAATAATAATAGGAGAAACGGGATATTTTGGTCCTTAATCATATCGAGAAAATGAAATTAATCAAGAACTTCCTTGGAGGCGATATCTGATTCAGAGATAGCTCTGTTATTTGTACGATCGACAAATGAAGCGAAAGCACATCAAACGGAGCGTATCGAAATTCGATTATTGATCCGACTAGATTAATGGACATTCGGCCGTATCGATCGACGCTAATAATAGTGTCTTCGTTGCACGAAGATAGAAAATCTCGGTACAGGCATATAGCGAAGGGATTGATAACGATAATCATTAATAAGATCGGTCGACGATATACACGCGACTCCGGAACAATGACCGATAAAAAGGTATTGAATGAATTCGTGCTCGAGCACGTTATCGCAATCGGGAATAATGCGTCTTATCGGTGAATTTTACAGAAAGAACCATTTTCACTGGAAACAGTTGACTGCCATGTTTCTTGAACGTACAACCCCCCCCCCTGCGTTTTATAAGTCACTGGGCACTTGATTGTATTTTGAGAAAAATGAAAATCGAAACAGAAATTCAATTTCTCGAGAGAATTTCAGTAATGTATTTTATATTTCCGTAAGATACTGACCCTTAACGTTACCGAGACATCGTCCAGAATTTACTTTAACAAATATTACAAAACAATAATCAGCTGTAAATTTTGTAACACTGCCCATAGTCTGGGCAATCCGATGCCAAGATTAATGAAGAACTAGTGAAAGTGATTACAAACTGATTTGAGTGGAATCGGGGGTGAATTATTGTAAAAAATTCATTGTTTGGATGAATGTTCCTCAATCACATAGACATACTAATTAAAGATATATTTATAATTGTACACACCATTCAATGTAATTTACATTTTCTCCGCCATGCGCAAAATTGATAAAAATCGATTCGTTTCATAATTTACGTGATCCTGTTTGTGCATAGACTTACATAAAATTTCGAAAGAATTTTGAAATCGTAATCGAGTCGATTGATTTCCAAAGTTATTTCTGAACGAATTTATTGTGAACCAATGCTATAAGGTATTGGAAATTGAATCAAGATTTACTCACCGATGCATGTGCTACGTTCGACAAGAGATCGACCAGATCGGGATCCCGATGTTTCTCGGCGCCACCGGAGACGTCGAATTGCACCATTGCTTTGCAGGCCTTCCCGGTGAATCCGTGTCCGCTTTTCACTTGCAGACACTCGTCGTAATTGCCTAACTGCTTGTAATTGCCCGTGATTATGCCCGATGGAATTTTCACGGACGCGTCGTACACTGGAATTCAGAAGAAGGTCTTTGTACTTTTCTCGTGATTCCTCTTTCTTCCTCTCACCCACGTATGTAGTACAATCCCGTCTTCGTTACTATTCTCTACGGCGTACGAAACGAAACGTCATTCGAAATATTTAAAAAGTTTGGGTTATTCTATTATCATGTGATTAACTCTTTGAGTATTTATTTTTGAAAATTTCATACACTTTCTTTGCAATTCCTTGATTTGTTATATCCTTTTCGTAACTACTATACCGGCCTCATTCTTCCGTATATCTTTCCTTACTATATGAAGACCACACGAGAAAAACATGATCGGTCATATTTCCTTTTTTTTTGTAAAGCATAAAAATTAAAGTTCCTATTATTAGAAGGATGATATCTTTGAACCTGGCAGGTTATTGCTCCTTTTCAACTGTTAGTTGAAAGTTTGAGTTACCAGATGACATAAATATCGAAAACTTGAACAAAAATGAATTTATCACGTTTCCCAAATCAAAAGCTCAAGTACGTAAAGTATAGCAATTGAATGGCATTAAAAAAAATCAGAATACACAACGAAAGTACCTTCTGTAACGAGAGTACAACGAAAGTTGTGCTCGACGAAGATTGTTGAGATCGTGTCGGCGCAAAATTCGGTTCGAATATCGCTGTGCAAATACCGAAGCATTATTCTCAAAATACAGAGTACCTGTTATCATCGTGAAGATTGAGGACAGAAGAATTCCTTGACGCGACGCACGGCTTGTTCGCGGTACTTATACACATCAACCGGTTCCATTCGATTTATTATAAACCGCGAGTGATTATTTAAATGTCAACGCGAGACCGGCACATGTTCACGGGAATCATCCGATACTAAAACGTTCCCCTCGAAATTCTATACTTTTTCATTGTAAAACACGAGATACAAACGGTATGCAATTCCATTAATGTGTACACTAGACAGCAACGTACTATGTACAATTTACAATTGGTGTCACAGGTGGAACGTTTCTATTCTATTCTGAATTTCAAACCTATTGCCACCGTATTGAAACTATTCTGGATTATTTATTCTGAATCTGAACCCTATTGTCACCATATTGCAACCATCGTGGATTGCTTATTATCCTTCATAAAATTGTCCATCGTATAGAAGACCGGTATTCGAAAGATGAAATCCGTGAGTACAAGAGTAAATCACTCTTGCGATTAAAATATACAATCATCGATGAACCGCGAACCGCTTGTCGCAAGGCTTAATGTCCTTTCGGTGTATTCGAACATACACGGAAGTGCAATGGAGCTCGGAGATACGCGCGCGGGAACTGCGCGGTAACGTGAATCGTGAAACGGGTCGTTCGATAAGGGTCGCCGGAGAAAAAATGTGGCTACGATATCGTCGAATTTTTCAATGATGCTCGATAGCGAGGACGCGGTGGCACTATCCGCTGTGAGCTAACGCTCGCAAATAAACGTGTACGCGCGCCAATTGGTGACCAATACAACAACGCGTCGTTGCGATTTCCCAGTGACGTTTTTGCCAGGAACTTGGAACCAGGAATTCAGGTGGAGGGAAACTCCTGAATGGAAATCGAGTACAATAACCATCCATTCGATTGTTGACAATTTCTCGTTTCATCCACAAGGTGGAGAATTTCACGTGGAATTGAACAGAACGAGGATAAAGCGAAAATTGTAAAATTTATGTAGCATGAGAACAACTATTTGCGATTTCCTGATCGACAATATCGAGTGGATCGTTTTTGTAAACGCTGGCATTGATAAAGCGTCCCGATACCACCACGGAATCTGTAAAGACTGCGTTACATAAGGAAATCGTGGAGTTGTGCGGAACAAAACAATAACAATAATGACCGTAATAATAACAAAGTCTAAGACGTGACAACAAATACCGATAATGAATATACTATTCATTCCAATATCCAGATACAAAGGATTCGAAGAAATTTCAGCAGTCTTCAGAAGAAATTAGCAAATATTTCTCAAAATACCCCGAAAAGATTAAAGTAGCCCTCATCGATTGTATGGTCCGCCGGAACAAAATTTTCCACATGGTCGGCGTTACACGTGGCATCAATTTGAATGATGTCAAGAGATCTTCTACCTCCTCCGAGGACCTTGAGATCGTCGACTCGCAGAATCACGATCGACCTTCGTCCCGAAGGCTCGTGGGGGACCGATGCAGTTCTCTTGTTCCCGAGCGAGATTTTCGCCACGGAATTCATCTCCAGGTGCAAAAAAAAAGTAATACCCCGAGGGTCAACGTTAATTTCTCTGTCCAATTAAAGGAGCTATTCGTTCGAACGTTTTTTCTTCCCCGCAACTTTTTTTCCATTCCGCGAACGGACATTCAGAAAAAGGATCGACGGGTCCCCTGCAATGTGTCTTTCGACTTATTTTGTCTTTTATCATACCCCGTGTGCATTCGAAGAATTGTTTACCGATATATTCGTGAGAAAAAAACTGTGGGGGGCCGTTACGCACGACGAACTCTGAACAACATCTCGAAATTCTAATCTTCGCCTGTCTAGAGAAACGATTATGCTCGGCTCGGTGGCACGCAGCACATAAATCGAAGACGCGAAATCACGAAGGATCAAACGTGTCAAATGTCAGCCGGAGTTTCGCTTCTCTCGCTTTGTTCGATTAGGTAGAAAATTTTCCTCGAGCTTGCCCGCTGGAGAAAAAAAGCCCACGGAGACGCGATACGGAGAACACAGCGGCGGCTACCGGCTCTCGGCCGTCATCGATGAAGATATCGACGGGGAAGCAAACGAACTCGTGACCTTAGAATGCTAATTCCTTGCAAATGCGCATCTGAATAAATCACCGATTCCCAGTACGATGTTATTAACCCTTGCCGCCGTCGGATATTATAGTTTCCTATCTACACCGACGATAACGAACGTCATCACTCTGACATTTTCTTCGCTTCGATAGTGACTCCACGGAACTTTTTCCTTAACATCCATTTCCTCTCACCCCTTGCAATTTTAGAGTCGTTTTGTTCTGCAAAATAATTCGATTACTTTTTTGAGAAGACTGATACATAAAATAATCGCAGTTATTGCGTCCCAAGACAAACGAATTAAAGTGTTTTCAGTGCAGAGTAATAATGTCCCAACAATCATCATCCAACTTTCTTGGATAAGGATCACTATGGTGCAATAAGAATCATGTACTGCCCCCGATGGAAACGTATTTTCAACAAGAAACACATACGAAATGCTTATCGCATCGACATCGATTGAAATTCATTCCAGTTACCTGACTCACGCCGTATGTTAAACAAGGAGGCAATTTAAATAGTCAAAGGACGCGCGGTGTTGTTTAAGTGAGAACGACCTTGCAGCACCCGAAACGCATATCCCGAAAAAAACGAGCGAGCGACGGTTTCGTAACTCAGTTAGCAGGTTTTTTCAAATCTCCGTCTCTTTTCACGGTGTCAATGTTCATCCTCCTCTACGTGGCGTCGTTACGTATTTAACCGTCTCTGACACGCATCGTCGTTCGGTATAAAAAAGAAGCTGCATACACACACACACACGACCAGCCTTGAACCGCGGTGATGACGCCGTGCAGCTTGATCCTCCATTTTTTTTTTTATATATATATATATATATATACACATATATATATATATACATATATATATATACACGCGCACACACACACACGCGCGCGCGCGCGCCGTGTTTCGGAAGAACAATTCCTGGATCGGATAGTCGGTTCTTGGAAACGGAACGTGGAGCAACGATACAAAAAAAAGACAAGAAACAATGAAAAATCACCAAAGATTTTCAGCGAACGCCGTCGCCGCTCCTAATGACCGGACGTCAATAAGAGGTGACGAAAACAACGATCGACTCAACAATTACAATTAACGGACGAGTATATGTTTGTAAATAATTTTATGTGTTATCGGATACTACAACATTATGAATAATGAATTATGTAAATTTAATCCCCGATTACTTACTAAATCTCCGCAAAAACTGACACTTTTACAGATGTAAGAGAATGTCGGGAATAAGTATAGGTACAACGACTTTGGTAACGTCGACGCGTGCAAATGGATGTAATCACTCAGCTACACCTCCGAATTGCATTCCACCGGTCGCGATACAATGTTAAACAATTTCGAGTTTCCTCGGTAACTGAGGTCGGCTGATTGCTTGGATGGTTGCCGTTCGGTTATTCTAACATCGAACAATGTCAATTAACACGGAAATCGTCGTGGTTCTGTTTTATCCTTTCGACCCCCTATTACGAGCCTTAAATTTCATCACAGAGTAGTACTTTCTAATCGAGTGAAAGACAGAGACGATTTCCTTGGGGATATCGAAAAATTCACGGAATGAGACCGCCATTTTGTTTTACGAAGTCACAGTACGATCACGGCGAATTCTCAGAGTAATGTGAAATGTTCTTTATGGAATTGTAGAATTTTATTTTAGGATACTTGACTTTATACTATTTAGTTGCGTTTGATTTTAAAAATTGTTTTTTAAATAGTGGAAATTCTGAATTTCGAAACACGTGTAAACGTGAAATTTTTAACCGAGTAACGACCACCTTACAGCCCCGATCTAGCTGCTTCAGACTTTTTCCTCTTTCCCGAATTGAGAAAAATAATCATCGTATTCACTGAGAATCCGTCAAAAATGAAAGTCCATCAACATCGAAAGTGTTTCGGTTCGTTTCTGTTCAATTCGGTTGGTTCCCTCGTCTTTCTTCGATTTTTTTCGGTGTCTAAATCAGTATCGCAAATCAATCCTTTAGTCGACAAACCCGTGTACGAAAGGGAGCCGCAAGATACGTTGGCGGTGTCGGAACGAGGAAAGATCCATCGATCATCGGTCACCCAGCAAAAAAAGGCCGGTTCTGATACACAAGGACGGTCATCGGCACCGGCGGATATTCCTTGTTGACCCAGTTTGCATACGATATATGACGCACACGTCGATTCACAAATTCGTTTTAATTTTTCGTCTTTCGATTCATCTTCCTCGCCGCGCCTCTACTCGCGCGCAAATATGTTGTCATTAATGAAAAGTGAAAAATGAATTTTAAAAATGTCTCGGAACTTTTGCGCCACCCTGTATTGCTGGTCCCCTGCACGACGTCGCGCGTCGCGGGAATATTCGGAACCCGAATGGACCCCCTATCGAAGGGGCCTCTCTTTGACAGTGCCGAGAAGCTTTCGAACACTCATTGAGCATTAATTTATTGTATTTCATTCAACGAGTCGAGTTCGTAACTATCAACAAACATAAGTGATCTAAGGAGAGAAGGATAGGAACAGTTACCAGCCGATAACTGAAATTAGCACACGAAAGTTTTTATTACTTTTACTGTCTTGTCTCGTTAAATGCACAATAAGTAGAAGTGTACTTACGTGATTATTTTTGAAGGCATTCTTGAACCTTCTTCTCCCGAAATGAATAACAAACATGCAACGGATATATCAGCACAGTCTCTGCGTTATGCAATTAATGCGGTGCGATGTGTAACGAACATTATCGACCGAGAATGCGCAAATTTCCATTTATCGGGGTGTGTTAATGGATTTACGGGTCAGTGGAGCGCGGTATAATTAAAACCATTGAAAACACGCGAGACCGACCGCTGTTTTTATGTCGTACGTATGTATTTGTTCTCCGTCCCGGCGTAATTTTTCTTATGTCGTATCGACGTCTTCATTAGCTTCTTGATTACAGACAATACTGCAACAGGTTTGTTTTTCGCTTTGACTAAGAACGAACCAAACGGATCAGAATCTAATCCGTTAATTAACGAACAATACCTAAACATTTTGCGAACAAAAGATTCCGTCAGAAGTTTGAAAAAGAGTGGACTAAAACGTACTTACTTGGAAACATTTGATGAACAACAGTTGCCCGACGAATGGCATAAATATGTAGAAGTGATATTTTCAAGACTAGACTGTATTTTGGTTTTTCTAAATAAATAAGAAGAAAATTTGTAGGTAATCTGGAATTCCATGAAATTTCCATGAATAACATCTTTCTACGATAATTAGTGGTTCGTAACATTGGAACTTGACCTTAAGCTGCCGCGACTAATAGACATCAGTAGGCACATAATCTCTGGAAGTATGTATAACAAATGGCGGTACGTAAATGCATCATTATTGTTGAATCGCGTAATTTGCCGAAGGAAACTCGGTTAATTTTCGAAGTCAACGATAACGGTAATTATCTATTTGCGGCGTGACACGGGGTCAATGTCAACGTATCGGGATAATTTTTGCGCATTATTGTTGATCAATTATGATTTTCCGGAAGTGTCTGAAAACATATATTCTTTTATGATTCACGTAGGATTTTACAAACAAATTGGATTTCCATTGACTTACATTATAACTTATTCAAGATGGATCGAAACCAGAATTTCACTTGGATCCTTTATTCTGTTCAACAAACCGGAAACCAGCAGTCACTGGTATACGAAAGACTCGTCAACGTAATTTTATGACTAGTCTAGACTTCCGTAAGCACTTTTTCTACTTTGTATTTATCTTTATCTCTATAAATAAAATATTAATCGTTCATATCGTCATAATATATCTTATGACGTTTTTTCTACTATTGTAGACACGTGGTTTGCAAGGGGTTCGTGTACCTTATAAACGTGAAGGGAACGAGCGAGATAATCCGTTCACGCGAAAGAAATCTAACGATTCGTACAAGAAACAGAGTGCGTAGACAAGTAGACACACTGAGCGGTCAACGACCCCCGTAAAATGAAATTTCTAGTTCGTGGGAGATTCCGAAATTTTTTTTGTCACTCCAAGACCCGGTATTCGTCACTCCTGGTGGTTCCTTTTCCTTTCACCTACTGTACGCAACGGTTGGTTCCTTTCTTCTTAAATGTCAACAAGAATCGTTCACCCTTTCTGGACCACGATTGTTCTTTCAATTCGAGCGAAACAAAGAAACTCGAATCGTTTAACACTTCCGTTCCCACCGTTGTCATACGACCACGTCTTCGAAATTACGAAATAAAATGTTAATATGTATCACGTATTTTCTCATATGTGTGAGTACCTACATATATAATATTCTAGTTTCTGCTGGTCTTCTATAGATCGAATGGCACAAATTTAAACGAGCATTTAATAATAGCTTACCGGTAAAATAAGACATTATTCGTCCTGTGTCTCTTTCATTCGATGAAATTCAAATATTGAGCATCGTCACAAATACAATAGAAACTTACAAAACGAAGGTAAAAAAGGTAAGAAAACTTGACTTTCATTATGGTTAACAACATTATAATGGTAATTATTATATGTCTTATATAACAGTGATCAATGTAAAGAAGTTGCCAAATAGCAACGAACGAAAAACGGCATTAGACGGTTTTAAAATAGTAATATGTTCTTGTATATCACTCATATGTCAATTAATATACACGAAAATACAACAATATGTTTGTTTGATAATTTTTAAATAATTTGGGAACGAAAGGATTAAAAGTAGCGGACCGGGGTGAAGAACCTCTTACACCTGGACGAGTAGTTACGCGAAATTCGTTTCACCAAGAAGGTGAAGAAGAGATAGAGAGGAGAAAGCAGTGATAGAAACCCGTGGTCGACCTTTCGACTGTGTTCGTCAATTTCTTTCAAACTTTGTCCACACTTTCATTTCAAAACGATCCTAATCTATTCGATAATCCACGTGAAATCTAGATAATTAACATTTTTCGGATGTTTCTGACACTCGAATCCTTCCTTCGCTACCGAACCCCACTCCCCCCACCCTCTCTCTCTCTCTCTCTCTCTCTCTCTCGCTTTTGAACCTTGCGGACACGTCACCTAAAGTTCCATCGAAAGGAGGAAAATGTTAATAAATCGATTCACCTTTTTTGGTCCGTTCGATCGTTGTAATCCGTGCTTCATACATTGGAAAAACTAAAGACTCTGTCCTCCGCCGTTGCGGACACAGATCGGTGGAACGAACGGTACTTTTATGGTCACTTCCTTCTGGTTCCCCTTCGATCCAATTGTTCCCTCCTCGAATATTAAAAGCCTCCTGTTGGTCCCCGTTAGAGGCGACGCGTTAAATAATTTCCCGCGAATACGTACGGAGAGATTGGGTCAAACGGTATTTTTATGACGGCGATTTCTATTGCTCGCTTTCTATTCGGGAGGAACCCGTCGATGGTTCAGTGACCCCGCGAAACCGATCGAGCAATCCACGAAAAAGAAAACCATACCAACGTTGTCCCCGAAACCATTCAACTATCGTCCGCCTGCCTGGCTCGCAACAGTCGCAACTCGAACGGGCGCGCGCGGAAGAGGATTCGATTGCATCCGGTCGCTCGATACGCAGTTTCGCTCGAAACGTTTCGCCCACAAAGGGTTTTCTTGTTCTTTACAGAAAAGATTGAAAATTGTCTAAATCTGGGCATAATATGGAAAGACAATCTGCCCACTGAATTCATCCAATTTGGTTGTTAATCGAAGATGGTAATAGTCACGCGTTTAGATTAAACATTGGGAATTTGGGAAGGACTCTGCGGATCATCGTGTCACTTTTGATTTTCGTGTGAGGATTCGCGGATTGATAAGAAATCGGCGTGGGTATCTTTCTGGGAAATATCTAATACATATCTACGGTTATTAATACCGGTGGCACGAAAATATTTTCCTCTCGTCAGAGAAATGGTTGGACGTCGATTGTGTTTTATCTTCGTGGATTATGCGCTACCGACTTTCCTTTTCTACAATTCAGTTAATTAAACCTGGCTTTTTTGCTACATATTTTAAATTACGAAATAAAAGATTAGTATCGTATACATATATGTATTATAGACATTTGAAAGATGTGACAATCGTACGAAACAGAATTCAATAAATACTCCACCACTTTGTTCTGGATTAGAAGAAAGATCTATACATATAGGATATAGGTGCCCCATCGAAATATCTAGAATTCGAGCGATACAGATAGTAGCACCGCGTGCAAATCGCTAGCGCCTCCGCGTTCGACAGACTTTGTTGCAGACGATATGGGAGGAATCTCTTGGAGTTTTCTCGGTCCATCCGATAAGAGAGAGAAAAAAAAGGAACGAATGCGAAGAATCGACGAGAGCCCGGGAACGTGGTTCACAAAGCTACGACTTCAACTTGCCCGATAATTCGGTCAACAAACCCAGAGCCCGCAAACCCCTAGACAACCGTGCTCGGAGAGATGCATGCATCACGGTTCTTTTTTTATCATCGGTTTCGTCCGTGCTTTTCTGCACGATACGCAGACGATCGCGCCGGGGTCCTCGTCCCAAGGAGCTTCTCCTAAGATGTTTCCTTAAAACTTCTGACACGCGGAAACCTTCGATCGTAAACCTGCCCTTCGATAAACCAACGAGATACTTACTCACCTCTTGCGTACGCGAGAAAAGTTCATAGAGCCGCTTCGCTTCTTCTTGTAAATGAAGGCTCATTTGGTGGCGGGCGTGAACCACGCGGTAATCGAAAATTCGCTTGGGAAACTATATACTGGTTTCGTAGTTAGTATAGTTTCAGTTGTGTAACCAATATTTGACGATTTTCATTAATTTATGGAAACAAGAAACAAGCAGAACAGCAAGTTCTATCAATGTGCGAAACTTCACTAAAAAGTCAGCGTTACACTTGGGAACGTGTACGACACCTCATCGAGTATTTACTATTTACTATACCATTAGACATTAAATAACGAAATTCAATTAAGAAGAAAGAAACTCGAGTGAGACAGAAGAAAGAAAGCCAAAGAAAAAAATATAATAAAATCGACTTACTCTGAAGAGCCCAGGGCGTGTAGCGAGCGACTTCTCGGAAGTAAACGGCGCTGTCCCTGAGACACTGCTCGGAGGCCCCATCGAAGGGCGCGAATGGTTTCGCGAGGAAGTCGAAGAGCACCGTTTCCGGTTTCACGGCTGCGACGGCGATGAAGTTCGTTGAAAAGACAGTGGTGATGAAAAGAAAAGGAAGAAGGAGTACAGAAGGAAATGGTCGACGGACTGGGAAGAGGAGGCCGTGAAAAACGAGGGAACGCATCGTGGTCGACGTCCGGTTGTTTACTACACACACCACACGTGTCTTCCTTTTTCGGGGCCGTGAAGCACGTGGCGGCGGCTGCGGCAGCCGCGCGGGGTCACGTGTGTTCCACTGGGAGGCGCGGGCGCGAGAGGGCTTTTATGTAGGTGGGCACAACCACAACCACACCGTGATGTAAAACGAGGCGGCAAGTAACGAGACGTCAAAACGTGAACTGTACGTTCTGTCAATCGGTCTGGTGCATTTATATATGTGTTACTGGTGGCGCTGGCACGATGATGGGGGTAAGAGAGCCCATTCGACTCGACTCGACCCGACTCGACAACGATGGGCACCTCTTATCGATGCGACCGAGGATTACGCGCGTAATGTGTCTCTCCTCTCGCTGGTGCCCGATGAAGGTGAAGGAGGTGGAGGAAGAGGAGGAGGAGGAGGAGGAGGAGGAGGAGGAGGAGAGTGGGAACCGCCGCGCGTGTGACTGGCACCGTAGTAGGAATTCGACGATGAGAAAGATCGAACACGGATCTCTCGCCGCCACCGCACAGTGTTCTATCTGTCGATTAATAAACAATAGTTAAAAAATCAAAGTGACAGATCTACAAATTTGTTGTTCTTAGTAACGTGATGTAGTTTCTAATAATACTTCAAATTTTTCATTCAATATACCAGTTTATTGTTAAAATTGGAACACATAAAGTTCACTGGAAAAATCTGTGCAATTTGATGTTTGTAAGTTGAATTCAATACTTTGTAGTACCTGTGAAATTAGTGTGTAATTTTAATAAAATAGTAATAAATTGTCTTAATTTTTTATTTAAAATCTTTACCAACTTTGAAGAGACTTTCATAAAAGAGTACCAAAGATACCTGCGTGCTTTTTCGTTTGTTCAATTTAGAACGCAATAAATTTTACATTGGAAAATCAAGTTCAATTGCACGAGTTTGCCCGAAATGGAAAAAATAATCGAAATCGTTATTACCACGTTCCATAGGTCCATTTTTTTAAATAAACTTATTGTACAGTCAGATCCAGCCGTACCATATTATGATAACATATGTAAAGGAAGATTAAAAATAGGAATTCAAATAGGAATATCAGGGAAAAAAATAGGAATTCATTATACATTAATAATATATTATACACATACGTGTATAAATGATGTACATCATTTGTATGTAATTAAATCATGTATTCAATCGCCACGTACGAACACTGATTCTTCTTCAGTCTTGGATAATGTTGTATCATTGTAGTTACAATTAACATGATAAAAAAAAAAAGTATCGAACAAAAATTAGTCAGTATTCAGTTGGCAAGAAGTTCCAATAGTAAAAGTCGATAAAACACTTCTCACTCAATAAAAAGTCATGATCACTTGCATTATGTTAACAGAAATGTGTACTTTTGTTTTTTATACACTAATCGATGCATCTTTGTATTCTCAAAAGTCAATTAGTTTAGAATTGGTGATGTTTTTTCCCGAACGCCCGTATACTCGACACACCGTGCAGCGGTGACGGTGAGAGACACGGTAAACCCCAATCTCCTCCTTTTCGACCTTTCGACGGAACCGTTTTTCTTTTCTTTCATTTTCTTTATTTCTCCGCACTCCCGGTAACTGGCGAATCCGAACCTACTTTCAAAGAGACGAAACCGACTACAGCTGGAAAAATGGTGATTAAACTTGACGATGTTATTGACTCCGTGTATACGAGAAACAAAACAGAGAAAAAAAAAAGAAAGGCACGGGTGATATGGTGGTTATTACCGCCGAAAAAGTTTCGGGTGCTGGGAAAGTTGCCTTCTCCCAGAGGTCGAATGACACACCGATTACAAATACGCGTCATCCGGTGGTTCGTTTACTTGTCAGAGTGTCTATCGTCACTCGTAATATTCTCGGTTCGACGGTCAGCGACCAGAGATTTTGAATTCTTCGGTTCAACAATTGGAAGTAATCGACAGGAATCTAGGATCGATGGTACGATTTGGGGTAGTACATACATACTTAGGCGTAATAGCGAGTAAGTACTATACATATACGTAAGGGTAGTTGGAAAGTCACGAAAGAATAATCTCTGACTATAATTGAAATACAATAAAGTTGACTAGGCTCCACTATTGTCCATTTAAGGAGACGAGTCAGTAGAAAATAACCAAAACATTCCCATACAAATTGTCTTTGTCGCGCCTAAATGGCTATCACCTCCCTTTTGTTTATACAGTTACTGACTCAACTCGATGAATGAGGTATACATAGGGGTCCCTATTATGAATCATTTTAAACCTGACCCCCACTTCCTAGCCGTCGTCGAGCAAATATAATTACTGCATTCGGAATTCGAGGTAAACCCGGACGTCGACTTGTGTACACGCTTTAGTCTGAATTTCGGACCAACCAAAAGAGCCGAGTGCATCCAGAAATTTATAGGAACAAATTCGAGACAAAACAGCGCGGTCACGGTCGAACGATAAAGGGGGTAACTGCACCGGTGACATTAGCGAATCAATCGATCCCGACGGGACAGTATGCGAATCGGAAATATCTATAACAAAATCAGTGTTCATTTTCCACGACGAAAATTAGCCTCATGAAGATCCCCGAAAGAGAAGCTTGTAAGTACTTGATGCGTGACCAGATACGGGGCCCCGGGCTGAACTTTAAACATCGAATGTGGAGAGAGAAACGTACTTCTCTGTAAACACGTTAATCTCGAGAGTGTCAGGTCGTAGCGAATTCTGCGATGCATTGAATTTTGATCGATGATAAATAAAACAAGAAGTAGCCGACGTGTATCTGGCGAGATAGAAGTGTTTCGCGGGGCGATGAAGAACAGTGGAGGGGAATGAGAAAGGTGGAGACTGCGGAGCAAAACTTTCCTCCGGCAGGTGGGGAAAAGTCATTTGGGGAAGGAAAATTTTTATATCGAAATTAAATCGAATGACGCGTGATCGAAGAGGAACGGCCGAGTTATTGCGTTAAACACGGTGATTCCCCCCGTGTGTGGGTTGCTCTCGTTGCGTCCAATTTGAGGAAAACACCGAGAAAATTGTATGCGACAGCAAGTTCGATGACCGAAATCGTATATGTATGTATATGTGCCTACACCGCGTAATATCGGCCAGAATAATTTCCATGGAAAAGAGTTGACGTACGTATACCTTACCGGCTTGTCTGAAAGCAGTTCAGATACCACGCATAAGTGTACCTACCTACCTACGTGGATTTGCGTAGGAACGAAAACCCGATGAAGTTGACGGGCGAAAACTAGAAGGAAGTAAGTACCTCGATTAACACTAGAATCACCAGACCAGTCAAAATCACTGGTCAGTACACTCTTATAACGATGATTAGCCCTACGTTGCATGAGTTTGGCGTTCATCAGATTTACATATCGTGGGTGAACAAGACCCGCAGCAGCTTAAAAAGTATAAAACAAATTTTTTTATTCCAAAATCAACACCATTATAAAAATACAGATACTATTGGTATGAAAATTTACCAACTACATTTTTCACATACATAAATTATATGTTCTTTAGCAACATGCAATGATTTCATTATACAAGAAAGAAATTTAAGATTAAATATTCAAGTTAATGCATCCTAGGATTAATATGTTATGACAATACATTTTCTCAGATCTTTCCAAAACTTTCATTGCGATACAAAAGTGAAGAAATCAGTTGATTTATAAATTTCAAATAGATATATGTTTATCGTCGGTGGTTCTAGTGTTAAATATCCCCAATCCATTCTGTAACGAGTGTCACGGAGAGGACATTGTCCTGAAATTGATTCGATCGCTGTAGAAATAACCTTCTAGGAGTCAACGATTCGCGCTTCTTTCCAGCAAATAATTGCATCCTCCGACAATATTTTCTATCGGCAGATATCGCGGAATGTTTCTTCGCCGTCGATATTTCACGACTACGGGTATCGATAAACGCGATCGGTGTACATACAAAATTGATGTATACAGGACATTAAAACGGGGGGAGTGTGTCTTGCAACACGTATGCATTAACCTTCGAAAAGGATTCCAGCCAGTTACGCAACGCTTCGTTGCTTTAAAACACATATAATCGATACACACATACACACGATCCAATGAGGAAGTTGTTTAATTCGTAACTTTGAGGACACAATCAATACGGAAAAATCGTATGTGGTTTTGGCCTGTACCGAACGGCTGCAACAATTCGTCGCTCTAGTTTTTAATTGTTCTATCTCCACTCTTTTCTAAACTGAGAAAACTGAGTTTAAAGTTTACGATGTTTAATATTATAGAAGCAGGAGAGTAGCAAAATAATAAAACCAACTATAATATCATCTAGTGAGTAGCTATTTATTACAATATTTAACCAAATTTTATCTTATTATCAAGATACATTTTTAATTGTCATTAGTATTTCGAGATGGTATACAATCATTAAGAAAAGAAAAACTTTCAAAGTTTCGGAGTTAAGACATAAAAGAATATTTGTTATTTTCTAGGTTGAATTTTCTTGATATTATGGTGAATTTCTATTCTTTGGACCAATGAAACTCATGTAGATCGATTAACGACATTTTTTTGAAAAATTAAGTTAGAACAGTTGAAAACTCGGGCGACGAGTTGTGTTCCATCTGTGGCGTGTTAACGAGTCAAAGAGCGCGGCGAGGGCCATTGCGCGTGATCGATAGCGCCGCGGTTCGTTGATCCCGCAATAGCAATTTATTTTTCAGGGTTACTGTTATCGCGGCGAAAAATGTTCACATTTACGAAAAACGAGGAGAACGGATCGATAACCAATACCGGTGACGGCTGTTGGTCTCGCGATTTCCCGATAGTTCGGAGGAAAATATCCCCGTTACGATTTAAGGGAGTATTCTACATGCGACTTTGTTAAATTTTTCAGAAATTTTTTTTTAAGAACTCGATGAAAGAGTTTTTTTCTAAACGTCTATATTGTATGTTCATTATATCTTAAGCGATAAATGAAAATTTGATTTTGTTGGAAATATGAAATAAAGATGGGGGTGCAACTTATGAAAGTTGACCACCTCGACAAAAATTGCTCGATTGGTTGCCATGATTCTGGTCGTTCTTTTCATTTGATATAAAGAAAACTAAAAAGGTTCTTCAATTATTCGGGCATGGCTATCGCAATTTGAAAAATTAAGTATTGATTTTTGTGACATTTTCTCATCTTTTTCGGGTTGTAACATTAAAAAGAAAAATATTATGGCTTAATTCTGTTAGGGACAATAACCACACATCTGCTGAAGATGTGTGCACAAGATGGGCCCGATCGGTCGAGTAGAATTTTAGATATCTTGGCAACCATTTTACACAACACGATTTTGACAAAAACGAGTCCAATCTTTATTCTTCTCTAGGTTTGACGGTTTTATGAATTTCGCCATAATGCTTCAGGAACACATTTTCAGGACCCGAAGCTATAAGAAAATGGAAGAAAAAGAAAATCAGTAGAATACTCCCTTAAGGTACAGAGGTCAGAGGGAGCATGACCGATAAGGATCGCCCATTCCGGGATAGTAAGCGTGTTGCTTATTTTTGCGTGATGATTCAGATAATCGATACAAGGAAATCGAACCGCGCGGTCGTTAAATTGAAAAGTCGGATGCGTAGTATGCATACATATACATACATATATGTATGTGTATACACGGTGAGATATCGAACGGCGATATAGAACTTGTGGAAAATTTCGCGAAATTCTCGCACCAATAAATTTACAAACATCGAATCGTCTCGCGGGGCCACGTTTTCCCGAGTCGTTAACCGTGGACTGAGAAAGTAGGGGATCATTAATCGTGACGCGAAACTGGTAAAGGTTCGCCGATTTTTATGTACATATACATATATGTATGTAAGATGCGAGCGGAGGTGGGCAAATTTATTACCTAGATAAAGAGTTTGGAAAATAAAGTACTTCGTCATTTCTAATCGTTTCAACGTGAACACATTTCAGTTTTATAATAGAACAATACTTCTTTTTGAACGAGTCAACAATTGGCACATAATTATTTATTCTCATTAACTGTTTAAAGCTCATAATGATGCTCTTATATACTGTAGCTTTTCGCCATGTATGTATATTATCCGAATAATATTGTGCCCAACTGTGAATGCGAGACCGGAAGTGTTCGTATCGAGGTACGATTAATTGTAACGGAAAGAATCCAAAGATACAGTATCTATGACGTGATCTAGAGAAGGCACGTTTTTACACTAAGAAGCGATAAATGGAACATATTGGTAAATACGTATCTTTAACAGTAAGTATCAGGTGCACCAACAAGTAGTGCACTGTCTTACTTGACGACAGAGGTGGGCAAACTGATTATCTAGATAATAAGTTCCGAATAAAAAATAAATAAGTATTTCGCCATTTTTAACCCTCGAATGATAAAGTGGGTTTTGAGGTCGTTCTTGTTAAGGTGGGGTCGAATCCGACCCGATCTCTTTTTTTTCTATTTTCAAAGACGTCAAAAAAAGGTATTATGTATTTTGAATTTGTATTCTTGTTTATTTATATAATAAGGAATAATAATTGAGTTATGTACCATATAATAATATCATAAATCGAGAATAATAAAACGGTAATAAAAACCAGAGTGGGGACAGCACAAAAGAAACTATAACTTTAGTCGGATACGATCCGGACCGTACCGTTAGACGTTAGAGGGTTAATTGATTGAACGTGGAAGTTCCGATTCTTTAATGAAATATTTTTTTCTTGAATGAGTACATAAGTAGATAGATACGCACTGTATAAACTTGCGAGTAAGGAATGAAGAAAACCGTATGTATGCCGACTAGGTGATAATTATAATTAATATTTTTTTCTTTATTTTATTTAAATTTCTTTGTTTTATTTAGATCGGTTCAATGAAACTTTCATTGAGTAATGAACCAACTCGGGGCCCGCGCAGATTATTTTCACACGTCAGAATTTCTCGTGGCGGTCGCGGTGACTCGTTAACGAGACAGATTTCGGCTACCTCGATGAGAAAGTTGTAAACGGGTCGATCTTTCGACGGTGAAGGCACATTAACTTCGGTAACACACGGTGGCGGGGATTGCTTTTATAATCGGGGAACGACGGAAGAAGTCAATGCTCTTTCGGTGCAGAATTCCAGCTTCCTCCTCGCCTTTTATATCAATTTACGTCTGTAATCGTCCATCATTTTCAGATACAACTTCCACCTCCGATCACTTATTTCGCCAAAGTTACTCTTTCGTATCTTCCCGTCATAAATTTATTTGTTTTCTGATTCCAGATTATTAGTTATCTTCTTTTAAACAACGACCAAAAAAGGAGAATCGACGCTAGAATACCTTTCTTGGTGTTGACATAAAAGAAGGTCATTGCCTTCGCGTTACTTTTGTATCTTAAAGTAAAGTATCCAATAATTTAAATTTTTTTTTTTTTTTTTTTTTTTTTTTTTTTTTTTTTTTTTTTTTTAATAGTATCCATCAAGACGAAACCAGACACTACTTGGTTCTATTTTGTAGTTCGATCAAAGAACTCTTTCTCTATGATACGTATAAGGTGCTCGAGAATTATAAATACAAACTTGAATTCGGCTGAGAAAATCTACGCAAAAGAAGTAAGTATCGTGTATCATTAGTGACGAGTCTAATAATAATTAAGAACTTGTCTCACGGTTTGTAAGCAGATCAAACGAGATTTCCCTATTTTAAAAATACATATACATCACGCTCAGATTTTCGTAACTCGTCCGTTCAATTTTGCACATACCTCGACACTGAGGAATTCGTCTTTATATGTTACGTACCGGGTGCTCCAGAATTACAAGTAAAAAGCTTTCGATAGATTTAAGACATTCGGTACGATTTAAACAACGTTTGTACTGCAACTTCAATATACATTTGGGGAGGCGCGTGAATTTTTATTAAAATAAATAAAATAATTTTAGTAGATTGAGTCTAATAGTAAACGTTTCTTTATGTTATAATACTTTTAGTAATTGGCGCCCGCAATACTTTAAACTTCAGCGTGTGCTGTACTACTTGCGATTGCCGTTCTACAGGGGTTCTATGATTTACGTCTTAAATTTATTTCAAGACTTATCAAAATTCATACACTTCAGATGAGATTTTAAATTCCTTCATGAAAAGTTGAAATGTAATTAACAGGCATTGAATAGTTTTATTTAATAATCGTGTTGTATGGTGTCTATAATTTACTTCAAGTACAGAAACAATATCAATATAAAAATATAGCAAGCAGGTTTTTATCAAACAATATTTAATGTCTCATTATACAAAGACAGATAGAAGTTTTAAAATATTTGCCACGATTTTATATAAAATTAAAGAATGCATAATGAATATTATATTACCCATTGCATATCAATTATAACCATGTATCTGCAATGAAAAGTAATATTTTCATAAATGCAAATAAATGCAATTCACAGTTTTCATGGGGTCCCTATAAAGAAAATCCTTTCATAAAATATATACTCTTCTAGCTGTAAAATGTTAGGTTGCGATTGGGTACAAATCTCGGTCTCCCAGAGATCATTGCATATGTTTTTACAAATCATGTAACCATCCTATTTTGGCTAAAATTTCCTCAGTATCTTTAGCTACTTTATCTGGTGTCTGCATACTGTTTACTTTATACACTATGTTCTGCTGCTCAAAGTGCTCAATTATTGGCAAAGTATTTGCAATATAAGATTGATGTCTCTTCACCAAAACTTCTTCATTATCATCACTTCGTCCGCTTCCTGCAGCACCACGTTTCAAGCAACGCTGTGTACATACTTCTTGGCTACAATCGCAAAACAGTACTCCTTTTACTACACATTTATCGGACATTGCCTATTAACAAAAGAGAGTATATTAAAGAATATATATATATATACAGTAAAACATGTTCAGTACTATACCTTGTTCCATCCGTCCACATTGTCTTGATTTCGTGGAAAACCATCAATTAGGAATCGTTTCTGCAGGTTATCGGACTCTTGCATTGCACGATCCAAGAGGCTGCAAGTGATCGCAACGGGTACAATTGATCCATTTGTAATATGATTTTCAATCATTGCCCCGTACTCGGAGCCAGGCTTTCTGCGTTCCTCTCTTAAAAGATCACCGGCCGACAAGTGTACATAACCATACTTCTGAGTGATATAATAGCACAAAGTGCCTTTGCCTGCTCCCGGGCCTCCTAACACGAATAAAACCTCGGACTTTTGAATTGCCGACATTGTGAAGAGTCGCAGTCCAGCTGCAAATACGTTGAACATAAAATACAAATGTGTTCCGTTCAGTTCCGTTCAATGCCGCGAGTTTCTCGAGTAACCGCTTCGTAGCAACTATGGCGTAATTTTTTGAAAGAAGAATCAAATCCATTTCCGACTTGAATTTACCGAGGTTCCGTAAATTGTGACTCTCAAAACGATGATTTGAAATTGAATTTGCAACTAAATAACTCACTGTTCAATAATTTTTTCATTTCATAGCATGCATTCACACCGCAAAATTAATCACAACGTAAACGTATACTTTTTATTTCGTACTCACGTTTGCTCGTAAAAAAGCCGAACAATTCCTTTGCCAAAAATTTTGACACTTCACAAGCCACACGCGATGATGTTAACAGAAAGTCGATAGATATAATAGATTTCGCAGATAAGAGGGAGACCACTTTTATGCAGATATCTACTTACTACGTGACTTTTCATTTCTGTTATCTTTTACTTTACAAAATAATTAACTCGATAATTTTGAACGTTTAATGTTAGAATCTAATTTTTATAGAAATTGTCTATTTGGTCGTCCACGAATAGGTTAAGAATCGAAATAACATTATTGAAACTGAATTCCTCGTAAAAAACCCGCATTCCAAGGGAGCTAAAAACTAGCTAAAACTACTCTTGCAAGCTTTAAACTAAATGTACATACTATCATATATAAGTATATACGTATATATACAGTATGTGTGTGTATGCAATAATGTTTATCGTACAACTTTTACGCATATTGAATTTCAAATATATTTTTTACACAATATAAGATATATTCTTGGTACGGGGAAAATATACTAAATACGCATCTTTTTAATTACTTTTACTACATATTGAGATATCTTTACCTTCTTATGTACTTATTTAGGATACGTTATTAAATTCGTGTAGAAGTGTTCGAATTTCTCAAAACTTTAGCACCCTGTTAATACTCTCTTCACAAAATCGCATACATATATACGTAATACTCACAATTACAGTTATCTGTCAGGCATGTCAGTGCATGAAAACGTGACTAACAACTGCGCATGCGAACTATTACGCAACCGCTGCATCCATGCCATGCCATGCCATGATTGCCATCAATTGCCATGCAGTTCTGCTTTCTGCTTGGTTCTGCTGCAAGGCATGGCCACTTAACCTTGCAGTATACGGCTAACCAAATTTGTTACATAATGTGAAGAAATGCCGGCAAATTTGTTATTACAATGACTTAAGAATTACGAATAGTAACGTTGTAAATAGTCGTAAACATTCAATCACGTACGAAGACTTATGTCTGTAACGAAATTAATCTACTGAAAATAAATTTGAGGTTATACTAAATTCATAATGTTTCATTATGACAGATAAAAGACGAAACAGTGATAATGATGCACAGATGTCAACGGTTAATGGGGTCTGGAAAACTGCTAGCATCCTATGTACAATCTAGTCAAAAATCATGCATTATTAGTCAATTGTATCCTCGTATTGCGATTCACACGTCATCGTTCATTCATGAAAAACATGAAAGCAAGTATACGTCGACGGAAAATTTTACGAAACCTGTTGAAACTTCAACAAAAACGAACAATGAAGCAATGCGTTCTGTAACAACAAGTGTGCAACCAATACAAAATGTAACATTTGCTACAAAATTAGTTAATAATTGTCCATCTAAAGTACAGCCATACTTAAAACTACTAAGAATGGACAAACCAATAGGTGAGATAACACAGTTGAAATTATAAAATTAACTGTAGGTAATTAAGCCATGTACTTTTTTATGCCATAAATGTATTAAGAGTGTTAAATATCAAAGACATGTTTACATAGGATCTTGGTTATTATTTTGGCCTTGTGGTTGGAGCATAGCTTTAGCGACACCAGCAGGAGCTTTACCAGATTTGCATCTACTGACTCTTTTTGGAATTGGTGCATTCATCATGCGTGGAGCAGGATGCATAATAAATGACATGTGGGATCAAGATATCGATGGAATGGTAATATCAACTCTAAAAATACCAGAGAACAAATGTGAAGAAAATTTTTTCAATATTAGGTAGCCAGAACAAAAGATAGACCATTGGTTACTGGAGAAATTTCACCTCTGCAGTCGTTTGTTTTTCTTGGAAGCCAATTAACTTTGGGATTACTTGTATTGTTACAATTAAATCTTTATAGCATTATATTGGGTGCAAGCTCACTAGGTACTGTTGTTTAAATTTTCATGGAGAACAGTATTTCTCAATTTTACCAACAAATTAAATAAGTGATTTCATTTTATGTAAATTATAATTATAATATATTTTATACTAATAAGAAGTAAGCCATAAGTTTGTAAACAGTAGCAATAGATTAATGTTAATATTCCATGATTGTAACAGACAGATCTTTAAAATGTTCATTAGGTAAAATTTAGAAATGCTGTTAAAGTAAACCCATAAATATACTTAATTTTTCAAATTTGTATATTACAGTTTTGGTAATACTGTATCCTGTTCTGAAAAGAGTAACATATTGGCCGCAATTGATACTAGGAATGACATTTAACTGGGGTGCACTTTTGGGCTGGTCTGCTGTACAGGGATCATGTAATTGGTCTGTGTGCGTACCTCTTTATACTGCTGGAGTTTGTTGGACACTTTTGTATGACACTATATATGCACACCAGGTAACATTTCTCTGTCCTATTCTTTTAACATTTCTTAATTCTCGATTCCTACATTGCAGGACAAAATAGATGATGTTATAATAGGTATAAAATCAACAGCTTTAAAGTTTGGAGATAGGACAAAGATATACCTTTCTGGATTTAGTACAACCATGATCACTGGCTTAATTGCATCAGGTATATTAACTTCACAGACCTGGCTATATTATACAGCAGTTGGAGTAGTTGGTGTTCATCTTGCTAATCAGGTATTTAAATAATTGTCAAAAAAGCAAACAAGACATTGGTGATTTAGCTTAAAATCAAACGTAATCATGAAACTTAAGTAATACTATGTGCAATATATTTTCAGATTTATAGCTTAAACATTAATGATCCAGCTGACTGTGCTAAGAAGTTCATCTCCAATCATAGGGTGGGAATGATTCTATTTGCTGGAATTGTGTTAGGAAATCTAGTAAAAGATTCAGTGCTCAAAAAAGATGACAACATTGAACAAGAAATCAAAGTAGAACCTATTTCCACTGTAAAGAAATAACACTAGTTCCATCATTAGTTCTTTAAGTCAAAGACAATTTTAATTCAATAATTTTTAAAAATATGTTGCATACAGAGCATACAATTGCACATTTTAAACTGTACAGGGCAACGAAATTATATAGGTAACTGGCTGGTTCCAGTGAACTCAAGAAATTAATCTCAATAATTCTATATGTACAGATATGCCATAAAAGAGCTTGAATTGTTAGTTGTAATTTATACAATGCCATTTTTTAAGTTACAAATAATTCAATTCTAGATTGACACAAGTATTAAAAGTAACACCAATTTACATTTAACAAAACAATGTAAATTAACGTTTACACCAAAGACTACATCATTGTACATTACTAATAATAATGGTAATTTAAGATAGCATTATGAAGTGTCAATTGTAAAAATGATAAATTGTTCCTTCTCATTTGAACATTCATCTTATTTTGAAAGTACATACATATACATTTATTAAAAATGTTAACAAACAGTACATTTAACAGTAGCATACATTAAATCAACTTGCTATAGATAATGTAATGTCATTTTCATTTGAGTGCAATTGAGAATTGTTGTCTACTGTTTTCGAATCATTTTGTATTGAAATATCTAAATGATTTATAGTACTCTGGCGCTCTAACATTTTCAAGTCATATTCTTCTTGAGTTAGCAAAGAATTTTTCATTTTATCCAATAGTTTTATATTTGGTAGTACTATAGCTAAGTAGCCTCCTTTATGTGGAGGTTCTAATAAAAGTTTTGGATTTTCTAATAACGTTTCATTGACTTCGACTAATTTTCCAATTATGCAGCATTTTATAGTATAAGTTTTCCCATTTGAAGTAGTAATTATACAAATATTTGAATTGGCTTGCAGAGGTTGAGCACCATGTTTACTTTTCCCTGAAACTTTATTTAGAACTCTATCCAACTTTTCGCTGACTCTGAAGTTCACATTTGTTATCTCTTTATCACTTTGTAGAATTGTATGACTTGGAGCCAGAGTGAGCATACAAATTCGATTACTGTGCATTAAAATGCAAATATCATCTGCAGAACTTTGTACATCTAATTTGTAATAAGCAGTCAAATATCGATCTGTAATTGTTGGAAATGACCCATCATACTGTACTTCATCTAACATATCTGCAACATCATCATCTGGAGGAAATGAGCATAAGTGATCGTCCTCGTCATTCTTTGGCAAAGAAATTTCTTCCTCATCTTCATTATCAGTTAATTTCATATTTTCTTGATATTCGGGATCCTTCTCTATATTGTTTTTATTTAATTTTTCATGTTCATTGCAATAATCCGTATCTACATTATTAGATCTTACTTTTTTTGGTATTGGTTCATTTCCTGAATTTGCACTCATAGTTAATCAATAAGAACTTACTATGGAGAAGTGCATAACACTATAAAATGATATTTTAAATTGTTTGAGGCAAAATAAAACTAAATTATGTACTTTAACAAAACTCAGTCTATTTTGTACTTCCGTTTTCTTCACTTTTAGCGGCTTGTATTCTCATCCTTTCCTTAGAGGCTTGATTATTTTTCTGTCTATTATTCTCTAGCTATAATAAAACATTAAAATATTTCAAATATAGTCAGGCGTACATGAAAATTAGCGACTCTACTTACATATATAAATAGTTGTATAATGAGGTATTTACATTTTAATTGTATTTACCAGTAAACAACCGATACAACTTACGTTCTCTTTTATGCATAGTCGCATTTTTCTCTCAACGTTATCGCAATAGCCAATAATTTGACGAAATGGATGCTACAATCAAGATTAAAATGGAATTCTTAGGTTATGCACATTCGTCAGAAAACACATGTGAAACTATACAGTATATTAATGGGAGTACCTCGTATTGACAATCTTGTAGTTCAAAGTATACTTCGTTACAGGCAGCATTATGAGTAGCTAATTTTTTGTAATGTCGCATAATGCTATCCTTACAATCGTTATACTATATGCTATGGTATAACTTCAAAAATACTGAAAAAATTTTATAATTATTTTAGATTATATAATTATGGATAAAAGAGATATTCGTTTCAATAATTCATATTTATGCGATATCTAAGAATACCTTCGTTAAAATACATATATATATATATATATATAATTGTACATACAATAATAATTAATATATTCAATTAAACATTATCCTCTGAAATGAATTCATTGTGGAAAGGGAGGTAAGAGCACATCGCAGATAGAGTTGAATCGATACCACCGAGGTATCGATACTTTTACTCATAACTACTTTTGTATGAAAATATTGATACCTTGGTGGTATCGAAACAAAAGAAGCGATACCTACTTGTATCGAATTATATTTTCCTGACCATGACACCCAACACAAAACTTGTTTCTGCGTTGTGAGAGAATAAAATACAATACTATACTTTATATATTTAATTAAATGATTAATATAAAATATAAAACATATAAACATAAACTTATGTATAAACTATATACGATATACGTAATACAAGGTATACATGATAAATAAACATGTGCATATGTACATCTCACACACACGAGGTCTCTTCCATGCCTCGACCTCACTTTCTCACAGCACGGGGACTCTAACGCTTGTTCCAGGGACTCAATGACCCCACTTTCTCGCCGAGATGGAACTCTTATGCATCGCCGGGGTTTCTATGACCCCACTTTCTCCACAGGTGGTGACACTACGGATTCTCCGGGGGTTCTATGACCCCTCTTACCAAGCTACTACCGCCGACTAGGTATAGAATAGACCTATCATCTTTGCTAGCCATACAATTGGCTAGCAGTTTCAGCGATTCGCCACGGATGGCGCCACCGGTCAAAAAAATAGTGGTACTCAGCGATTAAATGCTATTTTAACAGTGTTCTGGTCGTTTATTGTTATTTTCAATGACAGGAGATTAATCTACGTTCTTTAAGCTTCCAACTGAATGCTTGATCAAGACGTAACCTGTCCATATAACGTTGGAAGAGCTATTCAAAATGAACTAACTGGGGTACACATGATGAGATACACTGTCAATCGAAGCAAACAGTTGTGAATTTAACAATATTCTTGTAATTACTGGTTCCGAGCTGATAGAGAGTACTAATCTAAGTTCTTTAAACTTGGAATGTAATCCATGACGAGGTAAACTGATGCTCGTTTAGCAGTGTAAATCCGAGCGAAACCTGTTGCAATTACATAACCACTAAACAGGCAACACTCTTCTTCGTCATGCATTACATTTGAAGTTTAAAGAATGTCGATTAGTACCCTATAACGGCTGGGAACCAGTAATTACAAGAACATTGTTAAAATCTCATTTGTTTGCAACGGTTGACACTGTATCTCGTCATGCGTACCCCGGTAAGTTCACTTTGGACAGTTCTTACACCGTTATACGGACAGCTTTCGTTTAGCTGAAGCACTCAATTTGTAGCTGAAAGTACGTAGATTAATCCACTATTATTGATAATAACAATAAACAACCAGAACACTGTTAAAATCGCATTTAATCGCGGAGTACCACTATTTTTCGACTAGTGGCGCCATCCGTGGCGAAACGCTGAAACTGCTGGCCAAATAATTGCCTAGTAGTTTCAGCGATTTGCCACGGATGGCGCCACCGGTCAAAAAAAAATAGTGGTACTCAGCGATTAAATGCGATTTTAACAGTGTTCTGGTCGTTTATTGTTATTTTCAATGACAGGAGATTAATCTACGTTCTTTCAGCTTCAAACTGAATGCTTGATCAAGACGTAACTTGTCCATATAACGTTGGAAGAGCTATTCAAAGTATTGACACTAAAATGGTAACAGGGCTACGTAGCCCTATGAACGTAGGACAGAAAAAAGCATTGGATGATAGGTCTATTCAATACCTAGTCGGTGGTGCTACTATACAAGTCGATATTCGTCATTCGACACGAGTACATTCGTTCGATACCTACGTGATATCGCAACCGCAGGTATCGATACCAAAAGTACTCGGTATCGAAACAAAAGTATCGAGTAATGTACTCGTATTTACTTGTATCGATTCATCTCTAATCGTAGGGGAATTTTATAAAAGATTTGAATCATCGAAGGGTTTTTTTGAATTTTTAAAAAATTTTGTACTCCATTGAATTATCGAACATAAGAGAGTATTTTTATATCGATTGGCAATTCCTAGAGACACTATAGGGTCTCTAGTACTTCTTTAGTTGATGTCCTTCTATTTTGACCATCGGTGTATGAATTTGAATTAAATGCATGTGTGCGTGCATAATGAATCATATATTTTAAATAAATCCTTTACTCCCTCAGAGTAACAATTCTTGATATTAAAAGATTCATGAATATTGTCTAATGTTATCTTAACTACCAAGTAAATAATTGATGTAAAAAATCAAGTAAAACAGACGGTTATAATTAAACCCGTTATTCATATTTTAAAGGCGCATTTCAAAGGAAAAATCTAGATCGTTCGTCCCATGTTCGTCCGCCTGCAATATTCCTAGATTTACAAATCTATTATTGGCCGAGTACGTAACTACTCACAGACACAAAAAAACAAACACAAAGCGATATCAAACCGCGGAAAAGGAAGTGGTTTCCGCAAAAGGAAAGTGAAAGAACGGTTGAACAAAACGAAACGAACCTTCTATGAGTACTTTTTTATACCGTGGTCTGCTTCGGTTCTTCGGAAAACAACGTGAAAATATCCGAGGAAGTTCTTGATCTTGTAATCTGTAATTATGTTCGCTGTACGTCTGACTAATTTTAATACGTATGCTTTCGAACAGCGAACAGTACTTCGCGAACGGAACCATCAGAAATTTTGTAAATGACTTGGCAAAACGAGACACTATTTTTATATACATACCACGTCAACCAGCCTACACGGGAAGAGACACTTTAACAGTGAAATATGTGTTCATCCAGACATTTAATATCGTAATTCGATTTAAAAATGTCAGAGAACAAAGTTGATAGGGAAGTTGTGCGGAAGCAGTATACAAACGATGCGGGCCTCATCGATCAAGTTAAAATCGTTGATGTATCTGTTTTTGATTTCCATGACACTGATGTCTGGTGAGTGACCTTATCAGAACTTATGATTTCTTTAAAGCTTTCTGATTATAAGTTATACTTATCGAATGTCATTTATGGTTTTAACTGAATTTAATTCCTTTTCAAGGTCTGGCTATCTATCACAGATATATATATATATATATATATATATATATATATATATATATATATATATATATATACATATATACATATACCTGAAGGTAAGGATACAGTGTGGTATAAATCCAGTGGGGTCATAAAAAGGGGTTTGGGTCTAACAATCAACAAAGAATATTGTCACACTAGGTAATTGATGTCTTGTCTAGTGCCGTGTAAAGCATTGATGTTAGTTTAAAATTAAATTAACTTGCCTTTTAGACCAGTTTTGAAAATTTTCTGAAACCCAAAAATAATTTTGTAACCAAGAATCAGAATTGGATTGTGCTCGTTAAAAGAACTTTTATATGTGGTCCCACTGTATTTATTACCTTACTATATCATTACTTCCAAGTGTACTCTTGGTGGTATGCTATAATGTGGTCATAAAGTCAATCAGGAGCTAAAGTATTCATATTTTGGACACTGGGATGAAAGAGAATTTGTATCAATATGATTGAATGAGATGTTAATTGTGAAAGGTCTTAGGCCTCAGAGTTACATGAATTATGTAAATTCTGGTTTAGTTTAATCATTTTTCCATTTTGTTTCAACATCAGTAGCTATTTGAACATGAAAATCATTATAAATGCTAATTAAAATCTGTAGTTTTTCTATTAGCAATACTATTGTTATTATAATTTTTTTAAACAGAATAAAATAGGATGCTTTTATTACAATTCTGAGATCTGTGTTATTAATAGAACTTATTTGTTCAAGAATCTCATAATTACACTATGATATTTCCACTAACTGTGTATGTTTAAATAGCTAAACCATTTTTTAGTGTAATTTTATATGAATGGATATAATATTTCTAAAGTCTAAGTTTATGCGTGTTTTTGTTTCATTGTCAGGTTGTACATACCATCACAGTATTCAACAGAGACTTCAATTCAAAATTTGTACATCTGGTTGAAGAATGAACCAGAGCTAACTTTATCAGGTAATGAAATGTCATTGCAGTTAATTAAAATTGTTTTGTATCATTTTGTGATTAAATTTCAACTTTAATATTTTGTAGGTATTAGGAGATCCATTGATACAAGAACGTTTACAAGACCTAAAAAAAGAACTAGTAGGACTAACTTTGAATCTATTTTGGAAACTTTATCTCCACCTTTGTCAAACACATGGAAATCTGCATATTCAGGTTTTTCAAATATCAGAGAAGATGTAAGTTTATTTCTTTACTATTTATTCTATAAACATCATATGTACATACGTACTTATAATATGTATATATATATTTTTTTTTAAAGTTGGGTAAACATTCAGAAGTGCCTACTGCCAATAAAGAGGAAATTGTACCTCCTATGTTAAAAATGGCACCAAATGCAACTGCTACTCTTCTTCCTGATGAAACAATGACAACCTCGGGGCAAGAAAGTATGGAAATTTTCTTAAACATGTCCCATTCAAAGGGAATCGATTCTTTCATTAATTTGGTGGAACCTGGACTCGGTGATCCACTTATGAATGTGTCACAACCTTCGATTTTTTATTCATCTATAACTTCATTGCCTAGAGATGATTCTTTGCATAATACGGGTTATGATAAAGAGGATGGATCTTCAAATTCGACTCATTCCATCAGCCAGCAAGCTGCTAAACATGAAGATGTTGAAAATTTCAATTTAAACGAAACGTTTTCAATGCCTCATGAACTAGACAATAAGAGAAGTCTGTCTCCAACGGATAAAACGTTTATCAATAAACCTGATAAAATGGAATTAAATGGGACTTATAAAACAGAACCATTTTCTAGAACACTTACGTTGTTATGTTCAGATAAAGATAAACATGGTACAATTAATTTGTCTTCCACAATTGTAAATAGAGATGTTGAGCATACAAAATTAGTACAATCAGAGATGGACGGGAAAAAGGAATCGGGTGCTTTAAATTTTACATATTGTGCAACCGAAATTAAAGAAGCAGTGCCAGCAGTAATTATAAGCATTACGAATGATACACGAAACGATAATAGTCAGGCATGCAGCGCACAGAAAAATGCTACTCATATTTTGGAAAATTTGGTTGAATCCACATTTTCTGTTGGAAATTCATCGTCTTCATTGATGAATGATAACGCTTTGGATTCTACATTTAATGTATCTATTATTCCTGGTAATCAATCAACTCCGAAAACTGCATTAAATCCTATTTTTCAAGCAAGTAGTAAGCATTTAGAACCATCTCCGATATACAATACAGGCTTGACTTCAACTTTTAAGGCACCTACGTCGCTGAGGAAAGAATTGTTAGCGGAAATACACAGAAACGCGGATCATAGACTTGATAGTACATTCAACTGCGTGACTAATGAATTTGACGTTATAAAGACTGAGAAAGACAAGGTTGACGAGGTCTCTAATCAAAACGTTAATGATATTCCCGTTCAAAATAAATACAACACGTATAAAAAGGAACCATCGGTTAATAGAATGAAAGTTCGGGCTGAGATAGCAAACAATGTTAAAGCATGTGTTCGAAATTCGCCGGAAAAGAAGTATTACACTTTCACGAAAAAAGGTAATGCTCATAATGGAAAGACTGATATGGAAAACGCGGGATCTGTGGAGAACGTGAACGTTACGTTCGTGAAGCCACTTCCAAAACTGCAAAAAGGGAAGCAGCACATTCCGCGAATGCTTTCGAAGTTACCACAGTTCCTTCAGAAGTCTAATCCAAATCTGGTATCTAATTCCTTGCGAACTGTCGGCGTGACAGGATGTACAAACGCGTCTAGAATTGGATATATGAAAGGTTCGCAGCCGAACATTGTAAGGGATGTTGAGAAAACTATAGCGAATAAATTGTATACCATAGGTAAAATAAAAAGCGGTTCCGAGCAACGACTCTTGGAACTTAATACGGCCGTAGGGGATCTCCAAATGATGGGTGCTGGAGGATCTACAGAAAGCATTGAAAGTACACAAAGTGCTCACAGCGCGCCTGATCTAGACGACAGGCTTAGTACGTGTTCAGACAGTAGTCATAATTCATATACTGTGCAGCCACTGAATATCGAACGATTGCATCAAATAGTTCGAATGCAAGAAGAAAGTAAGCAATACTTTATATTAACACGTTCACTGTTATGGTAGTCACCAAAAACTAACGCTGTTAGATGATTATATGTAAAGTCATTCGATTTGTAAACAGTAACATTTACAATCCTCTCAATACAATTTTTAGTATATGGTAATGATCCAAGTAACCAGTTATGTGCACAAGCCAATATATAAATATTTATATATCTCGCGTGGCAATAACTTAAGTAGATATATTTAAGTGTACTATTGTCCTAACAATTAAAATACGGGTGGTCATTGTGTTAATACTGAAAGAAAAAATTAAATTGCATTTTGTTCCTTAACAAATTTCATACTTTACTAGGTCTGAAACAAGACTCGACTGCTTCTTTAAGTAGACGAGTCTTGGAAAGCACTTGGACAGATATGGAAAAAAATTTTTCGTCTCCTATACTAAAAAATGGTACTGATGGTTGTGAAAGCGATTCTTCTTCGTTAACAAGTATGGATTTGAATGTTAAAACAAGCTCTCCAATAATAAGTCCCAGTAGGTCTAGTCAGTCCGTAAATACTGATGGTAAGCTGGCATGTATATAATAATTAATATTTTTTATATTTACACAGATTTTATTCGTGTCGTTTATATTATATTGACAATTCATTTTTTAAGGTCATCTTATGGAAAGTGCAGTGAAACAGCAGAATGAAACAGTCGTAGTGAAGAATGCTGAAGTAAGTTTTTTACCAACTTTGTAGATACAATATTCATGAAAAAATAAAAACGGATATTAATTTAAATGATGTATACTTTATGAATATATGGTCTTATCTACACATTGAATTACATGTATTTAATTATAGGCGTTTAATAAACCAGTGTTGAAAGCTGAAAACAAAACAAGATTGCGACAACCAACGAACTGGAATACAGGAGGAAATAGAACTTCAAACATAATGAGCGCTATTCCTAGACCACCGTCGCGCATACCAGCTCCCAGGTCTGCCAGGCCAACCGTAAAGAATGCCCAAGGTGATGTAAAAAGAGGATACATGTAAAAATTTGCAAGATACTAACAATCAAAGCAAACACGTGTTTCTAAATAAGTCTCTTATAATTTAATTTGTATAAAAGGTGTTTAAGTTGTATCCTCAAGGAGAAAGAAAATCTTTCGAATATGACAAAAGTTCAGTATTATTATACTTCCAATATGATAAAAGTTAAAATTGTTAAGACAGCGCTCTTAAACCTTTTCGTTTCTGTTTACGTTTATAGAAAACATGGAATTTAGGAAAGAAATATTCACAACCATGTAGAATTCAATATTAAAAATAATGAAACTGTCGCATGTTGTTTTAGAAATCTACAATACAGATTCGCCAAGAAAGATCTGTCAGAAAATTAGTATGGTGTAATGTTGTCTGTCCACAATTTAAATGAATTATGTTTGTCTTTTAAATTATTTTTCCTGGAAAATAGAGGAATAGATAAATGCTGCTGTTTTTTAAACCAAAAAACTAGCTTGTCAAAAAACGTTATTACGAACGTAATTATTCTGATTCACCGTGAGAATGAATTAGCATATGTGCAGCATAAGACGGCCCTTATTACATAATATGTAGATATATGAAAATATTTTTTTTATAAGAGTATTGTCCGATACAAAATGATATTGTATTTCAACAAGAGTATATATGCGTAACATGTGTATTCCATTTGAAGTGTTAATGATATACCACTAACATGCTGTGTATTTTGTTATACATAAATAGGATTTCACAAGCCAAGTTTTGTACAAATTTTCTGCCGTGAAAAGTAATAAAAAAGATAGTGTCGACTGATCTTGAAAATATTAAATATGATATCTATATTTAGAGAACACGAGAGTTCATAAATATAGGTACATAATACATATAAGGAGTAACTTACGTTTTATATGTATAGAAGTTAGAAATAAATACGTAACAAAAGTATGGAGTCAAAGAACATTTTTTAAACTTAAAAATATTGGAAAGAACATGCCGAGTACATTGATTAATAAATAAAATATCTGAGAGGTATCAAGTTTATATACCAAAGAACTATAGATAAAATTACAGAAATGTAAGAAATTATATTTTTAAATAAGATAATGACTAACAAAACCACTGATTTAAAGCAAGTTTTTACAAGTAGAGTCAATGGTTTGAGACTAAAAGCTAACTTTTCAAGCTAAACCAGTTTTGTAAAAACCCAAAGTGCGACTATCCTTTTTAAAAAATCCAATTTAATATTTTTTTTATACATATAAGTGGCCTATACAGAGTTCGATTCACAGCGATTTATGGTATATTATTAATTCTTTGCAACATATCTATATATTTTTAAGACCTTCAAGCATAATTGTCTTGCTGATTTGCAATGAATATATTTTTAAATTGTAATTTTCATATCAATTCGTATATTCTGGAAACATCTTAACTAATTTTAACGTGCCGAAATTAGAACATTTTTATCAGCTTAGATTTTTAAAAATTTTAGACTTCTAGTTACTGAAGGATAAATGCAGAATTGTTCTCTTATTACAGACCGGTTGATGTTAACTGTAATGTTAAGCATGTAAATTTTTAATAAGTCCATTTATACGTGAAAATAACTGGAAAATACATTTTGTACACTGACAATTAAGAATTCCGAAAATACGTATGAAGATGTACATATATAGAATATCTACGATTGTAGATGTAATCTATGGTAGATATCTACAGTATCCCCTTATTAAATGTAATTGATTTCAAATTAGAAACTATAATGGAAAATTGAAGACTAAAACGGTCAGAAATGCATCTGTAAAAAAATGTGACACAATTACGCATGTCCGTACGACAAGAAGTAGCCACCTCGTTATTAAAGGAATAACAATGTTTGTAAAAGATTTACATCTTTTATAGTATAAGTGTGTTAAACATCAAAGTGATAATTTTGTATAAGTTTATTCAAAAGCGTGTATGATAAGTAATTGCACCTCTAAATATGTCACATTGTTATATTTGAAACATTATTCAAACTATAAAGTTTTACATAAATCGAACAACATAACGAAAGAATATTGAAATATTTCGACACATTATAGTTTTTATACACAGGTAATTAATTGTCGTATACTTCGTATAATATTTCTTCTTTCCATCCTAAAATTTTGCTTTTCCCGTTCAACCAATATCTCCAAAGCTATAACATATCACAGCGTACAAATATTGAAAAAGAAATATCTTAAAGAATATATACATATAATACATATGTGTATATAAATATATACATATTTATGTATCAGTACTAAATTGAAATTAAATAACAATTTGAATGACTGATACTATGCTATAATGAAAATATTAAATATCAAAACTTTATAAATACATACAAGAATTATTAAAACATAGTTATAGTAGAGGATATTTGTGAAGAGTCCATCAATGATGAGAAGAAAATTAGAGTTCATAGTTGTTTTTACTACAATTACTGGAGGTACCGTTAAACAGTTTTAAAACTTGGAAAGAAAAAAAAAATAATGGAGCATATTAATCAGCATACCAAATACAATGTTTTACAATATTGCAGACTCTTCAAAAATGGTCCATGTACATGTACAAGAATCATATGCAATACATTTTTATATCCTTTGCGAACGATTTACGTTAATTATTAGCATTGTATTCGATGCTTAGTTCAACATATCTCTTCTGTAATTCTTTGCTCAAAGCAATGGCAGCAAAGTGCTCGTACATTGTTCTGTATTACAGAGTGTTGCCAGTTGTATGCGCATAGTCGCAATTCGTCCATTTTATCATTAAATTTTAGTCCTACATATTTTATGATGAAATGTTGTGCTTGTTGCGTTGTGTTTGAATCTTCATTAATATGAGCATGGATTATAATCGCTTTGTAATATACACAAGACAGAGTATTCTTGATCAAAGTGAACAAATGCCAATAATTCTATTGCAATACTTTAGCAATTGAATACATTAGTCAATAAATTACAAAATTTAAAGAGTAGAAGATCGATAAGCCTATAAGTGTCCAAAAATATTTTTAATAATACAAATCCATCTAGAAACTATCAAATCATAGTAGTAACAAATTTAATTGGAAAAATGAAAAAAATACAAATGATATCTCTTTGTCATTTCTTTTTCTCATCAGCGGATATTCACAAGAAAAGAATTTGAAACTTTGTGTACTCATGTTGTAAATAATAAACATAAAAGTGATAGTCATGTTACATTCTTCATTTATATCTTAAAATGTTAGACCTTAAGTGCCTTTATTGTATTATGATACAAGATAAACTTTTTTATACATTCGAACTACGGAAGCTATAGATAGCTGCTCACTAATCATACTGCCCAACATTGGTGTAAAAATGTAATGTGATCTTTTTCTACTAAAACCTTTAACCTATGATAATAAACGTTTTACAATAGTAAAACAAACAACTAATTTTAAATGTTTTCTGTTCCTTGTACATTAATGGTACTCTCTTTTTATGAACTTTTTTTGTAGTTTATACAAATGTTGTAATGCTTATCCTATTTAGTATACCAAGCATAGGGTAGGATATTTAAAGTAAAATAATCAGCAATAAACAATTGAAAATTAAGAGGTATAATAACTTGTAGGTAGACAAATTAATTAAATACTAAATTTAACATTAGCAATTACGAATGTTTATGTCAGGTCAAATGTTTTTCAGCTGCTTTTAACAAGTAGAAATTAAATGAAAGTTTATTTCTTCCATTATATGCTTTGTAAGATACAAATGTAATATAGAACTTTATTATATTAAATATATTAATATTTTACTATATTCAATTCATGTATATTATAAACGTATAAAATTCTCGGTATACCAATTATTATAGACATTATGATATGTTAATTATACAGGTCGCTCAGGCGATGTTATAATTCACGTTTTATCGCATCATAATACGTTATAGATTACATAAGTCTAAGCATCATCCGAGTAATGAATACATTTACAAAATGTATTAAAACATTACATGAATTATGTTTATTTTTAAAAAAGAGGTAAGTATATTGATGAAAATTGAGATTAAAAGTTTAATCAAATAGTGAAAGGAAGAAACTTTCCTCTCTGGCACATGTGTACATATATGAATCTAAGTAAGTAGATATGTATGTAAGTACATACACACACATATATATATATATATATATATATATATATATTCGTCCGAGCAGATTATTAAAGTAAAGGTTGTGATCAGTATCATAGTCTTCTAAGTGTTTCTATGCAATTTCATGTGTAAGAGTGTGTAAGAGGCAAGTCTTGATTTTGGCTAGCTTGGTTTAATTGCTTCAATCAAACATGGCGCAAATGATGATATCAAGGATCGCGGTTCTATCAATTAGGAAAAGTAACCGTGTATTACCACGAATACCTGTGCCCATAAAATATCAACGATCATGTTTCCACACAAGTTGGATTCTCGACGGTATGTACTTCATTCAGAAATAATTATTTAACACATTTATTCATGACTCTTAAGGTTAACATGCACTCATTTAGTTAAAACGATGTTTCACTGATATAATATTGTTGCTAATTTAAATTGTAATGTCGACAATATGAAATGTATAGGTTTTTTTTCATCAGGTACAGCTCATGACCATTTATTTATGGTATAGTTATACAGATTGATTATGCAATCAACTATTAGACAAATTTTAATGTATGCGATATGTATGCTTAAAATGTACAAATAATTGTTCATTACTAGTGAAGGGAAAGGAGGTTTTGATGCCTTCTTTGTCACCTACTATGGAAACTGGTACTATTGTCAAGTGGCTTAAGAAGGAAGGTGACAAGATTGAAGCTGGCGATGCACTTGCTGACATTCAAACTGACAAAGCCGTTATGACAATGGAAGTTGATGATGAAAGTGTTCTTGCAAAAATAATTGTAAGATTTGAAGGATATTTTAAAGAAATGTAATGATGACAGTTTACTGATCTTTTTCCAACGAAGTGTTCTTACATATGTAAAGAATTGTCAATGAATATTTTTAGTTTTGATACAATTTATATTGTACACAATAAACTGAAAAACATATTATATTATTTTACTAGGTCTCAGAAGGAACCAAGGACATTAAAGTAGGAACATTGATTGCTCTTACTGTTGAGGTAGATGAAGATTGGAAGTCTGTTGAAATGCCAGACAGTGTTTCAAGCGTAGCTACAGCTGCTCCATCAGCACCTTCCACAACATCTACTACTCCTGCCCCTGCCCCCAGTGCAACAGTTGAGCCACTCCCAGGCCAGTAGGTGTCTGTGTACATAAAGCTATACATACAACTTCAAAAATAATTAATGTATCAAACTAACCACTACAAGTGCATATACTTTTCAGAAATAATATTAGCATGCCAGCCTTGTCACCTACAATGACCTCTGGTACAATAGTAAAATGGCTCAAGAAGGAAGGAGATGAAATAGAGCCTGGAGATGCAGTAGCAGAGATACAAACGGATAAAGCTGTTATGACATTTGAATTTGAGGATGAAGCTGTGTTCGCAAAGATTCTTGTATATTATTTTTAATGAATATGGTGTTATGGTTAATAGAATCTTAATGAAAAAAGAACAAACTAATGAGCACTTGAAATACATTTAACAGGCTCCTGAGGGAAGTCAAATTGAAGTAGGACAACTGATTGCCATTACAGTTGAAAAGGGAATGGATTGGAAAAATGTAGTTGTTCCGTCAACTACAAAACCAGCTGCGGCTACTCCAGCCGCATCAGCAGCGCCGGCTGCACCAGCAGGGGATAAGAAACCTGCTCCGAGTGGACAGTATGTAAAACGTTTTTTATCGTTATTTTAAAGTAATTATAATTTTATATCTTACATGGATCTTTTTCACAGAGTCTATGGTTTAGCGGTGAAGCGATTGCTAGAAGAATACGGTCTGAGCTCGGGTTCCATCAAAGGAACTGGACGACCCAATCGATTATTAAAGAGTGACGTGTTAGCCTATATTCAGGCAAATAATGTACAAAAAATTTCTCCAAAAGCGGGTAAGCATCTGTAATGTTATTACAAGTATTCAGAATATTATTGTATGTATATTAAATAATGATGTTTCACTTTGTCGAAACAGCTTCACCGCCGAAAACTGAAAAAGGTAAGGAACCTGCTGCTAGTCCTGCGAAATCTCATGTGCCTGCTGGACAGCCTTCTGCCTATGAAGACATACCAGTTACGAATATACGTGTTGTTATCGCTAAGAGACTTGGAGAATCAAAGGTAATTATAAATGTTTTATGTGATTAAATCCCTACAGAAATTTATATAAGTACATACGCAAAAATTATCCACTCATTACTCGCGGAACATCCTTTTCAGAGTACAATTCCACATTCGTATGCTTACATCGATATCAAACTAGATAAACTGAACGAAATCCGCAGCGAACTTAAGACTGAAAATATTAACGTTTCGATAAATGATTTTATTACGAAAGCGACTGCACACGCGTTAGTCGAATGTCCATCGATTAATACGTTGTATCAAAATCATCAGGTATGTAAGAAAATGAAATCAAAATAAGCATTTCAATAACACGCACAAATGTTACTATCATATTTTGTTAAAAGATTATACGTATGCCGAGAGTCGATGTATCTGTAGCAGTTGCCACAGACACAGGCCTTATCACGCCGATTATTTTTGACACCACAGCAAAGAGTTTGTTAGAAATTTCAAAAAATATTAGAGAACTTGCCGAGAAAGCTAGAAATGGTCGATTAAAGCCAGAAGAATTTCAAGGAGGAACATTTACGTAAATTAATACGCATTCGCTGCATACATTGCATACAAATATATGAATTTATCAACAAATGCTTATATATTGTTTCTGATGTTGCTTTTCAGAATATCTAATCTGGGAATGTTTGGTATCAAACAGTTTAGCGCTATTATAAATCCTCCACAAACAGCAATACTTGCTGTTGGCGGTGGTCGAGAGGAACTGGGTAAATATTTGAAATATGTGTAATTCTTATAAGGATACGGTAAATATTAACTTATCGTTCTATAGACGCTACGCTACAAAAAACAACGAAAATGTCGGCGACATTGTCTTACGACAGACGAGCAATCGACGAAGATCAAGCTGCAGACTTCTTAGCCGTTTTGAAAGCTATGTTAGATGATCCGTCTTTCCTTATTGCCGGAAGATTACGAGCGCACAGGTACGCACAGGATTGACCTTTAATTAAATCTCGATTCTGAAATGTTTTGTTTAGAAAAATGGTTCAGTTATAGAAAATTTTAATGTTCCCTGAATATTAACGACACATAACTCAGATCTGAAGAACTATTTTAGAACAGACGTACGATTTGATTAAATTAACTAGGTCTACAACCTTTTTTCAAATAAACAAATCAGACAAAATTAAGAGCGTTATTCGTAGCTTCAAATATTGTAACATATGCAGAGTTTGATTTACAAAACGCGGACAATTATGGAAAGTATTTTGTAACATAACATCTCAACCAAAGAAACGATACACTTACTTGTTTACGTACTGCCATAATAAGAAGTCAGAGTAGTAAATAATTAAATGGCAAATTGTACAAATGTTTCAGTAGGAATGTATAAAGACATTAAACTTTTGAAATATTAAAGAAAATTATTGGAAACATTGAAAATATCTTGTTGATACTAGATATTAGATATAGTAGTAAATTATTTTAGAATTTTATTCTTTTTTTATTATTTAATGCCCTTTACATTTCTATGAAGCCATTTGAAAATCTGTTTTAATGGTCATGTTTATGTATATTAGATACATACTAAAGACTTTTGTGTCAGTATAATGAACAGATACATAATAATTATTAATTAGTGCAAACTACAAGGTGTCAAAAAATCAAACATTCTTAATGAAAACTGATGATTAATATGATTTGTCATAAATACAGACAATTGAAATAATAGTGGATATACCCGGTGCATATGATTTACTTTTGTGTAAGTAGGAAACTTATAAGAGAATTAAAGAATCCATTTGTTATATTTTAATTAATGAAACAGTTTGCACACTGCAGTAATTTTTGTCATACAACATAACTGTTATGTTTTGTGAAGAAGTAAATGTGTTCAATACCTTGTTTATTATTATTGTTATACATATATGGAATTTGTACAAGTATAAATACGATGTAAATACAAACATTGTTAATAACGTTTATTTTAAATTTCACGCGTGATTAGAAATTTCAATGTGGATTAAACAATTTGTGGGAATAGTAAAATGTATAAGATTATAAATTTATCTTGTAAATAAAGTATTTATTGTTTAAATGGATACGTGATGTTTATATGGTACATTTTCTATACACTATATGTAAGAGTTAAGAAAGATGGAAACATCATTTTTTTTTCATTCTGTGCCTGTTTATTAAATCATTACATTTGTCATTGTTCTATTCTGTTATCATTGATAAAAGTTTTGATAAGGCAGTTACCATAGAACCGTATGGACTGATCTGATAAGGCACAAATGTTGTGTCCACATGTAAACAATTTTACATTATAACTTCTAAATGCACAATACTTAATATTTAAATGTACCTTAAAATAAAAGTTAGCAAACATCAAGTATATTTTTCCTGGTTGCTAATTGATCACATATTTAATTTTGTATTATGAACTTTTTGTAAACGTATATCTGCCAATAACTTAATGTAGAAATGAAATTATACAGAAATTTTTGTACACGCAATGACAAAGCAGAAACTAATAATATGACAATACTAGAAGTATTCAAATAGAGTAACATAACATAACAGGACTCAATTTTCCTTATCACAGGTGTGATTTTCCTTGATATTACTGCTCAGGCCCTAACTAATTGTATAGTCACAATATAAATTCAGTTACATTTTTTTATAAAAGGTATTGTAAGTGTAAAGTTATATATACATAAATTAATGTATAGCATTCCTTAAAATTTGGCATTTGGTTTGAGCAGTATTTACTTATAAAATACAAATAAAACATTTTTCAAAAAGTGTACATTGAAATACTCTATAAAATCTTATAAAACTAATTATTACGTCTTTTAAAAACATTAAGAATTGCATTCTGCAATGTGCGGTATGTCGCACAACTTACAATACTTAGTTATTAATACATACAATGTAATATTGAACCAGGAGGTTCAACTTCTCACTATTAATGAAGAAACTTCCTACTTACAAAGATTCACAAAAATGTTCACAAAAGAGCAGTTTCTTTTCCTTCAATTCAATGATAATGCAGCACTTGATCATTATATAATACATACTAAAATACTCACTTTATGTATGAACTGTTTGATTTTAAAATATGTATAATATATGGCTTAATAGGCTGATTCTTTAGTCTATGATATCCTAAGTTATTAAAGTATGCAACTGAGAAAATGTAAATACTGGGTGTACAAAATGTATACTTAAACATTGTGTATATTGGAAATACGAATTTGGTAATGTTATTAAATTATTTTGTACTACAGCTAAACTGGTATTTTATCTTCCTTCATGTATTCAGAACTGTTGAATGTATACATAATAAAATAAGTTACATATGGTCCCTGATAGATGCCATGTGCAGATATCTTGCACTTCCAGTTATTGAATAAACTAAGTACAGTATTTATTATAAAAATATTACATAATAAATGCAAAACACAATTCAAAATGCACTATTAATTCCTTGAAAAACACTAAATGCATCTTTTGAAAACAATAATTACAGTTCCTTGTTTTTCCACCTCCCTTTTTGTGTTTGAATTGATTAAACAAATTGATAAATTATATTATAGTTGAGAAAAGAAGAACTAATATATAGAGATGAATCATAAAACTTATGCGATAGATATTGCACATGAAACCATTATTAATATCTTATATTAATTACAACTTTTTTCATTGACTCAAGCAACAGAACTAATCTATCGTGTTATTACAGTAATTGCAAAATGTATAAAATGATGGATAGAAATTAGTTTGTAGTAATTTCATTCTAACAACAACTCCTGCTATCTTTAGTGTAAATTAGATAAAACATTGATACAAATCCAATAGCTGGTCATAGATTACAAAATTTGTAAACCCATTTTGCACTGCATACAATTATATTCCTTGTGCAATATAAGAAATACTTTCCATTGTATAAATCACATCAATGCAGTATTCTGTGCACTTGAGAATACAAATGCATAATAAACCTGACACAAATATTTTAACTCTTACTTTAAAATAATATTTAGTAGAAAGCTTTATGAAGTATTTTCTGTGCTGCTCGAATTAATGGTGTAAGGGTTGTTAATTCCGCACAGTTCTCTAAGAATGGATGAGAGAGCAATTCATCGGCTGTTGCTCTCTCATCAACTTCAACAGCTAAACACCTTTCTAAAAAGTTCTGAAATATTGGACTTAATGTGTCCCATCTGGGTATAGAAGGTTTACCAATAGCAGCAATTAAATACAATGCTCTTAAAGGTGTTTCCTTCATATAAGGTGGTTCGCCCTCTATCATTTCGATAGCCATAATACCTAAAGACCATATATCCACCTTTTTACCATACTGTTTTCTTGTCACTACTTCTGGTGCCATCCAATATGGAGTACCAACCATAGTCTGTCGTTTCTCATCACCATCAATATTAGCACAAAAACCGAAGTCTGTAACTTTCACAGCACCATTCATCCCAAGAAGTACATTGTCAGACTTGATATCTCTGTGAATAATTCCTCTTGTATGCAAAAAACTAATTGCCTTCAAAACTTCCCTACAAACTGCAGCAATCTGTGCCTCCTTCATTACGGTTTCAGTAACAACATCTGTCAATGGTCCACCCTCCAACAGTTCCATAATTACCCACAAATGTTCATCTATAAGGTACGCATCCAAGAAGTTAACCAGATTCGGATGCTGAAATTCTTTGAGAACCTTAATTTCCGTCAATATTAGTTCCTTCTTTGGTTGTTTCGATAAATCTATATCCTTTACGGCTATTCGCTGATTGGTTTGCAAATCAGTGGCTATGAATACAGTACCCGAAGCACCAGCACCGACCTCCTTGGTTCTTTCGAATCGAAGGTTAGGATCTCCGCTGTGACAGATAGTTCTGAGCTCCTCAAAAACTTCTTCGTCGCTGAGCTTCACCCCTGTGGAATCTGTTGTTTTTCTTCTCAGAACAGGACTCTCCTCTGTTTTGTTCGGAGTGTTTCCATCCTCCGGCAATTGATCGTCCTCTATTCGATAGGTGTTTAAATCTTCCAAAATTTCGGTGAGAGACTTTTCGACTCTGTCCAGACATATTCGTGGAGTGGGCTTCGGGATTTTATTAACCTTGGGTGGAAGCTCTGGCAACTTCTGTTCTTGACTGTCCGTAGAGCTCACAGAACCTGAACCGTCTGAATCTCTGGATTGGTATTTCTTCGTCAAGATTTTGTCGATCTCCTGAGACTCCTCCTCGATCAGATCTTCTGTAACGAAAGGTTTGAATACCTTTTCCTCTGGTTTTCGTTTGATCGAGTAGTTGTAGAATTTGATGGCTTGCAATGCAGCGGCAGGATGCTCGTCCTGCTCTGATTTCGATATCTGGGTGTTGAGCAACCGAATCCAAGATTCGGGCAGACCCTCCAGTTGTCCTGTCTCGGCATTTTTACTCACATGAAACTGATGAGAGACGTTTGTGGGTAAACCAATCTCAGCGGCTTTCTTCCTCGAGAATAGCTTCGTTATGCTGAGGCTCATTTTAGCGCGCGATGTCGCGCTCTTGTCGCGTGCCGTTTACGATATGTTGCAATTTTTTTATCTCCGGACGATTAAAAATAGGAAGGGAGAAAGACACGACGATCACTTTTTAAATCGCGATTCTCATCGTAAGATTCGTAACATCACTCGCTCCTCGGCTCTGGCTCTGTCGCTGTCGCACTCACACTCTGTCGCGACAGAACATCGAATCACATCGAATGCGAATGTAGGCGTGTTCGGCGTGTTACTCTACTACGTACGTCACTTTGTTCAACAACTGGCGGGATATTTCGAAAAAACCTAGCATGATCTTTGCTGTTTCACCCCTTCAATTAGAAATTACATCTCCCAGACGTTCTAGTAATACTTTATAAAAACTATAATGCAACGAATACACCATATTCTTTTTATTAATGTGTTTAAAGAAGTAACGTAGTTTTATTTAAATCACGGCGCAGGCGTAAAAAATCAAGGCTCCAAAGCGAAGCAAATAATGTACACATTTGTATAAAATGTCAGAACATTAGTTTAAACAGTCTTAACAGTTCTGCATTATTACTGTTAAATTCTAATGCGCGGCATTAACTTGTAAACGGAGGAAGACGAATTAACTCATCATTTATGCTTGACTGTATCTTTTAATGATTTTTCATATTTCTATTCATCTACTAAGATAAAAGGTAAAAATTTAGATCATCGATGGTGATTCTAGATTTTATGTATAATAGAACCACTCGTCGATAGAAGGCGATTACTCATTTTCAAAATTCCGTTAGGTAATTGCAATAACTAAACTACGCGTTTTTGATAATCTCCTTATCGATCGACATTTTTTTTTCCTCTCTGAATACACCTTATCAGTTCTTCCGGCTTCCCTGCGTGCGAATACGAGCCAATTTCTGCAATTCATAAGAAATACATTTTTATATATCATCGTTGACGTAAGAGTTCACGTTTCTCCTTCCACAAAGAACTTCGTCTCCCGCCTACAGCCCTCTTCTCATCGAATTTATTTTACACATGAAGTTTCATTCTTTTTGTAAATACCTACATACAATGTATATTTCGAAACCATACTTCCACGCGTTCTCTATTATCGCGCGGTTACATACTGAATAAGAAGCGAACGAAAATGTACAAGCATGCGTAAGGAAACGTCTATTTTCGTCATCGTTTTATTATCATGAAATGATGCTGCGGAAGGCATTGATTGCAGGAATAAAAACACGCCGCGAGTGCTAAAGCTACTTTGTGACGTGCATATATTATTATGCCCCTTCCGAGAGTTCATTCCAGAAATTGCATTGAGAGTACTATCGGAGTTAACTAATCTCTTGCGGTTCTTTATGTTTTGTATTGCCTTGTCTTCGACGCAGACAAACGTCATATTTTTCCGATTCAGCGAAAGGTCAAAAAATGCTGACGGAACGCTCGTATGAGAGAACACAACATAAATCTTTGGAACTACATACTCTATAAGTAGTATCTAAACAGAAACAATTAAGCAAAACAAATTACTGACAATCCTCCAGAGTCCCGTACCTTTGAGCACCTTTGAATGAACAAGTAAAGAATAAAAACTGCAGTACACCGCGGTACAGTGTAAAGTGTACACTACGTACTGCTACGTACGACAACGTACGATGTCACATATGCATGCATACATCGCGAAACAAAAACCAATCTTCTCCACTTCCCAGTGCTTCCAAGGAACACTACGAAGAACGGCATTCTTATCTATGCAACGATGATCCGTGGCGCGAATAGCAACGCCACCTGCACGTAACTGTTTTGACGGTAATCGACTCGTTTGAATATCTGATTATTGTTCTAACAAAATTTTTTCGACAATTGCATTATAAACGAAACTATTCCTACAAAAGAAACTATATGTCGCTCAATACAAAGTTTATTTTGTTAAATTAAAATTCAGAAATTCAAACGCATCGATTACTGTCAGAATAGTACGTGTAGGTGGCGCTGTCATTCGTGCACAGGAAGCAGCAGGAAGCAGGAGTGGGGTGGTAAAATATTTTTAAAATATCTGTCAAAACCGCATTATTTCGTTCTGTTTACATTCAATTGTTAGTGAGGAATTGTTTATGTTTATACGTTGCTCGCAACGTCACATGTTCGATACGATACGTTACTTCCATATCTGTGCGTATGTACTTGTAACATATTAATAAGAAAAGATAAATTTTTTAATCGAAATTCACGAAACATCGATGATGAAATAATTTCATTCTGTCTTTGTTTCTTCATTTTCGATACGTTACCGAGTTATTCACTTATTATTTTTCCGCGAGAAAAAATAATGTTCTCTGCTTCCGTACACCGTGTGCGTAGTGCGTACAGAATCGAGAACGTATGAAAATATTTTTACAACAAGAAGTACGCGACGCTCGATGCAGTTTCAATAATAGTTTTCAAATAGTGTCGGTACCAGAGATAAGAAACTGTTTTCAATAAATACAACGACATCAATTCTAATCATATTTGCGTCAAATTCTCGTTAATACTGAAGAATGTTTCTCATTTATTTTTGTACCAAAATAAAGCTAAAGTCTGTTTTACATACATATTCTTATTTCCATATATATATAGTATCCTAGAACACATGAATTAGTTTGATAATAATGGTTTATCAAGCGATGGTTGCGAACATTGTGGTTAAGTGAGTGACAAGTGCATAAAAGGAAATTATACATATACAAGTATGCATCCATTATGTCTTATATACTGTATCAGAATTTTCTATCCTACTTATTTATTGCCAAGTTATCATTCTTTCCTTCTGGTACTATTTATGGTAATGTTTAATTTGGTAAAATGGAATTTATTCAAATTAATACAAAAAGAGCGTTTAACATATATAGGAATACCGTCGATGTTAAATTTTAAGTAACTATAGTCTATATAAGGGATGATTTTATAATGCGTACGTCATTTTTAATCATTAATTTCAACGAAGTTTCACAGAAAACATTTATACATATATATGAAATTGCTCGAATAATATGTATAAAAATCAACGATACGACTTTTTTCATCCATCTGCACACATGTTATATAGAGATGTAACCTCTTCTCTTTTTGCAGGGATTCTACTTCGCTCGAAAAAAAAACGAAAGCACTTAATAAATGTTTATGTGATACTTCTGTACGATACATCGAGAATCAAGAAACAGTCGACGTTCATGATAACAACACGCGTAATGTCCTTTCTTATCACGCGAAGAAACCATACTATCAACATGTTTTCAACTCCCTCTCCCTCCCCGCTCATTGTGCCTCAGAGACCAGAAGTTTTCCTCCCTTTTGCCGATCGTGCAGCATTCAGAAGATTCAGTTCCCATCTATACGACGTCCTGAAAATCACCACACACCAATATACATAATAAGAAACAATGCTTCTCTCGCCGCATCCCTGATTCTCTACCATCCCGTGAAGTCTTTTCCCATTCGAATTTCTGCCGCGAAATTTCATTTCTGTTACAGATTTCCACGATATATACGTAAAAATTACTGATGCGTTTGACACTGTTTTATATTCAAAAGCTGCACTTTGTTCCGCTATTATGTCCTATCGCGAAAAACAGATGGACTATATAATAAGCGTGAACGTACGCGGCACCAAAGTTTGAAGGTACTTGACCGTGAAGGGTAGAGTCCGAAAAATTGAATCGTAATATGGATGTGATATAACAGGAAAACCGATATTTTCAGTTTTATAATTTGTCGCTTGTGTCATCTAACGCTTCGTTAACGCAAACGGAATGTGCGAATACTTAAAATTTCAAGTACAAGCGCAGAAAATTTTATTTTTCTCGAAACACGAAGAAAAGTCACGAGATTGAACACACGCTAAAATTTCGATTTCTCTGAATGTTTTTGTTTCGATTAAGAAAGTATAAAGGTTATATTTACTTAAAACAAGAGTGGCCTAATCTGATCGAATTGAATTGAAACTTTCTGTACACTGTGTATATTAAAGTTTCATATGTTAAATTGTCAAATCCCTCCACTCTTCTATTTCTGTACGAAGAGAGGGGATTCTTGATTCATCTCTGTCTCTCCCTCACGCCCCTTATCAGCTAATAAATAAAATATTAACCGATCATTAATGCAAAGACATTATTCGAGAGCGCGCAAACTACGTACACCTACGAAACGGAGTAATCACGGTAATGTTCGGGTTTTTAATAGTGAATACGCTGTGTCACCAGTTACTACTACCAGCAGAGAACCGTGTCAGATTTATTCTTTCGCCAATTTTCTTTTCAAATCCAATTGTTTGAATATTTCTCCAATATCCGAACAATACACCGGAACACGATCTCGAAATCCTTTCTGGAAAGTGTTAACTTACGCGTCTACAATTTCACGGAATGCGAATTGTGCACCTAAACGATAGTTGACCAAAAGGATTCACAAATATCTCCTGTTCCTCCATCATCAATTTAATTAAGATGGTACAATTACGGCATCAGGTAAGCACTTTTCAAACTTATAGATATAAAGCATAAAGTTTTCCAAATGTTGGATACCTATGTGAATTTATTGATGCGTCAACCGACATTCTAGTTTTCTTGGTAACCGACGGTAATAAATAATAATACATGTGTACGAAGAAACATTGATTTTCTTTGTAATAACATTTACAATCGTATACATAAATATAATTAGTGGTAGAATAAACAAATGAAATATTTACACTCTTGATAAGAATAACCGTGAAAGAAGTAAATTAATACGACATATTACATATACTCCAGGAATATTGCGTGAAAAATCATTTTTATTTACGTTCGGTTGTCACTAGTGTGGAATAAATTCTTCGTCCATCAGCTTGACCCTGTATCGTCTTGCAAATTGGAATTGAAAAACAAAAAAAACAACGTAAAATACACTGCTTTGCCTGATAAGGATTCTTCGCGTAGAATCGGTACAATTATTTCGTGGTCTTTGCAATTATGCAATAGTCTTATTCACTTGTGACTATAATCCGGCTACTAATTTCGATAATTAATCGGACGCTGGAAACGTTTTCGCTTATATTTCATGACGGATTTCACGAACTGCGGAACTTCACGAAATCTCAGTGGAACAGAAAATTTATAGTTCAGCAGTTAAATCTTATATGTAGTAATTTCAAACGGAAGAAATGAATAATAAAAAAAAAGGTATGAATTTTCAAATACATACATATGTATTTTGTGCCACTGTCACATGTGTGATATAAAACTCTGTTGATATGGCATTTATCGCGAATACCACGTGCTCGAACTCTGTTCCTTGAGCTACCGTACGTAATTTCAATCCAAAAAGGAAGGAAAGAGTTTCGAATGGACTATGATTGACTATGATACATATTAAATTTGATGAAATTCGAGTTTTATGAAACTACGGTGTCTTTTGATTTTTGCAGAATAACAAGAAAATTTTTAAAACCACACTATACATGTATGTATATATGACTAATGTACATTTGTATGTACAATATGTAATTTCGTTGACCTAACCGTATCAATGCTTTCGTAAGCAACTTTTGGCACGATTAACAATTTACAATAAAACACTTGTTGTATCATCCGTCGTTTTTTACTTTATTCATGCGAGACACACAGCTCGACCAAATAGGATTTATTCCAATAACACAAAACGACAATATGTATGTACTTATGTACATATGTACTTACATATATATTTTTGTAACTCTGATATAATAAACCAGGTTAAATGCTGTCCCGCCACAACACGTGTTCAAATGATAAAAATTGACACTTTAAAAACAGATCTATCCGTACATTAAAAATTTGTAAAAAAATATTTTTAATCTCGAACAATTTACGAATTGCTTGAAATAATTTTACCCAGCATAGACATTACATATGTAGTTGGAGCTTATGCAAGAATGTTTGTACATATGTAAATACATACATGGTTATCGGTACTTTTGCAATTTGCATTCAAATAACTATACACTGATAGCAACTTTTTTACATAGAAAATGCGAGAATCATTAATTATAAGAATCTTTCCACAGATTTTATCCTGTGGGAGTTTACTGAATCAATTTCAACTTAACATCAGATGGAGTTCATCTTTACAAATCAGGGACAAAAAAGTAATACAACCAGAACATTCTTTTAAGGTATAATCCTTTCAAGGAAATTATTTTTACATAATTGATTTTAGAGTATCTGCAATCAACTTTATAAATATTGTGTTTGTAGTATGCAGATTTATCGGTCCGTCTTGCAGGACCAGAACAATTACAGCCCAAACCTAATGTCAGTGCTCTATCATTTGGTAAATACTTCACAGATCATATGTTAAAAATATTTTACCACGAAGCATTAGGAGGATGGCAGATACCAGAAATAACACCTCTTGAAAACTTAGTCCTTCATCCAGCATCAAAAGTGCTACACTATGCAATAGAGGTATATCTACTTTACATTTGAAACGATTATAAGTTTGATGAAAGTGGATGGTGGTTTTACTTCTAGACCTTCATCTTTAGTATCAGTAAAGGAATCGAAATTTGATTGATCCACTTTCATCAAGTTTAGTTCTGCAAACGAATAAAAAATTTCTGTACATATTGTTTCAGTTGTTCGAGGGTTTGAAAGCTTACAGGGGAGTAGATGGAAAAATAAGAATATTTAGGCCAGATTTGAATATGGAACGAATGAACAATTCAGCAGTGAGGGCTGGCTTGCCCACTTTTATTGGGGATGAACTAATAAAATGTTGCTGTAGATTAGTTAGTATAGATCAAGAATGGGTTCCCCATTCTACCGCTTCTAGTCTGTACATACGTCCAACTCTGATAGGTATAGATGTAAGTAGTAACTTTCTATTGAATATAAAACTTTTTAATACAGGGATCAAAGGTTAAACACATTAAATTTTAGTTATTTGTATGGTAGGAAGAATAATCGTGTCACTTATGTCACATACGTCATTCAAACTGACACATGAAAGTAAGCAATGTATTTCTCAATACTTAATGATAATACGTGATAAACAGGGGCGTGTTGCTCTTTTGTTGGGGCAGGGCCATAAGATACAGCTAGATCAAAAGCTACATTATGATTGATACATGGTATTGCACTATACATAAAGCAGCAAACTAAGAACTTCTGATGAGAACTAAGGAATAATTTAACTCATAATATAAGAATTTAAATAATAGTTGTTACATTACTCAATTTACTTTTCTTCATTTTTATATTCATTAAATAATCATCAATAGACATCGGATAATGTTCATTTTCCGAACTTTTCATAATCAGTATTATGTAAAATGTACAATAAAAATGTGTTCGTATCATATACTGTTCTGCTGATAGCTCTTTTCGAGATTATTCATGTGTTAGTTACAAATGACGCAATATTCTTCATAATGACCGAGCTAATCTAAACAAACGTATAATCACGAGAAATTTTCGTTCCAAGATAATATTGTAAAAACATATATCAGTCGAGTTTGCTACCTCTTGACATAAAAATCAGAAACTACACATTAAGAATACGAGTCACACAGAAATCAAATTAATAGTTTGGCTATCTACAAAACTTCGCAATATTAGTATATTCTACAATTTTTGTTCCTTTTTTGCATAGCCTACACTTGGAGTGGCATCCTCAGAGTCCGCTTTACTGTACGTTATTTTATCACCTGTGGGCTCCTATTTTAAAAAAACAGATGAAAACGTTGGTGTGTCCTTACTAGCAGATCCTCAATACACCAGAGCCTGGCCAGGGGGTTGTGGTAACTACAAAGTAGGTAGTAATTATGGGCCTACTATTTACGTACAAAGAGAAGCTGCAGAAAGAGGTTTGCAGCAAGTGTTATGGCTTTATGGAGAAAATAGTGAAGTAACCGAAGTTGGGACAATGAACATCTTTATGTTTCATATAAATGACGATGGAGGTAAGTAATGTTTCATAATGCCCTTCCTTTGATCGACTACTTATCTTACTCAAAGTTATGTAAAAAAGTATTTTCAAATTTTTAGAAAAAGAATTAATAACACCACCTTTGTCGAGTGGTTTAATTCTTCCTGGGGTCACTAGAAATTCTATTTTGGCGGTAGCTAAAGAGTGGAATCAGTTCAAAGTCAGCGAACGAACATTCTGTATGGATGAAGTTTGTCAATTATTATCAGAAAATAGGGTAACATCACTTTCTCATTATCCGTCCATTAAAAAGAATTTTGATAATTACAATGTTTTAATTGTAACCATTTTATGTGATTCTAGCTGTTAGAACTTTTTGGAGCGGGAACAGCTTGTATAGTCAGTCCTATATCGTACATCGAATATATTGGTCGACCGTTACACATACCGACGGTAGAACACTCGGAGCCTGTTTATAAAAAGTTTCTAAAACATTTAATGGACATACAATACGGTGTTATACCGGATCACCCGTGGGCGATACCTATTGAGTGAAAGTAGAATAATTTATTGATTTATTTATTGATCGTTAGGAGTGGATTTAGATACGCGTACATCAACATTCTTTGCATTAGATGTTGAACGATTTGAAAAATGATCCACCGGAAATCAGTGTATCGCTATTTTTTTGCGAATGACATAGATCTCTATTTATTTATAGATTCGAGTATTCGTTATAAACTGAGCGCGGGAGATTTCCTAAAAATATTTAGCAAATGAAAATATGTGTCTGAGATAAAACTCAGAGATAACCAGTTTATCACCGTTGACCAACTAATTGTTAAATATGAAATTTTAAACATAAACTCGACAATTTATTTGTAAATATGTAAAGTGTACATGTCATGCGTATGTATGTGAATATGAATTTGTATATTTTTTAACGGAAGTATGTATGCAGCGAGAAGTGTATGTATATGTGGAAATATATATATATATTTTCTATTATTGTACAAATTAGATAGAGCAACAATGTGATTTTACGAAATAATGAATGAATTAAAGGAAAGTAATCGAAACTTATCGAAAATAAAGTTTTTTTAATTCCTTTAGAATCGGGTAAGACATGACTTGTTTTAAAGATAACGACTGACGAAACAACACACTCCAATGAATTAAGTAAATAGAAATATATATATACATATAAATAGGTACAAGGCCGGCCGCAGTTGGAAATTCCAACTTGGAACTGAACCGACTTGGAATATGAATGTTTTCTATTTCTACGGCCTTAAACGTAGATGACGCTACGACATGCTACGAGTTTCTGCATATTCTGCATGTTCTTCTTGTTAGATTTAAAAGATGATTTAAAACACATATAAAAACGTGCATAAATAAATAAATAAATAGATAGGCTGAAGAAGCTTCAAATATCACAAAGATTAAATAATTGTTACTAAAGTGTGATTCTGTATAACATGAATTTACTTAATAGAAACAATCAGAAAAACATATCGTTAAACGGTGAACAATAACAATGTCTGTTTCTCGAGTTGAAGAGTTAATCAATTATTTTAGGTCCCATAATAAGATTAGGGAACAACAAAGTCATTCTGCCAAAGTACACAGTGTAGGATGGAGTTGCGACGGAAAACTTTTGGCTTCGGGTTCATTTGATAAGTCTGTTTGTATATTTTCCTTGGGACCGGATCGTCTGGTAAATAAACATAACCTTCCTAACTGACTTCTTCTTTTTATAACCGTAATCTAGTATTTGGTCATATGAAATGTTTATTTACTTGTTCGTTAACATATTTAGCAAAAATAACTTTCTTATATACTGCGATACATTTATATATTTAGTACTGTAATTGGTTAATTTTTTTTAGGTTATAATATTTGTTTCGAACTTAAATATTGAAAAAGGTCATAATTATGCAATGTTTGTACTTACTAGTATTGATGATCATACGAAAATTTAATTAATTCACATAGATGGCGGTTCATTATATTTTATTTCCGTAAATAAAAATGAATAATTATTTTATATTTTGAACAAATTTATTGCAGAAACAAGAGACAACTTTTAGAGGACATGGTGGTAGTGTAGATCAACTATGCTGGCATGCTTTTTACCCTGAACTATTGTCCACAGCAAGTGGAGATAAAACTGTACGCATATGGGACACAAGAACTCAAAAGTGTACTGCAAATATCAGCACAAGGGGAGAAAATATCAATATTTCATGGTCTCCTGATGGCAACACAATAGCAGTAGGAAACAAAGAAGACTTGGTAACTTTCATTGATGCACGTGTGATGAAAATTCGTGCAGAGGAACAGTTCAATTTTGAAGTGAATGAAATTTCTTGGAACAAAGACTCTGATACATTTTATCTTACAAATGGTCAAGGCTGTGTACATATTCTTAGTTATCCAGATTTAGAATTATTACATGTAATTAAAGCACATCCAGGGACATGCATTTGCATAGAATTTGATCCTACTGGAAGGTACTTTGCTACTGGCTCAGCAGATGCATTAGTTTCACTATGGGATGCAGATGAATTATGCTGTTTAAGGACATTCTCGAGATTAGAGTGGCCAGTAAGAACTATATCATTCTCATATGATGGACAGCTATTAGCTGCTGCATCTGAGGATCTTGTTATAGATATAGGTGAAGTAGAAACTGGAGAAAAGATTGCAGACATACCAGTGGAAGCAGCAACTTTCACAGTTGCTTGGCATCCAAAACAATATCTATTAGCATACGCGTGTGATGATAAAGATACTTATGATAGGAAACGAGATGCAGGCAGTCTGAAAGTATACGGATTTGCCAATGATTAAATAATAACTATTTTTTAGACTTTTTTATGAAAATATATCATTGTATAAAACAAAAGTCTAAACTTTATTCTTTACACCTTTCTGTTAGATAAATATATAAAATACGAATTAAGTAACTATATTCGGATGATTTTGATAGTAACGACACTTCTTAACAGATTTTTTAAATATTTCGAACCATTAATGAAGTTAAATTCATATTTATTTCAGTAGAAAACTGCAGAATTTTCTTATTTGAATCATCTGTTCAAAAAATCTGATTTATCTTACATTTTATTGGATTCTACATTGTTTTTCCATTGTGATTGTCATTAATTTTTTAATCTGGTCAGACATTTTTAAAAAATCAATAGTACGTTTTGATCACTATGCTCATTCATTAATTAATAACGTTTACGTTTAAGGAACAGAATTTATGTATGTATAATTCACTGTTGTGACATGTACTTGGTTGATATGGTAACCAGAAGTATGTATACAATATATATATATATATATACATATATGTCTGGATTTCCGTAACCGGGAAATACGCTAGAATTCATATCATATGATTATTAATTTTATCTTTTGTCTTTATTTATGAAAATAGTTTATTATCTTCTTGCTCAGAAGTTATGGAAGCTAATTGCGAGTGTCAATATACATTGATGGTAACCAATGAAATAATGCAAGGACAGTTCCCTGAAACGAAAGATAATTTTAATCATGTGCCCAGTATTCACGAGGTGGACGAAGAAGAAACTGACGAAGAGTATGTTTGCGATCAAGATTCCACCATCCTAAACGAGGTGCAAGAAGTTACTGACATAAGAGATGCAATAGATAATAACTCATTATATAGTAACGAGTCATTTTGTTCTGATGAATCCTGCGATGAATCTGAAGGAACTAATACTACACCAAGAACTTTGAACGAGTCTCATTATACACCTCAAGTTACTTATTATGAATACAAGAAGGAAGATAATGAAGAAAAGTGTGAAAGTGTGATACAAGACAATGGTAATACAAATTCAGCTCGTTGCAAAAGTTCACTGTCTGTAGATAAGTCTATAATACTCAAGACAATAAGAAGCAGAAGGAAGAATATGAGTTTTACAGATGAAGAACTTAGGAAGATTGAATGGGAGAATCAGCTTCTTCTGAGAAAGATAATGGCTCAGCAAAAACCAAAGGAGAAAGTACTTCATGAAAATATACCACAACAAAGAGCAAGCAGTTCTGCAATCAATAGGAAGAAGTTACAGAAGAAAATTGAAAGTGAAAATATAGTATGTATAAATAAAAAGGTTGATAGAAAAAAATATGTAAAGTTGTTAGAAGTTATCATCCTAATAGTGTTTATATTTACAGTTGCTTCTCCAAAGGCTACAACAAACTAAATCACGTGTTATGAACATCGCAACAAAACCTGGATGCAGGCAGACAATTCTGTAATTTGTAATAAAGTTTTTTTTTTTACATATTTTATATTCAACAATTAATCATCTTTTGGTTTTTTTTCACATTTTGACACGATAAAATTTTTACTGTTTACAGTAAGGGAGTGTATTACAAATCTTATGAATGTGATATCTTTTATTCTTTGTGCCACTGAACGTAATGTTGTAAAAGAACATAATACTCTTTGGAAACATATGAGAAAAGTATGTAAAAATTAATAGGAATATATCTTTATAAAAAAAAATTACTTTAATTCAAATACACATGCAAGTCACTGAGTGATTAGTTCTATGTGAACATAAGATGCGTATGATTGAAACACAGCAATTACGAGTCTTGAAGTGTAGGTACACATTTTTATTTCGTTTTGTATACATCACAACTTTGTAAAATGTTTTGAAAACTTACCGAAGAAATTTCTACAAGTCAAGACTATAAAAATCACAGTTCTCACTCGTTCCAAGTAACTTAATTATTACCTTTTTTTTTGTTTTTGTAACACCAAGACCAACGTTCTTCGAGTATTGTGATCACTTTTTCCATGTACATTTCGTGTAGAAAGTACGACAGAAACGAAAAATTATAGAACAAATAGGCAAAAACTTATAAACCAGACATCTTATTTTACACTTACGTATTTGCCTTCCGGATTAATCTGTGCTTCAATTGTTGCGCAAAAATCTCACTTCGAATTCAGGTATACGTTGTTTCCGGTGCATCATTTAGACTTGAAATTATAAAAGAAAAAGAAAAATCGTGTGATCTTGCATCAACAAAAATATTTTAACGTATCACATTCAAGCTACAATTAATAACACAGATTAACGAATCACAACGTGAAGATTTAACAAGTACAAATCAATTTTGCCCGAAACAAATTACTCGGTATTATTATGCGAGGTACTATTCAACAACATATCACAAATCCGCGAAGAATAACAAAAACCAGCCAGTAGTTCCTCTTTTTAAGCGTTGTCGATCACAAAAGTGTCGCTAATAAATACGTTGTTACTTTCCGCATTAGAAAAGAAAATCGATCAACCAAGTCTACGATATCACAAGACATAATATCGAGTATCGAGAATTATTGGGAACAAGATTAGTCTTCGTGCTTCTTCTTCCAAGATTCTGTGGATGACGGTGTCCATATTGTACTAAGAGAACGAAACGGATCGAAGCCCGATCTTTCCTAGAATCAGAGTAAGTTACATTAGTTCACGAAAGATGATTTTGCAAACATTATTATCAAAATAGATCCTAAACCTTAATTTAATAGAGTATACAGGAAGTGTCATGACATGTCTATAGGTGTTTATCTCTGAAATTATGTTCATAGACTATGAAGCAACTTGACCTGCATGGAAAAATGAAACAATTATTCTCTTACTTGTGTGTCTGGTTCCGTCTGTAATGAGGATAATTGTGAAGTTACAGGTGGTGTAGCCGCTCCCCATGGACCCGCAGCCCATATACCACCTGTGTTCACTCCCCAAACACAACTTCTTTCTTCTCCGACTGCTGCCCTTGTGTATAATGGTTCCCAATTTGTTTCGATTGCCATCCAGTTGTCTGCAAGTCCAATACGGTATTAAGTATCACGTTTTGAAGAAGCAGAATATATTACAGCGCACTTCATACCCCTCAAAGTGTCTGTCAACATTGAAGAAGGCTTTTCCGAGGATTTTGACGATTCAAATTGATATCCGTTTGTACTATCCGACAATACGTTAAACATGGGATTACTGTCTTCCCATAACTGACACCGCGTATCTTCTTCGGGGCTTTCTAATTCCATCAAAGGTTCGTCCGTTTCTGGAAGATCGTCGTACGGCACTAGTTCCCGTTCAAACTAAAATACGCGAGATGTACACTGTTAAAATCGAAATTTACACAACAACAGAATTAAATCGGATATATGTACTACATAATCGTTTATTTACCGGTGGTTCAGTGAACGCGTTCATAAAATAACTATTAGAATGTTGCAATGTGTTCTGTATTTTTAAGGGATCCTGACTAAGCGGCTTCTCCTTTTCAACAGACTGAACACAGAGACGTGGGGAACTCGATACCATTCTGTATTCCTTCGTGCTCTGTATCACCTCTTGACTTGATTGTTGTTTAGTATAACCTACATCTTTGGTATCGTTACTGTAGACCATCGACAAGTTATGCGTGGTCGTCTGAGGTTTGTGTAACTTATTTAAGCTTGAGAATGGAGATATACTCTCTTGACTCCTCGCCACGACATCGCTAAATCTGGCTCGATTTTCGCCCCAACAAGATGGGGGCGGTGGTAATGGAACAGAAACGGTACCCAAAGTTCGTGACGAATCCTCCCTTTGGCTAGCGCCTCCGTTCAACGATGTTGCTGCAGAATAAGATTATTTTGAATATTATGCTTCGATTTTTTTACTACCAGTAAAAAAATCTAGAGTAATCACATACCTTTGATATGAGTTTTGTCCGTACCGCGACGTTTCTGAGATCCCTTATCCTTCCTAGGCGGATTCTTGTTCTGTCGAGGTAATTTAAACGACGACTCAACAGTGCGGGACGAGTGAATGTGGTGCTTTATGGTAGATGATCTCGTTGTACTCGTTTTCCACCTGTTCGGATTATTGTGCCTCTCTTTGTCGTACTCGTCGTCGTCGCAATCACCTTCGTAATTATCCCTATAGTCCACACATGGCACAGGCGTGATTGATTGCGGCTTGGTCTTCTTGGTTGCAGGTTTTCTTTGTAACTTCTCGGACTTTCCGCAAGGCTGATCAAAGTTCTGTAATGAAAGAGTATATTCATAGTGGGGTAGTCAATTTGAATATTCTAAAAATATTTTTTAAATATTTACTATGAAGACTAATGTGACACCTTACCTTACATGGCGGTGGATCATCTTGAACAGAGCTCTCCGTCGTTGTAGAAGACGTTTCTTCCTCCGAAAGATGAACACTCCTTTGACTACTGTTCGTATCATATTTCTTAAAAGAAACTTGATTGTTATTACTATTCCCAACGGTAGTTTGTTTTCTTTTGCCGTCTAGTTTACTACTTCGAGCGTTGTTCAACAGCCCCGTTGTGTCAACTTGAACCTCGTGATCAATCAGTTTCGTCTCATCTTTAGCCGTTCCAACTAGACTAGGTTTTCCTTTCCTGTTAGTTACTGGACTCGACTTCATATACGCGTTCACGCTATATTTCTTCTCCTGCGATACTTGAACATCCGGAAACGCAATCTCTGCCATGCAATTATCCGTTTGAATTTCCGGTGCGTTGTTCTGCCTCTTATTATTCCTTTTCTTCGCGCCAAGCGCAATATTGCTTATCGCATTATTACTGTTATCTAACGACGACTCTTCGCTGCGTTTAAAGGACAACAGGTCCTTCGTTTCGGTGTCTAATTTAAACCTACGTTCTTCCTCCGTGGACCAGTCAGGAATTTTTAGTCCTTTCTGCACGTTTTCCTTCTCCTTGTATTTTTTCACGTTCATTAGCGCCCAGTCCGGGTACGTATCCTCTTTCTTCGCCACCTTTGGTCTCTCTTCAGTCATTAATTTCTCCTTCAGGGAGGTCTCCTGTGTCGAGTGCACAGGCATGTGCGACAGCAATCTTAAATCGAACGGGGCCTGGACTGGACTCTCCCTCGAAAAACTAGCCAAAGCTCCTCTTAATATTCTGTCTGCTTCGAGAAACGAAATGGCAAGTATACATGTTAACAGAATCGACGAAAGACTCACAGCTGCCCATTGAACACCATACTCCCATGATGGCCTTGTCAACGCGGATGTACAATCGTCCAACGAGTACGGAGGAAGAGTGGCGAGTAAATTCAGCGTCATCATGCCGTTTTGAATATCACTGTCTGACCCTAAGCTCGTCGATATGAAAAGCTTCCTTTCAATCCGTGACAATGTGAAATCTGGCGTGAACGCAATCTCGATCTTCTTGGTCGCATTTGGATTTAGCTTGAATGGCATACAATTCAATACTTTGAATCCGTAACCCTCGCAACGCAGGCCGTTTATGTAAAAGTCGTAGACGTCTACGGGAAGCTCTCCCGTGTTCCTAGCCATAAAAGATCTCTTCACCGTCAGATTGGGTACGGGATTTCGTTTAGATCGTTCTCCTATTTTTTTTTAAAGATAAACAAATCGTTAGGTTAGTGCATACGTTATCAAACGAACTTAAATCACATTTCTTAATGTTTTCGATAGAGATTTTATAAGTTGCCCAAACAGAAGTACCAAGGTAAAGAAACGTACATACGTTCACAATCTTTTAGATGTTTATCTGCGAGTTCGAAGAGTAAAGGTGTAGTGGAGCCGGGCTTCCGGTTCCCGAATCTGAATTGTGCATTCGCCCCTTGGCCCATTATACGCAATACTTCCAAAATGGTCATGTTGTTCCTAGAATGAATATATAGTCTTTATAAACAATGGAATTTGTAATAACGAATATATGTATAGTTTATGACCACGCTGTATCGTTTGCACCAACTATGCTTTCAACTATTTTCAACTACAAATTGAATTCCAGACGAATTTTACTAAGTTTTATTTTCGTACATGTACCAAATTTACCTAATATATAAAAGTGCGGATGATAAAGTGGGTGAGAAAGGAGTGTATGACACTCGTATAGTTTTCGATTCCGAGCGTTTTAAATATATGGGAATCGACTGCGGCGCTACCGTAACGTCCCATTCTCTTTCAAAATGTTCACGATCCTCTACATTCTCTTCTAACTTAAACTCCTCCGCAACTGTAGACCCACATTCTACACACGCGAACTTAAACCTATAAGCGGATACATTAATATTAGATACTTGTTATATTTTCCTGCGTGCTACGAAGAAATTTCGGAAAATAAATGTTACACACTTGGCCGGTAACGAATGATAAAGCCTTGTCCCTTGTGGGTAATTCCAATCCATTACCAACTGTAGTATCAAAGGATTGGTACTCGGATTGTATAGTTTAATCGTGCTGTAAGAAGTATTCCCGACTTGCGTCAATGGAAACACTAAAGCGACTTTATTTTTATTGTTACCGAAGCCAGTCAATAAACTGGGCCAATATGGTTTTATGTTCAAGTAAAATTTGTGCCCGCGAACTTCCGTAGTGTCTAAACGCATTGTTATATTCTGCCATGAACGACCGCCCGTTGAATTAAGAAAACGCGTGTATCTGCTGTTCAATAAATTCAAATCGGAATCTCTTGTGTGCGATGGAAGGGCCAAGGTGTTTAACCACTGTCTGCCAGCTGCAACGTGGTATAACATTATCTTACGTTACGTTAAACTTTTATAAATTTATACAACAGAATGTCTGTTTCTTTCTCTTTTCTTTTTTTCAATACCCATATCATCACTTACCATTACTATCTAACGACAGACCTAAATAACAATGATGCTTGCAGGTCACCGATGGTTCAATCCTAACTGACCCAACATAGTTTTCACCTTTTGTTATAATTGGCATCGATGCTTCTTCCAATGGAATATACTTTATCCTATTATCTTTATAAACAGGCACGATTCGAGTCACCTGCATGGGCCTTACAAACGTCGAATACACTTTTACTTGTTGCACGCAAATAGACCCCTGCATAGAAACCATTACATAAGATTTCATTATTAATCATACGCGAACATTGGCAGACCACTCACAGGAAAACAGTCTGTGAAAATAAGTTTCTTCAACGAGAGTCTTCCGTACGCCACCCGCATATAAACTGGTAAAATGAATCTTTCGTAGGTCGTCCTAACGAATACGTCGCCTACGATGGTGTCTTCTTCGACCATTGAAGTTTTCACTTTAATTTTAAAAATGGCTAAGTAACCGGGTTTTATGTATTGCTGAAATTAAGAGGGAGAACTGTTCATCCGATGCTTCCTTAAAAGTATTAAATCAATCCCTATATCAATAAAAATCCTTACATTGCCGGTGTGACTACACACAGTTATATTACGAAGCTCTTTGTCTAAAAAATCCGCCGGACCTCTTTTACAACCCATGAGTTCCAATACTGCACCGGGCATATTCACTCCCCATCCATGTAAGTCTATATTGATTGGATTTTGATTTTCCAGAGCGAAAATAGCTTCGTTCTCAGTCCCGCTCCCCACTGTGCCGAAATTCATTGTGCCCTCGTCGTTTTCTTGTTCCTCGGGAACAATTTTTCTTACTTTTCCATCGTAACTGAGTAAAGGAACTTCGGTTACGGAAACATTCGAATGAATTAAAATCGACGACTCCATTTTGACGTTATCCGTTTTCCTATCTTTGGCAAGTTGCAATGAAAAAATATTGACCTTTTGTTCCGGCTTTATCACCCTCGGAGTAAAGTTTTTTATCTGCAAAATGTACAGAATATCGATAAGTTTTGTCATAACGTTATTATTCTTGATCGAAACTGGATGTTTAGAATTTCGTGAAGTCTGCTTACCGTGAAAAGTGACTTTACATGCGATGACATTGTGACATTCGTGATAGCTAACGGCAATTTAAATTTATTAACAACGCTGAAGTTTCGCGCTTGATTAGATTGGAGAGAACAATAATGTGTAATTGATGCGTTTACTTCTAGTCCACCCTGTAGAACTTGTGCTATCCATGGTATTGTTAATTTCTGACTAGAACCACCGGGACCTATCGCCTTAATCACTAGTTTCCCTTTAAAATGCTGTAACTCTAAACCAGTCTTCCCTGAAACGTAACATACGTACCTATTACGTCGCGTGATGTATACTTGAGGGTAACAACATTATTAGGTAATAAATCCAGTGGGCCATAAACAGAAGCTTCTCTTCCGCTGCTGAGTCAGCCATAGCCTCAGCTTTTCAACATAATCTTCGGTAATTCGAAAATTTCTTGAACAATTTCAAGGTAATTTAATGTGCATATAACACGGAACAAGTTGAACACAGAATTCGAAATTTCTCTTCATGGTTCTCCTAGACTTACTACCGCGCTATATCGTTACCACTAAAAATACAGTTATAAATTATGTCGCATAGAAAGAGACTGCGTACAGTCATAAATTAGTGCTCCAATCGCAATCGGTATGTCTGTGTCACCTGGAATTATCGCTTGTTCGAAATGAAGTTTCAACGCTTTCGACACAGGTGTATTAATTATATTCTGCAAGAGAAACAGAACAGTTATTTTAAGAGAACAAAAAAGTTCGACTGTAATCGACAGATAATGCTAAGAGATGCGAATAATATTCACCATAATTTTAATTGGTTTCTTTGCCGAATTCTTTAAAGCAATAGGGTACTGTATAGGAGGTTGTAACGATCCACCCATACCTAAATTGATTACACCGGAGCTTCCACCCCAATGAAGACCAGCCCCACCTTTCACTTCAACTTCAACCGTTACAACAAGCACTTCTGATGTATTATTTACTTTAAGTCTGTAATCCAGAAAAGTACATGTATGAGAATTAAATTTTATCAGCAGCAAAAGAACACAATATTACAAACCTAATATACGCGGTATGATTTTTCTCTGTGTAAGCATTAAAATGTAGTCTTATAATAGGCTTTGTCTGATATGGTGGGATTTCCCATAGTTCGCGCGAACCTTCTGCCTCTCCTGATGGCAATTCTAGCTGAAATTCTCCACCACTACTATATACTTCTAGAACCTTTGAAAATATAATAAAACACAATTTAACAAAAAAAAAAAAAAAAAAAAAAAAAATTAAAAAAAAAAAAAAAAAAAAAAAAAACAATTGCAACTGGAAATTAGTCAAACTCAGACAAGGAATCCTCTAGCTAGGAATACGTACTTGTAAAGCTTCTGCATGTGGATTGTGCATGTATATAAGTGGAGTAAATGTTGCATTTAAAGGTAATTTAACACCCACTACAGGTCTGAGTCGATACGGACTACTGACACTTATTCCTTTTACCTAGAAAACAAAATTATATTTAATAAAAAAAATATATATTAAAAGTATATAATTATGCGTAGAATGAGTGGGTTACTTGGTATTTTATAGTTCCATCTGTAGTATGTATAAAAAGATGCGTATCAATATCGCCTTCTTCTCGACCAAGAAAAACAACATCGAATGTTGTGTTCCCCAGTGGTGGTATTATCTATGTACATTAAAATATAAAGATTTCTAATATCCTTATTTCTCTTGAATAAGATATTTCTACTTGCCAGTTACAGCAAACATTACTTGTGTTACTTGCATTTTATTAGGAGTCATTTGTTAGAAAAAACATAATTTAACATTATTAAAAACTTACTTTGCTTCGAAAGAATGATGAATGGAAATGACGTGTATTTCCGGAAATCGATAAAAGATGGATTGTTTTGTTATGATCTTTATTAAACAAGATCACAGTTTCTTGGTGGGGTATACCAAGTTGTCTATGAAAAAAAAGTTTTAGTGAATGAAGTTCCATTTGAATTACCATGCTTGGTGCTCTTGGTTTCCACTTACCTCTCTTTAAAGTCCAAAACATGTGGTTCAAAATGAACATAAGATAATGTATCTTGTGTTTTATCTTCATTTGATTGTGCATCCCTTAAAAGTAGTTATAAAATTTTAATATACTCACAGTAAGTTAGTAAATATACTTCTAATAGTGGAAATTGAAAATAGGAAAGGTACGAGAGAAATTAGTTTGAAGTAATCACAGTTAGTAAAGCAGTGTTTAGAATTTGAAAGCTTTATTGTTTAGACTTGGTACTGTGATGAAATGATTAAATGGTTAAAAACATTCATTTAAGTGATGTGAACTTTACATATACTGTACTTTCTAAGGTATTCCTAATCGCCTGTACGTATAACGACATAACAAATATTAACAGTTACAAAGCAACAAAGTTATTCTTTTTATACAATGAAAAAGCAATTACAATACTTTTTCTAGTTTCTTTACACATAATCAAATCATCAAAAAAGACTACAATATTGGGTGTGAATATTTTACAAGTAAGGAAGGAAATTTATAATGAAAACCTTTCCTACTTCCACTCACCATTATGTTTTAATGAGTATTATGCTTACCCAGCCCCATGTACTGTATTGGTAAAATCCTAGAAAGCAAAGAAATCGATAAAATGACCATCAAATAATGTAAAATTTAACCCTTCCGCTGCAAAAAGTATACTTGTGTGGTTTTTAATAATTGTAAATACTTTATTAATCTCACACATGCAGTAGCGAAAGGGTTAAATGAAAAAAGAGATTAGTTGAACTGACCTTATGCACAGACATAGGTATGTTGTCCAAAAGGTATTGAACATCATTGTCATCCTGTACAAAGGCTGGAAAACAAAATACTACTGTCAAAAAACATTTACCATTCACAGTACAAGATTATATTTTCAAAATTCTTACACTACTTATAATCATTAAATTATAGATGTATGTGCAAATGTAGGTTTTGATGAACAGATTTATACAAAACCAAATTATAAGAAATTTGTTCATGTTATTAGCACTTTCATCGGACAAGACTTTTAAGATAAAAAGATTACATTAAAAGTAAACAATTCTTTATTGTACTAAGTTTTACACAATTATGTATAATATAAATGCATAAAGGCCTCAGTCTATTAATCATATTATACCTTGCTCTTGCTGAAACAAGTTGAATTTATAAATTTCTGACATAAAACTGGAACCAAACATTACAGAGACAGATCTTGTTTCACAGTTATTTATTAAAATTAGATTTAGTATGCAATGTTATCGCATATAATGGAGATTTCTGTCATTACAAATGTTGCTCCAACTCAACTATGTAAAAATGCTTAATAGTAAATTTTCTAATTTTTCAATTAAACATGTTTAAACGAAGATTCTATAACGAACCAGTAACGTAAAAAAATAACAATAGTCAGTGATCATAATAACATTAGTTTCTTCTTTACTGATGTAGACATTTGATTTCTGCAAAAAATAACCATTCCTCGACCTTCAAATAGAATAAGGAAATACATCAAGATAGGAAAGATCTGACGCCCGTTAAAAACGACAGATTTCATGTAAAATAACAATGCACGAGCATTCTCGCGGTTGTGTATGGTTGTAGTGTAAGATGACGAATGTTAAAATAGCGAAAATGCGTGCTTACCATTATTGTGCCCATGTAAGGACGGTCGAATTTGTGACGTCAGCTCAAAAAACGTTAACAGGAGGAGACAATAAAGTACTTTTAACTCAGTCATAATAATAGAGTTTCACTGTGTTGTTTGCTGTTTTGTCTTTAGCAGAAATGAAAATCCGCTTTCGGCCATACTTTCGCCACTATCGAATTCTGAAGTATCGATTCTACTTCCGTCCGATTTCAAACATCTTTCCACAAACGAATTTCGTACGACCAATCTGACGAAGATAGATTATATTCACTTCTCGCACCTTTTATTATTATATCGATGTACTGCTGATATCCAAAGCTAGTCCATCAGTTCACTAAACTTCCGAGGTAATCTTTTCTCCGTAAAATTGTTATCCTTTCCATGAACAACTTTCGATATTCACACTCTTATTCACTAATTAAACTTTTTGGGACGGATGAAACGTCGACTTTGTGACTGAAATTGAAGTTTATTTCGATCACAAAGTATCTGTTGGTACTTTGTTTCTTTCTATATATAAATTATTGGACGAATTATGTACTGATTATTAGAATATAAAATTATTGATGTTATTACTAGAAGAAGTACAAGACTTTATTAAACATTTCATACGTTGGATTTCATTGAAGCTGATAAGTTTAATTTGTTAATAAGTATAATTATCAATGAACATTTGGAAAAATTGACCAATCCCGTCACGTTACTGTAGAAAAGTTGACTTCATCAAGTATCTCTATTTATATCTAATTTGAACTTTTCATCAATCTACCAATCAGATAAGATTACGACAAAGATTTCGTTAACGTCAATCACATTTATGATGGTGCTAATGCTATTGTTTGTCCCATCTCCCTACGACCTACGATATTGTGCATTAACACAATTGTCCGATGTGGCGTTTTTAATCATGTCTTATTTTTTTGTCATATACATACATATGTATATGTACAATTTAATAGTCGAAGAGACCTATATCGTCATCTACACCAAACAGTTAAGCTACTGACTAATTAGTAGATCTTAGTCACTGTTAGATGACGCCACACTACTCTTTTTTTATGAAACTACTAAAGCAAGTATGTAACATCTTCTGGACTCGTTTTCGTTCAGGCACATCGGGCCCGTTTATCGTTATCCACATTTATCCATTTATCACCATTGATCACCATTATCACACGCTGTTACTTTAACCTCAATGGTAAACAAGTGTAATATGCAGCGTGTTCAGCAATTAAACATTTTATTTGTATATTTTCCGCTAAATTGAAGTATATTAATTATTGCAAATATTGATTGTTATATATTAATATATTAGTGTCCAAGTGCACGGTCAACATGCGGAATATAAAATATAGTAAGTAATGACACGTATGTGTATATATATATAATATATAATATATATTTAGAATACTATGAAATTTTAAATAAAATTATTTTTAATGGTTTCACATTTAATGTTTATTCCTGATCCAATAGATAATAAAGGTGACAAAAAGAAACTTTCTTGGATCTATAGAAAGAAAACAAAGCTACAGAGATCCGAGAAATCGATGCAAGAATCAAATGACAATGAGGAGGAAAATAAAAAGCCCAGAATTATTGTTCGCAATCTACCATTTAAGGTTGGTATTTTTGTAATAGCAACATGTAAATTTTGAAATATCGTTTCATTTACCATTTTACTTATATTGTCTCTTATCCACAGACAACTCCAGAGGATGTCAAAAAGTTTTTTGAGCCATTCGGCCCAGTTGAAGAAATAAACTTTCCAAAACGTGCAGATGGTTCACCTATAGGATGTTGTTTTATTCAGTTTAAACAATTAGAGGATGCATCAAAGGCAATATTTAACACAAACAAAAAGGAATTCCTTGGTAATCTCACTTTAATTTTCAATATTAAGTACATTTATTAACTGTATTAAGTTAAACAAATATTATTTTAGGTAGAGTAATAAACAGTAGTTGGGCTGTATCCAAGTCTAAGTATTGTGAAAAATTGAAAAAAGAATCTACAAAAAATGTAGATCATGCAGAAAATCAAGACACAGAAATCAATAAAGAAATACAAAAGGATAATCATAAACAAAAAAGAGAAATACCAAAGACAGAGGAACATGTACAAATAAAGAAAGAGAGGAGAAAATCTTTGAAGGAAAAGAATAGAAAAAAAAGAGCAAGGATTGTAATAAGAAATTTATCATTTCAGGTAAGAGAAAACCATAATTTGTCATACTTCTTTAATTTCTTAGTATAATTGAAGTTTGTCTAATTTTAGGCAACTGAGGAAAGTCTGAAAGAGCATTTTTCTCAATATGGAACAATAGAGGAAGTAAAAATCCTAAGGAGAAGCGATGGTCAAAATGTTGGTTGTGCATTTCTACAGTTTGAACATGTACAAAGTGCAGCTAAAGCCATACATTATGCAAATTTGCAACAGTTACTTAACAGGCTCATTGTGGTTGATTGGGCAGTACCTAAAAATAAATTTTCCACAAATGATACTAAAAATATGGAAGAAGGTGAGATAAAAGTGAAGATAGAAAAAGGAAACGATAGTGAAGAGACACCTGCTCGAGAAATTGCAAAAAATTCAAGTGAAGAGTTAGGTAGGTGAGTAAATATTTTAATTAATATTAAATTTTTTGAATTAGTTCTAAATTGCATTTTTCTTAAGAAGCATACGTACATTCTTTTATATCTCTGTAGTAATGGAACACATGTGGATACTTTCTCAAAATCATATGAATCTGATGACGAAGATCAGATGGTGGTTGAAAGTAAATCAGAAGATGAGAGTAAAGCTTCAAATGAGGAATTATCTGAATATGGTGGAGATCTTAGCGAGGAAGAAGAAGTAGAAGAAGCGAAGAAAGATATAACGGAAGAAAAACGTTCACGTTTCGAATCTCATGATGTCTCGGAAGGAAAGACTGTATTTGTGAAGAACGTGCCATTTTCTGTAAAGAATGAGCAATTAAAAACGTTCATGGAACGCTTCGGACCAGTTTACTATGCTCTTATATGTATAGACTCGCTTACTGAATTCTCAAAGGGTACAGCGTTCGTGAAATTCAGGGTAAATATTAATTTTGTATATCCAGTTTATGATAATGCATACATTTTCATAAACAATTTTATTGCAGAACGTAGAGGATGCTGAGAAGTGTCTGACAGCAGGAAAGGAATTGGAAATGGAAGATCAGATAATGGAGGCACAAAGAGCGCTAGATAGAAATGAAATAGAAAATAAAACGAACTCGAAAAAGCCTAAACTTAAAGATTCCAGAAATTTGTATCTTGTAAAAGAAGGAGGTAATACATATCAACACTTACAACTGAAATTCATTTCTAGTATCATTTACAGTATTACAAATTTATTTCTCAGTTATACTGGCCGGAAGTCCAGCCGCCACTGGAGTATCAGCAGCAGATATGGCAAAACGATTACAAATAGAGCAGTGGAAGTCGCAAATATTACGGAATTTAAATATGTTCGTGTCCAGAACACGACTCGTAGTTCACAATCTACCACCGGCATTAGACGACGTTAAGCTCAGAAAAATTTTTGAACGTCATGGACCTCCCAATGCAATTATTCGAGAGGTATTTTTAAATTTAAATATAACAGTTCGTATATTGTATATTGTATCGGCTCAAACAAAAGAATAAATAAAATGAATTTTCTTAAGGCAAGGGTCATGCGAAATCTGAAGAACGTCGACATGAAAGGAGTAGGACTGTCCAAAGAGTATGCATTCGTTTCATATACGAACCATGAGGACGCGCTCCAGGCTTTGAGGAATATAAACAATAATCCGAACGTATTTAGCCCGAAAAGAGTACGTTATTATTGAAATTCTTGTTTTACTACATCTGACTTTGGAATTATGAAACTTTATTCCTTTGTTACATAGAGGCCAATAGTATCTTTCTCAATAGAGAATCGGGTTATGGTGAACGCCAGACAGAGAAGAATTCAGAAGAGTCGAGAGAACAATCCAACTTGGTCGGGGAACAACGCGAAAAGGACAGGAGACATGAACGAGGAAGTTCCGATGAAAAGATTCAAGACCGGAGAATCGCATCAAACGGAAAAAAATGAATCGAATAAAAAATCATTTGTAGGTATGACTGGCAAACTGGGTGAAAATAAACTACGATCGAACTATAAATTAAAAAATCAATCCATGGTACACCATCAAACAGTGAAGAACGAGAAGAAGCTGAAAAAGTCTTGGAAAAAGTTGGAAGAGAAAAGGAGACAAAGAAAGACAAATAAAAATGAAGCTAAAGTTAGTACTTTTTCGAGTCTATAAGCACGATATTTAATAATACATGTTTTCATCTCTATTTACGAAGTCATATTTCAATTGTGTGCTTTTTTTTTACAGCCGAAACAAAGAACAAAAGTAAAAGCTGAGGATGTACACATAGATAAACTTGTAAATAGCTATAAGAATAAATTAAAATCAATAGACCTGAAGAAATCTAAATGGTACGAATCGTAATGCTCAGACTTGTGTATTAGGATTTTTCAAAAAATTGTTAAATTCATCATTTTTGTTCACATTGAAAAATAAATTTTATTTAAAAAAAAAATTTTTTTTGTTCAACCTCATCTCTATAAATTACTTAATAAAATAATGCGATTTCGCATGGGTCCACAATCTTTCATCACATTCTGCCAAACTGTATTCGTAGTTACCGCTGATCACGTGGTATACCAAGATCGTACCAATGATCGATGTAAAGATTCTGTTCTACCAATAAGAGCGCTATACACGTTTAGTAAAAGAAATTTATCGAAAGGGCCCGTTCAAAGATGTACACAGATGTACAAATCTTTAGAAACTCAAGACTGATGGTTTTTCTATGTCATTTAATCAATTACATCATTTCAACATTCCGAAACGAGTATTGATGATGAACGATCAAGAATTCACGGTATAACTTATCTGTAACGACGAAACCTTTTGTGTTTTGTGAGAGTCTGATGAAGTTTGATGATATTTCCCCTCCTTAAAATGGCCTCCCACCTTGTTCTTTTCTTTTCGTCGAGATGACAGCTAGAGACCCGTTTGAATCGTATCAAATAGTTGGCGGGAACCGCTGACGAATAATAGTGAAAGGGTCTCTTGTACAGTAGTTCCCATAGTCTCCAAGTGTACTCTATCGAGCAATTAACAGCCATTAATTAATGTTGACTAACATATTCGATCAAGACGTAAAATGAAAAGTGAATAAAAACGAGTTTTATTTTAACTGAGGCCCGTGACTGTGTCAATAAGTATAATTAAGTTTGTATTAAAAGTGAATATTAGTTGCATACGACAAGTATACATATATGTACATATATGTAGTGATTTGTAACCACGAGTACCAGACTTTTGATTGTCCTGTGGTAAGTTATTTACAAATTCTCATTTAAAATCTATATATTCTATATAATGAATCTTGAAAAAATGGCTAGATCCATTGTTCTCATATGTTAATTCGTTAAAAAAATTGTGGGTTGTAAAATAATTAGGAGAACATATTGCTTTTAAACGATTTCAAACGGTCTCATATGTGTTAGTCCATCGAATGTGGATATTTAAAATAGATTAATTCCATGACAGTGTACAGATAAGTGAACAATCTTCCTCCTCTCTGTCATTCGAGAGATGGTAATTACTATCGACATTAAATCAATGTTATTAACAATCAGAGAATTGACAGACCGTAAATCTGGTCAAGGTGAAGTCACGAACGTGCAGAAAACAATGTTACCGTGATGATAATAACTGTACAAATCATTTTTACACGATCTATCGACGGTTAGACAAAGTTATAAAGAGCAATTTCTGCGAAAGATTTCATCTCTTATTGATTTCAAAATACAAGTCGACTTGATATTGTGTCTGATTAATTTCATTTTTTTCTCGATCACAATATGTCTCCTTTTCCTCCCGTCATAAAGTCGAGAAAGTTTGAGTCGGCTACTTTTTATGGAAAGCACGAATACAAAAAGCGGCTTCGTTCTTTCTTTAAATGTCAGAATTGTGCGACACCCATTAAACGGAACAATTCGCGACCCATTTTCGTACAATTCCGCTGAAGAGAGAGAGAGAGAGAGAGAGAGAGAGGCGAAAAGTAATTTGAGGCAGTCTGACAAATTTGAACCAATTACCGGATCACGAGTTCTCACAAAAGCAAACCTTTGAGAATGAAATGAAAAGTTGCTTGATTTAGAGACGGACGTAGACATCATAAATGCCGAGCAATCAGAAATGCTAAATCTGTTATGCTTCCTCTTAATTCATTTATTAAGCATAGAACAGTTTTAATACCTATTCTTGATTCTAAAATGTATTTCATGTTCCAGTAACAAAAAAGAACGTACGACAAATTTTTTCTCGTGCTAAATACATATGTACATGATGCATGTACACACGCACGAACTTGACACATGAAATTTTTAATTTTGTACTTTAAGTGGCTCTATCGACGTTCTGAAACCTGTTTTTATTCGCATTGTTCCTTGTAATATTCAATACGTTCACTTTAACTGCCCTATTTAAGATCCAGAGAATTTCTGCTGCCAGAATAATAATTTAACAATTTATCTTTGGTACTACCAAGTATACCAAGGCCTTACAAATCAGAACCTAAAGGTCATGCAGAATTTTTGCACTATCACGCCTTGTACCCTCAAGAGACCCCATCCGTTTTTGGTACAGGTGGACCACAAACTGGATCTGGCTAGACCAAATGTACATAGCAACTTACAATTAGACATACAATTATGTAGGTACTAATCGAATCCGGTGAAACGAAGATTAGCTATCAAATTGATTCATATTCGTATACATGTATACATGTACCCCGACCTAACCCAGGCCATTTAGTTTTATCGCTAAAAATGATACATGGACAAATGATAAGTACACTGTCCGAGGAATACGACGAACTAGGGGTGGGTTGGAACCTTACTTTTAAATTCTCGAAACTCGAATCCGAAATATTGTATGATTTTGAAACTTGAAACTCTCGAAACTCAAAGCGCTGATTTTGTTTTCTAAGAGGAATATTTTGTTTTAAGAACTGAAGTTTCAACAAAATATTTGTATAAATCTTTAGAGACAAAAAGCGCTAACACTCGATAGTTAAGCAGTTTCCACTTTTGACTATCAGCAAATAATACTATAATATGTGATTAAAAAATAAAATTGGAGAAAGCTGCGTCAAGCTCTCACGAATCACGTGTTCTCGAGCTGCACTTCTACAATCACGATTGATCGTCAATCTGCTTATAATAATGTAGGTACATATTTTTTATTCTTCATTCGTCGATTTTCATATTTTTTCTTACCTGGGTTTCGAGATTTTCGACGTTTCAAGAAACCCATCCCTATGAGAAACGCAGGAAACTTGTGTTTTTAGCTTCTTAGCTTTTTTTCGTTCATTTTCCAAAGAGAAGTTTACATGCCTGAGCGGCGTGAACGTTTCGTTGAAATGGTTTCCGCGAACGATTCAAGTCGTGAACGCGAGTACTTAACGACCGCTTTGTGGTTTCACCTGAAAGGATTGCCGCCGGTATTCGTGAAGCAATTCGCTCGTCACCGAAAAAAACGCTGTTGCTGTACACTGTCGAATCGAAAAGCTGGTCGAGAGTACGAATTACCGCGCTTCGTGTAATTATGGAATTAATGCACGTCTTTCATTCTTCGGATATCGTATTTCTGTTGTAATACATCTTCTTCTTCGTTTCACGTTGTCCCACGTCCTCCATAGAGTAACAATACACTTCTGCTCTTAGATATTAGGACACCTGATCTGTACGAAAGAATCCGATATTTCGTAAAAATTATACAGAGGTTGATACAAAAAACGGTTCGTAACTGCTGGGATAAATAATACCTAGCACGTACTTACTCGACCAAAGGATGAAAAAAAATCCCAATACACACGGTTCCAAAAGTTTATATTTTTAGAAGTTATGGACCCTTATTTTTCTATCACCCTTTATGAATATTTTACTTTTATTACCGTATGGTACTGTTAGTGTTATCCATTGAGCTTTACGATTCTCGAGATGATATTTATTGCAAACTTTTGACAAGCTCGTAATGCTTTATATTCGATAAGTGTCCTAACACTTATTAACGAAACTGTACAATCATTTTCAATGCTAAGTCCCACGACACCGTTCTGTGTGTTTCAGAATAAAAAAAAAGGACATGAGCATATTACGTGGCAAGCTCGCTAGGTCATTACTATGTAGCATTAAACAGTCGGGGAACCCACGTCGAACGTTAGAAACCTTCGCTACGACGGAGATCGGAGAACAGGATTGGTCGCAGTGTCGACCGTACACCGAAATTCCTGGACCGAAGCCTGTTCCCATATTGGGGAACACGTGGCGATTCATACCGTTCATAGGTATTCATTAATGTTCCCTGCCCGGTCGCGACAGATTTCGTGTGCTGGTCTCTTCGAAGCTAACGTAAACGAAGAGACACAATTTTCATTTTATACATATTACATACTCTTCGCGTTCTGTTATCCCTACATATCGGGACCTATAATTTTCGTCCGGTAATTTGAATAATCAGTTTTTATCGTGTAATTATTGGAATCGCTTAGAAGCCAAACTGGTCAACACTGAACTTACACGGAAGTAACATCTACAGTACTATATGTATACATATGTATCCTAAACTTCCTCGACCGCATAACTTGTGGTGTTCACTTCAGTGTTGACCAGTATATTATGTATATTATGTATGTATATACATAATATACAGAAAAATATAAGAAAATATTTCTTTGGCAATTTGAAAATAATTTGGGAATGAATGGGTTAAGCTGATCAGTTTGGCTTCCAAGCTCGTTCGAGTCTCATCAACGAGTTTCGAATTCACGTATAATTGAAGAGGAAAGGAAAAGGCCGGGGCAAAGTGCCGAGGGACACACGTGTGTCTGACTGACCTAAAAATCCGAGTTTTCAGGTGACTTCGAGATCCAGTCGGTAGACCAAGTGTCGAAACGGCTGCACGCGGAGTACGGGGACATTGTGAAAATGGAGGGTCTCCTAGGCAGGCCGGACATGGTTTTCATATACGATGCGAACGAGATCGAGCGTATATTCAGGCAGGAGGAGAGGATGCCGTACAGGCCTTCCATGCCGTCCCTGAATTATTACAAGCATGCGCTGCGAAAGGATTTCTTCCGCGACAATGCCGGCGTAATCGCTGTGTAAGCATCGAATCGTTTCACCGACGATCAATTGAAAGACAAATTTCTCTGACAAACAACTGATATTGTAATCGACTCACGAACTCACTTTAACCCTCGTAGAGCGGCGCTTTTGCTGAAACAGTTACGAGGAACCTATATTCGATGGATAACTGTTATGAAAGAGCGAAATTTTTTACTATGTCAGTTTTCGTTACGGTTTTAGATTCTCCTAACGACTGTACAGAATTTTACAGCAAATGAAATCACAACATAATACAGCTACGTATTGATTACTGTGAATAAGCAACATTTTTTTAAAGTTATTACGAATGATTAAATAAATATACATGTACATAAACAGTGATTTACAAATTTCATTTGCTCTGAAATTCTGTATAATCCTCACGAGAATCGGTTCTACATGAATATAACCGTTTTGGAACTGATATGGAACTTTAAAATTAGTAAAAGCAATAACGGATACAGAAGTGATAAAGGAACCGTAACTGAAACTGATATAGTCTGAAGTCTGAAACATAAGTTCTTAATAATTGTTTCAAGAACCGAAATCGATTTCGTAACAGTTTTCAGGCCCTGCTTGCCACAAAAACGCTGGATTCTGGGGCCGTCCTGAATCTTTACACATTCACTTTCCTGGGCGTATTGGGTCTCCGTGCAGAAATGTCTTGAAAGGAACCGAATTTTATTATATTTTATTTTTACGAGCCAGCGGGAGCGACAGGAAATCTCGAGAGTCTTGGTATATCTATAAAAATTTTTACGGCCTTTCCATCCGTGGGATAAAGTCAGAATTATATGTATGTATAGTATAGTGTCGGTGATTTATACGACGCGATGCCACGATACACCTGACGTTCGATTCCCTGTTGGGACTGCACGGAGGGAAGTGCTTTCAATGCCGTTGACTCGGAGGGGTTCATGACCATTGGCCCTCCCACCGTCTGGATCATAAACTGTCCAATTCAGAACGACAGGTGCTATTCGTGTAGTTGGCTAAATTATGCTCTTGTCACACCTGTCGCCAATGATTGCTAACAGAAACGGAGTACCGTAGGATATCATGAACTCTTCATTAAAATTGAACTAGTCAAACGATGATTAACTATCTCTCTGATATCGTGACACTCGTCGTGAGCTTTAACGTACAACTATCGTTTTTATCTAATTAAGTGCCTTTGTCTTGACATGTCTTGATAGCTTTGCCTCGAGATAGAATAATTTACCTAAGTGGTTTTACGTAAAAACTTGCAAAAATTTAACGACTGCACGCGACAATAGCGCTTGCCACCGTAGCGAAAGGGTTTAATGAATGTATCAACTTTCATCGCATGGAAACTCACTGTCCATAGCATGAAACTTAATTATGAATACGTGTAGGTGTAGCTACTGCAGCTCACAGAGACACATACGTAAAAACACTGATTTCACGGACGTCACGGCAATTGCATGGACTATAATTTCAACTGACAGGTTCATCGAAATCTCAGTCGACTTTACCAATTCGTTGTTGGTTGATCACACAATTTGTGGTGATGATTTTTACTGGGAAACCTGTGGCTGTATAAGAGAATGTAAGGTATTGGTACATGAAGTAACATTTCAAAAAAAGGGCCCATTAACGTAATTGAAAATTCTATCTAGCTATACATTACGTCTGTCCTGCAAACGGTTCTTTGTATCGTAATATTAGCTTTCTCTCCAGAATACACGCGTATGTACATATGTATGTATATGTAAATACATTGCTTACATACTTTCAATTTCGTCAAGTTGAACAAGATGTTTCTGGTTAGACAGGAGTCATCACGGTTTCACGATGTTTGCGGATCTCATTGTCTACTTATAATAGTCAAATATTGACGTTACGATCCACGCGGTTGAGTTGCTTAATCTTTCACTTAGCAAATCAGTAGAATAGCAAATGTTTGCCGCCGCTATCGAGAGTGTATGCTACATGCCACTTGCATTTTCATCTTTAGAGACTCCTCAGCTTTGGATACTTTTAATTCTATTTTACAATATTATCTTTGATTGATTCGGACAAGTATTCCTATTATTTTCAATTTTTCTCTATTTGCTATTGAAACGATACTCTTTTAAAATATTCGATTGATTTTTACGGTCCAATCATTGGAGTAACGGATATTACACTTGACTTTAAATTTCCTGCCAGATCGTGCGAATATCTACACATTTTGAAAGTTCACAAATCAATTCGGAAGGATTCAATTCTCTTTAAAGTAGGTATCTACACATTACACATCTGTTGAAACTTAATAGCGCAATATTGTGTGCGGTGATCCGATCAATGCGGCGCGTAAAGAGAAATCAGAATCGCGTCCTAACACCGAAATACGACACTGTAGCACATTTTTGGTAGGGACGTATTAGGAAATCGGGTCGCGATCGATGCAATTGCAGTTCGAGTTGTTATGCAGGAAGCGATAGCCTAACACCCATATACGGTTGCGCAACCTTTGCTTTCAAACGGATCGTGTAACGTGAGTCGCGTTCCTAACAATCTTAATTCACCCTCATTTCGGCGGAACTTATTTCGTTCGGAACCAATTACGTGTGGTCATTTCGTGGACCAATGAAAAATTCCCCCAACTAATATTGCCACTGAATACGTCCACATCCAGTTATCCCGATAACAAGACTCGTTTCAAATTGATTTTCAAATATCAACTTTCAAGTAAATCGAGTTTAAAAGTTATTCTTCCTCCATTTGCCTCTCTAACATACATCCTTCATTCTCTTTGTATTTTGTTATTCTGTTATTTAGGACAAAGTGATATAACGTACTATGTGAAAAAATACCACTTACAACCTTCACTCACTAAAAATATACAATTTTCACAACAACAAAACTAGTGTTAAACAACCCCGTCATCCTATTGTTCCATCACTTCTCTCAATTTCGTTTGAAAATTTCAATTAATCTGATATAGATCATACCCATCGTTAAAGCCCCATTCGTAAAAACTGTTATTGCCAAAAACAATCTATGTGGTTCCCGAATATTTCCAAGAGTTCAAGTTAGAAAGCTGCCGAATATAGTCTTCTATGTTTGTAGGCCCAAGAGGTTCGTCGAACGACACAACCGTTAAATTATTCAACAACGATCGCGGTTGATCGATCGTTGATTCGTCTCGTTTCTCGTAAAATGCCTAGAATCTTGGATTCCTCTGAGAAACTTTCGATTTGTTCCAGACATGGCGAGGACTGGTACAACTTCCGGAGCAAGGTGCAACAGGTGTTGCTGCAACCGCGGATCGCGAGAATGTACATTTCGTCGATGGAGGAGGCGAGTTTAGCGTTCCTTCGAAGGTTCGCCGACAAACAGTCCAACTCGTTGAGATAATGTCGCGTCATGTATAACTTTCACTCTCTTCCGTTGTCCTTCTTTTTTCTCCTCATTCAAGTGCGTGTCGTTTCACCGTGAGGCAATACTATTCTTGTTTCTTTTCTTCAGAATATCGAAGATACGGGACGAAAACGACGAGGTGCCCGATGATTTTCTCAACGAGGTTCACAAGTGGTCCCTCGAGTGTGAGTGAAAAACGATATTTCATCGAACGAACATTACCGTTGCCGATTTCAATTGCCAGCTGTTAGATACTCGTTACTCAAGATTATGTTATTCTACTCGGATTAGTCGAACGAATTCATATATTTTTCATTTTCATTCCAGTTTTGTATGAATTAGTCCGTAAAAGTTCGTATTTGCATAAACATCCGTAGTATATTTATAGCTTACACGTTATACGATAATAGTACTATTACCATTCATGTATTCGATTATAACATTATAACACGAAGAAGAATTTTTCAGGTAGAAAGATTTATACGATAATAGTACTATTACCATTCATGTATTCGATTATAACATTATAACACGAAGAAGAACGGAACGACGACAACGGCAACGGTTTTCTACCTGAATACCGTAATGTATGATAATGCTTCGTCATCTTCTGGACTATATATCTATTCCAGCATTAGATGTTAATGTCGTTGGTAAACGAAAGCTATCCCGGATTTGAATTCTTGTTCCAACAGCAGACTTGCCTTCATCGCAGAACCCCAGCCGAATACATTTAAAACAATCGCACACAGGCCATAAACTGTTGCATGGGTATTCATAAATCGTCTTCTCTTTTTCTAGCCATCGCTCGTGTTGCACTGGACGTTCGATTAGGCTGCTTGGATGACGACGCGAATGCGGAAACCCAAAAGTTGATAGACGCAGTGTGCACGTTCTTCGTGAACGTGGGAATATTGGAGTTGAAGATCCCATTCTGGAAACTGTTCAATACACCCACGTGGCTTGAATACGTGAACGCGCTGGACACCATTGTGAGGTAATATAAAATCAATGGAAATATGTAGTGGTACTATTATAGTATTCGTGATGTATATGTATATTTTCAGCATAACTTCAAACTACACATCTGCTGCACTTACAAGGATACAGGAAGGCAAGAATAGTGATAAGGAACCCTCTGTTCTGGAAAGAGTATTGGCTCTTGAGAATGATAGTAAATTGGCCACTACCCTGTCTCTTGATCTGTTTCTCGTTGGAATTGACACTGTACGTATCATCGTATCTCGAGGGATCGTGTAGTTTACATACATATTCGCTTGTTGTCGTTAGATTGCGGATGCTTATGCAAATATAGATTTTGCAAATATAAATTTCTTTACGTTATTAGGTATTTTATTAGACTTTATTACATTTTTTGGCTATACTGACATAAATATAAATGCACAAGATCGGCAGTCCAGTATGTATCATATAAAGTATGAAACACCATTTTCTATTTGTATAAGGATTATAACTAGACTTTGGAAGTTTATGCAAATTCACAGTTTCAGATAGTAATCTCTAAAAATTCAAATGGAGCAGAATTTTCAATTCTATACTAGAGACTTTACTACGTTAATTAATAGTAACACATACATACTTACACAGTGTTAAACTCGATTAAAACCTCTATTTTATTGCGTTTTCCAAGTTAAAAGCTTAAACTATAAATGCTTAAACATCCGTCATCTAATTGTAAGAATTCAATGTACATAATTCGTAACTACGTAAAGATTAAATGTTTTTTACAGACTTCGAACTCTGTGGCGTCCGTATTGTATCAACTAGCTCTGCATCCGGAGAAACAAGACATAGTCTACAAGGAAGTGTGCAAGGTGCTTCCAGACGAAGGCACGCAGCTCGAAGGGAAGCATATGGATCAGTTGAAGTACTTGAAGGCGTGTATTAGAGAAACCCTGAGGTTCGCGCATTAACTCTTAAAGCTTGAGAATCCTAATCCCTTAAGACGTCGATTCGAACCGTTAATGCTTAATCTCTTTGGCCACGGTCAGGACAAGTAACCTCAAAGTGTTAAAGTAAAAATAACAGGAACGATTTCTTCGCACCAGAGTATTTGTAGGTTGTTATGTTAACTCACCTTCCCGTTGTTCGATAAATATACATATTACATGGACTAAAATGTGATTTCCAGTAGAATTCACGGCACGGGAACGATTCCCAGATCAATATGTTTAACTTGGAATTAAAAGACGCCTGAATTTATTGTTTTTAATGTATTCAAAACGTTTCTACCGGAAGAATTTCTTTTTGTTCGAAGAATCTTTTTCTTTGTTACTTCCTTTGGATTTTCAATTTTTTAAGTTACTTATTATCTAACTATTACGGTATAATGATAGTTGATATACATACACTGTTTTATGTTTATCAGAATGTACCCAGTCGTCATTGGCAATGGACGATGCATGACGAAAGACACAGTAATTAGCGGATATCAAGTACCTAAAGGCGTAAGCAACACTTCTTCTCTTTATATGATAGAATGATTCATGTTGCAATTGGACGTCGCTAATGAATACAGTAATAGCGGTCATTGGTGTATGAAAATTCGTTAGGTATGCGTCATTGTCATTACTAGACTGCGGAAATTTATGCAAATTCTCCGTTTTACATGCAAATACCTAGATGAAAGTCGGTAATACACAGAATTTTGTTTCTTATATAATATTAAGGATATCAATACATACATTAATATACATATAACACATATGCCTAAGTAGCATTAAACTATAATACATTGTTATTTTTATTTTACGACATTCTGCGGGCGAAGATGTACTGTAAGGGCATAAGTATCCGTAGTCTAGACATTACTATGACAATATGTTTCCATTAAAGATAAAGGTACATTACAACTTATATTGTTAGTCTGAGCTTCAGACAATGATGGTTATACAGTAATGACCAGTAGATGTAACATATAAAAAGTTTCTATTTCTACCTGTGTTTCCGCAATTAGGTTCAAGTGGTCTTTCAACATTACGTGATAAGTAATCTGGACAAGTACTTTCCACGAAGCAGAGAATTCCTTCCGGAGAGATGGTTGCAGGGCGACGACGGCGTGCGACACAGTTTCGCGTCGCTCCCTTTCGGCTACGGAAGGAGAATGTGTCTGGGGCGACGATTCGCCGAACTGGAAATGCTGGTTGTCATTAGTAAGGTAATATAAACGAGTCGTTACTTAATTTCAGGTACATTAATCCGTCATTTCTCGCTACTGAAAATGATAACGTCGTTTATCGCCTGTGAGAATTCTGCTCATAGTATGAAATACGTTTATTTGATGGGTAAGTACCTATATTACTTATTACACGCGAACCGGATACACTGAAATGATAAGTAAAGAAAAGTATGGCTCACAGATTTCCTGATAGTGCGAGCAAAATGCTCTTGTATAACGACAAATAAATGATGGGTTAAAGAAATGAAACGGAAGAACATTGCGATCGATAGCGCGGAGAGTAGAGGGAGCCAATATTTTTCGAGTTTTATCGCGGCGTAGGTACTTACCTGATTCTTACCTTTACTGCAGTTCCCGTTATGTATATACTTTGTCAGCGGCCACAGTGAATGCCCACGAACAATAAACGTTACGGCGGGCCGGCTGAATATTGACGTTTATTACTGGAGACTGGAGACGGTTAGGCGGGTTAGGCCTCCTTAGAGTGCCATTAATCGTGTCGCTTGGATGTCACGATAATCCGAACGGTTATATGTACTATATGTATACCTGAGCAATACGGTCCTTGAGGGTGGTCCTCTTTCGGTCAACTTCATTTCCATCTTCAGGGCTGCTATTGGACTTTTTTAAAAATAATTTACTAAATTGTGTGTCTCTTTAACTCTGTTTTCTCACACTGTAACCATTTAAGTAATATGTACTACCTTTATGATTCATGAAAGAAGACAATTCGGAGAAGTAGGATTTTAAGTGCCCAATGTGGTGCTACATGTTTGGGAAAAATTATGAAATATTCGTTCTAAATTTCAAATTAAAAGGAATAAATTTCTGATGGTAACATGTTCCAAAAAATTGAAAGTCTTTTAGATAGCTTTGAATCATCGATTGTAACACCATCTCGGATTTCTTTTACATTTTACGCAAGGGTGACAATACTGACAATCTAAACAAGCATAAAGTAGCGGAGTAACGTTTTCTCGTCTATCTGGAATAACCCTGGCAATAAATTATTCTAACGTTTTACGATTCGTATCGTTTTCACCACTTTCTGTCAGAAGATTCAACGAAAAGGGCACCGTCAATAAAAGCGGACAATTTCTTCAAATATGGCGCACACCGTAATAAACGCTGGGATTTTCTAAATTCGGGGTCTTCTCGCGGTTTATTACGCGCGCCGGACTTTCCTGCAATGGAATTCAGCAATTGGAAAAATCCGTAATTCTGGCTGGTCCCCAATTACCTGAATTTTTTCCCCGAAATCCTCCGATTTCTTCGAACAAGAAATTTCAACGCTATCGATATTTAACTTCTTTAGGGAAAAAAAGATTTGAATATGATTTTCGTTGCTTTGATTAAGGTTGGAAATATTATTTTAACTTTGCTAATGCAACACTTGAACTTGTTTTATCATCACGTTTGTGTGTATGAAATAACAACAAGTTTCTTAGAATAATTGCAAGTTATGACGAACATAAAAGTGAACCCTCCAGGAACGAGAAATCGGTTTATGGGCACTGTGTTTCTACTCGCTTTCTAGTTCTTTCCACTAGAAATTTCACTTTTACGCTTCTTTCATTGTTTTTCAGAAGCCCATTGATCATTGAGGTCACTGTGACCGAAAATACGCGTAGCGAGAAAGCGTGAAAATAATATTAAAACAGTGGTTTCGCAACTTTTATACCTTTAGGTCTATTAACTGAATGTATAAGGTGCCTCAAAGTTATTCTATTATGGCACTGTTAGATATTATTATAAATATCGTTCAACTTTTCTGTTATACATTTTATTTTCGTTACTCAGTCTAAATAATATATCGTTTCAGATACTGCAACGTTACAAATTAGAATATCATCACGAGAAGTTGAAGTACTATATCAACCCTATGTACACGCCCAAAGGACCCCTAAATTTGAAATTCATTGACAGGTAGACGATTCCAAGAAAGCTGAATATACATATATACAAAAACGTTAGTTATTTATTTTTATATGTACAAAATTAAGAAAGTATACGTAAGGTGGCTTTTATAGATTTACTAGTACCTTCGTCGGTTTACATACAGAGTTTATTTATTATCTTCGTATCACTTTAAATTTGAGTTCTCCGTCAGGAGCATACATGAAGGTGACTTTATACTTCAGTGGTTTATGATGGTACTCCAGTTTATAAGATCGTATCAGCTGAAACGTGACAAAGACAAATATTGTTTATTGTTTATTGTATATGTATAAGTTTGCGAAATTCTTAACTTAAAATAATAGAAAAGAATTTTTATTTTACGAATTATTACGATAAGTTATTATAACTTTTCTAAATATTAACAATACTTTTACATACCTTGGCAAGTAGGACTTGCATCTCCAAATCGGCAAATCTTCTACCTAAACACATGCGTGCACCGTGGCCGTAAGGTAACGATGCAAAAGGATGCAGTGTCTCCTTTGTGGATTCTTTAAACCACCTCATAGGATTAAACGTTTTGGCATCTTTTACGTATTCTTCCATATTTCCTGTCACGACCGTTGGGAATACAACTTGTATCTGTATTAATTATTTTTATGTTAAAATTTATACGTACTTCATAAGGATAACAATCTATCTAAATTGAATCGTTATTGGCATTATTCGTATAAAAATTACTGTCGTTAAGAATGCATTACTTACTCCCTTTGGTACTTTGTAGCCACAAATTACAGTGTCATTTTGCAACGTTCTTCCGTTTCCAATAACCGTAGAGTATACTCTAGAAATGTAAAATAGTAAATTATATTTTTAATACTAACTTACACGATCATTTTTTGCTACAATACTTTTTGTACGTTTAAGAAATTAAATATTATTATCATTATTCGAATATTTATATATTACGGCATACCTGAAGACTTCGCGAATGAAGGCTTTCATGTAAACTGCCTGATCAAGGTGTGACGTAGTAAGAGGAACGGATGGATCGGGAAGAATCTTAACCAGTTCCTGATAAATCTTTTCCTGTTCTTCGGGTCTTGTTGCCAACTGATACAATATGGAACAAACAGCCATGGAAATCTGCAATATGGTATTACGAATGAATAACTGCATAATCGACAATGTATTATAAATAGACTTAATATTATAATATTTCTCCACATACTGTGTCTATTCCAACCAGAATTAAATCTAACGCAAGAATGTACGCCATTCGGGGTTCCGTTTCCTTGGCCAATATTCTCTCCACTAAAGACAAATCAGATTCATCGATAGCCTCTTTTGTCTTAAGCCTTTCCATGGCTGCATCAATGTACTTCATGCAGACTCTAAAGAGTAAAGGTTTTATTTCATATGTATCCACGAGTATCATTAAATACATATGTATATGTATGTACACATATACATATAATATGTAACTATCATATCTATTATTTCGTTTAATTCAATTTTTTTATACGAATAAGTATATGTACACATCTATGTGGAATTTAACTCACTCAATGAAATAGTCCATATTGCGTACATATCTTGTCCACAGACGGGAAGGTAAGTATCTCCAAAAAGGAGCTTTCAATTCAAGCACGGCTACATTTCTTAATGCAAACTTCGCAGCATCTATAATCTTCTGTGGTTCTGAATCCGGAATCAGGGTACCTCCTAGACATCCCAGTCGTACATCAAGGGCAACCCGACCGATACCTGTACATTGTACAACCAGTTTTATTACAGTCAATATTACCAAAACGATTTAAATGTAATTTAAACATTCGCATGGAAATAATTCTTCGACAGTCATATGGAAACACATTGAGAACCACACAAATACTCAATGTTCTCCATTTACAAATAATATAAATGTTGTCATCTGATTATTAACTTAATGTTTAGATTAAAATTCAAATGTATGCCTACACTCTAGTGCCCATTTGTGTATCTCATTGTCAAAGTCTCCTGGCAGTTCTCCATCATTATCCTTGATCTCTTCAATTCTGAAAACAAATGATTGACTTATTATTGTGCTTTATGACTTTTTAATTGTAGAATTCTACACTCCTATAGTACATAATTGTGACGTCGATGAAGTATATAAAAATTGTACCATAAAATATTGTTTCTTATAAAAAAAGAACGAACAAAAAATTTTCGTGAAATTCTTCAAGGTCGTTCCACAATTACCTTTTTATGAAGTCAGCAGTGACCACTTCGATGGGTGTTATATACTTTCGAACGGTTCGCGGCTGGAGAACTGGTTTCTGGACACGTGTACGAAATTCTCGCCAAGGTTCACCGTGTCTGGAACAAGTCAATATTTTATCGTGTCATTCGCAACTCTTTCCTCACATTCGGAAAAATTATGACTGGTTCGGAGGGTCAAGGAAGACCACCACGCCGGACCGACGAAACCGCCTACTCGACTTACAATTCGTTTACTATTACTACATACATTCAAACGAATAAGGATAGTTTAATGGAAGTTACGTGTTGCACCTAACAAGAATTTTCACACGGTTTCAACAACGACCCCCAACAAGAATACGGTTTGGAAGATTCAAGAATAATAAGATAACAACGAAACAAGTTCTACGGAGATTTTCTACCAGATCTATCATCATTCAACACAAACACTGAACTATATTTACAGTGTTTAAGTCACCGACAGTCGATGTTCGAGTATCGTTCAGAAATCGGGTAGATCTCTCTACCAACACCGAAGGACATCCGATGGAATATCATGTTTAAGAGTAGCTTAATTGCTACACATCTGCATTAATTAACGAAATGGCCTTGTCTGCCCTCGTGTGACACAAATTATCAGTTTTCTCTTGTTCAAAGTTATAATGTTACGTAGAAAAGTACATACAAGCCTAATATCTTTAAGAGACTTGAAACACTATTTTTTTACAAATATTGTTACGTAAATTTAGCATTACTTTTAGAAGATTGCAATGTCCATTCGAAACATTTATTTCATATTAACTTAACCCAGATAGATATGTCGGCATTTGTTTTGTGACTTTCTTTTTCTACTTGGGGTTTAAATTTACCATATTAATACAATTTTTGTATTGCTACGAGCTCCTTTTTAACCCCTTAACGTTCACTTCCGTAACATTACGTTCGATGAAAATATGACATTCCTGTTTGAATGTTTTCCTAAAAATTAGTGAGCTCCTAAAGACGTTAAAAAAGCGGCCATCATTCCAGAAGGATGATAGGCTTATCTGAGTTTTAATTCCAGTGCATTTCACAGTTCTACCTACACACCAACAACGCCAGGCAAACTTCCGAAGAAATCCTTTCTGACGATGCTCTTATAGCGCACCAAACACGGCATCGACGGTCTGAAAGGTGTCGGTCCTTCCTGTCTGTAAATCTTTTCGATCTCATCGGCATCGTAAACGAATAACAGATCCGGTCTGCCTATCAGACCACTCAGTCGTACGATCCTTCCATATTGGTCGTGGAATATCTGCGACACTCTGGCCATGTCCGATATCTGGTATTGTCCGATCACCGGAAACAACCTCCAGGTATTCCCGAGGATCGGGATCGGTTTCGGTCCCGGGATTTCCTCGTACGGTTTCACCTCGGTCGAAACATCGTGATCCAAGCTACAAATCCGCGACGACGAGGTCACCGTACCTGCACCTAATATACGTACAATGGAAAACAGCAGTTGAATGCATCTTGAATTCTTGATGTGAAGTTCGATCGATCGAAACGTACTTTCGTCCGATCGTAACATTGCGATCAAAGTTATTCTTTTATTCGCTTCGATTGTATTATACATTTGTTTTGAACGCGATTTTCTTGACTAACACATTACCTACCGCCTACCGGTTGATATTTAATAGGTTTAGTAGATAGAACAATCAAGAGCCAACGAACTATTATTAACCCTTTCGTTTTCACTATATAGAAATATAGACTATAGACATATGGTTATTTACTATAAATTACAAAATAACTGCGTCGCATAACAATAAAATCATCCTAAAATTTGGAATTCTCATTTTTAATTATAGTTGATGAAATCTCTTTTATTATAAATGAATTCTCATTTTTAATTATTTCAAAAGGGAAACAGTACACGAAATTTAATTCAATTATTTTTTTACATACATAAACGAAAGAAGGCTCAGATCGGGGCCCCCCTTGAAAGTCGGGCCTGGAGCTATAGACTATAACGCCACTCCCAATCCGGCGCTGTATGTACAGTAACGATTTAACCGGGAATACTTTTAATTGAATAAATTTGGATTTTGTACCTGAGCATAAGGTTCGTCGGAACGTGTCCTGCTGTTGCAAGAACCGACTTTTCAATATGAACTGTAGCTGTCGATTCATTCTGCAAGATATTTACAATTAATTATTAAACACGCGTATGTAATAATCGGACCGGAATGTCGTAAGTTACGGAATGGAAGCTTGTCTCGATGAATCCAGGCGTAAAAGAACGATAATAATCCATAACACTAAATACTTTACGAAACTAAAACAACACCGTTATGTTCGTTAAATTGTTTATCCTTAATCCCGGAATTTCTAAAATCTTCTGTACATTTAAACAGATTTAGGTACTGAAAACGAGTTCTTTATTTCCGTTCCATCAAGTTCCTTGGATTCTTCAAAATTCTCCAGATCGTTATTAAATCCGAATATAAATATTCAAAATTGTTTGTTCGTTTACTCGAGGTCCGAGATCCCCATTATCCCCATCCAGCTACCTGCAATTTACGGCGGTTCTGCAATTATACCCTTACCTGAAAAACACTGAAAAACCAGGCCTCCGTGTGTTCTCGAACACGTCCGAGTGTCCCGTTATCGGGCGACCTTTCCTCACCGTATCCAACAATTCGAAATCAAACCCGATTATACGTTACCATTGTCTCTAAACGGATGAGCCCGCGAGGTCGACAGGCGAACTCTTTCAAGAAGACTCCTCGTAAATCGGACCACGGGATAGCACATCGAGGCGAACTCCCCACCATGGATTATATACATGTATATCCTTCCCACCGGAGTTGGTTAACGGTCCGAATTCTCTGCTCTGTGTTGTCCGACCGCGCCGTGGCACGGAAGACGCGTCCATCGCCTATGGTAGACGACGAGTAGTACACTTTCACAGCGAACAACGTGAACCATTTTAATTTTCACTTGACTTTCTTTATTTAGAGAACATAGTTTCCCGCAACCTCAGTTTTTTAAACCGACACCGTCTCCTTTTCAAAATATTTGGAAAATATCAATTTTATTGATATAGAAAACTACGTTATAAGTATGATAACCAGATTGAAAAATAATGAAAAATTAAGACAGTAGTTATTGCACATACGTTGACATTATTAACGGGAATTTACCAATTTCTAAGAATCGCTAATTCGAGGACGTAATTTTTACGATATTTTAGTAATCCAGGGTTAAATATTCAAGCGAAGATTTCTTGCAAATCTTCTTGGGCTCCTACCACCCTCTTTTCGTAAATCCTCGAAAGATGTCTGAAAGAAAAAGATCTTGATCTGAATGTGAGCTATTACGTAAAAAAAAAAAATACAAACAATAAGAACATTTTATTCGTAATATTTGCGTGTTGATTAAATATTATAGGAGAAAGTGTTACGTTCCTTTCACATTTTCCTGTTACCACTTCTAGTCTGTATTTTAACGAAATGGAAAAAAAAAAAATGATGAAGTAAAATATATGGTAATATTTGTTCGAATTTCTTGAAATTTATGTAAAGAGACCCGGTAAATCATGGAAAAACTAGATTGAATTTAATAACTTCTACGGTTCTGTATCTGCATACTTATCTGCTGTTATGTAATATGCGTAATATAATTTAGTAAGTTATGAGAATTTTTACAATCGATCTTGTACGAGCTATTGCAGTGGTATGTAATGTATACGTTCATCGTGTGCCTGAGCGTACACAGAAAGAGGCTGGTGATGAAATGACACCGTGTTAATGTCCCATAAACAATGAGCATGTTTTTACATACATTTTCCTCTTAACAGCTGATCGTTTTGCATTTATTAAGCATTTTACACCCATTCGCATATGCACATAATATTATTAGGTATACCAACAGTTTGTCCACTATATTATACCAACTAGAATATTAATTTTCTAGAATATGAAAAACTGCTTCTATTTTAATACTAATTGAACCGTTCATTTTCCAAAGGGATTAACTTAAAATAAATTTAACCAAATAAACAAATAAACTACATCTATACATATATAAAAAGTTCAGTTCTGATAAAATATGCTTTGACACGAAAATTTGAAAAAGTATGAAAAAACAGGAGTTAGTCACTTTGATCACTAACAGGTTCAATTGTTTAACAGTTCTTTAAGAATCGTCTTTAAACGTCATCGTTAAAATACCGAAAAATCTTTAAAGTCCAACTAATATTACCGAGTTTTTAAATAGAAATGATGAATTACTTATTGGCACACTTTATACATATTCATTTTAGTGGCGACAAAGATAATATTGAAGGGTCGCGACAAATCCTTTGCGAGGGTAGACAGGTAGATGGTTTCGAGAATTTACTGCCTTCAGCGTCGCCGGTCATTTTAATGCAGCCGGCAATACTCGATGACCGTGATTATCCTTACGGCACCGAGGGGCTCTTCCATACTGTAATTAATCCCCTCGGTATACCTTCGAAATTTTCCAGAAATTTTGTGCAACTGTACGTAACCCATTCTCGACAATCTTTCGATATTTTAACCGAAAGAAATGTCTGATAAATACATAACAAGAGGAAATGACAAAGGATTCGAGAGAGATGCATGTACCCAATTCCGTACCTGTTCAGTAATCTTCGTTATAATCCATATGCTAAGCATCTGTTACCTATAAATTTTAATAATTACATATACTAATCATAAACATATTTCTTGATGTAGAAAATTGTCAATAAAATTATTGAAAGATATTGTATCCAATGCAATTGACCTCTTTATTATAAAACCCTTCGCGTCGCCAGGAGTCGTCCATTATCGTCCTCTGAAGGTACCGGAGTAGGGGTAGCTACCCCCTGCGACTATATTAGGAGGGCCGAGAGGGGTTGATTGGTCATTTACGGCGCACAGTTCTGGCAAGCTTGTCATTCCGTTATTATCGATGCCGGTACGAGCTCTGGCTCTCGGTCACTATTCCAACAGAAACATGACGGCGACAGTCTGACGATCCTGTTTAGTAAACACGCGTTTAGTATTTAGTATAAAGTGTAAAACCGTTTTTAATTTAATTTAACACAATCGAAACTTAACTCGCGGTATACAATTTCTTGTTTGCTCGTTTAATAGTGATCGGAATTTAACGAAAAATGGCTGTGTCTACGACGTGGATTAGGAATAACATGCTGTTCTCTTGCGACCAATACGTAAGTGTTCATTTAATTATCATTCGATATAATCGATCTGGAAATGTTAATCAGATTCATGCTTCTATTCTGGAGTTCATTATTAATTTATACCATCTTCTAGTTCTAAGTTGTATTAATTATGTAAGTTTGTAAATTATAAAATTCTGTAATTATTTGTATTGTACTGGCTGATGATTATGAATATGGCCTAAGTCAATGAAATATTCTGGAAAAATGCTTTGATATTATTGTAACGTAAATCGATGTAACGCCAAACAAGTGATAAGTTCAATTTTTTTTTTTCTTCAACCGACTCGAGACTTACAGGACAGAGAAACAAAAACAATAACACTGTCTCCAGTGTCTCTTCCTACGCGTGCACACGTTTCCTTAGTTTCCTACATCGCATACATAATATCATACGGTATTTAAATCGAGTCTCCCAATGAATGTGTAATTTTTTGGAATTTTATGCATCCGTAAAAGACACATAAATATCCAATTTTTATTTTCTTCTGTGTTGTTAAGTTTTACGATTATTTTTTTTTTTACAGGATAGACAACTGACGGACGCAGAATTGAAAGTGCAGAGGTCTTTACAGAAGCTTTCTATCCCCGATTGGTACATGAACAAACGTTCGAATCCGCCGAAAATTTTAAACAACCTCACCCCGATCGAATCTCGGCCGCCATCTTGGAAGAATCCCGGCGCGAGGAGAAACTCCACGCTGAACTTGACGTCGTCTACGATATCAGGTATTTAGCAGCGATAAATATGACTTAATAGGGTAAATACATCGGTAAACAAACAATTGATAGATTTGTTAACTATTAATGTCGAATTTTGAAATGTAATTAATTAAATTGGAAAGAAAAAATAGAGATTTCACCAGTGAACCACGAACAATACACTGCTGAAACCACCCTAAAATTTTGAACTCTCTTATGTATAGTGGTTAAAATAAAAACGAACCAAGTTGAACCATGTCTGAAATCGTTGGAAAACAATGTTTCTCCAGAAAAAGACAGATTGTATTCCCTAGAAAAAGTGGTTTGTTTTTATTTCAACTACAATACATAATATGGGGTCGAATGAAATGAAGATTTCTAAGCAATTCAATGGCACGAAAATTATTTGAATTTTTTGAAAGAAGGAATTAAAAACAAATAAATGTTTAATCGTTTACTTTTTTTTAATTATTTAACTTGCTCGTCTTTACATACATACATATACATATATGTATGTATAATGTTCATTCACTGTTACATGCTTATTTGCTAGTGTAACTAGTGATCCACCCACCCTCTGAGAATGAATATTTTCATTTTAAGAAAGCCACAGTCGAGAGAGAAGTTCGAGATATTATAACACAGAAATTCAATACACAGTTTCAGACAGGCTTTCACGGGCAGACGCACCAAAAACTGCGGCATGCAGCGTCGACACAGGAACCTACAAAGTCTCCCGACAACAGAAGTCTCCGGAAGCAACGCCACGGAAATCACCATCCAAGTCCACCTCGAGGAAAGAGGAGGAGGAGGAGGTTTTCGATACGAATATCCCGGCGATAAAGCTGAAAAAGAACATAAGCAAAACATTCCCGAAAGTGTCACCCTCTAGGAAGATTCAAAATATAAACCTTGTTTTCCCGCCTGGACCGCCGATCGACATCTCGAGCAGCCTCGATGACGACGTGAAAAGATGCAAGTACGACAGTTTCGTAGCGAAGAAGCAGCAGCCAATTGACGTGAACGAGAGAACCGACGAAAAGCTTTCCACGCCTCAGAAGATGCCCAAGAAGAAGAGGAACGACATCCTGCCTGAAGATATCATTGCATCTCCACGGACTCCGAACATGAAAGGAAGAAACTTCGAGGTTCGTGCAGCCTCCACGCCAAAGTTCACCCCGGCGAATCTGTTCTCGTCGACGATCATCGAGGAGACTCCGAAAGCGAAGAAAATCCCGTCGCGAAGCATCCTGGAGAAACTGTCGATCTTCGAGGAGAGCACGTGTTCGACCGCCGAGAAACTCTCTCGTAGCTTGATCGAGAGGAATCCGATCTTGGAGACCAGTTCAAAATTGGCGGCATTCTCCACAAGCTACGAGGAGACACCTAAGAAGAAGAAGAAGAAGAAGAACGATCGACTGAACAGCTTCCTGGAGAGAAACATCCGATCGATCGATCCAATTCTATTCGAAACCGAGGGAACCATTCCAAGATCGTCATCCTTGGTATGTGAGATCGTGAAGAAGATCGAGGTCGCCGGGGACCACAACTACACTCCGTTGAAGCGATCGAACCTGGAATGGAAGAGCAGAAGGGCCAGTCTTGTGGCGAAGAATCTTCGAGTGGACGATCCAGAGAAGAAGGTGAAGATCGATGGCCAGTCTCCGAGCACAAGGTTCCTCAATTCGAGAAGAATGTCGGTGGACCTGGAGAACGTGGTCAGGAGCAAGCAGCCATCCCGCGAGAGGAACATCGTTCAGGGGATCATCAAGGCTCTGACGGAGAAGATGAGCAAATCTTCCTCGTCGCGACAGAAACAAGTCATCGAGGTGAACCAGAGCTTCGTCAAGAAGGTGGTGAGCGTGCTGGAGAATGGTGGCGACACCTCATCCGTTCTCGAGGAGGCGAACCGGAGGAACTACGAGGATATGGAAAGCTGCAGCGAGTCCGAGGCGAAATCCTGCGCTACCTCGATCTCTCTGAAGGACACTGACAGCAGCAGCAGCAGCAGCAGCAGCAGCAGCAGCAGCGACTCGGACCAGAGGTCACCGAGCCTTAGAAGCGACGACAGGACCTTCGATTATAGTACCCTGGCAACCAGCAAGCTGGAAGCTGATCAACCTCCACGTCAGGACGAGGACTCTGTCTATTGGATACCAGTATCTAGATGCAAATTGCCCAGAACCAGCTCCCTGCTGAGCATGATGTCCAGACTGTCCGCCAATGGGCAGTCCCCTTGCGTCAGCCCGATCAGAAGCGACAGCGAGACCGAGAACGCGAATGTACCTTGGGGCACTACCTTCAAGAAGACCAATGGGCTGTCCAGGAAGCTGTTTAGAATCGACGAGACGACGGTGATCGATTCTGGGTACTCCGACAGGTCTGACAGGTCGGGGGTCGGATGTTCCATGACCGATAGCAACTTGTCCGAGGATACTCAGAACGAATCTGCCTCCGATGCCAGGACCATCAGGGTGAAGAGGTCGTCTAGGCGTAAGTCGATCGTCGGGACCACGTTCCGTGTTCAATGAAGTCTCGAGGTTCCTCGAGATGCTCTATGGCAAAGGGTTTGGGATCCGTTTCATGGGGTACTGGAATGCGGTCTGAGAAAGTTTCGAATGCTTGTTGAAATGGGTCCAGGTGGAAATTTCACCGTACATATTGATCTCGATTAATGTATAGAGTTGTTATTAATCCTCGGATGGTGTATGTGTCCATTTTACCCGAAGTCCAATTTACAGAAAATTACTGCAGCGTACAGATGTTTATATTGACATTTTGGATAAGACCAAAGTATTTTCGAGATGTTTGTTCGAAAACACGTATAAAGTTAGATGAGATGGGGTCTTCTCTGGACCCAGCTACCGTTGTCTATTCATTCAGTTATCAAAAAGGTCCGTTTTTCGAGGCGTGAAGAAATTTACGATCTTTCGTTAGTATTTTTCTATCAATCTATACATATATCTCCGGTTCAATTCATTTTCGTTAGCATATTTTTTTCGCAAATCCAAGCGTTCAAACACTTTCTCCGACCACTGTAATATTAATCGTGGTATAAATAATTGCAAAGTTTTTGTGAAACTGTGAATGCTCGAGTGCTTATTGCCTTTCCCACGCGAAAGGCATAATTGTTAATTGTTATTGCATTCGATCGTTGCATTAACGAGTGTATGAACCTGAGAAAATTTATACAAATGTTTCCCAAATATTTTGTTTCGCGCCACAAAACGATGCCCGAATAAGTCGTCGTCGTATTATACGATCGAGCGTGTATGGCCTGTGTGATATTAGATTCGCTTACGATATAATTCGAGTACAAATACCTTAGGAACCGTCTTTTGTATTCCTCTGCGAGATTCGTCTCTATCCTCGTCGGTTTCATGGTACGATCATTATTAACTTTTTTTTTTTTTTTACATTTTTTATCTTTGCGCGTCGTAAGATTATATTTATACTGTTAAGGAATTATTTACGAATAGAGAAAATCAAAAAAATCAATGTACGTTCGTCCTGAATAATGCGTCGTTTGTACGAATTACCGACAGAAGAATTGTACATTGTAGAATCATAGTAACGTTTTAGCGTTAAACGAAATATTTTTCGCGTACAAAATTGTACTATATATATATATATACATATACATATACATATACATATACATATACATATACATATACATATACATATACATATGTGTTAGATTGAAGGAAAGAATACATTAAAGAAAATTTTATACCAAAATCAGTGTCTGGTGATGAGATGTCGTGGCAGATTTAGCATTTTCTTCGCGAGTAAGGATAGCTTAGTAACCGAATGGTATGAATGGTTGCGTACGGAATTTCGTTCGCGAGAACGAATCTACAGTCGAAAATTTAACGTGTTCAGCGAAACATGGTATTGTTCACTAGGTGTACAATCCGCTCGTGTGTGATCCACGTGTGGTTTCGCTGGCGATTTTGAAGAACGTCCAGTCATCGAGCCTTCCTGGTTGCTATTTAGAGATAAATAGACAGGATCAGGAGCGCAGAGTCGTTGATAATAATGGCGCGAAAGGATTTCTTCACGCGTTTAACATACTACGATTTCTGGCGATTTTTTTCGATCCAATTGCGCCATTACGAAAGATGAAACGTGTTTTAGCGGGGTATACGGAAACCGCTAGGCGACCATTAATATCTCGTGCGAATGGACCTTTCAACTTTCTATCGATCTTACGATTATAATTATCTCGTTGGTGCGACAGCTTGCGTGTTCGAAATCGTTGTTGTTATCGTTGAAATAATCTCTAGAGCTTTTATCGAAATTATATAAACGTAGTGTCGTATAATCTACTTGGAACACCGAACGCAGTATCAACAAATGTAAAAACGGAATGTGATAATTGATGTATGTGTTTATAATGCGGATTTTATTATTGACTTATTTGCCTAGCAGTAGATAATGTGATACAAAACGGGAGAAAGTTTTGTTTCTGTATGGATGTGCAAAGTGATATACATATACCGTAACTTTGAATGATATATTTATCAGAAATTTGCGATGGACGCATGGTTGTAACGATAAGCAATCTACATGAACAATAACACTGTAATTCGGAATAATAAAAAATACACACATAGAGAAACAAAGAATAAAGGAAAGAGCTTGAATATAAACTTGGTGAATATGTACATTATTTGTCAAGTGAACGAAACAACCTAATTTATTTACATACTTCAATTTATTCGTATAATAATAATGGCACAATTGTAAATTATGTTTCGTCACTTATTACTTAACACGAATTATTAAACAAGAAATTTTGGTTCCCTTTGTCTTGGTATTTCTATTAAAAAAGTGTTGTAGGTACAGTATGACATCAATCTATTATACAACTGTTTCTTCGTCACGCATTCGATTCAAAATTTATAGAACGTACATTAGTACTTTCTGACGGCTGGTAACCAGTAATTACAAGAACATTGTTGAAATCACAATTGTTTGTAACGGTTACCACTGTATCTCGTCACGCGTACCCCGTTCACTTCACTTTGGACAGCTCTTCCAACGTTATCCTGACAGCATACGTCTTGACCAAGCACTCGACTTGTAACTGAAAGAACGTAGATTAATCTCCTGTCAGTGAAAATAACAATAAACGACCAGAACACTGTTAAAATCGTCGCATTTGATCGCGGATTACCATTATTTTTTTTTTATATTTTTTTTTTTACTGGTGGCGCCACCCGCGGCAATTCGCTCAAACTGCTAGCCAAATAATACCGACAGGTGAGTGAAAATTTCTAGTGATGGAAAAATGCGCATGTCTCAGTAATTAAGCGCTCAAAATGAACGTCGTTAGTCTCAAACTATTTCTGAGGGATTAATGCATCGACCCAATACTGCAGAACACCAGAATACGTAAAATTATTTATGCCTGTATTAACGTAAACCCTTAGGAGCGGCAACCCTAATTGCGACAGATTTCGATCACATTTACACCGCTGAACGGGCATCATTTTTCTACGTCACGCATTAGATTCGAAATTTAAAGAAACGTATATTAGTACCCTTTAGTGGCTGAGAATCAGTAATCACAAGAACATTGTTAAAATCGCAATTCTTTGCAACGGTTGATACTCCATCTCGTCATGCATACCCCGGTTAGTTCACTTTGGACTACTCTACCAACGTTATGCTGTCAGCTCTCGTCTTGACCAAGCGCTCAATTTGTAGCTGAAAGTACGTGGATTAATCAGCTGTTATTGATAATAACAATAAACGACCAGAACACTGTTAAAATCGCCGCATTTAATCGCGGATTACCACTATTTTTTTTTTACTGGTGGCGCCACCCGCGGCAATTCGCTCAAACTGCTAGCCAAATAATACCGACAGGTGAGTGAAAATTCCTGGTGATGGAAAAATGCGAATATCTCAGTAATTGAGCGCTTAAAATGAACGCCGTTAGTCTCAAATTGCCCCTGACGATCCCATGTATCGAATCGACACCTCAGAACCCCATAATCAGGAGAATTATTTCTGTCAACACTACAAATTTTCATATCAAACGGGTAGAAATAATTTGTCTCATTATGGGGTTCTGCTGCATTCAGTCGACGCATTGATTCGTGTGGAATAATTTAAGACTAGCAACCTTATCTTTAAGAACCTAATTACTGAGATATTCGCATTTTTCTATCATTAGGAATTTTCACTTACCTGTCGGTATGATCTGGCTAGCAGTTTGAGAGAATTGCCACGAGTGGCGCCACTGGTCGAAAAAGTAGTAGTATTCCGCGTTTAAATGCGATTTTAACAGTGTTCTGGTCGTTTATTGTTATTTCCACTGACAGGAGATTAATCTACGTTCTTTCAGCTACAAATCGAGTGCTTTATCTCAATTAAAGCTATCCGTGTAACGGTGTAAGGACTGTCCAAAGTGAACTAAACGGAGTACGCATGACGAGATACAGTGTCAACCGTTGCGAATAAATGTGATTTCAACAATGTTCTTGAAATTACTGGTACCCAGCCAGATAATAGAAAATACTAATCTACTATATACTACGAAAAATAATTGGCGCGGAATATTAGTGTTCCTTAACAATTTATATCTTAGAAACTTGTTCCCAATTTGCTCCCTCGAAATCTATAATTGCTCCCATCGCACCGTTTATATGCAATAAGATTTGCAGCAGTTTCGTACCATAACTGTGGCTAAATAACGAAAATTAATTAATAATTTATTAAATAGTTACCAATATACATGGCAAGGATGCAAATAAATCAATGAAAATACAAAACAGCTACGTAATAAATTACATGCGTATCCGTTCTATCGATTAAGTTCGATTAAAATTCAAATAGTGTTAGAATATGCAGTCTTCGTTGTATTTTTTTCGCCACATTGAATGTCGGTATAATATGTATATGCACTATACATACATACACGTCTGTTGTAGTAGTAGTTGAGAGAATCAATTTCGCTCGAACGGATTTCAGATGTTCCAAGGATACATATGTATGTTTACGCCGCTGTACGAACAGTAAAGTAAAATGAAGTGAATTGAAGTGACGATTTGTTGCACGAAGGGGGCAAATAATGTCTATTTTTGTAAATTGTGTCAACGGATCATGTCTCTGGGATCGGTTAATCACGCGTAGACCAACAGTTGTCAATAAACGCACGATACGGTCTCGTCTGTCGAATTGTTAATTAACGCCTGGAAATTCGAGACGTTCGACTCTATGTTCGATGTATGATACATAGCACGTCTAAGTACGACGACACACACGGAATTTTTGTGAATCTTTTTCTATTTTTCCTTCTGTATTCTTAAACACTCTAGACGCTCGTTTTTGTTTACGATACGTTTGTGGAATTTACTGGAACGAGTACCGCGTTTAGGTTCATTTCGCGAATCGAGCCTAGCAGGTACAAAAGAGAATTTGAAAAAGGATATTAATCCGCTCTCAGGGACTCGAGTGTACACCAGTGGTCGACCTCTACGATATTTATCGTTCGACGAAGTAATTAACGGCAAATTGGTGTAACTCGAGCATATTACGGTCTCGAGCGTCGTCGTGGTAAAGGTGTAACACACAACACACGTCGATGGACAGAGAAGAAGAGATAGGTAACGAAGATTTTCAGTTGTGTTGAACTGGGCAATGCTCGTATTTTTTTCCAATCGTGTGACAATCGTGGATAACGTCAATAAGAAAAATGGCATCAGAACTCGGAAGTGGTCGTTTCAAATCCACATCGGACATTCTAGAGGAACTGACGATTCACGAGGAGAAAATACAAGAAGATTTTCACACGGAGAATCGTTTCAGAACGTACACATTCAAGGACCTTCGGGAGGAAAAGAGACACTTCACGAAGAACTCGGCTCGCGAACGGACAAAATCGCAGAATTTTCTGAAAAAATGGATCGCCTCGTTCGAACGGAAAAACGAGGCGTGCAAGGCGGAGGACGAGTTTTTCACGAAATATTATAGAAGAAACGATTATTCGAATCCGAACTCGGATTATTCGTTCGACGCGAGATCGCAGGATCCACGTGAAAGGAGAGAAACCCATGGAAACTGTCAATTGTCTCTCACACGGACGAACAAAAGATTCTTCCAGAATCACTACAGATATGAATGGGTGTCTGATAACAAGTTAATCGTTTCGAATAATGAAAAAATCAAACAATTTTCGATCGAGAATGGCAAGAATAATAATGAAGAACACCTGAATACGAAATCAGAGATCCACGAGAGAACCCATAGATATTCAAATTGTACGCGATCACACCGACTAAATTCGCAATATATATTCAGTGTTAATAGTGATACAAAAACCAAGAAATTTTCTAAGGTCTCTTCTCTCGAGTCGAATCGACCTCGTGATCAGTTGTACAACTGTGTCGACTTAGTTAATTCGCGTCGTTTGAGAAACAGTACGAACGACCTCAACCGAGATACGTTGGAGCGAATATTCACGAATTCGAAGGAGGAAGACTCACAGAAATTGATGAACGAAAGTTCCAAAAAGAAACCCGGTCGGAAACGGTCGTTCAAGAATATCTTGGGTTCCATGATTAAATGGAAGAGATCGAACAAAAAAGAGAAACCTCGACATTTCATGTCCTGCGATCATCTGACGGATGAGACAACATTCGACACGAAGAACGTTATATCGAGAACTTCTTCTTTGTGGGGTGTCGTGTTGGAGGTTTGCGAAGAGGAAGCCTTAATGCAGGTATAGCGATATACATGTATTATGTATGTATACTTGCCATGTTTTAATCAGAGATACTTTTGGAAGATTTCGAAATCAAAGAAATCAAAATCCTTGTATACACTAAAAATGAAATTTTAATGTTTCAGATCGTAACAATATAGTTATTAAAGTCATAGACATTGTTTTTTGTTACGCTCTGTAAGTGTAAAAAATATCGACGACTTTGAAATCTCGGGAAAAAGTTACTTCCAAAAAAAGAATCCTTTCCACCGTTACATGCGCCCCTTGAAATAGAGCAACTTTGTCCTAAGAAGTTTTTTCGTACAACAATAAATAACGCGGGTATTCAGGTGATACTGTTTAGCTGGTCCACCCTGTAAAGGGTTCCACTCCGTACATATGTATATGTTTCGAATCAAATTTGCAGAGTGAAAAACAGAAGGCAACGATTCGCCCTGTCTACAGAGGGAAAAGAAACGAGCAACTGTTGGAGGTTTTCGCGAGGAATAAAGAGAACCGGAAATTTTTCGCGATGAACAGAAGCATAGAGAATCTCGTGAGGCCTCCCGCAATTAAGGACATAGCGAAACACCTTTCACAACTTCCGGAGAACGCGTGGGCCAATGGAAGAAAGATTGCTCGTTAAGAGTGACTGGTTAATAAAAAGAAAAAGAACAGTATCGGACGAACGTTGTTATTACTGACAGAGAGTAGGTATTTCAATCTTAACAAAGTACCGAGAGACACTAAATATTTTACGTAAAAGGATACATATACTTATTAAGTTCAAACGTGACTCTGCATAGGAGTACTAGTAGATTCAATTTACGAAAAATAAGTGTCTACCTTCAGTGTCATTTACAGTATTGTATTATTATTAAAAGAAAATAGTGGATTGTATATTTGAAATTTTTTATACGTTTATTTTACGAATACCCAGAGCATAGTCCGCGAAATTATAAGAAATGGTTGCAAACAGTTCAAGGAGACGATGAAAAGGCAAGAAGCGCGGAGCAATGAAAAATATATTTTTAAGGCAATAAATAAAACATGAACCTATTATTATGTTCTGTAATTTTTATATAATTTTTGTGATTTTTATGTATTTTTTTTTTATTTAAAAAAAAATGTTCAAGAGGGGATCCTCGGACTACATAAGTTTAAGACCCCTGCCCCGGAGCATTCTCGTAAGAGACCCCGCGTGTGTGAGAAAGTGGGGTCATGGAACCCCCGGGGCATCGTTGAGACCCCGTGTGTGTAAGAAAATGGGGTCATAGAACCCCCGGAGCATGCGTAAGAACCCCATGTGTGTGAGATGCATAGGATTTATGCACGTATTTATTTATCATGTATATCTCTTCTCATACCAAGTTGGTGGTATCGATTCAACCCTAACTATAAGACACAGTCTATTAAACATGCTATATGTGCTGTGGTTTATACATACCAAACATACTGTTTATATGTAAGAACGTTGGATGATCCAACGGACAGATTGTGCATGCAGTACAGAGTTTTAACTGAATATATATATATGTCAATATATGTCAAAATTCATCAGTGGAACTTATCACGTTTAACCTTCGTTCGCGCGCATTTACTGTAACCGTTTTCTGTTGTGTCGTTCACGCACGAGATTTCGGCAGACTATGCAGGACTTTCCCTGTGTTTTATCAGAACACGAGGAAATAAATTCTCTTCTTTACAGGCCTATCAATTCCACCCAACGAATCAAGGTATTCTTGAAAATTATAAAGTTATTCTTATGTAATAAATATAAATTATGCGACCAGTTTGTCACAACATTTGTGATGTTTTGTAAATAAAAAAAAGTTATTTGTGTAGAGGTCATTTAACATTAATGAAAAAACACAATAGCGAGAATACAATTCTTTCAATTTAGTATTTGTGGACATTTCATTTTTAAACAACGATTGTAAATTTCTTCATCGTTTAGTTATTAACTGTTTGTTTATTATTTTATAGTACACATGCTTCAACACTTCTGCCAATTATATCATATTAGGTTCCACCAGTGGCAGTATCTACTTGTTTTCAAGAGAGCCATGTTCTTTTCTGCAATTAATACCATTATCGGTACATTTTCCACTAAAATTATAGTTGTAACAACTATATAATTTTCCACTTACAATGACTGTTGTAATAACAGGAAGGAGCAGTTTCTCGGGTTCTAATATCACCTGATGAAAAAACAATTGCACTAGCAACAGCACGTGGAGCGGTTTGTCTAATGGCTTTAAAGCCTATACCAAAACTGTTAGCTGTATCAACAGAGCATGTGAACGACCAAGTTAACTGTCTCTGTTGGAATAATAATAGCTCTGAAGTATATGCTGGAGATTGCAATGGTAAAATTTCAGTCATGGTGTTATCCATTTTTACGGTGAGCTTCTCATTTTACAACCTTAAAATTATATTATGAATGCACCTATTTCATTTATCTTTGATATACTATGTATCATAATAGTCACAGTATAAATAGAACGTTTTCACATCACTTTTTACTAGTACAAAATGGAATCAAATTAACCAAATACACTAAACCTTTATTATTCGAGCAAAATTCTCCTAGTAGTAATAATAGAAGCTCGATGATACTTATATGTGAACTTCTGTTCCATGAACACCTTACCCATGTGAACCATTTTATCATCAGACAGGTTTAGATAAACAGAATTTTCCTATATTTATAAGCAGATCACTATTAATAGAGATAAAATTTGACATTTCAGGTGAATGGAATGTTTCAAGGACCAGTCTGCGTCTTAATGAATTTGGATTCAGCTGTTGTGCAAATCAATTTCTCTTCACCTTTATTATTAGTATCGACCTTAACGCGTTGTTACATATGCGACACGGTTCAAGAACAATACAAACAAGTGGGGAATAAAGTACGGAATGGAGAATTCGGAGCTTGTTTCTACAAAACATACCTTACTGAGAATAAGACTACTTCGGTCGTGCAAAAGGAGGAGAAGCTAGTCAATAGAAAACGTTCTTTCAATTTCATTCCTGAGGGGAACAGTAATGTACAAGAAGAGAATTTTCCGCAAATTTTTTGCGCTCGGCCAGGTTCAAGACTCTGGGAAGTATCATCGAATGGAGTTGTAATGAAGACTCATCAGTTTAAAGATGCGCTGGCTGTTCCACCTGTAACAATATGCAAAAGAAATGCTAGCAAATCCATATATCAAAAGAAAATGGAACAAACCTGGACACCGCAGTCGATTAATTTTTCCCATTTATTCATAATCGCGAAAAAGTATTTATTTTCATACACATCCGGTGGCTTATACATAGTTGATCCTGTGACTGCGACCGTCGTACTATGGAACAACGAATTTTCAAATATAAGTATGGCAGAAACGGTGAAAAACAGAATATATTTAATGACGTCTGATGGAGAATTTCATTGCTTAACTTTTTCGTTCTTAGACTCTTTAATATTACGATTGTACAATAGGAAAAAGTATTGCGAGTGTTTAGAACTGTGTCTGTTGTATAAAGGACAGCTGAAGAAGTTAGTAAATGGCATGGAGATTAGTAACATATGTGATGTGGAGAACGAAGTACAGATACTCAGGGATGACGAATTGTCAACGTTGTTACATCCTTTAACGCTCCTTCTGGAATCCAATTCTAAGACGAGCCCAATAAAATTAGATTCAGGTATCGTTGTTGTGAATTCCGGAAGCTCTGTTTCGAACGAGGACGAAACTTTCAGGCACATGTCTGCATCTCATTGTACCCCGCAAAACATTGAAAATTTTTATGACTCTGAGTTCTCGGAAAACATTAATATGTTGGATCATCCGCCAGTCGATTTTAGCGAGGACATTAACAGAACTGAAGACGTAAACTGTAACGCAGCGAATAAAGTAGAAAATAATGAGGAAGCATCAAATAACAAAGAAGAAGTAGATCCAAAGAAAAGTGCAATGCAAACAATACAAGCAGATTTAGAAGCTATATATGCATTAGTTGGAAATATTAGACTTTCTATGAGCGAAGGGGAATTAGAAACAATAATATCAAATATAGACTGGAGAATGAATGTAATTAAAGACTCCTACGAAAGTTTAACTGACTTGAAGAGCTTTTTGTACGAAATATTGAGAAGCGCGGAATTATATTACTTTAACACGCTATTGGAGAACACTTCCATACAATTACTTCAATCGACTGATAATATACAAATTATAACACAAATAACAAAAGCTTTTGTTAATATAAACGCACAGAGCTGCAAGAGGTGTACCTGTGGTAGTCCATGCTCAACAATTGAATTAGTAGAACCAAAGTTCCTGACAATTGGTAGATCTCTTCTTAAAAAATTTGTAAATGAAAACAAAGAACAGTGTATAGGTTTATGTAATAGAGTACCTTACATGTGGCGAGAATATTTACCGATGTGTGTAGAGGAACAGGGTGTATTCATAAACGATTCACTATGTCAGTGCCTTCAGATTAGAGACAGCATAGCACTTTCCATACTTTTACCTCTATTAGATGGAAAACACTGGAATCTTTTGGCGACATATCTGAAGCAAATGCAGGAAGGACAGTGTCTATTCTGTGGCAAGTCTATAAAAAACGGAAACAACGAAACCGTCGAGTTAATACAATGGCATGCTGTGATACATGAAATTATGAAGAAGCAGGGACCTGATTTCACCATGGCACTATTAGTAAAATTAGAGAAAGCTGTACCAAACATTTTCATCGATAAAAGGTAATTTTCCGTCCAACAGATTCGTATAATTAAATGGTGTATGCATATGTACATATCTTTTCAAGTATAAAACACAATTATTATAAATTGTTGCAGTATATTTCAGTCGCTTGTATTTACAAAAATCTTGTATCAGCATGGGATGAAACGTACCATTAGTTTCAATAAGAATAGTCTCGAGTCATCTGAATATAATACAATGTGTTCTGCGAAGGTAATTGACTTGTCTAGAAAAAAAAAGTAATGGAAAAGTCAAATGGTACAAAGAAATGTATACATTGTCTTTTACAGGTCCGCGATGAATTGGCAGAAGTTCTTGAGAAAGATTTAGGTAGACCAATTAGTAAAGACATTTTTGCCAATGGAGCTCATCATTGGGGAATGCATTATCAATATAAATTTTCTACCTGTCCTTGCTGCACTTTATCCCTTCAAACGCCGGTTTTGTTAGGTAACAATGGAATCGCGATATTTGGTTGTGGTCATGCTTATCATGTGAACTGTATGATTGAGAAAAAACTCACAACGTGTAATCTTCATTCTTAAATGTACCTATAGAACGAATAAAAATATCTCGTAAGAGAACGCATTAATGTGTAGGCATAATACATCATTTTTAAAGAAACTACACGTTGCTTATATTGTGATGAAAATACAATTTTGTTATACGCGATTTCGCAGAACACTCGAGCAGTTAAGTTTCATAAGTGTACATAGAAATTTATTGTCTCAATACAGATCTTTATTGCAGACAAATATAATATATCATTTCAATAATGAAATGTTATGTAAACTTACAGAAGTATTTATGCCTGAATCTATTGTGATATAATTAATTTATAACGATTTAGACGATGTAAAATTTTTATCAAATATGATTTTGTTTTCATACAAAACCGGCTAGTACATTAATTTTATACAAACATCATATATGTAATAGGAAAAAGTACGAAGTTTTAATTCGAATATAGATACATACATTTTGATAAAGTAAATTATAACTCTAACGTTAAATTGTTAACTATAATTGTTCTATGCAGTTAGATTCTACTTATACATTTTCGATTTATTTTAATACGGTTTAGAAAAATAATATTCACGCCCTTTCATAATCATGTACACGATTTGTACTTAATATATTTCCCTAGAGAATGAATTCTATTTTCAATTGAACACTTACCTTACTTCAAATTCTTATTACTTAAGTTGACTAAGAAACGTGTACAGAGTGAGGCATTCAATCTGTATTCATATAAAGAAAGAATTATTGAATGTGTAATCCTTTCAAAGAACTCTGTACGAATATTCAGTATACAATAGCACTGAATGAATCGTGTTGTTATAATTTCACGTAAAAATGATAACAACCAGTTGATTGAATTAATAGGTAAATATACAAGAATAAAATATAATAAAGTATCAGTTATGTGAATTCGTAGTATATTCGTTAAATCACCAGCTCCAATAACAATACAATAATTTATGAATTTGCTCAGGCTCTTAGGTGTCTCAAGTACAACAATAAAAATAATTCGGAGAGTCCGAAATCAGTCAACTGTATAAAATTAACATGAAAAAAAAAATAAGGACAGTACTTAGTAGTATGTAGTAAGAACTACTATTGGCGTTATTCGTAATAATAGATGGTAACCTTGAAAAACGAAAATCTGCTACTCCGAGACTATTGCGTCAACAGGGGGTGCGCGTTTTGTTAAGGTGAAGCGTTCGCGGAAGAGATAACACTATATACATACATATGTACAATGACTCTTAAGTATATACTTTTACATAACCTCGACCGATAAAAAATTTTATTCATATCAGATACTTTGTGCATTGTTACCTAAATTGGATCATTATTGCTTAAAATATAATATGTGAAAGAAATGAAATCCACTGATCGTTCTGTCGATTAAATTCATGAATGCTTGCAATTTTATAACTGCCACTGCGGGCTAAACTATGGTAATTTTATGATATACATAAATAGGTATATTGTTATTCACAAGTCTTTGAAAGGAAATTTAATACTTCTCTAATTTTAGAAACGATACGTTTGATAATGTCGGAAGATGCCTCACTCTGCATCGTTCGCAAATAAGAATTTTATGTATACAAACTTACGGTAACGAGCCAAAATATTGTCGAATACTTTGAATTATGAAAAAAGAAAAAGATTGAGAGTTTACTTTTATAAAATCTCTTTATGACGCAAAAACTGAAGTTTAATTGATTTTAGTGGTGATCGTACTCGACTAGATCTAGATACAGAACCACTTTTTGTAAAATGTATTGCATTAAAGCTTCGCATATATTTAGTCATACTACCATGTAAAATAAAAACAAACGTAAGTTTCATGTAATTAATCATCGTCGATCAATGATTGCCATTTTAATATTTATGAACTCGACGATAAGTCAACTTCCTTTAACAGAAGTGCGAACAATGAATTTTTTCAAATTCACATAAATATAAAGAGACAAATTTTGATATTATAAAAACACACGGTACTCATAAAATTATTATACAATGATGTTCAAATTTCTGAACTTGTCAATTATAATATCGTTTCAACTTTTTGAAATATCACTGTCGGATGAAATTTGAACATTCGGCCACTTGATACATTTAAGAATTCGTAGAGACCAACATGTTAATTGTGATTGTAATATCATTAAAAATAGAAAAAAAATATGTCCACTTTCATAGTAAATGAATCATGATACTACAGACGAAGATTTTAGTGATCAACATTTTGGTGATCTACTTAATTCTGAAATACAACTTTAGCTCTTCTAGATCCATAATTCAGCTTATATATAATTAAAACAATTACCTAACTACGGACTAGATTTAGAAGGACCAGAAAAACAAGATATTAGAACAAAATTTTAGCTCGTGTATCGTCTAAAGACGCAACTGTATCGGATAAAAAATATTATACAGAAAGTAATGAATCTAAAGTAAGTCATTTTATAGCTGCATTCAGTAATACACTTACCCCTCGACTCCATACACATGTCTCCAGGTAATTTCTATCTCTGATTAATCAAATATGACAGGGTTAAGAAGATACAAAATATGCCATGTAAAAAAAAAGGGAAAAATGGCAATTGTAACGAGTCATTAATGCGCGATAAATATTCATATGATAATTGTTGTATGTGCCTAAGGACAGTGAATTTTTGACAGTGTTTAGGATATGTACACGCAGCATAATACACTGTCCGCTTAACGTGAATAGATTATAATCATTGCTAACAATTTCCTTGCTCTTTTGCGTTTCTACTTCCTTCAGAAACGAAAGAAATAAATTTCTTATAATTGTATAACGACAGTTTTGTCTGATCTCTGTTCTGTGCTCAATAAGAAAACCATACAGAGGATGCATATTTGACTTTGTAATAGTTTTTGATGTCGTGTTTGTATTATGTACATGACGAACATTAATGTATCTTAATGTTTTGCGAGATCACAGAAGAAAATTCATAACTTACATGTACAATGTTTCGTACTTTGTTGTTCGTCCGACTACTTATTATAAAACTACTGAGAGAAGGATATATAATTCCTTCATGCCATTGAAGTTTATAAAGTACGATAATGTTAATTGCTTTAGTTTTGGTATGCTTTTGAACTTTGAAGTATACAATGAACATTAATTTTAAAATTGCGCAATTATTTTGTAAAAACTTATGAATTTCTGATTTAAGCATTGGGTATTCGTATGTACATTGATATTGGCATTATGAATACTGATGTAATTGTTCTTCTTTTTTACACATACATATTTTCTTTTTATTTGTATTGGTCTTCTGAATAAGGAATTCTAAATGGAATGTAAGTAAAAAATTAAATGCCGAAAAAACTGTTATGATTTGATTAATTTTCAACAATTCATGAAACAGTTAAGTACCAGCAACTTGTTTCAATTGTACAGAAGCAAGTTTCAGCTTCTAAATTTATATGATGGTTTCTTGATATTACGCGAAACTAGATCTTATTTGTAATAGTGTTCACTATAAAGCGCTTCTTGTATTTAACCGGATACGGTATATATGTATTTCAATTCCTACTGTATTTATAAAATTATAAACCTACGTTTCTTTTTTGTCCTTCTATGATAAAAACTATTTACTTCATCGAGACTTTCAGTAAATAAAAATACAATCTCTATAAATAGGATATTATGCGGCATTAAATACAAATTATTTAAAAAATAAAGCTACAGATAAAAGAGGCTTCATAGCTCTTTGTACTCTCAATAAGAAACGTGTTTTTAAGTAATTATTCATTCAAAACGCATATGTAATTCAGAAGAATTATCAATTTTATGAAGTTATATGAATATGAATTACACTAAATACAGTCTTTTTTCTTTAAGAATCAATCACATATATTAGGCAGTATCTGTCCGATGATTTCCTCTTATAAGAAAAGGTGTAATTGCAGCTTACTTATGACAATAAAAACTGAATGATCGTTTCAGACACAAATTAAAATTAATTATTCAAAATGTTGATACTGCGTTTCAAATGTATAATCCTTATTGGTACACAAAGAAATAGTACTATACATTTAAGATTTTAAATGAAAATTCAGGGACACGATGCAGTTCTTTTTACGTTATAAACAGAAAGATTACTCGTAATTGCTTCAATTACCTTGATGCAATAGAACTGAAATCCGTTGATGTGAAATTAATGCTCGTTTAAGCCTGGCAGGATAAACCAACGTTTTTTTCACTCGGATAGTGTTCTCGGAAGTAATATCAAAATGAGAAACGGAAACGATCGTTGCATCGACGGTTTACTGAATCGCAGTATAAAGCTCTTTTTGCGCCGGAACCTTTATACAAAACTATGGTACAGGGAGACAAGACTTTGTTGCAGAGTCTGTGCATCCCGAAGAACTTTAAAACTATGTTTACATTTGATTGATCTAAAATTATACTTATAGTCAAATTGTCATCTTGAATACTTGCTTTTTTTTTTGTAAAAGTAAATTTCATTGTACTTTGGAGAATCGATGTAAGAGATATTTTGACTCTCGTTCAGATTGTAGCTCGAGTGGAACAGCACTCTCAGTTAACCCTTTGCGATCCTTAATTGTTTATTGAGCAATATTGAACATTCTACGAACACAAGGACAATTCTTTCCCCATTGCAAAAAACAGTTGTACAATTGCGTTTCACAAAAGTATACACACAATACTTTCAAGCGTTTTATCAAGACACTGTCCAGGAAAGAATGCTCCAAATAGTTGAGAATTAGTATTTATAATAAATCGAAACATCTACTCTAGTACTTTTATTGTTGTATAACTTACTCGATATTTCGAATGCTATACAAGTGTATACTACATTTAATACTACTATTATTATTATTATTATTATTATTATTATTGTGATTCTTCAATTGAGTTTCGAGCGGTATATTTTATTCATCACCGTACCTGTGATATCGAATAATGGAATATATGTAATGAGAACTACTTTGAAGCTAACAAATAAATTGTTCTTTTTCGACACGTTTAAGTTGTCGAGAAATTGGAATCGTGATCGACATACAAGATAATATAAAATAATCGAATCAAGGAATGTAAAAAGTAACTGATTTCTAAAATTGACTAGAACAAAAACAAGCATGGAATCGCAAAGGATTAAAGCAGAATAACTAAAACAATTGGACTATGAGTTGGTCATGCTCGATCTGGCGTGGTGTCTTATCGCTAACCCGTATAGTATTTCAGGTGCTACGGTATCTTTTATATATGGCACATCGAAACACAATCGTTCACGAAACGTACGTGATCATGCAACGTAGTTTTGTTAAGATACAAAAAAAAAAAAATTAACTCTCGGGATTTCCTTTGATTTCATACGACAGGTTTAACTATCTTGTACTGTGCTCTGTGAGTGCTCCTTGTCCTTTCCCTGGTATTCGTTAAACGGTACCACCGGACGCTCGGCCCTTTGCGATCCTCTTCCCTTCACATTGTCTCTAAAAAAACGATCCGACGTGTTAAAACGATAGGTATATCGATGAAAATTTTATACAAAGACCAAACAGAAAAGCAAATCATTCGAGAAACATTATTCATTATTCTCCTTATATGTACATACATATATCGTGGTTCCACTGGGACAAATGTGAAACTGACAAATTTTGCGAATCCGAGTTAAATGCAGGATTTTATTTGTTCCTCACTCTCCCAATAAATTACATTTTTCAGCAATTTCGTCACTTTACCATTGGAACGACGATAATACATGAACGCTCTTACATTGGATAAAAAAAGACCGTAAAGGGTTCAGCTCGGGGGCACCGATTTTTTCATACAGTAAAGTCTAATATGTACAGCGTGTAGCCTCACAGAGCAGTTATCACTTGTATTACTTGTAATATATCACAAAATATCCCATCGAAAGGTGAACCGTCAACGCTACATTTTGTATATACTCCCGGAGTAGTTTTCCTTTCTGAACGAGGTCAGCGGTTTTAACTCTTTCATGCGTGATAAATGGCTTGCAATACTTTTTTACACTTGTATCATTAACATAAACAAATATGATAATTCGCCAATAGATTATTGATCAATAAACGTAAGAAGTGAAATAAAACAGTATTGTCGAAGATGTGTGTTTAAAAAACAGAGGACGCTCGTCTAAGAGATTAATTTTCAAGGAAAAAATATGAATGTGAAGTTTTGAAATATCGTGTCGATAATAGAGCAGTACGCTAGTACCAATTCGTATCGCCTGAGACATGAAAGAGTTTATGCTGTTGCATAAATGTTACTAGTTTTTTAATCCTCCTATGATGAAGAACAATTTTTTTACACTTCACATACTCTTATAAGTACATGCAAACATATGCGATACAATATCATATTAACAATACTGATGCGTATAAATATAATGCAATGAAACGGTTCACGTATCCTTAAAAAACGAAATCTTGATCACAAGAGGATTAACATGTATATTCTATGAGCATCCAGAAATGAAAATTAATTTATGAATGGTACAGGAGCTGCCGGTGAGGTAAGACACCATAGTTGGTCCTATGAACATGTCGCGCTTTCACAATAGTATTGTATGGCGTTTGAAATGAATATTGAAAAACAGGGTGAAACGTCAAAGAAAAACTAACTTCCCAGAAGTATCTGTACATGTATGCGAGGTTCCTAGAATTTATGAAACTTTTCAGTTTCTCAACATGCGAAAGTGCTTCTGATAAATTAGTTATTAAACACTCGTTCGTACGAAAGGTTCAAATACTACCAGAACGCGTGTTCTAATACTATTTGAAGATTTCATGAGTGACGTATCAGTGTATGTAGTGAAGTACAACCATTGATGAAATTATTGCTTATTATTGCGAACAGAATATTCATCTGGTGTTGCACTCTCGACCCCTGTCGCCATCACTAATACCAAAATACAGAAATATATTCTGGGGGCGGGGTCGAAGGTGCTGTTTGTTATCCTCACTGATCATTTTTCAAGCGGTTTCACCTTTCGAACGTTATCATCTCTTTGGAGCTGTTTATAGTACAAAAACAAAAAGTAACATTTTCTTAGGAGATTGTGTGTAGTACTGATGAATAAAGTAAAGACATGTTTATCACGTATATTTTTTTTTTTTTTTTGAAAGCGTATATATGTATTATATTAAGATACAATCTTGCATCGTCGCGCAGCTCTCGAAGAGTGATGAATCCACACAGGGAGAGGAGTGTCTTCGTTCTTCCCAGAGGCCAGCAGCATCGAACTCCAGGCGGCGGGAGTAGATGGTTATTCAGCTTTTCTGTAAACCGCAACTGAACACGACCTCGTGAAACACCCTCATGTCATCTTATGTCACACATTCTTTGTTTCTGTGTAATTTCATCGATAACACATCTCTTGTATTTCTCGAAACTAAACGGATACTCTCTCTAAACGTTACATAGAGATATATGTATGCATGTGTGTACGCGTTCCATTCGCGTCTTTTATCAGTGTAGTATATATATATATATATATAGTATACGCTGCGTTAAAAGACAGAAAAGAGAAGTAGTGACTTTAAAAGAAACGTATGCATAAAAATCTACAGCGTTCCGATATATATATGTATGTATATATGTATTATATATATATACGTGTGTTAAGAATCCCATAAGAATCCATACGGTAACTTGGTAAAACTCGCGTTAAGTTCGTAGATTCCAAATACTTCAGAATGTGTCTTAACATTTTCCTAGTCGAATGTCTATGCTTCAGATACCTTTCACTAAATTATCTTAACATTTTCCCTTTGCGAACAAATACAGAAAATTAATCGTGAACCATAGGGACGCATCGATAAGGCCGCCAGCTCTGCAGGAATCCTTTCAAAGAAAATCTATAGGAGAATCACACGACAACGGTACGACAACAGCACAAAAATTGAAAACTAAAAGGGAACAGAATCATTCAACAGATACATTGTGCTATTGAAATATCTTCTCGAGGAGCCGACAGCCATAATGCATGATTCGAACACGTGATTATTAAAAGTGTTCAACAGTCAATGATTGAAATTCTCAGGTTTTAGAAATTCAAGTGTCCTAACTTAAGATATCCTAACTGAAGATCACTCGAGCCGACCAGGAAAGTGTTAAGATATAATACGAGAATCAGGTAAGAACAGAATAATGGTTATGGTATGTCTTCTTGGATGAATGTCCTTCCTGATGCCTCCACGAAACGACGAACTTGCAAGGGAGTCAACGACGACATATCCCACGCGACACTGCCTTGCTACCGTGCCCGTTATGTTGATGTTCCTCTTTCTTTCTGCCCGAGAATCCCTGTCTCGTCGTGTACTATGTAACTTTAATGTCTCGAACGATGCGAAGAGTCTCCACGTTCGTCGCGACGATCTCTTTCTCGTTCACGTTCCCGTTCACGTTCCGGTTCCCGTTCTCTCTCCGATGGTCTCCGGCTTGATTCTCGTTCTCGATCTCTGTCTCGTTCACGCTCTCTGTAGCGATCGTCATAATACCTACACAAGTCACGTCAGCCAATTATCTTACATTAGCGGTGAACCATTTTTGTTTCTTTTTTCTTATTTTTTTTTTTAAATATAATTCACTCTTATTCGTTTACGCTACCTTCCTATTCTTTCACATTCTATTACACACATTACTGTCTGTACTCCTTAGTCTGTACACGTTACTTGGAATACCAGGAATTCGAAACACAAGTATACTATGAGGAATTACTATAGATACATCGAGTTTAAATTCATTGAAAAATCTAAGCAAAATACGTATGTCTGACAGAAGATGCAATTGTTTCAACGAGTATCTAAGAGTTCTGTATGATGTAGTGTATATTGATAACCTAAATTATCAGTGTACGATGCAAACAGGGACTTGAATAGTCAAAAGTAATGAAAGAAATCACTCTATATACATTTGACACACTCTGTGTACCATCATATTGTAATGTATCTTTGTCGTTGTCACAGTGATAGTAGTTACTCGAGCACTGAATCTCTTCACCTTCTCTTCCTATTTCCCTAAGATTTGTTCAGAGTCTTAGAACTAAAAACGCTAACATTGTAATAACATTGTAACGTATGATTCTCTGGACATGTAATTACTGCTCTGCTTTCACCACTTTTGCATCGAACAAGATAGAATTTTTTGAAAAATCTACATGCATTCACTTTAATGGAAAAAAAAAGTATAAATTACCTAGACGCCTTGGAAGACGAGACGGGAGCCGCCTCTGGCGGTTCTTCTTTTACTCTTGGCCTGGCTGACTGACGTGTCGTACTAATGGAAAATGCATACTTTGTTATGGCTTATATTGTTACCAGGCTTAGTACGTTCTTTCAGTTAAAACAAGAAAATATTGTATTTTGTTCCGTTTGTCCTATTATCTTGTAAATTACGAATGACCGCATATACTCTACCAAATTCTAATGGAACTTTCAATTACTCTACAACTTAAATCTAATGTGATCGGTAGAATTGTTTTTCCGCGTATCGTTCGGCATAAACTAGCATAAATTACAAACACCTAAACAGTATAATAAGGAATTATGCAATTAGTGCATTATTCTAATTAAAATAAACCACAATTAGTAAACTTGGACAAGTGCAATTATACACACTCGCGCAAGGAACTTTGTAATTTATATTTAATGTCATTTCTTAAACCTGAAACTATACACTGCCATACATCTAATTTGTTTGTTTAATTTTCTTAGTATGAAAAGGCCCAATGTACAAACTTGAGTTATAATGTATTTGTATAGATCCAGGATTAAGATTATTTTAATGTAGCAAAAAATGTGTAAATACTCTATGTCAACAGAAAAACAAATTCTCTCTGATTAATAAACACTAATGCACGATATTAATGCATGAGTTGTATAAATATTACCTTAATGCGCAAGCAAGTTATAGAATAACGTTTCCCCTAGGCTATAATCTGTACATTGCATTGAAACAGAAAACATAATTCCATTTCCTCGGCGAACAGTAATTTTACATACATATATCATATAACACTTCACATACTTCATAGAACGCATATTGCCGGTTATTAATCTACAAGAATTAATTAATTTAAGTCATGAGCTACTGTTCTTTGAAATAACCAACACGAGGGCTATAGAAACAACTTTCACGTAAAATGAAATGAAAAGCTAATACTTTGGATATTTAGAATGTAAATTTAATAAAATGAATTATTATGAAAATGTAAATACCCTAGAAATAGTTCATAAATTAAATAATTAATTCTTATTATATTATTCTAAATACATTCATTAATTTTTTACTTTCACCACAATATATTATGTGAACATGGACAATATTTATAATGCACTTTAAAAATGTTATGTAATAATATGTTAATACTAGAAACTGTATGACCATGTGGTATTAAATATTTACCAAGTTGTAATCTTGTTAGGAAATTAGAATTACATAGGAGGATCACAAGAGACAAAAATGGCACTCATACTGTGACTTATCTTAAGGCAGAACTGACAATTTTTTTAAACTTTAAATCTCATAATTCAATTTACCGTCACGTATGTATCAAGACAGCTTCAAGCTTTAACTGTTTATTGATGCAAATTAATACGATTCAGAGAACATTTTATGATACTAAGTGCACTCGCATACACGTTTAATGTGAGAATATTATGTTCTGTATAAATAACAGTCCTGACACACCTTTTTAATTTCTATAGAATATCTCATTTTTCCTTACGCTTTTTCGTACGCTTGTTCCAATTAAAAAGTAAGACTATTGCGTGTTTTGGGGGTAATAAATGAATTAATTAAATTTAAAATCTTATTGATTAGTCCTTACTAAAAATTGCTGATCAATTTACAATAAAATTTACAGTTCGCAAATTAAATTCTTATTTCAGCTGTACCCTGTTCTCCTTACATTATTATTATAAGAAATTTGTCTAGAACACTACATTATGTAAAAGGCTGAGATCGTAGTACAGCTGAGATTGAGTACTGTTAGAAAACTTTTTTTTTTGTTGTAGACTAAAATATTAACTATGTATAAAGAATAAAGTATGATTTTGTATTCATATCCATTATTGGCATAGAATTAAAAAAGAAATTAAAACAATTTGTTCCTTTAAAGCAAATATAAAAATGTTTGTTCTATCTCGTTCTTTACCATCGCTTTAATCTTACTGAAAATAATAAATCGTAGTTTCGTTCCTGAATTAATCAATGTCCACTGCACATCCGTTCACCGTTACATGAAGAGAAAATAGAATTTATGAGAAAGTAATAAATGTTTTTAACATATAAGGATATAAGTATCCAATAAAAGAAAATTATTATTATTAAGTTATGCAAACTTTTGTTTCCTTCTTTTCGGCATGATTAAATATTAATATTAATATGTATATATTAATTTGAATTACTGGAAAGCTTTATATACACTGAAAACCGTATACTTAGTCGTTGTGTTGAAATTGTTGTTCTTCATGTGTGTTGCACAATATATTACTACATATTAATTAAGCGCAATGAATAAAGATTAATACTGAAACTGTAACAGTTCATCAAATCTTAATGTTCATAATTTACCTAATAATTTTATACATTTCTTGGAACAAAATGTCTGACTGACTATAAAAAATGCCCACTGTTTATATCTAAGGACATTATTATTGCATCAAAGTACATATGTTATTTTATTGTTACAAAAGGTTTCAATGAAATTTGAAATCAGTAACATAAGAAATAGACATTACCAGGTAGTCTTTTACTCAATTATTCAACACATTAATCGCTATCTTATGTACTGGACAGTTATATTTTTCTTTTCTTGCCTGATGCATGAATAAGAAAAAAAAATCCAATTTTGCAGTGTGCAATGAAACAATGAAATACTTTATCAAAAATGAAATATTGCCATTTTATTTTAAAATTCCAATCTGAATTAATTTTCAGTTGTTGAAGAACATAAAAAGTTGCTAGATAACTTGAATAAATGTTATATTCAAATGTTGAATGTATGTTTCCTGTTCTCATTTATAATTTCTCAAACGATACAAGAGGTTGAAAATAGAAAAATATTCAATAGCAATTAATCTGTTGAAATTAAATTACTTTTGTTTAACCCTGTTACTGTTATAATATGTAGGAGTAAGTAGTCTCGCACTATTAGAGATGACACATTTTCGACGACTAATTTAGTCGAAACTGTAGCGGAGAGTTTCTTCAAATTATATCACAGCAAAAGGGTTAATTAACTTCATATAATTTTAAATCCTAGTATGTACTGGATCATAAATTATAGATGTCTTATAAATTCTCTTGACGCGTATTATGTATGAAAATCATGTAAAACAATCATCCTACAGAGTTCGAGGAGAATTAAGATTTTTCTGAACTGATTACACCTAAGTAGACATCACTGTTTTACAATAAATTCTAATTAGAAATAAATAAATGTTGACATTACAAAATAATGCATTTTTTCCTATGTCACCCAATAACAACTCGTCATTTTCGCTAGAAGCTAAAACGTGTATTGCTAATATTATTGAATAATTGCTCCAATAAAATTTCTCTTTCAATGTACGGTTCGTGCGGTGATATACCTGCGTAGCCTCATCTCAAAATACATATGTTACATGAACGATAAACTTATTTTACTCGAAACAACATCGTTGGTGTACCCGAGACTAAAGTAGTATATTGCATAATAATATATACAACAAGTTTGTTACAACGGGAACGATTGGCGAACATAAATTCTGTCTAACGACAGGTGACACACGCGACACAACGCCATTACCGTGAATTAAGCCGACTGTCAGTAAATACTCTAGACTGAATTGGACGATAAGTCATATTTCGTTTTGTCACAGTTAAAATAATTATGCAAGATGATGTTTAGCTTACCTTTCTTCTCTGCTTCGCTCTCTATATTCGCGATCTCTCTCACGTTCACGATCCCTCTCTCTGCTTCGTGATCTCTCCCGTGGGTATGGTTCACTATAATAACGCTCCCTGTCACGATCACGATCCCTTTCCCTCTCGCGATCACGTTCCCTGTCACGCTCTCTGTCTCTGTCCCTGCTTCTTTCTCTGTACTCTCTGTCACGGCTCCTTGATCGTTCACGCCTCCTTCTATGGCTGCGTTCTCTGTCGCGTGAACGTGATCGTTCTGAAAATATAAACACAACACTACAGTACCTTGCAAAACGCTTAGTTTATAATGCTAACAACATAATACTATCTCCCCGGGCATTACAATCCTAGGTAATCATACATATGTTGGCGATACATATGTGTACCTTAAAAGATGATTAACACAACAACGTAACAATGTAACAACGTAACAACGAAGCAAAATTAAGGCAAGAATCTAACTATAAGAACACAATGTACATATATTGTAGAACCATAATATACCGTAAATAAAGAATTCATTTTAAGTTTACCTCTTCGCGCGGAACCATAACTTTTAGTTTCAACGCCACGTAAAGTGTCTTGAAGAGAACTAATTAGAATCTTGCATCTGTCGTCTGCGGCGACTTTAGACTGCTTTATCAAGGAAATGGCTGTAACCAAGGTTTCTATGGCGCTCGCGTATTCGCCTGCTGCAGCGTCTGATACTGCTCGAGCAATCGCGGACGAAGAAACTGTTCTATTTCGACTCATTATTTCTTCGAATTCTTGCTCTGTGAGAGGAGGAGGGCCTTCTGGACGATGATCGGGTCCTGGTGCACCATAAGGTGGCTGCAAATATATGTTACACTGTCAAATTTCTCTGTTGCAAGCAATAATTCAGAAAGAAATGGAACAAAAGAAATTAATAAGTTATTATACCTGTGTTGCGGGTGGTCCATAACCGTGTGGAGGTACATGAGGCGGCCCATGAGGCTGACCATGTGGAGGTCCATGAGGAGGACCATGAGGTGGTCCATGCGGTGGACCATGAGGAGGACCATGAGGTGGACCAGGAGGACCTGGCGGATGCTGTCCTGGATGCTGATGAGGTGGTCCTTGCGGGAAGAATGCTGGATTAACATGCGGTGCTGGTCCTCCCGGAGGTCCTTGCGGTGGTCCTTGAGGTGGTCCTCCGTGTCCAGGTGGTGGTCCTCCTGGACCTGGCAACATTCCTGATCAATATCTATGTTAGCTTGCAACACTGCATACAGCAAGCTTGCAGAAATTACAAAACTATATAAAAGACATTAATATACAAGGTGGCGCACATAAAACCGACCCTAAAGACAAACATTATAAATTTCATAATAATAAGTTATATTTCGTATTTTCGTTGAAAACATAAAAATGCTAGTAAACATGTAAACTGGTGAAATTAAGGCCTTTTTATGTCAGACACCGTTCACTTACCATACCAAATGTAACTCAAATGTACATTAACCTACTGATAATATCCAATTAAAATTTTAAAACTATATTTTGCATTTCAAGCTAGATTTATTGTATGTGGCCCTACATTTGATAAAACTACCTTGTTCTGTGCTATCTTGTACTGCGAGTAATACCGAAATAATTTTGATTAATTTAATTTTCAAAAGTCAAACTTTATACTTGTTTCCAGTTGTTTATAATATTTTTTCCGCCTTCTTTTTATGCGAATGAAATTCCATGTAAAGTGTTAATAAATATTGAATATTACGATTTGAATTTGTGTATCATTCACACGATATAGCAAATTGTTATCTGTGACTTTATAGCATGAAAAATACAGTTATTTTTCATGTTATTTTCGTCTGAAACACCTTGCACCTTCATACTCCTAAGCATACATTTCCCTCAATATCATGCACTATCGTATGAAAGATGAATAATAATACTATTGTTAATATTCAATTAACGTCCGGAAGTTCTCACCGCCCATAGAACCTGGAGGAGGTCCTCTCTGTGGTGGGCCTTGACCAGGTTGCGGGCCTTGCATATGTTGATGTTGAGGGAAACCTGGTGGTCCCTGAGGCCCGTGATGCATTCCTATGCACATTGAATAATTACATCAGTGTACTTCCTTTATAATAACTTGATTACATGGTGCTGTGTTACTTAAAATGGTTGTGTTTTATATTCAATTTGCATCATAATTCTGATGCTCTAGAATACATTTCACTATCGTAGTAATTGTCAGACATCTATGCTATCATGCAAATCTCAAGCTATGTAAAAGAAAGATTTTACAACAATAATATATGAAATGCATGAAAAGTAAAGTATTCAAGTTCAAGATGTTTCAGTACATTAACTAATAGGAGTTGTTGCTATCTTCTACAAACCTGGTGGTCTGTTCCATTCAGGACGTGGCTGAGCACCTCTCGGATCACCTGGAGGTCCACCAGGATGTCCAGGCGGACCACGTGGGGGTCCTTGACCAGGTGGACCAGGTGGACCACCATGAAATTGCTAAATGGACACAAAAAAATTTCCTAATTTAATCGCTTCTCACTAAATTAGTAAAAATCATTTTATAACGTGTTTCCGGGAGAAAAATATACTGGTAATTTCTATTCATAAACTTAACTATATTAGTAATAACTATGGAAGGAATGTTATACTAGAACTTTAGAGGTGTCAGAGCCAGTTATTCATCCATTAAAAACATTTCGTCAATATACCGTTAAGCTAATCAACGACTGAACTGAAATTAAATAATTTCTCGTATAAGCCTTTCATGTTATATGTATATTGTGCACTGTAAGTAGTATGAAGTTCAGAGTAAATACTTGAACATGGTAATAGATGTATAGTGACATGATCTACTCCCAATTATTATTAGTTTCGAAACTTCGAATATCTAATAAAAAAAAATAAGTGTATGCAATAGAAAAAATAAAATGTCAATAACAAACACAGTATAAGATTTTAATGCAATAAGAGAACTTTGTTTTTAAAGAGCAAGTTGATTTGATATAGTTCAAATCTGCCAATGATAAATTATTCGTCTATTTGTTCTACATTAATACTACTGTTCTCGTTCAGGAACATCCTGGAAAGTTTCACAGAATGAACAATTCTTACAACATGAAAAGCAGAAAAAAAAACAACACACTACGTGTTACCTGTGGCATATGGTAACTGGCTTCTGAAAGATCTCTAGTGCAACTCTGTGTTTACGCGGAGCGTAAGACGTGTAAATGCAAAAAATATTCTTGTAACTTGTAACATAATTACACATCAATACTACATAAATATGTAATGAAATTTTGAGAGATAAACGTGTACATAGATTCCTGTGCAAAAATTATTGCCATAAAACAACATGAAGTTGCTAAAGAATACACTAGATAGAAAAAAAAAACTATAATTATCAATTAGAAATAAGCAACATACATTCATTAATATCATTAAAAGCAGCATTATAGTGCATACCATTCCAGGTGGTCGATGTTGACCAGGACCTGGTCCAGGTGGTCCTTGTTGCGGTGGACCACCGGGTCCACTTGGACCCCTTGGAGGTCCAGGTGGACCATTAGGTCTTGGACCGTTCCACGGTCCTTGTTGATACCCAGGTGGTGGTGGACCCTGGTTGGGATGTCCAGGTAAAGGATGATGCGGTCCAGGTCCAGGACCCATAGGTGGATGATGCATACGCGGTGGACCTTGTTGACCAGGTCCACCCGGACCTGGTGGACCCATACCTGGAGGTGGCATTCTCTGTGGTCTCACTCCCTGTGGGGGACCTATTATCATCCTAGGACCATGATTCTGTTGAGAATGTTGAGGGTGTTGGGGATGTTGTGGATGCTGCTGATGAGGCGGCATCGGTGGTTGATGTTGATGCGGATTATGGGGGCGTTGACTTTGGCTCTGCTGAGGAGCTGGAGCTGGACGTGTTTTACACTGAGACTCAAACTGTGAATATATACAAATTTATTGTCCTTCCTATTATTTGATATCCTATCTACATAAATGATTTTGCATGGTGTCTTACTATCCTTTTTTCCACAGAATATCTGTACACTTGGATAATTTACAAATACAAACTTACTTGATTCAAAGCTTGTTTGGTGGGAAATGTTACTACTGGATTCTGACCATGTAACTCTTTTTTGGGCAATCTTTCCATACATATCCTCATGCTTTGTTCTGAACCCAGAGATATCATACAAAAACCTTTGGACTGACCATTTGCTCGATTTTCAAAGAATTTTACTTCTACAAAATCAGATACACCAATACTTTGTACAGCATCAGTTATATCTTGATCACTTGTCCACTGTAATACACAATAAGATTTTAATTAAGTATCTGTATTACGTACTGTACATAATCAATAAAATTATTATCCAATTATATACCCAAGTTAAATTGCCAACATATAGTTGATGACGTCTTCCAATTTGGTTTGGTTGAATGTTATTCCCGAGTTGATGGTAAGGAGCACTGCCATTTGTTTCTTCATTTGGTGAAGTGGTATCACCTCCACCGTCTCCACTATTGCCTGTGGAAACACCACCATTACCACCAGCAGGAGCTGCTATCACATCATCATATAAATCAACGCCATCACCAGCAAATTCATCCTAAAAATATGATTAAGAATGTAATAATGGAAGGTCAATATAATAGGACAATTATGATACAAATCTTACATTAGAAAACAAATAATTAAGTACTTTAATCAGTTAATTCATGAAAATGAATCTGTTTTTTTAACAGATTAAAAAAATATGAACTACACAAAAATAAATTATATTTATAGAAAATTTTCTGCTTTAGGAATCTCTACATACAAATGAATGAACCACATGGTGTTACTACTACAAACTCATTCAAACTTTTCAATTATTGAATTTCAAAGATTGGAAATCAAACTACAAGTAAATAAAATAGTATTTTCAATGTGGCATGAAAACTTAGTAAGTATAAATAAGATGAGTCACGAATAAAATATTTTTATTTCAGGTTACACCCAACCCTAATATATGTATAGTATATGTATATGTATAATCGGCTATTTCACCGTTCATCATTATAAATTATAACAAATATATGTCAAGACTTAAAACAAAAGATTACATCGTACATCAATAAACCGTTCCAGCGCAACATCTTTCTACCATTTCTAAAAGCTATATAATTTAGGTAGATATTTCCCAAGTTTCCATGTTACATTCTCAATACTACGTATTTCACTTGCTTTCGCTTCGGCGTCCAGCGTTCAAAATACTACTTCAAATTCCAACTAATTCCGTAGGAAAGTAACAGAAACGTTTTAAAAAAAAAAGAAGTAAAGATTTTAATCAAAGCTACATCGGACGAACGAAGCATAAGAAACACTACTGCACGACATTCGCCTTACCGCTAACACCATTTTGCTTTGCTCGCTGTGTATCTGTATATTAACACGTATTCGGTTTAGTTTTCCAAGTCGAGTTACGCGCACGACCACTAATAATTGCAGAACGAAATGTCGGATAGTATTCGTTGATGATCAAACTGAACAGCTACCCGCCGTGGCGACAGAAACGCGAATCGAAACCAACGTCCCGGCTGAACGAGATCTTACTTATGGACACACCGCTTACGAACAATCGTTACTGTCTCACCTCCATGACGCCGGATAGGCCGCTCTGATTTCGCGTTTTTCTCACAGTTGAAAGTATTTTTCGCGCGAGCAGACGATTAACGATTACGCGTGGCAACCGCGTATTTGTTTATTAACAATGAGAAAATCGAATTACCTGCGCGAAATCTTGCTCGAGATCGTCGGCGTACAAATCAATGTCACCGTCCGCCATTTTACGTACACCGACGCTCACTGCATTTGACGAAGGCGCCAAGCCTAAAGGGCTCACGGTCTTCTATAGGAGAAAACGTGTTGGCGAATTACGTTACGTTTCTACCACTAAACGGACGTGACGTCACTACGCCATCTTTCCTCTTGTTCACGATGAGCGACAGCAACGAAGTGGCATGCAGCAATGATGCAGCATTGCCAACTTAAAAAAACATTGACTTTGAAATTTGAAAATTTCGAAGACTTTTTTTTACCGAAGAAAAAATATATACTATAGCATGTAGTATGATGTTACGATACACAAAAATTTTACTTAATGTTATATTAATATATTTAATCTTGTAAATATTATACCTGCGAGAAATAATTGTAGTGATTTAAATTTTACCAAAGTTCTATTCACAATGGTTATACAACAAGCAAACTTGGAGCGATTATTCATTTATAATGTATCAATTTCAGTTCATTAATTGTCTTCTTTTTGGCTTGTTGCAATTAAAATATATCAAAAATTTCTATCTCATATAGGTACTTGCATAAATCTAAGAAATTCTTAAAACTGTTTCTGTTTAATGTAAATTTGTTACTAACGGTAATGACGTTTCGTTTAAAAAAGTAAAAAAGTTAGGGAATTTCACAATCACAGAGTAGCAGCACTTCTCACGAACAAGGAACGAATTTCGTATTGTGCGATTTATTGCAACGAAACTACCGACACTACCGACACAACGACCGGTTCGTTGTTCGTTCTGTGCAGTTCTGTGGTTCGTTTCCTCTTTTGTGATCAGCTTCGAACTTGGAAAGGTATGCTTTGCATTCGAAACTAATGATCCTCTGACTTTATTAATTTCGGATGATGCTTTCATTTAAAAGTAATCGTGTTTCGTTACCCTCGCGATTTTCATGCAATTTATAACCCCGAAAAATCGTTGCTTTTTTTCGTCTGTCCCATGTGCACGCACTTCTACGTCCCGAGAGATCAAACGCAAACGAAAATATTCTATGATTTTCGAAGGCTTCTTTTTTTATCAGTTAATAACATAGCAAAACACTCCCTGTGAATATATTAATCGTAACGTGATTACATTTACCAAATTATCAAAAAACTGATAGAATTTTCGCTTTCTTCCCTTACAATTTCTGCATGGTCCTAACGAATAACCTTTCTCCCTCGCAAATATGGTGACTTTCAAATGTCAGTTTAATGTCGCGAAAAAATTTCGTCGAATTTATTGAATATTTTCATTAAATTGCGTCTTTCTTTTCATATAACATGTATCTGTCCCGTGTTACACACGTATACATAGTTGAGATTCAAGGATATTCGTCGCGATGCATGGAAGACAGAAGATGAAATCGCAACGTGTATCCGAATTTCGGCACATTTGCCAAATTATTATTTCGCTGTATGCCACTCGCACTTAATTTCTCTGTAAAAGTGCTATTTTACTTCGATTATTTTTCTCCTTCCCCCCCTCTCGTACGTGCGCGCGCGCGCGCGTACGTGAGTTTATATATATATATATATATATATATATATAATAATAATGTATGTATAGTCGCTTTGTTCGATATATTTTTTTATTTCGTACAGTTTTTGGAAATATATTTTCTTCATTGAATAATTCGAACTGTTCGTCCGTATTTGTTAGAATTGTACCTATGAACATCCTCAGAAAGGGTTCCTTAGACTTTCTTCACTTATCGAAAATTGATACCTTTATTATTGGTCTGTTCATTACAGAAAATTAATTTTGGTAGATGTTATGATTTATTAATCTAACATCATGAATTGAGCAGACAGACAACTAGCAAAAATGTAATATTGTCAGCTCGTAAATTGCACATAAAAATAAATTTTAATTGATACCACGAACAAAGTAAATATACTCAGAAAAAAAGTATCTAATACTTTAAGTTCAGATAACTCAATTTCTTAATATATAAGTTATTATTTATTGTGTCTTACTTCCTTTGTAATAATAAATTGTAAATTCTTTATACGTGAAACTTTTAATTCGAATAAAGATTCTGTATCATTTAATATGACATACGTAATTTTAGATATTGAAAATTGAAACACATTTGTATGAAGTACAATTTAAGTGGGGAAAATTATCTTAACAAAATAATATTTTTCTATAGTTTAATTGTTTGAATTGTACATTAGGTCTAAAATTTTCATAATAATTTAATTAAAACTGAAGTATTGTTATTCTTTACCAATATGGGTATTTAAGGAATTTTATTCTTTTTTTATGTGATTTTTAAGCATTTTTTTTTATAAAAGAAAAAAAAATCTGGATTATAGTACTATGACCACTGATACAAAACGCGCTGGCGATAACAGTGATATGGAATCTGTTGAGGATGAAGATGATAATGAGACTACAGAAATTTCTGCAGACATGTTAGCTGCTTTTCAAGGTCGTATTTCTGCACCAGGGATAGAGGTATTCAAATATCTATGTGAACTATAAACATTCTTCTACAATACAAAAACTAAAAATTTCAATATCTATATTACATTCAAATGAACACATTAAAATCATTCACATGGTACTCTGTTACAAAATATCATATCTTTATAGAATTTTGTAATTGTTTGTATATTGTGTAACATCATTTTTTTTTTTAACTTTATTGATATTTTCATATCAACTTTACTGGTTATCAATTTAATAAGTGATATAAAATATAAATATAGCTCCATACCATTAACATTTCTAGCTGTAAAAGCAAATTATCTTAATAGTTATTTGTGATAGGTATTAAATATATTATTACAAAGAATGATTCCATGCACATTTGGAAACATAACTGAGTTTAATGTTGTCATTCATTTAACTTATTTTATATAATTTGCTTTTCTTATGTCTTATATTTGATTTGATAATTTAACAATTTTGTTTTATGTGTATTACTGCAAAGTTGTTATTTCTTTACTTAGCTGTTAGTATAAGCTGTAAATTATGCACTGCATTAGATTAGTATGCAATACTTGGAGTTATTAATGTATTAAGCATTGCTTAATCAATGAAAATAAGAAAAGTATATGTTCCACATTGAACCACAGAACAAATAATTTTCCTTAAACGTATATTACAGTTAGTGTTTTAACAATTCTCAGTTGTAGTGTTATGTAAACATAGACTAACACATTTTGTAATATCAATAAAACAATTTTACATATCCGCAGAAAGTTTTTACTATACATAAAAAATAATTCTATTGAATCATGTATCAAAGGTAATATTTTATGGAATACTTTTGGTTTTTAGCAAATGCAGTCTCTTCCAGCTCCTGTAAAACGCAGAATTAAAGCTCTAAAGAAACTGCAAGTAGTTACTACAAATATTGAAGCAAAATTCTATGAGGAGGTACATGCTTTGGAATGTGTTTATCACAAATTATGTGCTCCTCTTTATGAAAAGAGGAAAGAAATAATATCAGGTGCTTACGAACCAACGGATGAACAGTGTGAATGGGAAAGTGATGATGAAGAAGAAGGATTAACTAATGACTTGAAAACAAAAGCAAATCTTGAAGATGACAAAGAGCAAAAGGCAAAAGAAGAGTATGCCCTTTTTATTTTCTTTACATGTTAAACATCTCCTTTTTTCTATTATCTTTATTTGTATTTAACATTTTTTATTTGAGTTTACTCACTGGATATGTTTACCTTTTATCCAATTCATTTTGTTACACCTTATACAGAATGAGTATTTGAAGAATGTATTTCAAAAAGAATACAGGATATAATTATTGATAATATCGTTAATTCATTTTTACCATTGTAGAAGCGAAAAAGATGTTAAAGGCATCCCAGAATTTTGGTTGACAATATTTAAAAATGTCGGACCATTAGCTGATATGGTTCAGGAACACGATGAACCGATCTTAAAACATTTGTATGATATTAAAGTGATATTCTTTGAATCTAATCCAATGGTAAGTTGCATGCTGGGTGAACAAACTATTAAATTATAAAATTACCATGTCACACTGATGTTGTGAACAGAAATTTGAAGGTATAGTTGGATTGCATTAAAAGACAACGAGGCTTTTTTGTAGGGTTTTATTCTTGAGTTCCATTTTGAGCCAAACGAATATTTCACTAATACAGTGCTAACTAAAGAATATATTATGAAGTGTACTCCCGACGTACTTGATCCATTTAATTTTGAAGGGCCTGAAATATACAAGTGTAAGGTGAATAATTCGAATTTAAATAATATTAGTTTTTTTCTTTTGTACTCCGAATTGTATAAACAGATGCTTTATAATATATAATGATTTTTTACAATAGGGATGTGCAATTGATTGGAAGAAAGGAAAGAATGTTACAGTAAAAACAATCAAGAAGAATCAGAAACATAAATCCCGAGGATCCATACGAACTGTAACAAAAACTGTTCAGAACGATTCATTTTTCAACTTTTTCAGTCCACCAGTTGGTAAGACCTGAAATACTACATTTTCTTTGAATCTGTATATGTAATCAATTTACTCATGGTATAACTTATTGTTACTTGTTTCAGTGCCAGTTGATGCAGAAGCAGAGTTGGACGATGAAACACAAGCTTTATTGGCAAGCGATTTTGAAATTGGCCATTACATTAGAGAACGTTTAGTTCCTAGAGCTGTATTATATTATACAGGTAATTGCTTTTTTGATAAAATTGAAGTTTATTTTAAGCTCACACAAGAACTAAGAAGCGATTAAATTTAACAAGCTTTTCAAACAATCGATTCAATAATTTAATACTATATTTCGACCTCACTTTAAACTAGTTTCTAATCTTATATCTATCTTGTAATTAATTTTTAACGAAGTTTGCTTCTTATTTTCTAGATGTACATAGTATTGAAAATAAATGTTATAGTGTCTTTGAAGTGAGAACTTAATGAAGAAAATTGCATTTTATTTTAGGGGAAGCCTTGGAAGATGAAGATGAAGATTACGAAGAAGAGGAGGGTGATGAGGATGATCCTGACGAGGAAAACGAAGACGACGAGGAGTTCTCACTAACTAATGCACCATCAGGTGGGAAACAACAAGGCAATGATCCTGCCGAGTGTAAAACACAGTAGAATTCTATAACAAATTAAGATCAGAGAAAATATTGTTCGTGCCTACCGAAAAAAAAGAACACAAACAAAACCTGACCGATAAGTGCCCTAGATATCCTGCACCTATGGCTCCAACGTAAAATCATCTAATCATGTCATATTTCCTATTCCAGATCAAGCTTAAAACTCTTCGACATACCAATGACAAAATTATGCGTACCCTCCCTTTATCCGACATTGACGGTGAACCGAAATACGGCTTATTGACAGGCTAAGATCTTATGTCACATAAGTATATGAACAAAAAAAAAAAAAGAACGAATTGCGTTCTCAGCTCTATATGAATAATCATTGTCATTTTAATTGCTTCATTTTATACAATATTGTTACGTTTATATACAAAGAAGAAAGTTAGTTGAAGTTTTTTCAAAACGCACGTTGATTTATGGACAAATTTTTCGGTATTGTTAAAGCATTTTTAATATAAAACTTGAGAAAACTGGAGACAATGTTTTGTTCCTTTCTGGACGTATTCTTACGCGAACACAGTGCCATACTTCCCTTTTCATGTAATTAAACCTGCGGTTAAATTATAAGAGAAGGTAAGAAGAAAATTGCAGCATTTACAGAAGCTGATAAATTGTTTATAATAACCGACCACTCCTTTCCTCAACCTGTATAGTTTCTTTAAGTTGCTTAAAGAAGTATTTTTCATACAACTTTGATACTAAACTGTTGTTTTTTTTTATTCAATTTGTCATGGACTTGAATTACATTGGACTTTAACAAAAATAATTGTATTGTGTTATCTGTACAATCATTTTCTATGTAGTATTTGTTTCGGTAACTTTTATGCGGTAAGTACTCAATTTAAATATATTATGTTGTGAATCAGTTTTTTGAAAAGTTAATGATAATAATGTAATAAAAAATATGAATAATCACACAATGATATTTGACTTACGTATTATACATATAAGAATAAACTACATAAACAAGTTTCTATTCATTCAGTAGCAATGCAGTCGATGAGAGATTATTTGCAGTTAAAAAAATACATTCCTGAATGATGATTGAAATTCTCTACAATTTATGAAAGAGAATGTATATAATATGGTGTCAGTTTTAATGTTTATTTGGTCAAATAAATTGTATCAATTATATAATAATGAATATTGAAGAAAGTACCCAAGCTAGAAGTTATAAAAAGCAATTATTGTATTGTTGTTTTTATGTCTGATTTTTTTGTGTAAAATCAATGTATCAAACCCGTGAAACTATTTATAAATATATATTTACAATATGTACTTATAAGTACTTCGAGCGACATCTTTGAAAAATCACATTGTATAATATACATGGACCTGAATCAGGTCCATGGTATAATAGGGTCAATGCCACTTGTCAGGTCATTGTATTTATGTGTTCAGTTTGCCCGGTTTGATAATTGTACTTGTGAATGTGACTGAGATAATGCCAAACAAGGAGTGTCATGGATAATTAGTTGCTTTTTTTTTACGGAAAAGCGTGCGATCGTGTATTTTCAAGCGTACAATATTCCATTGCATCAAACATGTCACGAGAGAGTAAAAGAATTCTAAAACAATTTCACAACTGTCGCATTCTACGTAATGGCAAAATCTTGATCGAAGATTTATGGGTTCGTGACGGAAAAATCGTAGACCCTGAACAAATTTTTTATGACGAAAAATCTAAACCAGATATTAGGATTGACTGCGGAGGACTGTTGCTCTCACCTGGATATATCGATCTTCAAATTAATGGTACTTAATGCAAGTACATGATGATTTTACCATTAAAAAAGGCCCTGAAATGTAGTTAAAGAATTCCTTTAATGAAGATGCGTATTTAGTTTTTCTTGCAAATTCACTCATGTAGACATTATAAATAGATTAGTATATTTTAATAAATAATAATATAGAAAGTAGATTTTCCACAAGTTTAATCGTAAAATAAAGTGTGGGTTCAGCTTTTGTATTAATTAGTTATTCATGTGATTTTGTTTTGTAATGTGTAATTGTTTATTTATCTAATGCTTCTTTTAATTAGGTGGCTTTGGTATAGATTTTACACATAATGTTGATAATGTACAAGAAGGTATTAATAAAGTAGCAAAAAAATTATTGGAGTTTGGTGTAACATCATTTTGCCCAACTTTAGTAACATCGCCTAAAGATACATATTACAAAGTATTGCCACAGATTAAGAAGAAAGATGGTGGAATGCATGGAGCAACTGTATTGGGCATTCATTTAGAAGGACCTTTCATTAGTCCAAACAAAAAGGGAGCTCATCCAGAAAATTACATTAAACAATTAGAAAATGCAAGTCTTCCATATGTTTTCCATGACCATAAAACAAACTTTTATGTATGAGTAAATATTTAAAATACGCGAACATTGTTTAGATACTTATGCTTCCTTACATTTATGACAAATTTATTCCACATATGTAAATCCATTGACTAATCTACATTTTAGGGTTTTGAATCGTTAATTGATATGTATGGTACTTTAGAAAATGTATGTCTTTTAACACTGGCACCAGAACTTCTCAATGCTGAAAGAGTCATCGAAGAATTATGTAGAAGAAACATTAAGGTTTCTCTTGGTAAGACACTTGACTGTGTTTCTTTGTACTATTATTGTTATTCAATATAGGTGTTTGTATTAAAATGTTTAAATATTACAGGTCATTCTATAGGAAATTTACACGAAGGAGAAGCTGCTGTAAAAAGTGGAGCTTCATTTATCACTCATCTTTTCAATGCAATGTTACCAGTAATTATACAATATACTGAGTTTAGTTGTTTTCTATAAGCCACATGGGACAACAAAAACTAAATATTATACTTGCATTTATAGTTTCACCATAGGGATCCAGGATTAGTTGGCCTTTTAACATCTGACAAAATTCCAGAAGGAAGGATTATTCACTATGGTATAATTGCAGATGGAATTCATACTCATCCTGCAGCATTGCGTATAGCTCACAGAACACATCCTGAAGGTTTGAATAGTTTTTTATATTGTAATCAACTGTCTCTTATTTACTATACTTAGTTCCATATTTCAGGACTTGTTTTAGTAACTGATGCGATATCAGCACTGGGTTTGGAAGAAGGTATACACAAACTAGGACAATTTAAGATAGAAATGCGTATGGGAAGAGCATATATTGCTGGAACAGATACTTTGTGCGGTAGTACAGCAGAAATGTCAAAGTGCGTCCGTCTTTTTAAAGAAGCGACAGGTAATTCAGACCCAGTCAGCCAAACCTGCACAGCTAGATTTTGTTCAATGCCTGTTATAAGCTTTTGTAACCAGGATGACAACAGGTTTGTAGACAGATTTTGTCAATATCTGTTACCAATCTGCTGCCAATCTGCGCACAAATGGTTTATAGGGAGAATGACTATTTAGCTTTACTTGCACGAGCGGGTTGAGTGCGCTGTTATGTTGTGTTTACGTTGCATACATTAGAAGAAAAACAATTAGTTAGCTTACCGAATGACTCCGGATTTACTGTTCGGTGCGGTTCACTTTTTCTACATTTGCGCGTTTTAAATTTCACAAATTATTTACGAATATGATTTTATGCAACTACTTTTTGTAGGATGTTCGATAGTAGAGGCATTAGAAGCTGCAACTCTCCATCCAGCAAAGACTCTTGGTATTGAAGAAATGAAAGGAGTTTTGAACTATGGGGCAGATGCTGATTTAGTAATGTTAAATGACAATTTGGAATTGTTATCCACTTGGATTTCAGGAAAATGCGTTTATACTCGAGGTGATAGTAAAAACTACAGGAAAACTGACTGTCATCATTATGCATTTTGAATGCCTTAATGAAAGTACTTCGTTTACACAAAAGAACGGCTGTGAATATTGTTCTAATTATATAAATGCTTGTCTACATACTTGTACACTATAACTCAATATTTTGCATACAAAATATGTTTTATACATTTTAATACACTTAGAGATGTTAATCTGCAGCATTACTGTACTAACATGTTATTGCGGATACAGATATTACTTACAGTTTACAGGTGCTAACATTATTGACAATATATTTCACAGATAAACAATAATTTTTTGTATACACTTATTACTTTAGAAGGGGGCCAGTTGTACCACTGATTTGTCAGAATATAACGATCTATATAGTTATTACACTACTTTTAATTATAGGAATTTCGATATGTTGATAAACAAATAAATATTGATTTCATAAGTTGAAACTTTATTCAACATGGAAGATTTCCAGAACGACTTTTGATATTATTCTTAAGTGGAACATAATTAAGGTACATTAAATTCAACGAATATACATATATATTGTACATGCAAATGTAAATTTTATTATAAAAGTTACATCGTTTATATGCATTTAGAGTAAAACTTCGCGTATATTCATAAAATAAAACAGATTCGTTAGTACGCGTACTAACGTCGCTATTATTACAATCTGTAGCACACAATGATATTATTGAACATAAAATCCTTTTGTTTGTCTTTGTTTTTTTTTTTTGTTTTTTTTTTGTAATAAAAGTATTTCTATTCTTTTTATAGCCTACTTAATTAGTTAGCAGCGTCAAGCTGTCTTGCAATCAGTTTTGCAAAGCGTTAAGGAAATGTTTGTCCACGCGTAAAATTGCCACTTTAGAATGAAATATTGTTACTGTTTCTATCGATGATATGTAATTTACTATGTTCGAAGTGGGATAATGACGAGCGTCAACACCGCGGCAAGGCATTCTTAAGTTAATAAACAACGTCCTTCAGGTTGCATATATACGGTGAGTGTCTAATGCCGAATGAATGTGCCGGAGGAATGGCAAGAACTACCTGTAAACGATAAGTTTACTCATTTTACAAATATGTTTCTCAAACTCAACGATAAGAAAAGAAAAAAAAACAATTTTTAGCGTTTTAGTGAAACGCTATGTTTCAAGGAAAAAATTCTTAAATTAAAAATGAGTATCTTTCAAAGGTTTTTGACGATTCGCTACATTGTACGGATATTGCTAATACTTTTTCTGGACAGTGTGCCCCGGGTCCTGGGATTTGCGAATGATCATCAGGCAGCTGATAGCGAGCACTTATGCTATAAGCGGGACTTTTCACTCTAACAGCATCCGGCTTCACGGCTTCATAGGTTCCAGGCCCAGGGACCAAAACACGGTCGTCTGTAAAAACCTTTTGCCTGCCTGAAATCGAATAAGCTGGTGCAGTTTTCTTGTTGCCCTCTTTCGTTCCACCAAGAACGGAAGGAATGTTGTAAACGTTCGGGGCTGAAACAGAAGAAAAGAGAAGAAACGAAACTTGAGGGGGATTGTATCAGTAGATGAGGAAGATCGTACGTTTTAAAATGCATATCTCGTAAGCAATTCTTATTATAATATACATATACATATATGTATATTCGAAAAGCATCACTTACGATACAGAATGCTGTTTTCACGTTCTATATGACATATTAATAGTATACATATGTATTACAGAATGATATGCGAAAGGAGCGAATAACAAAATCAATTCATATCCTCACCAGGTATATCATTAGGTCTGTCTATACATGTCCTGAGACCAAATGTAAATCGCAATGCTTTTTGCAGCAAAAGCATAGCCTTTTCTGGGCTGTATTCGCCTGGACCTTTAAACGAGGTACATCCATTGAACATGTGCGCGAGACGAATAAAGAATAGATTTTAGTCTTTTTATACCTGGTATTGTATCTTTTCCGTGTGCATCGGCCCTAACTCCGAAACTGTACCGAGGAGATCTGTTGTTTAGATTTACCTTTTCCGGGTGGTAGCTTCCAGGTGCTACATTTAGTATGAAAACATTTGAAACTTACTATACGCAAAAAATTTGTGATAAAGTTATTACTGAGTATTTCATACCAGGTATGTCATTAGGTTTCTCACTGAATGCCTTTACACCAAACGAGTATTGTGGAGACTTATCTAAATTGACTTTTTCTGGGGAATACGTGCCAGGAGCTACAAAATTAAAAAAACAATACTGAGACAGGTGTTAAGTACACTTAAGAGCTATATAATTCTTAATATAATTCAATTTTATATGACAACACCGTTTATACTGAAATTATTACGAGCAAGAAAAGCAGAAAATATAAGCAGTAGGTACATACAACAGGGCGACAGTGTCCTCTTTTAGAAGGTGCACTAACAATCTATTAGAAGCATGCATAGAATTCTGTACCCTTTAATGAGTTTTATTATTATAGCTGCATCGATATGAAACGAACAGTAAGTTGTTTAAGAAATGTTACTAATGATTGGTTAATCAACACCATTACCTGGTGTATCCCTAGGCTTATCCAATGGTGTTCTGTTACCAAAACTGAAATAAGTTTTATGTTCCAAATTTTCTACTTTCTCTGGATAGTAATCAGCAGGGCCTACCAAGGCAATCAAAACATTAGTAAGTATTCGAATTTGCCGAATGTTAAACCTATACCAACTGAATTTCCAAAGTAACAAGCTCTAACAATGGTCCAAAATAAATTCACCTGGATTATCATTTGGCTTGTCTGGCGTTCCTTTTCCAGATAGGCTATACCGGGGCCCTTTATCTAAATTTACTTTCTCAGGGCTATATGTACCTGGAGCTGGGATAAATGTGACACGCATGTATATTTATACGTTACGAAACATATATGTACATCGATGATTTTTACGTTAGTTACCTGGATTATCATTGTACTTTTCCGGTGATGCTTTACCGGATAAACTGAACTGAGGACCTCGATCCAAATCGACCTTCTCAGGACTATACGTCCCTGGCGCTATTATACAAACGAAATATAAGAAGGCGTTAATCTAAATGAGCAACAAATAAAATTACAAAACGACAATGATAAAGTACGAAGAGAATTTCAGTTAAAATCACCTGGATTATCGTTCAGTTTCTCCGGCATCCCTTTTCCCGATATACTAAACTGGGGTCCTTTGTCTAAGTTTACTTTCTCGGGACTATATGTTCCAGGAGCTTCGATGAAAATAAAATCGACCATAAGAAAAAGAAGACACGCAATAATATGGTTATATGTATATTTAGTGGAAAACTGACCTGGATTGTCGTTTGGTTTCTCCGGCATCCCTTTTCCAGACAAACTGTACTCTGGACCCTTGTTCAAATTTACCTTTTCCGGGCTATACGTTCCCGGTGCTACGGTGGTACGGTACATGGTACAGTGGTACAAAAAATATAAAAGAAATAAAAGAAATTCTTTTTACCGAAGAGATGATGACAATAATCTCCGGGCGCTATAAAATTACTCCTATTAATGGACGCAAGATACGAGTAAAAAAGAAAGGAAAAGAACATTTCATTCAACATTATCTGTACCTGGATTATTGTTCGGCTTATCGAGTGAAATTCTCAATCCAAAACTGTATTGAGGAGATCTGTCAAGATTTACCTTCTCAGGTGAATAAGCACCAGGTGCTATAACGTTAATCGCGTGGAAGAAAATGAAATATTTAACTTTGCATGCTTCATGTAGAAGACAATGTATGTAATATAATATAGTAATCTCCAAAATTGTACTGAATCAACTGAAGAATACCGTTTTTACTATGATATTAGTACGTATGTATAACTATTTAGGGTCGTCTATCGAGATTTTAAACTTTAAACTATTAATAATATAATTTATCTACATAGTCTGTGCATTCCATTCGTTCAAGCTACACACATATACTTTGATATTAAAATGATACGTGTTCGTTGATCGACACGATATTCTTCATTTACTTTGAATCGCATTCAATTCTCATTTACAGACCTGGAGTGTCCTCCGGTTTCTCCTGTGCAGCTTTACCGCTCAAACTATACCGAGGACCCCTGTCTAAGTTGACTTTTTCTGGACTGTAAGCACCAGGAGCTGCGAAAACGACTTGATTCGATAAGCTGTTTCTGAGAAAGAACTCCATCTTCGACGAATAATTATATGTATACATATACTATTATACTACATACCTGGTGTATCATTCACTTTCTCGAAAGGTGTTCTAAGTCCGAATGTATACTGGGGCGTGGCGTCCAGTTTCACTTTTTCCGGGCAATACGTACCTGGCGCTGAGAAGAAAAAATTGCTCTCTTAGTTCTCCATCGATCGTCGATTCGATCTGGATCGGTTGCTAAAGAATTTTACGTACCGGGGGTGTCGTCCGGTTTCTCCGCACGACCTTTTCCGGTGAGACTGTACCGAGGGCCTTTCTCGAAATTGACTTTCTCGGGACTGTAGGTGCCAGGTGCTACAAAAATAAGCATGTGTCGATAATAACGTGCTCCCACATCAATATTTTTCTATACGTAATTAACACTTCATCGACCAGAGTCTCAAGAAATATGTAAAAGTCACAGGATCCTGTCAAAATCAGCAGAAATTAAAAATTTAATCTTCCTACATATTTCCCAGAAACTTCAACTGACCGTACAAATATCGTATGTCGAGTCTTTTTCTCGAAGCATTCGATGTCGCGGCAGGTACATAATTGTATGAAAATTATTAAGATTCTAATTGTAAAATTGAAATGACGGCTCGATCGATCCAAGTGTATCGTTTGTCCCTTATCGAAATTGTTAAGGATGCGTCGAGTGAAATTATTATTGTTGACGGTCCTTGAGGTAACGTTGTTGCTAGTGCTATACGGTCGGCAAAATGCTAATCGAGCAAATTTTTCGAATAATTACCTGGTGTATCGCTTGGCTTTTCCAGAGGAGGCCTGAGTCCGAAGGTGAATTGCGGCGTGTTGTCCAGTCTTACCTTTTCCGGGCAATAACATCCAGGCGCTATTATCGTAACGGAAGAAAATATTTATTAATCCCATCACTTCACTTTCCAACAAGGCTACTTTTATACATTAACTCTAACATAAAATATTCCGAGCAAGCGCTGTTACACACATGCAATCCACCAACGAAATTATATTTCGTACATGCATACTTTCAGTTGACGCGCGAACCATTCAGCATTCAGCCTACAAGATATTAATATAGTCTACTTGAAAAGAGGAAGTCGAACAGCGAGCAAGCAAAATTTATAGTCTACCGATACTGCAAAATAAAATGAGTACTTATACATATAGCCAAATACAAGTTGCAACTGGGGATGAGCAACGTCAGACTCGTCCTCTTAAAACTGTAATTGACGTAATTCGAATACCTAAAGCTTAACCATCTTAAGCGTTTATCTCTCTTCGTCTGTTCATCGTGGCTTCGATCTTCCTAAGACGTCATACAATTTCTTAGCTTCTGTCGCAACAAACTTAGTCTTTTTTTCAACAATCTACCTCGAGTTTAACCTGCAGCTGGAGAAGAAATATTAAAAGAGCGCCATCAATTAAAATTAAATTCCATTCACATCGTTTTTAGCTTTTCTTCTTTTTCATTACCGCACCTATAATTATTAATATCAAGGAATAAAGACAACAACACCGTCTACATACAGCTTGTTAAATCTGCAAGGCGTGCCTGATTAGTAATCAATCCTGATTAGTATCTCGATTAGTATCTCGATAGGATAGAAGATAGAGTACGCATCAATTTTACGCTACTTTTAATCGTGGTTTTGTAATTACCGGGAATATCGCTCGGTTTCTCCGATTGAGGTTTAAAGCCGAAACTATACTCGGGGGCTTTGTCGAGATTCACCTTTTCGGTGCAATAGTCGCTCGGTGCTACGATTAAGATGCAATTATCGTTCACAATTAGGAAAAATATTCTTTATTTCAAGAGTCTCATATTGAAAATTTGTTCGGTTTTTATTCTGGCGTTGAATTCATCTAGAGAAACTCGAAAGACGTATAATGTATAGTATAGTATAGTATAGTATAGTATTACTCACCAGGTGTGGAGCTGATCTTCTCGGTTTGCGTTTTTATGCCAAACGAGTACTTCGGCGAGCTGTCCAGGATGATCTTCTCCGCCTTTTCCGGATTGTAGTCGCCCGGTGCCGGTGTCACTTCGTGCTTCGATGATCTCGCGCGGCCATGCAAAGACGATGCTGGTGCCGCATCCTTTCCTATAATAACAGGTTAACTATACATACAATGTGTATATAATAGTCGAAAACGAACTTATCCTTTTGTAACTGTCTTAAACTGGAATGAGAAACAGGAAGACAGTAGAAATAGGAAGTACTCGATCTACTTGTTACGGGAGAAATTATTTTATAACTTATAATCTCTTGCACAGTAATATCTCTACGTTCTACGCATAAGCTTTTTCTCTTAGTGACACGATAAAAAAAAAAAAAAAAAAAAAAAAAAAAAAAAAAAAAAGAAAAAGCATTCAAACGTTCATATTTACAATGTTGCAGATATTCTATGTTTCGATAATGATCGAAAACAATTAAGGAGAGCGTGCAACTCAACAGGTAGTAAACATTTATATTCTTAACAGCGAACATTTAAATAAGATGTATGTGTTTCATTGCGATATTATAATCGAAACGATAAACATTCATTGGGATACTCAATTTCACCCCCATAAATTACCCACGAGGAAAATTGAAGGACTTTCGTAAACTACGCCCGTGTTAAAAGTCCTACACATTCTTGCAAAGTATCGCTGCTCTGGAGTTTGATCGATACTTCATCTGACCAGGGAATACCGGTGCACGCAGCAGTGTTATCATTCCGACGGAATTTTTCCCGCAAAAGAAAGAAGTCTCCTTAACCGTTTTCAAGATCGATTCGTCAATTTATAGTCCTCTATATCTATGGTGAACACGCCCCACCTTTTGCGCTGAGCCCGGAGACGTTGTACTGACCGGGGCCCGGTCCGGGACTGTTGTTCTTCGACGAGTACCTGAATAATTTCAATGAAATTAAGTGATTCTAAACTACATACCAGCAACCAGCAAAATAGATAATTGGAACGGAATCTAAAGACGATTCATTTCGAGAACTAGTACCTGCTTCCAAAGGAGAAGGCCGGAGCTCTACCTCGCTTCGAGTCGGGAACGGTCCTTCCTGCAAAAGTCGAGCGTTAATATTAATTCGGAATTTTAATGACCGCACACGCTGAACCGAACACATGGAGTTATAACGCGTACCAATCAACGGCGGCAGCGTGACACAAGCCGGACCGGGGCTGGTGTATTCCGCAGCTATCGGGCCCCGTCTCTTTGTTGGTGTCCATGGACTTTGCGACACGCCTCCCATACTTTTCGCGATGTCTCCTAAAACTGGAGTAATTTCACATTTTGAACGCTTATCGTATATTCCCTTCTCTATTCTGTACCGATCAATTTCTCCGACGTTCGTCAGTTCGAATCGTAGTTTCTATTTCCCGGCGTTTTGATCGATTATTATCCGTGTATAAGTCAACCCTTTCTGTATCGATTATTATCCGTGTAATTTCATATGAACGAAGTAAACAGTGCCCCCGTCAATCTATTCTAATTTGCGGCTTAATTGCGTTTAATTGGACGAAACTGTTCACCGGCGTAATTAGCTCGAAAACGATTTTCCTCGTTTTCGCTTCTAGATCTGGTGGTAATTAATTCTCGTCGTTTCGATCGTTATTAATCGCGGAGAGGAACTCCTCAGCAGACTTTATTATACTATCTTTTTTGTTTCCCTCCCGTTTCGCGCCGATAACGAGATTTCCTCGGAATTGTGCAACGAACCGTGGCCTTCGAGGGACGGGCCACAGAAACGACTCACAAAGTTCCATATAAGAGTATGTCCATGGCGGGTATCCAGAATCGCCCACCATTCGGCATTGGACTGAATAAAACATGAATATCACAAATTGTATGGCGTTCAAACAACCCAAATAAATGCAGGTTACAACCGGATGACTCATGGCCATGGCCCATGGCCTACTTATAGGTAAATACCTACATATCTCTATGTACGTACACTCGTGTATCGTGGCTCTAATATATTGTAACTGGTACGATCCACGAGCAGTTTTCGATTATGGATATTCATGTGAATATGTTAGTTCGAATTCAACCTGAGTGGAAAACTGAAAGTGAGCTATATATCCAATGTTCTCGATCGATTTTCTATACTCCTCTAATACTCCAACGATCATCGAATGATACACTATTTTCATCCCTGCTGTTCTTTGGACCACACACTGTGCTACCACATCCGCGTTCATTCCTTTCACCAAGAGTGGACCAAGAGCCAACGATAGTGGAAGGACACATACGAATTTACGAAATGCGAGATGCGAGTCTTCCGGTCGAGTACCAAACAATAGCGGGCAATCACAGCGTGGAAACGGAAATCATACTCCGTATGACCAAAACAAGCGTAACTGTGAGTAAATACCGCGGAATGATTCGTGGAAGACAAAAATCTTTGTCTTTTAAGGGGAGACACTTGTGTGACGCGTTCCAAGAAATGCTGTTTCCCGATTTCCCCGCGGTGAAATCGCATTTCTTGCTCGGTGAAAACAATAATTAGACCCACTGATAAGTGATCCACCATTTTTCTTCAATAAAACAGTAACGTACAGTAAGTCACATATTCGTCCATATAGTTACCTAGTTTCGAAATAATAATAATTAAGTCTTAAGATCTCTATGCATTTCCTTTTTATACATAGGTACATATATGTATGTACAATATGTACCTGATGGATTATTTATTGGTACATCTAATACTAATATAATTTCAAAAAACAGTTAATGATCTCGTTCGAGCGTCGCGTGTTCGTTAAGGATCATTTTTGCAATTAGTCTGTGAATGTTTACGCAAATAAAGTTCTTATGAGCCAACTTGGAGAAACTGAAACCTAACAAATGTTTGTTTACTTATTAAGTTTAGATATTACAAATCTACATATAGTATATGTATACTATAGAAGGAATTTCTCGAATCGTCAACCTCTAAAGGGGTGAAAAGGAGTAAAATGTGTTTTCTGTTATTCAAATATTTGGAAAGTAATTTCAGGATTTTTTCAAATTTCATCCTCAATTTTTTCCTTTTTATGTTCTTTTTTACAATTCAATTAAAAAATTTTATTTAAACAATAAATTTGCCAAATCCCGAAATCCAAGCGAGCAAAAAAGCCACGGGAAAAAAGGTAGTATGTATGTTACATATTATATTTATACATACATACATAAAACATTCCCAGTCTATTTATATAAAATGACGAACAGAGTCGAAGTGAAATTTCGAGGTTCTTACGGAGATCTTACCTACTTTCTGTGTCCAACCCATATTTAGCTACGTTATGAGAAGCTTCACGCACACATACATGTATACACGCGGCTGATCAAGAGTCTCCCCTCTTGTGTTTGCCATATTGGGCAAGATCGATCGAATAATTGACTCTTGATAATCGTAAAACGTCCCGTATAAACCCGAGCCGTAAGTCGGTCGCGCGACTGTCAATGTTTTTTTTTTTTGCTTTTGCTTTTGCTTTTGCTTTTGCTTTTGCTTTTGCTTTTGATGCACAAGCGACGTTTCCATGCCACGAGGTCTACCGCGGCGACAGACAAACGTGTAGCTCTTGATGTGTTACAGCCTGTAACTTACTAGGGAGTGTAGAAAAAGTTTACGATCTCGATTATCGCATATTAACCAATGTCCACATTGTTTTCACGCGTTAGATCATTGGTGTTATCAGTCAAGGACCGCGTTTAAGAAATACCTGAAAGTGTTTCGATGTCACAACACCCCGTTATCGAGGTTTGTTCGCGCAATTTCGTATCTTTTTCTTTTTTCTTTTTTTTTTCCTTTCTTTTTTAATGCGGTGAGTCATCGAGTTATTACGAACAATGATAGCAGAGCAGTGATAAATTGCCGGTTCGCGCGCCCTTTGTAATTTTTGCCAGCTGTGTGAATACATTGATGTTCGCACGGTGACATAATATTTGTTTACAGCACGTTCGATTACTCAGAGTTACTCATCGTTCGATGCTTACGGTAAAGGTGTATGTAATTGAAGCCGAAATATCCTTGACGGTTGCGTTGGATGTATATATACGTCAGCATTCTGAATGAAATTATATTAAGTGCTATCGTTTCCTGAATAATTTCAGGCGAACACGGCAGGATGATAGTCGACTTTTACGATGTAAACAGAAATTTCACTGGAATTTTTACGGTACAGTGAACGGTAACAGGTAGACTGTAGAATTTTGTGAATCTCATTTATTTGAAATCAACTTTTTCTTTCATTTATAATTTCTGTGAATTAGCTTATAAAGATCTGTGTTTAAACATCCAATATGTATATGTTATGTTCACTGTACACTTTTTATAATATTACAATAATTGTAATAATAGTACTGTAGAGCACCAAAAGTAATACAATAATACATAGTTATTGTAGACGTAATTATCTAGTCGTTACTATATCCTTTTCCATGAACTGTATTACTATAGCTACAACTTTTATCGTACCACATAGTATTACATTTCACGTGGTGCTGTACAGTATCGCAGCTGCAGCACATTTCACAAACTATTCTACAAATCGTATGTTTACATTCCGTTTAATAGTAACGATAACAGTGTTTTTATTTTCTTATTTAAAGACTGCCTGTAACAATTCACATTACCTAGATTGTGTGGCGGCAACGTTTCCTGAAATCGTCGAAGGACAATACGAGGGAGCAGTGAGGCAACTAGTTGAATCACAGATTAGTCGTACGAATGGTTTGCAAAAGAATCACGGGAGCACAGATTAGATATCAGTGTGTCTGCACCAGAGACGCGTTCCTGACTGACTGAAGATTAAACGTCGCAGTCACGTCGACTCGATGGTTGCGGGTCGCAGTGGTATCGCGGCATGTGCGTTCTCTATCCCTACTCTGCCTGACCAGATGAAAATCTGGAACGCATGCGCTGTTTACAATTATCCTGTACATTCAATATCTCTGTCTTCCTTTTCAGTCCTCAGATGTCCTGTATTTTCGTGGTTTATGTAAATACAATCTGTAGAATTTATAAATATTACAAATACAATATTTCTAGTTAAATTATGGATAGAAATTTTTCTGTAAAAATGAATACGTACCTATTCATTGTGTTTTTGTGAAGTGCAGTACTTGGTGCTGGAAGATCGTAACCGAAGATCGAATGTTTTAAGAAAAGAAACGTTTACTCCGTAAAGATACATTGGAGATGTTATCGCCAATGTGTCACCTTGGCTCCTTTATTGGTTACTCTTGATTTCGCAACCCACGCACCGACGCACCCTAACGTTCTTGGTTGCCATCCTCGACCGTTTCGGCCTTGCTGTGTCCTGTACTCGGTGAAAAAAAGTCAGCTAAAATTAGGGACTCACGTTATCGTCGCAGATGTACTTACGACTGTACGCCGTACGAAAAGGTGAACGCGAGAAGCTACTTCCGTTTTCAACTATGTATCATACCCATTGGAGAAGTTGCTCTCCTTTTAACCAATAACGGTATTGTAAATTAATATGCACGTGTGAAATTGTATAAGTTAATTTCATTCACATTTTCTCGTGACATGTGAATTAATAAATCCAATAACACTGGCCAGATGGATAATAATAATCGAACATTGATTGCAGAATTATTTCTAAACTGGGAATATTTTTTAATTCTGGTAACTACAATATTATCGGGTAATTCCGTAAAGAACGTTATTTCTTCCCTTACTTTAAATAAATCCAAGTAATAATCTTTTCGCAGACAGAAATCAGTTAGTACATCATCGATGAAAATTATCGGTAAACATGACTAATTCATGAACTAAATTTCAAATTGATTTGAGAAATGACACTTCGAAATATTTAAATTAGAAATATTAATTGGCAAATTTGAAATATTAAACCTTTCATAGAACAAGTGTTCAATCACGCGAAGATTGGAGCTCATCGAGCTGTTTGCGCAGTCGCCTTTCATTAGTGGTACCATCACTCCTCAATTGTTGCCTGAGAAGCCTGAGAAGCAAATGAAAATCTTCACCACTTTCCTGCCGAGCCTCCGAGCTCGGTGGACGTTGTTACTTCGTGTTGTTGGTTCTCGCTACTGACCATCGTTTAGATACTTCCGGTTACTCTTCATTGAACTCTTTTCATCATTACTAACGGTTGTGATCACTCAATTTGAATTATTGACTAACGCTTATGCTTCCTATGAAGACCTTAAACCGATATGGTTGTGGCGAAAATATATGACATACTCTCTGCCACAACCTCGTCGGGTTAACATATTAGGGATTACTAAAATCATATATATTATTTCATTGTTTTATTTGCTCAAGTCACGGCGATCTTTGACCTTCATAATGTTTTATTACCAGCTGGTTGCATACATATGTCAACACGGCTGTCGAGTTTCTCAATAGTTAATCCTCCAGGAGTTTATTTGTTTGACGTTTATGTGGAACAAAAAATGGTAATTTTGGTTTCTTTGTCTTTTATAATGTTCTTATGAGATTGAATAATTTTATGATTGGTAAAAGAATTATTATTAACTGCACCCTCTCTTAGACAAAACCATTATAATGCAGTTTTAGAATTGTGTTAACGCTTCGTGTGTTACGAGTAATCAAAGAATTACATCGATCTCCATTTCTTTGGTAACTGTTTCAAAGGCTACTGATAGATTTTCGGAGTTTCTTCAATTAACGCCCCCAGAGACACATTCTCCTCCGTTTAAAAACGGTCGTGTTCCGACCGTTGCTGAGTGTCTGACACTTGATCGTTCCTCCCACTCCCCTTCCCACGCTGACATCACGTTACGTAGAACTAGTCAGCAGAGTCGTTTAGTTTGCTCGATGTTAAACGGAGCTGGTGAGAGTTACAATTTTCTCAGTATCGTTTCATCTCCGGCGAAGAAAGTGCTCAATGGTAGGATCGAAAATTCGTGTTCTGTCACAAGTGATCTTCGCGGTTCATCCGAGTAATTTCATCTTTGTAAATTCGATCCAAGTAACATTGAAATAGATGCTATCAAATGGAGTGTCACTCAACATCGAATAAACAATATCATTATATTTATGCGTAACGATGGTTGTAGGAACAGCGTGTCTCGTGTTTTAATGATTTCAATATTAGATTTTAAAGATAACTTCCTTTAAATAGTGAAGTGTCTATGTTACAGGTCGAATTTGTTAATTGAAGAACTGGTGGTACTAAAAGCGTTTCATGTGGCGGTAGTATTACGAACAGGTGGTCGAGCCAGAAATCATTGTCAATGATTTTTAACATCACGAGATAGTTACAACACCGACAGTGTTCTTTGTATTGTATAATTTTCAATCATTTGAAAATTCAATTGTTCGACATGTTGATAAAATCATTTCGCTGTACAGGTATCGTTGAAGCATGAACAGACATGGTTAATATAAATTAACATTCCAGCCGTTGTTCTCGGTTCCAGTCTCGAGTTTCGCGAGTTGATTTAACAGCGATACCAGCGATAGCTATCATTCGTCGTGTTACAATTTACAATAGGAATCTGATATTCCACAGGTGATAATAATTTTCTGTGGATAACCGTCTGGATAAGGAGTTTCAAATAAAATATTTTTCAAAAAGTGCTTCATTTTCAATTGATTAAACGTGAAATAATGTTTTTTGTTCGTTAAATAATATTTCTTCTTAATTGTTTAAAGGTTGGAATAACGATATTAGATAATACCTACTGCTGTTTCACACGAAATAGGTATTATTTTTTGAATAAAATTTCGCCCGAATCTGTGATCGTACATCGACTTCCAGCGGTATCGCTGTCCACATTTCACGTACGTTTGAACTCGAATGAATTCCAACGACAGGAAACGCATCCGGACAGTGTTTCTGTCACTTCGCATGATAAATATCTCGATTGTCGAAACGTCAGCGATCGTGATTGGGAGGTGTTCGTTCAATTTCCACAACGTATAGCCAAGCACCGTTCTCCTCCGTAATTATTTTCTATCTAGAAAAATTACTACAAAGGCGAATAAAATATTCTTTTAATTCGTGTAAAATCATTTGCTTCACTAACATCAGATCTGTGCGATGATGATTCATGCACACACACACACACACACACAGAACCGCTTGTACATAGCAGTATTACTTTAAGTTAAGAATGAATAATTGTAAAATTTTTGTAAAATTTTTACAGAGCTCTCCCTTAGTCGTAGAGTCACCTTGCTCCACTAACGACTACTCGATTTAATTATTAGTAAGGACAAGATACGAAAAGGGTACATTACAAGTAGATTGAAATTTAGTACCATAGAACCTCATGAATCTCATCATCCACGAATACTTTTCGACAACTAAAAGTAACGGAAGACTAGAGAAATCTCAACATTTCTTTTCTATTCGTGTCGTCTCTACTAGATACAAGGATGAATCCCGAGGACGAGTCTTTGCAAATGCACTTGCTGCACGACTATACCTCGTCACTGATACGGTCACGGATCCTCTACAAGCAGCTACTGGACTGTCTACGCTCCAAGGACATCAGAACCTTCAGGATCCTCGTCGAGCAAAGCTTGAAGAAAGTACCGTCCGGCATTAACGTGAACCACGTGTACAGGAATCGATCGGAGGAGACATGCTTGGACATTGCCTGCAAGAACGGTCTGCCGGAGTTTGTGCAGTTTCTGCTGGAAAAAGGGGCGAAGGTGAACAGGATCAACGAGGCGCACAACCGTGGCCCGATTCACTTCGCCACGGAGAACGGTTATCAGGATGTTCTTAGAGTTCTCCTGAACGAATCGACGATTAATCCGAATCTGGAGGCCGGTCAGCAGACCGCTCTCCACATGGCGGTGAAAAAAAATGACCTGAACTGCGCTGAGTTGTTGCTCGAGAAGGGAGCTAGTCCCAACATACCTAATAACAAAGGTCTGACCGCCGTGCACATAGCGGCTATGAAAGGTCAAAGGGACATGGTGGAGTTGATTTTGCAGAAATCGACGCACGCCGTGGATCTGGACAGCTACAAGGATTACAACAACGAGACCACCAGAGACGTTTTAACGAAGAAGCTACCAGACGTCGAGCTTCCGTCGGTTCAAAAGAGAGGCGTGAACGTGTACGATCTCAAGTATTACTTGAACGCAAACGACCAGACGAACTTTTTCAAGTGTTTACAAGTCGTTCAGGACGATGTGGTGAACAATGTAGCCGAGGATCTGATCGAGATGGCTGCCCAACGGAACTTCGAGGACACGATTTCTGCGCTGCTGGAGAGGGTACAGAGGACCGTAGGATGTAATTTACAGAAAGCTGCGAATATAGCGATTCAGATGGGCTCGCCTGGTGTTCTTCGTAGGATATTAAATACGGATATCCAGGTCGGAAACGATTTGCTGTTGAACGCTTGTGTCGAGCTGGGCATTCCGGGAGGAAACGGTACGGAGAACATGGATGATCGTTTGGAGTGCCTGAAGCTGATCCTGGACAGGGATGACGTGGATGTTCGATGCACGGACAGTCAGTTTCTTTTCCTTTGCTACAATAATATACGCTTTTCGTGAGAATGTATAGAAAATTGTTAGTTGTACGAGTTAACCGTTTGTGGTGCTGCTATGTCGAGACTGACTCGACATTTAATTTTATTACAATCAGTCACGTGTGTATGTAAATACTATATTAATACCTCTTAAATGTTATAGACATATTACTATATTACTATAATCATGTTTATGTAAGTTCCAAAATAGAATACCAAAAACACTTTGGGCCGCAAAGGGTTAATTTGGTACTTTTACGTCGAACCAGTTACATATATGATAAATGTCCCTAATACTGCCACTTTATTTATTTTACTTAATAAATAACGTAACGTGTACAGAATTGTGTACAAAAGACTTTATTACTAAATTGGATGAAATCTGATTTGCATAAAAACAGTAAAATGAATATATGTATGTACTTGTACGTACCCCCGTTATAATAAAGATCATATTAAGATATAATTACTTTAATTTTTAAGGTGACAGTTTAAACAGCACGTAAAACGATTAACTGACGTTACGCTACAACCTTAAGATGGCAGTAATTGGGACTATTTAGAATCTACTCTATCTCCATTTTAAATTCAAACATTTTCCCGCTCACTTGTGATTTTAAAGTGTCGACTTAAACGTTATCAAAACATTGAATAAGAAGAATAATTCAGGAAAATGTGTTATCGTATAGATACAAGAACATTTAACGATGCGTATCCTCATCCTCGTATCGTATGGTGATATAACACGATGATACGCAACAACGTTGATACAATACGAGTACGAGGATACGCAACAAATGGATATTTGTATGTATACTTACACACTTTACGTTACGTTTTAACACGCAAACGTTCTTCACACAGGCAAAGGAAACACCCCGTTGCATTACGCGGCCAGAGCTGACTGCCGCGAAGCGGTCACGTTATTGCTGGAGAAAGGAAGTTACATAGGTCACACGAACGTCTTCGGCGTGCCGCCAGTCGCCGACATCTCCGTGTCCATCCTGTCTCAATATTTCGACGATTGCATACAAGCCCGAAAAGAACAAACGAACGAATACACGATCGAGTTCGACTACAAATGCTTGATACCTCACGGCACGTGTCGCGCCGAGTATCAAGAGTCCAATCCCCGACAGACACGAGAGATGGATATATTACAGTACATCGCGGACAACCGTAGTCTGAAGCATTTATTAAAGCATCCTCTTCTGTCCACGTTTTTGGGCCTGAAATGGCGCAGAATACGAGACCTTCTCTTTCTAAACTTCATCTTCTACGTTCTCCTTTATTGTTTTCTGAACATCTACATTCTAATCGTGACGTACGAAATAGCGGACACCAGAACATCACAAAACTCGAGTGATCCACTGAACGAAGAAACAGTGAAATCAGCCTCAGTCGGTGTGCTACGAATCTTCACTAGTATAGCACTGGTTTTGCTCGCTGTCAGAGAGATCCTACAGTTCGTCTCGTCGCCGTGTTACTATATCTCGAGTCCCGAGAATTGGTTAGAAATCGTGTTGATAATTCTTGGGTTCTCGGTCCTTTGCGGGGCTGGGATGAAAGTTGCCGCAGTGGTGATATTGTTGTCCGCGTGGGAGCTGGTCATCTTGATGGGCCAACATCCCTCGTTGTCCACGGACGTCGAGATGTTCAAGACCGTGTCTCTGAATTTTCTGCGCTTCCTGGTCCCCTACGCGTTTCTGATTCTAGCATTCGCTTTTGCTTTTTTCGTGCTCCTCGAGGATGGGGGCGACGAGAATTTCTCGGGTCCTGGACAGTCGCTGTTCAAGACCGTCATCATGCTCACGGGAGAGTTCGATGCAAATGACATACCGTTCGTGTCTCATCCGATTATGAGCCATTTGGTCTTCATGTTATTTGTTTTTCTGATTGCTATAGTTCTGTTCAATCTGCTGAATGGGCTGGCGGTCAGCGATACCGCGGAGATTCTAGGCAAGGCAGAATTGGTTGCATTGATCTCCAGGATAAAATTGGTTTCGTACATTGAAAACGTCGCGATCCGTGCTCCGTTTGTTCACGGGCGACATTGTTTGCTCTGCCATGGTTTCCTCCACTTGTGGTCGTGTAATCCATTCACATTCCTTCTTAACAGGATTCTTATTTTTCCGGATTACTTGAAGGATGGTAAACTGACCGTTAAACCGTACGACGGTTTGGTAACATTAAACGATCAAATTTGTTATATGAAAAAATCTGTCGGGGAATCGAAAGACAAAGTATATCCTACATTCACAATGAACTCCCGTGTTATAAAGCAAGTTAAAGAGATCCTTTCGAAAAGGGGCCGGGAATCGGATAGCGAAAAGGTGATCAGCGAATTAGAAAAAGTGAAAGAGAGATTAACTTTGATTGATATGACATTAAATGCCTTGAAACAAGGACTTGAAAATAATAATTTCAATATTAGAAGAAACAATGAGAATTGAACGCCGTTCGGGCAGATAGTTATAAACAATATTCATCTTTAATTTCTGTTGCTTAGATGTGACAAGAATCATTATTATGCAATGATACATTTGTAGGTAGAGCTGGATATAGCGTATCAACACTATTACTACAGACAAATAGAAAAGTATATCACTTGATATTACTGTAATATGGCTATTGAATTTGATAGACTATTTGACTGCTGCGTATTACATTGTGTCTGTACATACAAATCTATATATATATACACATTTTTAATTTTAAGTGTTGTTTAAAATCTGTTTCTTTTGTATCAATATATTTAAAGAATTTTCTATGCAGACTGTAACCAGAACAATTAACTAGTCTAGCATGTATCTAACTATTCACACCATTAAAAAAATTAAGTTTTTAATATTTTATATGCAAAAGTGAACTACAAAATAATTTCACTTATTATCATGTATCATCATCCAAATACTGTAGTTGTACAATAAATACGGTTTTCATAATGTAAATTAAGTTTTATAGTAGTGAAAATCTGTAGTATAAAACTTTCGTCTCAATGAAACATTTTTTATGAGTATATAACAGATGTCTGATGAATATCCTGTTACAGCTTTACAAACAAACAATTTGTTAACGAACTAAACTACATTCTTCTCAACAAGAGAATTTCATTTTTAAATTAATTTACAGAAACGTTTTCGTACTGTATAGATACATTTAGTAAGTATCGTTTAATGATTTAGTTGTAATGATTTAATGTTTATACCTATAGATAGATCCTACCGCATACTAATGCTTCACGGTTAACCAGAGACTTCCTCTTGAGTAGTTGCTTTTTCTTTTCCACGTCGTATTAAAATGTCGGTATAAAACAAATTAAAATCTAACCTATTGAAAAATTATATATTAACATTGTTAATAATTCCATTTCGTTTACTTCGCAGCATAAAAAAGTAGTTCAAACATAAAACATAGGAATCATTTATAAATTTCTAGCTAGCAACTCACCTACAGAAAACATTTAGGAGTTTCTCATTATTATTATCACCACCCAAATCACAGATTCTGTCTAATAGACGTATCAGTACTTGTGTAAATTTATCGTCCAACGATACAATTGTTTCTTCGAAGCTCCTTGCATTTTCTTTGGATGTGTCTCCATTCTCTTCCTAACAAAGTATACAAAAATAATCCCATTATCTTTACATTTTCTTCAGTGCATGTATTAGACCCATTGTAGAACCAAGATAAGAAGCATACATTGTTGAAAATGAATATAATATATACAATGATCTCTAAAATGTTTCACTGTCACATACATGTAAAGTAGAAGCTAAAACTGGTAAAGCAAATGCACCTTATTGTTTAAAACTGACATACCTGCACTGTAAAAATGAAATCATAAATATTGCATCTTATAATATCACAGATTATACATATACATATGCATACATACATACATACATACATACATACATACATACATACATTTGAAGAGAAAATTAAAAAACACTATTCATATATTTAGTGCTACTTGTGTCCAATTCTCATGCATGTTCGTACAAGACAATTGAACATTGAAATTATTTCTTTTCTTTGCATAAACATTACTTGAATATACGATATAAAATTATTTTACCTTTCATTATTGAAGAATTATATAATATATAGACATTTTAATACAAGATTTGCATGCAACATTATCATTGAATCCAGTAGAAAGACTATAAAAAAAATACTCTGTATATATGGAATAGAAAAATTAAATTTGCCATCATAGAATCTCCATTATGCTAGCAAAATCTATATCAAATTGTTTAACCTTAATTTTTTATCACGCATATATATGTAAATTGTACGACTTTTACAACTTCCATACAGATTTCTGATTTTAAAATTTACACTTCAATTGTGTATTGTTAAATATGAGTATTGCATGTGTGTACATGAGTTATGTGTATGCACGTGGAAGCTTGATTATGAAACTATGATTTTCCCATATCCTTCCATGTTTCTAATTAAATTCCATTTTTAATAATTATAAAATGATTGTTTATTAAATGAAAAGCTAATGAATAATGTTGATACTATTGTGATTGCGAATCATTGCTTCTTCCATCGTAGATTTATTTATTCGATGTCATTACCAAACTAATAACGAAAATAATTACATATTTTTTTTAGCGAATTCGTATTTTTCGAATATTAAATATATACATAATATGTACCATGCAAATTTGAAAAAGTATTCTTAATGAACACTAAGAAATGACTTCTATATTGAGTTTTGTTTACTAAAACAGAAAAGTTTTATGATTCTAAGACTACATAAAATGCATTAAAGCAATGTTAGAACTGTGGGGATGTACCTCAAAATCATAGACATCTTCCTGATAGGCGCCAATCATGGAAGTCAATTCGGCGTCAATGTAGTATGGGCTCATACGCTTAACATCAGTAAAAGATTAACGTTGAGTTTACTACTAATTTTCACGATTATTGCGAATATGTATTTGTATTTAATATAGAGGGTATCGCATCACGACTCACGACCGGGTCTTGATAGTAAACACGTCATGTATACTTATGTTGTGTTCCCGATAACTCTATGTTATATTAAATCTATCACTTGTGTGACAGACACACCTCATTTATATTCTATGTTTATCAAAAGTTTATCAACTACTTGTAAACTGTAGTATCTACCTTATGCTCTATTAAATAACATAGGTCATCGAAAGAATCTGAATTAAAGCGAAGAATGCAACTGAGAAAAAATGTTTGATTCTTATTTTGTGTATGTATGTGCACCACCATATACATGGCTGTATAAAAATTCAGTTGCCTGTGCATATTTACTAGTATATGTGTTATAAACATAAAGATTACCTCCATAAAATCACAAAAATCGATGCAGGCAGCGCATATATCCGTAATGCAAGCGAGCAGATCAGGATCCGTTAGCATGCATTCTTTTAGATAACTATCCTGTAAATCCTGATGCACGCTTAAAACATCGTCCACGTTACTGACCTAGGCGGAAGATTTAACACTTTGAGACAATCTATTTCTTATTGTTAAGATTTCTATTTAAAACCGGTGATCATACTTTACTCATTTTATTTATAAACGTAAGCCAATTCGGCTCTATAACTTCAACCATCATGTAGTACGCCAGGTGCTGAACGCAATCAAGCATGCGTTGCCGCAATGAAAATGCTTTTCTATAAGACATTGCAACATTATGGGTAAAAGTTTTGGCAATTTTATTGCTGACCCATACCCTAAAACGAATCATATAATTAATTGATAAAAATACACGATGAGACCACAGGTATACAGAAAATTTATATATTCACCTGCATAAGCGTCTTTCGATATATTTGCAATAAAACAAGTGTCTAAACAACATCTGATAACATGCAATCGCTTTTCTATTAAGTATTAAAGAAACGGGCCACTTAACGTCATAGTTAAATACAAACGCTTCTAAACCAGTTAATGTTTTATCAGTTTTGAAGCAGTACTCTGCAATAGAAAATTAATTACACACAATCGTTAATAATTTATTTCGATACAGAACTTAGATACGTTGATTAAACATACCTTCCTCTTCTCTGGTCTGGATAGAAAGTATTCGAAACATTTGGAACTGAAGATCGTATGGTAAGAGTTCAGGTTTTAAATCATCTTTGTATGGATCTGAATCTGCAGTCGACATACGAAGCGCAACTTCCAGAAGAGATGCCAAACGATGAATTACAATATCATACATGCTTTTATTTAATTCTGCTTCACAGAGATTCATAAATTGGACCTATAATTGTATCGTAACTTGGATCGTTATAGAGTATCTCTTCTATATAGTTTAAGACAATGTTCTCTCATATATGATGAAGCACTCTTTCAAATAAACTTACCACAAAATCTCCTTGGGCAAGAAGGAAATAACTTTTGACGCTACGAAGCCGTCCCATTAAATCACTTTCATGTATGAGAACCTCTAATAAAGTTTTGGCAGCTTCAGAATATGCCCTATCAATGGCAGTAATGTATTTTTGTCCTTGATGCTGGTAGATTAAAGGTTCTTGTCTTCCCCATTGAACTGTCTTACCTGGCCATGTATATGTATAATTATATTGTTGTATCAAGAATAATAATACCATTTCAGAATCTACATATGCAAAGTATTACGTACCACATTGTCTGATTACATTGAAATATTTTCCAGTTCTCAGAATAGTTTGTGCTTGCTCATTAAGAAACGTAGGAATTCTCTCAGATCTCATAGTGTACCTTTTCTCCCAGTAATCTGCAGAATAATCTACAGGCAATTCCTCTCTATGAATTAATTCGTTATCCTCCACAAAGAACTGAAAACACACAGAGAACAAACTAAATATTCTATGGAAAAATAGAAGATGTTAATACGGACTATACTTACCTCTTCGTATGGATCGCATATCACACCTTTGTACACCCATTTTTCTAATATTTGCATATAGGGAATGCTTGCCGTTTGTATCAGAAACAAACATAATTCTTTGAATTTTGGCTCACCACTAATATTATGTGCTTGCTCGTGCAGAAGACTAAGAACCTTTCCACCTTTTGCATTTGCCTAAAGTAAAGCAGTTTAATTTTGTTTATGTAACACTGAACATAACAAACTAAAGAAACACAATGACAAAGATTACCAACTCACCTTACATATTGTGGATGTTATTTGAAAGAGAATAGACATTGCAATTATGGTAGGTTGTATAAAAAACCACAATTTCTGTAGATTTAATTTGCCGCGAATGTGTTCCATTTCCAATTGCACAACGAACAACTGAAAAAAAACATTGAATTAGGATTGATTTTACAATTTATCAGTAAATTGTTTGCATTAGAATTTAACTAAAATACACACTAAATAATCTTTCAGTAAACTTTTTATAGCTCCTCTTAAAGCATGATTGACTTGACCATCTTCTGATAAGACTTTTTCTTCTACAAACCTTGTTGTCATAGAATAATGAGAGGCAAGAGGTAATATTTGTTGTGCCATTTGCTTGTAAGATATACCTAGAAATGATAGAATACAAGCATAGAACTGTTTAAATTGCAAACTTTATGCACAGAATTACTATAAAATTATTTGCATGTTTCTTACAAACATCAGGAGATATTTTGAATGTTTTCACTGCATATGGACTTGTTAAAGGTTCAGAAACAATGTAAGATCCATCTATACCCTTCAGACAATTCAGAATATCCCAAAGCAAAATAGATTCTTGAGATACAGCAGGCACAACTTCTGTAATATTTTTCACTTATTAAACCAATCACATTAATATCTTGAAATTAGTTGAAAAAACATTTTACTCTGGCATGGTGATACATTTGGTTCATTATAAAAGTCCCAACTTATTCGTGGCCTCTCAAGAGTCCAAAAATGTTTTATCACAGATGGTTCTGTTTTCTTCACAATTGCATTTACATGTTGAGTTAATTTCTTTTCCCCTTCTACAGCAGCCTTGATTACATTCTTACAGATCTATATCGTATAATATAATGCAAGGTATGAATAAAATATGTGTTTGATATGCTCGAGTATAAATTAAAATTAGATAATTTATCACAATAAATTATGTTTCTTGTTAAAATTAATAATCATATGAAAATTCGACTAATGTCTTAATTAATTGATGTTGAATTTGTCATAAAGTCCCAAGCTATGGTAGCAACATGAATTATTGATAGGAATTTTAAATATAATTATTCTGTAAAAGTAATTATATAATACTACTACTCAAATACTATTCACTTGTAAGAACTATCAAGTTTGTATGTAAGAAATAAAATAAAACCTGTGGTAAATCTTTTGTAGTAATGGCAGTATTTTTGGTAGAACTTGAAGCTAACACTGATGCTTGTTTAGCTAAGTAACTCTTCAACTCTTTGTCTTCAGATATGAGTTCCAAGACTTGGGCAAATAAACCTAATAAATCTATCCTGAGTAAATCAAAAGATCAGACATTAATAAAATGCATTCATTTTGAAATTATACGAAGAAGATATATAACGATACTCGCTTCTTTGCTTTTAATTCTTCATACTTTTGAAGAAACAGTTCAGGGATAGGTGAATTTTTTGCTAAATTACGAATACAGCGTTGTGATGCAACAATAGTTAAAGCACTCGCACTTGTAGGTACACCTTCCTTTTGTAATCTTTCTACATGTTTCTCTGGTGCAGAAGCCGACCTGTAGATCAATAAACATTAGTTATATTGCTATTTATATAGAATATGCATCTCTATTACAAATATTTCATTTTTATTTACCCCAAAAGTCCAATCAATTCAATGACCAAATGATGCAATTTAAATTCACTCATTGCTTTGTATTACTTTGTAATGAGTAGCAACCATTACTTATTGGCTGCGTTCAGGAGACACAACCGTTGAGTGATTTTACTAGATTTGACTCTGAAGTTCGGAGTCTGAACGCTACACCCTATTTGGATGAGCGGCAGCAAATCTAGTGAAATCACTTAACGGTTGCGCAACGGTTGTCTATCTAAACGTAGCTATTAATATATGTATTATATTATATAGGTGTGTTAGGTGACATAAACAATACTTTATGATGTTGTCATTGCATGCTATCTGTGAATACTGTCAGCACATTTGGATAACACAAATAAAAACAAACTGTTTGACAATTCTTTTCGTACGCTTCTTTGTAAATAGTTAAAATTACAGTATATATATATGTATAAACATATTGAGGCTATATAGGTTACAATTAAATAAAAATATTTAGTGATCTATTTAAATGCATAGTCACCTTAAACGGAAAATAATTTCCTTAATGAATATTTAACGAAAAATTCGATAGTGTGTTTAAAACCACTCATCAGAAATATAAAAAAATATCAATTACTAATCTTGACTAATCCGTTTATTTTAAATTTATGGAATGCAATATGCCGGACAAGTTGGCCAATAACCAATGACGTAATGTCATTTAAAATTTATAGAAGTTCTTTATATATAGAATAAATTGTATAGGTATGTCTTGTAATAGAATAAGTAGCTTGTCGAATTAAATAAATCGGAAAGACGTTTTATAAAGTTAAGAATTTTATTATTACAAATTAAATATTATAATATATAATTTGACATTGTTCTCTTAGAATAAGTAGACAAGTCAAATTAAAATTATCATAATTATGTTTATTCTAAAATAATCTATTTAAAAAATAATCATTTAATTCTTTTTGTAATTGTAATATTTTTAACTTTTGAATCTTATTCATCTTGACTTGAATCACTGTCTGGAGGTGTAAAACATGTCATTGCGTAAAACAAATATTCTTCAAATTCTGTATGAATAACTGTTGTCCCATTTGTAGGTAATGGTAAAATATTATTCTTTTGTACTTTTGAGCTCATTTGAAAGATGTATTTACTAGGAGGACTTCTGAAATTATGCATATATTTCATATTTTACTCGTAGACAGGTTCATTATCAAATACTTAAATATAATTTGTAAAAGAAAAAAAGTGAGCAAAACACAAAGCATCTAAGAATACCTGAAGTGTTTATTTAAGGTATTAGATGTGAATATATTTTCTTCTCCCATAATATATCCAGCAACATTTGTATTTGTTGATAGACTATATGGTTTTTTTATAACACTGTCAATGACATGATTAAATTGTTTGGTACTTGTAGTAGGAGGTGCTAATTGCACAACATTTGTATGACTGGTGTCCTTTTTAAATCTTTTAATTACATTTTGAGTTTCTTTATCAATTACAGGTCTTTTCTTTTTCAGTGAAAAAGTATCTTGGTGAATGATAGTAGGCTTGTAATTTTCTTTTGAATGTCTATGTTTATAAAAAAAATAAAAAAATGTAACTACAACTTAACAGTATACTAAAGGTTAAAAGAACTTTCTTACAGTAAAAGATCTCTATCAATATCATCCTTTAATTTTTTTAAAAATTCATCATTGTCATCACAGTCATCATCATTTGATGTGTTTAAAGTATACGCTTTCTGATTTAAACTTTGTCTAGTAATATTTGCAGAACATATTATTCCTTAAAGTGAAAATGATACGATAATTATTTAATCTGATTAATAGTAAAAGTTACATCATCTAGTACACAGTCATATATGTTAGTAAACAGTTTACTTGAACTTAATTTCTGTAAATCTGATGCCTCATTTTGTCCATTATTTACAGAATTACAAACTGAGTAAATTTTAGTCTTTCCATTATTGTTTGAATTTCTCAAAAACGATCCTGAATAATTCAAATTCTTTAATATTCTTTCTTCTTCCATTGTCGATTAGTATATTCTGTTTGATATACAAAATTGTTAATAATATCTTTAAACATATAAAATGTCAGCTATGTACATACGAAATACTTCGGAAGTGAAAATATTTTTTGTTCCTTTGCAACAAGATTATTTTAACAATTTTTATATTATTACTATTATTGTCTTTATTACGTAACATTGGTGTATTTATTCAAACTGCTTGAAAGTTACGTGAATAGCATTCAAAGAAGCGATCTGGTGATGCGCAGATAGCATTAAATTTGAAATAATGTTTTAGATAAATAAGCTGCCTGTACTTGAAGTTCTTTATTTCGAACAGTATTTCAAATTTGACACCTCTCAGGGTAACTGTTTTATATGTACATATGTGCTTTAAAAACAAATATTTTACAAACATTTTTGTTAAATTTGAAAAATGTAAGTTTATAAATAGGTACTGCTTTAGTTAAATTCACGTTGAAAATATAAATAGTGGCATTTTAAATTTTGTTCCTCCGTGAAGATTAGTTGCAGTAGTTGCAGTTTCTCGCATTAATTTTTTCTAAAAAGTATGCGTCCATCTATCGTACAATCGTGCTGAACAACAAACGAATATCACTGCTCTTTTCACCCTAACCGGTGTCTTGGTAAAATTTATTAACGTACAACGAAAATAAAATGAGTTAGTAATATCAGTATCGTACGCCAGACTCGCTGATTACGATCACGATATTCTCCTATAATTGCTTAGAATGTGCTGTAACTGTAATGTGCGCGCGAACAACTGATCGACGCGCGAAAATTTCTTTTAGGTTAGCAGAATTTCATCAGACTGCTTGAGTGCTGGATTTAAGATTCTAACCTCGTACCAGTTCCAAGTATTTATATATATATATATATTTAGACCTAACGTGCGTGTAACATTTATCTGAATTTTGAACGATACTGGGAACAATGCGTTTCGTCACAGCGGTCAATTCCAAGATGTTGCCCGTTTTCCGGCACCGCGTCACAATCGTCCGATCTTTTTGCAAAAACCAACGTTTTCATCATCAAGAATTGTCAATGCACATACGACCCTCACAAATCCGGAGAACCGATCTTACTGAGTATCTTGGATGGTTTACCAGGAGCACGCGTGGCTATCGTCACACTGCAGCTATTATCTCAATAAGATCCTTCGCAACTAAGAAATATAATGATAGAGAAACGCCAAAGTAAGTTGGCTTCATTCCATTCTATGAGGTCCACATACGTACCTAAACACCGAACTGGCAATGTAGATAAGATTCGTATCAAAACATTTTTATATTTAACATGTATTCATTCGTGTACATTGTTTCCCTACCCACATAACAATGCATGCTTATTTTATACTATTCAAGACAATATTAAAATTCATAAACTGATAGAGTCTTTAGAAATTTTTAAATTTACAATCTCATCTCCATTATCTGTTTTGACAGATATAATGTTTATAGAAAGTAGAAATTTTGTCATATATTCTCTGTATACCAGTATATGGTAGAAATGTTTGTGAATGCTTTCATTTTCAGTGAAAATGATGGAGATCAAATCGACGATCCAGCTTCATTGCCTGCCACTGTTGTTGTACCAGAAGTATGGCCTCATTTACCCGTCATAGCAATTAATAGGAATCCTGTGTTTCCCAGATTTATAAAACTTATCGAGCTCACTAATCCAATTCTCATGGATTTAGTTCGCAGAAAAGTAAAATTGAATCAGCCTTATGTTGGAATATTCTTGAAGAAGACAGAAGAGTAAGCGATACATGAATATCCCTGTTTTTATAAGAACAAACAATTACAGTCTTATTTTCTGAATAAAATTGTTTTGGTAGAAATGAAGCAGAAGTTGTACAAAATTTAGATGATATTTATCCTGTTGGAACATTTGCACAGATACATGAAGTACAAGATTTAGGGAATCGATTAAGATTGGTTGTAATGGCACATAGGAGGATTAAAGTTGTTGGTCAAATTTTAGAAGATATAGTACCAAATTCCGTGCATGGTAAGTACCAGTGATTTATTTCAATTAGACATCAACATATATTTGTAATATTTTTTTCGATGAAAGCGTTATAGAAATTATATTGAAATAAATATTTCTTCATACAACTGATATATATTTCCTATGAAGATCTGACTTATAAAATAAGTTTTTATAGCATTAAAATGAATTGAGTGTTTAATTTTCATTGCTGTTGTGAAAAGTAAAATTATGATAGTATGTTGCTGTATATTGCAATTGTTAAAATATTTTATATATATTATACTACCTGCTACACAGAGATGAAACTGACGTTTCCACTATTAAATACAACAATTCACGTCCCTGTAGACGACACTGTACCCAGTAGCAAACCGAGTCGTAGATCGTTAATGCGCAAGAAGATTGAGAACAAAATATCAGAGGCAGAAAGAGTCAAAAAGATCGAACAAACAACTAGTAATCCTGAAAGTAAAACACCGGAAAAGTCATCACCGGAGCATACAGATGACAAAGTTAATGCTGCGGAATCTGCTGGTACTGAGGCTCAAGCTAGTACTCAACCATTGTTAATGGTAGAAGTAGTAAATATTACGCATGAGAAATTTAGACAGACTGAAGAAATTAAGGTAAATGCCATCATCATTCATAGTTGTTGAATATTTATTATTACGGTGTTACCGTCTATTTAATAATTTATTCCATTTGATCACAAGTCCTATTGTTCATATTACAATAAATATTTATTCGAACTAATTTACTATATAGGCTTTAACACAAGAATTAATTAAAACAATTCGTGATATAATAAGTATGAATCCACTGTACCGTGAATCTTTACAACAAATGTTACATCAAGGTCAGAGGGTTGTAGACAATCCAGTTTATTTGAGTGACCTAGGTGCAGCTTTGACTGGAGCGGATGCACAAGAACTGCAACAAGTATTAGAAGAAATGGATGTGAGAGAATTAATTTTAAAACAAAGCAAGAGGATGATCAGTCTCTTTATAAGTACAAGATAAATTTTATTTGCAGATTTTAAAAAGATTAAGATTATCGCTTGCATTATTAAAAAAAGAGTATGAACTGAGTAAACTACAACAAAAAATTGGTAAGGAAGTAGAGGAGAAAGTCAAACAGCAGCACCGAAAATACATTCTTCATGAACAATTAAAAGTTATTAAAAAGGAACTGGGATTGGAAAAGGATGATAAAGACGCGATAGCTGAAAAATATAGAGAACGAATAAGAGAGAAAACAGTTCCAAAGCCAGTAATGGATGTACTTGAAGAAGAATTAAATAAGTTGACTTTCTTAGAGAGTCATAGTAGTGAATTCAAGTATGTCTAAAGATTCTACGATATCACGTTTTCAGTATAAAGTAGATAACGGAAACATTACTTTCGATTTAAATAACGTAGGTAACTAACTTATAATGTAGTGATACAAGTTTCTTTACAGTGTTACAAGGAATTATTTAGATTGGCTTACGTCTCTGCCGTGGGGTATTACTAGTACGGAAAATTTAAATCTTCAGCAGGCGATTGAGATATTAGATAAAGATCACTATGGAATGGAAGATATAAAGAAACGAATTTTGGGTAATTACATGTTTGAATAATGAATGTTCCTCTAAAGTCTAAAGAAAATTATGGCTGAATGATGTACGTACTCATCATACGTAGCATACATTTAGCCTTCTTTTTTTTTTTTTTGTTAAATATAGAATTCATTGCCGTCAGCCAATTAAAGGGGTCAACACAAGGAAAAATATTATGTTTCCATGGACCACCTGGTGTTGGAAAGACATCAATAGCCAAGTCGATTTCTCGTGCACTTAATAGAGAATATTTTAGATTTAGTGTTGGTGGAATGACAGATGTCGCGGAAATCAAAGGGCATAGACGAACATACGTGGGAGCTATGCCTGGGAAAATTATTCAATGCTTGAAAAAAACTAAGACTGAAAATCCACTAGTTCTTATAGACGAAGTCGATAAAATAGGAAAGTGAGTAGTTACTTGGATTTTGATTAGAAATTTCCTTAAAACTTGATCCTTATATTAAATATTACATTCTTTATTAGGGGTCATCAAGGTGATCCTGCATCTGCCCTCCTCGAAATGCTGGACCCAGAACAGAATGCGAACTTCCTAGATCATTATCTGGACGTATCCGTTGATCTTTCGAAAGTTCTCTTTATTTGCACGGCGAATGTGATCGATACAATTCCAGAACCTCTTAGAGATCGTATGGAAATGATAGACATGTCGGGCTACGTTGCAGAAGAAAAGCTTGCAATCGCCAAACAATACTTAGTCCCGCAAGCCATGAACGATTCCGGTCTTTCTGACACACAAATTCATATTAGCGATGATGCGCTTACCTTATTAATTAAATCTTATTGTCGGGAATCAGGCGTTAGAAGTTTGCAGAAACACATAGAGAAAGTTCATCGAAAGGTGGCGTTTAAAGTCGTAAAGAAAGAAGCTGAAAAGGTTGACGTGACTGCAGAGAATTTACACGATTTTGTGGGCAAACCTGTATTCACCCACGACAGAATGTACGAGGTAACACCTCCTGGGGTCGTAATGGGTCTCGCATGGACAGCAATGGGTGGTTCCACATTGTTTATCGAAACAACAATTAGAAAACCTTCTATAAAGAAATCGGAAGGTACTTTTGATATCACTGGCCACTTGGGCGACGTAATGAAAGAATCCATTCAAATAGCGATGACAGTCGCGAGGAGATTTTTGAGCCAGGAAGATCCTAATAATACTTTTCTTTACGATGCTCACCTACACTTGCACGTGCCTGAAGGCGCCACACCAAAAGATGGTCCCAGTGCAGGTGTTACTATTGCGATAGCGTTAATTTCGCTTGCTAAGAATAAATCGATCAGACAAAATGTTGCGATGACTGGTGAACTTAGTCTCATGGGCAGGGTTCTTCCAGTTGGTGGTATCAAAGAGAAAACAATCGCTGTAAGTATAATCTGAATCTCTATTTTAAATTGTTCGTCTTCTGCAATACGAACATTCAAGCTATGTAATGGGTTCTTATAGGCGAAACGAGTCGGTGTAAACTGCGTAATTCTACCCGAGGAAAATAAGAAGGATTACAACGACTTACCTAAATATATTACGGATGGTCTCGAAGTTCATTTTGCTACAACTTTTGCGGACGTGTATCGCATATGTTTTGCAGAAGAGCAAGGGACTGAGACTGTTCGTCGCGAAGAACATGTAAATGTTAATGTTTCAACTCCACAAACTGCCCCGCTTCTTGGTAAAAATGCCGACTATTAGAAGCGAAGTACTCTTACACTATTTAAGTTCGATACCATTAGACTTCAAAGTCTATTCTGACTCGTATTATTTGAAATAATGTGATGATGAAAGGTTATTCAGAACTTTATCGATCAATTTTATTTCATCTACTACTAAAGCCAAATTTTCATTCAGATTTCCTTAACCAAGCATTTCTCTACTTACCGTACAAATGAATTAAAAGAATTCCAAATAGGAATTACTTTCATCTACGAAACGCAATAATAATTTCTTTTATGATAGTTTTTTTCTTACACAAAAATAGTACTGTAAATACAGTATAATACCTATTCTTATTTTCACACATGGTGTAATAATTTGTAACTGGAATTAATATTCTCGGTACAGTGTAAATAAGTTTTATTGTTTTTATACAACAAATCTTTTGTTCTGTGTCGTATAGTGCCGTTTTCTATACGAATAAAAAGGATATGTACATAATTCGTAAGAACTAAATGACAGATCTTTTAGTTAATAAAACAAATATATTTTCTATAAATATATGATTGTTATACCCTGATTTTTAGAAACTCTAAGAAAGACAGTTGCGTTTCTCATGTTAAATTATTTATATAAAAAGAAACAATTATTTTCAGGAAGAGAACATTACCTGTATAAAGATGAAAACTATACTGTTAAATTAATGTACAATTTCTTGACTATAAATAAATAGTTATAATGAATTGTAAAGCATAAAAATTTATTTGAGAATAATCGGTAAAACAATACTGTCAAATTATAAATATGAAATGTACGTATGCGAATTTTTTGATAAATAACTCTTATATTAACTTGGAACTTCCATATTACTAAGTCTGATTATAAAGTCACATAGTCTCATTTGTACTTGAATTTCTATAGGATTACTTGTAACATAAAATCCAGGTACACCGGCCTTTTCCAAAATGCTTTGTTGATCTGCTACTTTTTGATCCAATTGTAGAACCAATTTCATATCCATGTGCTTTAATTCTTCCCTGTGTTTTTTATACAATGCTGTTTTTATCGCCACCCTTTCCGCATCTGTTGACACAGAGGTTAATGCTTCCTGCATTTCAATTTTTTGTTGATTCAATAACTGAAGGCGCTGTTGGAAAAGATGTTTCTCCGTGACGTGTTGAATTTCCATTAATCCTTTAACAATCTCAAATATTGTATCATTCAACAGAGAATTAGCTAAGCCTGACAGTAATTCATAAGGAAGTCTCATTTGATACTTTGGAGGAAGTTCACCAGCCATATGTTGAAGTTGTTCCACTAAGAAATACAGCTTCCTTTGTAGATCTTGAGGAGTCGGAGTAGCAATATCCATTGTTTACCTCATTGAAGAACACCAGACCAGAATGAAAAATTATTTCTACAATTTTTATACATTTCTTACAATAAATTTCTGAAAAATTAAAGAATTATCACACCTGTGTTAGAATGTAATAAGTATTAGAAAGTATTAGAATATAAATAGAGAAGGTTAGGGAACACTTGCTTCGTATTTTGTATGGATAACCATTACAAACTTTTACAAATAAATATCCAGGTTACTCAACGTAAAGTTAAAATAAATATATCTAGTGAATTACTTTATTCATTATTTTTCTGTACATACTGTGTAGTAGCAGAAGTAAGAGGGGTCATAGAACCCCCGGAGCATGCGTAAAATACCCGGTGTGTGTGAGACGTATATGCACATATTTATTTATCATGTATACTTATATTATGTATATCGTATATAGTTTATACATACGTTTATGTTTATATGTTTTATATTTTATATTAAATATTTAAATAAATATATAAAGTATAGTATTGTACTTTATTCTCTCTCAACGCAGAACAACTTTTGTGTTGGGTATCAAGGTTAGGAAAATATAAATCGATACAAGTAGGTATCGATACTTTTGTTTCGATACCGAGCAAGTATCGATACCTTCATACAAAAATAGTTATGAGTAAAAGTATCGATACCTTGGTGGTATCGATTCAACCCTACGTGGGGGATGGAAAGCGTTAGTTACTGATCAGCTATACAGGCGGCAAAGGTTTATTATCAAAAAGATGGCGCACCTTCAAAATGCAGCAACCACAGACTTCTATATAATAGAAGTTTGTGGCAGCAACCAAATAGACCCTATTCCGTATCCATATATCAGTGGCTTGTGGTGCATAACTATATATATGAAAATTATGTTTAACGTTTTTACATAAATATTTTGGATGTCAATGAATGTATTATACGAGTAAAGAAAACCACTTTCGAACATGCCTGAATAGCTCAGTCGGTAGAGCATCAGACTTTTAATCTGAGGGTCCAGGGTTCGAGTCCCTGTTCGGGCGGTTTTTTTTTCTTTCCAATACTGCATTTCAAATCCACGCAATCGTAAAGTATACCTACATAGTTCTATCTTCTAAGTTGCATATGAAATCGTAGAATAATTTTGAAATACAAGCAATATTTCGGGAAGCTATGTTGGAGCCGGTAGGACTTGGAAAACGTTCCAGAATTAGTAAAATTATTTATGCCTGTATTAAGGCTGACCTTTATAGAGCGGCGACATTAATTGCGACAGGTTTCGATCGCATTTACACCGCTGAACGGGCATCATTTTTCTTCGTCACGCAATAGATTCAAAATTTAAAGAGCGTAGATTAGTACTTTCTAGTGGCAGAGAACCAGTAATTACAAGAACATTGGTAAAATCACATTTATTTCCAACGCTTGACACTGTATCTCGTCATGCGTACCCCGTTTAGTTCACATTTGGACAGCTCTTACACCGTAATACGGGTACCTATTGTCTAGATAAAGCACTCAATTTGTAGCTGAAAGAACGTACATTAATGCTCTGTTACTGATAATAACAATAAACGACCAGAACATTGTTAAAATAGCATTTAATCGCGGAATACCACTTTTTTTCGACTGGTGGCGCCACCCGTGGCAATTCTCTCAAACTGCTAGCCAAATTATACCGACAGGTGAGTGAAAATTCCTAGTGATGGAAAAATGCAAATATCTCTGTAATTAAGAGCTTAAAATGAACGTCATTAGTCTCAAATTATCCCTCAGGACTTAATGCATGGACCCAGTAGTGCAGAACCCCTGAATTAGTAACATTACTAATGCTTGTATTACCGTAGCCTTTTATGGGGCGGCAACTCTACTTGCAACAGATTTCGATTACAATTACACCGCTGAACGGGTATCATTTTACCTCGTTAAGCATTACATTTGAAGTTTGAACAGTCTAGAATAATACTCTTTAACGGCTGGGTATCAGTAATTACAAGAATATTGTAAAAATCACATTTATTTACAACGGTACACACTGTATCCCGTCATGCGTACCCGGTTTAGTTAACTTTGAACAACTCTTACAACGTTATACTAATAGCTTTCGTCTAGATAAAGCACACTATTTGTAGCTGAAAGAACGTACATTAATGCCCTGCCATTGACAATAAGAATAAACGACCAGAACATTATGAAAATCGCATTTAATCGGGAAATACCACTATTTTTTTGACCGGTGGCGCCATCCGTGGCGAATCGCTGAAACTGCTAGCCAATTATACGGCTAGCAGTCTCAGCGATTCGCCACGGGTGGCGCCACCGGCCAAAAATGTAGTGGTATTCCGCGATTAAATGCGATTTTAACAGTGTTCTGGTCGTTTATTGTTATTATCAAGAACAGTGGATTAATCTACGTTCTTTCAGCTATAAATCGAGTATTTTATCTAGACGAAAGTTATCCGTATAACGGTGTAAGAACTATTCAAAGTGAACTAACCCGAGTACGCATGACGCAATACAGTGTCAACTGTTGCAAACAAATGTGATTTTAACAATGTTCTCGTAATTACTAGTGTCCAGCCGTTAGAGAATAGTAATCTACGTTCTTTAAACGTTGTATCTAATGCAAAACGAAGAAGAATCATGCCCGTTTAGCGGTGTAAATGCGATCGAAATATTTGGCAATCAGGTTGTCGCCCCATAAGAGGTTACGGTAATACAGGCATAACTAATTTTACTGATTCCGGTGTTTTGTAGTATTATGTCGATGCATTAAGTCCTTAGGAATAATTTGAGACTAACAGCGTTCATTTTCAGCTCCTAATTATTGAGATATTCGCATTTTTCCATCACTAGGAATATTTCACTCACCTGTCGGTATAATTTGGCTAGCAGTTTGAGAGAATTGCCACGGGTGGCGCCACCAGTAGAAGAAGAAAGTGGTATTCCGCGATTAAATGCTATTTTAACAATGATCTGGTCGTTTATTGTTATTATCAGGAACAGAGCATTAATCTACGTTCTTTAAGCTACAAATTGAGTGGTTTATCTAGACAAAAGGTACCCGTATTACGGTGTAATAGCTGTCCAAATGTGAACTAAATGTGTAACTTCTTTCACTGGTTTATGATGTAATGCCTCCAGCCATCATTACGCCGCAGGAGAATCTCCCACTAACAGCCCCATTAGAAAGAAAGGAAAGTTACTCCAGTTATTGTCTTCTCTTTCCAGTGCCGACTTCATCCCTACCATACGACTGCGCAGTCTATTATATACACATATACAGTCTATGCATTTATTTTAGTACTTGAAATAAATTTACTAAGTGGTAGGAGTCCTCTATTTTTTCTACGCCACTTCCTCCCCTAGCGGAATCCGAGTTTGCTCGCGTGGGTACATCCTTTACTTTTGAGCGATTCCGATGGTTTCGCAAAAGCGATTGGTAGATACTTGCGTGAAACCAATTGGTTCCGTCTGGTTCCGCCATTGAGCAGCTATTAGTTATGCGAATATGGCCTGATATGGCCGTCTCCGTGTTATATAGTTCGGACGTTAGATTTTGAAGAGGAGTTTTCGTTAAAAATCTGTAAAAAGAAACCGTGCTATTGAAACCGCTAAATTTTCGAGAAGAATCGAAAAAGTGTGGTTCGATAGGTGAAGAAAAAAAGAGAAAATAAAATTAAATAGAAGATCAGGCGTTTAACGCGTCTGTGATTCTAACCTGTAAGGGTAAAAGAAAGCAGTGGCAAACACATTTCTGATTCGGCTAATATATTTCCAGTGAAGCAAACGGTGAATTCTTGGCCGAATATTTAGTCTTGTTAAAGCTTGCCGAGTGGACGCCGCGCAATTGGCATGCTGGGGAAAAGGGAAACGATGCCAACGAGGTTACGATACATCTTTATGTTTGTGAAACGTTACGTACTTTGGAAACAAAATAAAGTGAAACAGTGTTGTTTGTTGGTTCCTGTCAGGAGTTAGTATACATATACGTATGCGTATAACGCCGTAAAGTATATTGTTTGTTTGTATTTAGTTTCGAAATTGTCTCTCGTCGTTACCGTGTATCTTTTCCTATCTGGACCAACTCGTTTCTCTCAAGTTTTCATAAATACACGAAATAAGAAACATAAGATAAGGTCCAACAGCTTGAGATCTTAGGTGAAGTTCCTTGTCTCTTATTAAATCGCGCGCGGGCGCGCATCAATGGTAAAAGAAAGTCGATTGTTTACGTTACTACATATTACATATTCTCGAAGCACAATGCGACTCGTTAGCTCGGAAAAATTGTCAAATATTCAGAGGAATCCTGCTAGTATTCGTAACATTTGTATACTGGCGCACGTCGACCACGGAAAGACGACGTTGGCCGATTCGCTAGTGGCCAGCAACGGCATCATCTCTAATAAACTCGCGGGCAAACTTCGGTATTTGGATAGTCGTCCGGACGAACAGCTGCGTGGGATCACGATGAAGTCGAGTTCCATCACCCTGTATCATATGTACGACCGTCGAGAGTTTGCCATCAATCTTATAGATTCTCCAGGGCACGTCGACTTTGCCTCTGAAGTCTCGACGGCGGTCAGATTGTGCGACGGAGCCATCATCGTGATCGACGTGGTCGAAGGTGTGTGCCCGCAAACACGCAGCGCTCTGTCCACCTCGTACACGGAGGGTCTGAAAGGAATTTTGGTACTGAACAAGATCGATAGGTTGATCACGGAAATGAAATTGTCCCCGTTCGACGCGTATGTACATTTGACACAAGTTCTGGAGCAGGTAAACGCGGTGATGGGCGAACTTTTCGCTAGCGACGTAATGGCCCGGGAGGGTAGGACCGAAGTGAGGAGGAAAGAGGACGTGGAAGGCGTTTCGGAGAGGAGTCTGACGGACTGGCAGTCGGCGCTCGAGAACATGGATGATTCGGGTCTGTATTTCTCCCCGGAGCAAGGTAACGTCTTATTTTCCAGCGCCACGGATGGCTGGGGATTCGGAGTCAAGGATTTCGCAAAGATATTCTCCGCGAAATTGGGCTTCAGCGAAGCAGTGCTCTTAAGAACGCTTTGGGGAGACTTTTATGTGAACACTAAGACCAAGAGAATAATGAAAGGGGCTCAGGAGAAAGCGAAGAAGCCTCTGTTCGTGCAGCTTATTTTGGATAACATTTGGACCTTGTACGAAACGATCACGGTAAGAAAGGATAAAGAAAAGATCGGTTCGATGGCGGAGAGGCTTGACATTAAATTAACGACCCGAGACTTGAGACACACGGATCCTAAGGTTCAGCTGCAAGCTGTTTGTTCGCAATGGTTACCGTTGGCTCGAGCATGTCTCGACGCGATATGCGAGAACGTACCAGCACCGAATAATCTAACGTCCGAGAAGGTGGAACGATTGCTGAGCGGAAACTGTGATTTCACTATGCTGCCGGACGAAACGCAACGACTGAAACAAGTGTTCTTAGCTTGCGACTCGTCTGCGAGCTCGCCCGTGATTGTATTCGTTTCGAAAATGTTCCCGGTCGAGAGGAGAACATTACCGGAGTATAAAACGAAACCGTTGACCCCGGAGGAGTTGGCACAACGAAAAGAACTGGCGCGTATCAGGCACGCTGAGAAAATAACCAAGGAACAGGAAAGCACGGACGAAGAGTCTGGGGACCGATCGCAGACGGACAATACCACGGAATTGTCCGGTATCGGAACAAGATCAACGGAGAATGAAGCGGCCGGGGGAAATTTGGACACCGCGTTGATCGCGTTTGCCAGAGGTTATTCCGGAAGCTTGAGAAACGGAAGCACCGTGTTTGTTTTAGGACCGAAACACGATCCCCGCGAGGCGCTCGAGCGTCGAGCAGCCGGCGAGCAGCTACCGACCGACGAGAGTATTACGCTGAAAGATTTGAAACACGGTAGACACGTGACAAGGGTTACCGTGCGGAAGCTTTACCTTTTAATGGGCAGAGAACTAGAACCCGTGGATGTCGTTCTCTTTCCTCCACTGTGGCTTGCCCTCCCTTCTCCGAGACCGTATCTTCCGGTACACCTATAATGCGAGTAGCTCTCGAACCGAAACACCCGAACGATTTGCCAGCGTTGATCGATGGTCTCAAGTTGCTCAATCAAGCGGACGCTTGCGCCATTGTTCATATTCAAGAGACCGGGGAAATAGTGTTGAGCACCGCCGGAGAAGTACATCTAGAAAGATGCTTGGAAGATTTGAGATTCAGGTACGCGAAGGTCGACGTGAACGTATCGGAACCGATAGTACCGTTCAAAGAGACGGTCGTACCTCCCCCGACGGTTGACATGGTCAACGAGGCGATCGAAAAGAAGCCGGAAGACGTTAGTCTTGGCACGTGGACCGCGAATCGAGAATCCTATTTTGAGATAGACGCCAGACCTTTGCCCGACAATATTACCAAAATCTTGGAAAAACATTCGGATTTGATAAAAAACTTTTATTCTCACTACGACAAATTCTCCTCGGAAAAGGCGAGACCGGAAGATGCGACTGTTGTTGAGACCGAGGCTGAGGCTGAGGCAGTGGCGGTGGACAAGAAGGAAGAAACGGATTTGGCCAATTTAATATCTGCAAGAGAACAAAGAGCACTTGCGTTCTTTGAAAACGAACTGTCGATTGCTTTTCGAGAGGTTGGCCAAACAGATGCACTGGATAAAATATGGTCATTTGGACCACGGAATTGCGGCCCTAACGTCTTCTTGAATGAAACCGATTACAGGCATAAACAATTTTCGGAAAGCCATACAAATTCTCTCGATCCACGATTTCCGTGAGTACTTGGGAATTTGACAATGCAAGCTTTATAACATAAATGCTCGGGTTCCTGTCCCTGAATACTTTTTAATACCTATCCTAGTAGATACAAGTAGGTAGGGAAAAAGTGAGGTAGGCGAAGTGATGCCTGCTACCATTTAGTTTCGGGAGTTTCTCAAATTTATGCCAAATTAACATGCATTTTAACATTTATCTCAGTACTTGAAATAAATTTACCAAGTAGTAGGAGGCCCTTCTGCTACGTCACTTTTTCCCCTAGTGGAAGCCAAGTTTGTTCGCGTTGGTGTACACATACATACATATGTATGTATACGCGGCTAGATTCGAACGGAGCACGGAGAATTCGTTGCGAGCACACAATAATGGACACGTTCGTCGGTTCGCGAGATTTTCATCACTGTTAGTCACTCGATTCCGTGGTCGCGGATTCGTGAAAACACTTCAAAAAACCGTCTAAATCATACGCCTAATAAATCGTGTGATATTATTTGTTATGTATCAGATACGAAACCAGCATGGTTAGTGGTTTTCAACTGGCAACGCTTGCCGGACCGTTGTGCGAGGAGCCGATGATGGGTGTATGCTTTGTACTGAAGAAATGGGAAGTATACGAAGATTCTCAAAGGTATGGAGTAATTCACACTTTTCATTTGTTTCTCGTCACGACAATTTTATGGAAAATTATTACCTATTATCATTTAACAGCTTAACCCAGACCTACTATTTTCCTCCTCTGTTCTGTTTTCTTCTGTCCAGTTCTATTTGCTTTATTTTTTTTATTGTCTTATTCTCTGTTTTTCTGCTTGATATATTATGTACCTGCCCGTTCGTTTCAAAACAGCAGAACAAGTCGAGTAATCGATGGAAAACTGTGCGTGTGTCAACAGTGAAAATTCCAGTCAAAGCCACGGTCATATGGGTGGGCGTTTAATGTCGGCATGTAAAGAAGCTTGCCGCAGAGCATTCAACACCAGGCATCCTCGACTAGTCACACCGATGTACACTTGCAGCGTTTTAGTTAATTCGGACGTGTTGGGTAAGTCTAAGAAAAAATACATTTCCCATTTTCGATGCGAATATTGGTTTTGGGGTTGAATCGGTGCTCACTACTTTTCACGAGGATGCTACTGCTATAGAATATTACCCCCCCCCCCATACACACACACGCACACACACACGCACGCACACACACACACACACACACACACACACACGCGCGCGAGAAAAATTGATCTTCTTGTAAGATGTTGGTCAACGTTTTCGGAGCAAACAGCATCGGATTCTAGAACGCGTGCAAACTGTTTTCTACTAAATCAGCGACTCGATAAAGATCAAAGTAGCATACCATGCAAACAGTTTGCACAAGCATGCATATGCAAAGACGATAACGAAAAGGAAGATTATAATTGTTCGTTTAGACAAGGATCTATTTGCAGTTGTCGTTTTTTAACGTATAATCGTGGTGGATTTGTTTTCTATCTATGACTAAATGAAACACGAATGTATAGTTGTAATTGGCAAAGAATTAAACGAAGGTTTATCCTGACGAAAATCATGGCTCTGTGTTCTTGAAAGGTTTCATTGAAAAAAACGTAGTCTCACAGTGTCCTTCCGTTTTTGAATTTCTCTTTAGAAACGCAACATTTCTCTAACCAGTGACATGTATACATACATACATACATACATACATACATATGTACATATATGTATATCTTCTTATCACTTACATTGAAATGGTTGAGTTCGTCGTGCCGATTCGTGCGCAACGACAATGGGCGCGCGTAGCGTTCTCTTAGGTAATCCAAAAATTTCATAACGGATTCGCACTTTCGGGTTCTCGAACCGTCTATTCGAGCCAGTCAGTCGGCCCTGTGCAATTGTGGCACTTGTTCCCACTTTATCGTTCCGTTCGGAATCATTAATACACGTATAATTAAGAATAAGAGAAAGAAACGAATCGTTAATCGAAGGAAAGCCAGAGAAAGCGAAGCGAAGCGAAGCGAAGCGAAATGCTTAATAAATAGAATGATAGATGAATGGCGATAAGCAGATTTCGCACATTTCGGTATGTGCTTCAACGTTGAAAAGTTCATATAGGTATAGGTATCGAAACGAATTTAATCCCAAACAGCTGTGTCCATCAGCTGTTGCACTTTGTACCATGGAAAACTTAATCGTTTCTCCATTTCTTCTTTCTCCACGCGCATGGATTTCTCTGCCGTTTCTTCGTTCGGGCTATCTGCGAATCAAATAAAGCTAGTTGATAAAGTTCGCTCGAACCACAGAAGGACTCAGCACTTTGAGCGATTATTCAGAATTTCTCGAAGAGAGAAAGTAGAATCGCGTACCAAAAAGGCTTCTCGCGTATCGCATCGGTCGACCTCTTCTATTTCCTTGCACGCACATCATTCCATAGACACGAATCCCTGGTACGCTCGCGTAAGTCGGCTGATCGTGGCTCATGGGACCTTCTACGAAACATAAAGCAACCTAAACACATCGTGCTTCGATCATCGAAATCTCTGTAGCGGCTGAACGAATTACGGGCATATCCGTTTGCAGTTGGAAAGCTTTGCGACGCGTAAACGTCCATTTATATTAAGTTACATACTACTTCTGTATATGTATATATGGTAAGTATCTACAGATCAAGAATATTCTTTCATGTGTTCCATAAAAGAACACAATCTACTCGACTCGTTGTATCATAGTATAAATGGGCCTTAACGGGTTGCGAAGAATCTTGGTTAATCCGTGATTTACTTACCGAGTATATTAGCGTCCGGACACCTGCATATTACGAGGTAATGAGATTTTCCAGTTCTTACGTTTTGCAACGCGAGGAGAGACCAGTCCCTAGGTGTTCTGCATTCTCGCATTTCCGCCACTGGTTCGCAAGTCTTGACCAAAGTGAGAGCCTAAACCGAGCAGCATTCGATTAGCGTACAAAATAATAATAAATATGTAGGTACATAGTTGAAAGAGAAGACACTGTTTTGAGCAATTTAACCGAGTTTTTGAGTTCGAGGCAATCGATATACATACGAATTCGATCAGTCGATACATCTTGGCGCGTGCCACGCTCTTTCGAAAACTTGTTACACTGGTTGAAAGCGAAGGAACGTTTCTTACGTGCTCGCTAACTGTCAACCCAGTTGGTACCTGGCGCTCCCTTTCTTCCTTTAGTATAGGAGGCTACGTGACGCGCGTGTGCGCTACTATCCAGCAATTTCAATTATGCAAACTATTTATTTTAATCTCTTTCCTCTATTTCAACGCGTTCATTTCTCATTATCAGGCTGACGATCAGGCCAAAGATGCATCGGTTTCGCTTTGATATCGTCGGGTGTCTTTAATATCATAGAAACAGTGACGTTTCAATAAATATTACCAATTGTCAAATCTATTTGGTCGATAACGCTTGCGTTAACGTTATTAATTGGCATAATCGCGAAAATATGTAGTTTTGTAAATGCATGAAAATATATATTCTTTCCGGTATTTCGCGTCAGAAACAGAATAATACAAGTACATACATAAGATATCCGATCGAGTACCGAGTAGGGTATATTGTACGCGTCGCGTGGATCGATGTTGGCGCAAGGAATACGGCCTCATTTATCGCGAGGTAACAACTCGCTTTCGCTTCGAAGCACCTACGCGATTCTTTCGTTCTAGAATCCTACATAAGTACGCGTAATCTCGTCGATGTATACATATACATATAAGATAGTGATTATTGTACATATTACTACATACATATGTACATATATGTATCCTAGACCGACAACTGTCGCAAAACCGCATCTGTACCATGTAGAATCCCCCCCGGCACTCTGTTCCGTGCTTGGGAGACAGTATCGCATTGCATCGGCCAAATCATCGATCGGAATCCGAAATCGGTAAGATACGAATCTGCAAGTTTGACGATTGATCGGAAACCTTTACTCGTCGCGGTAAACTGCAGGCTACAATAACTCATTACACCTTTGATATACGTATTCAATTTACCCCTATGTATGTACTTGCATACCTACATGTATAATATGTATCGTATAATGGAATACATATGTACTCGTATTCAATTCCTGTGGTTTGTCGTTACGTGCTCGTAAAAAGAGGCTATGGATTGTGAATTTTGAGTTTCGCGAAGAGGCGTGTTTGCACGGTTGTAACAAGAGTCGCGGGCAAACGAAGTCTAATCGAGAAAAATAGGAAAGGCAAATGGCGACAAAACTAACCTTGGTCCGAGGGTCGGTGACCAGCTCCGTAGTGTGGAGGTCGTCGCTGTCGAGAGAGGCGCTGCAAGGATCGCGGTATCTTCCCGGGCAGGCGCATAGAGGCTGAGTGAAATTCAGTCTAACGTAAACGGCATTGCAAACTTGCTGTACCGCGCACTCCGGCAGCAAATAGATGTGCTGATTGTGCGGATAGTAGTGATATTTTGTTGGTTTCGCGAGAGCTGCACTCGCGCCTTCCGGCAAACGTACTCCAGTCTGGAAATTTATCGAGGGGAATATAAACGGGGAATCGATATAGCGTTATTACACTTTTGTCCACCACGTGCGTATCTTTGTCAGCAGTTAAAAAATGTCGTTGGGATCGCCTGGTCTCTAGCTGATATATCATACATATATGTATACCTTATATAGAACTATTTCGGGGGTTTTTTTTTTTGTCCTTTTTTGCCCCCTTTTTGGTCTCTCGTCCCTTTCCGTTCCTCCTATTACCTGTTGGTAAATTACAACTTTCCTTCACCCGGGTAAATCGTATCGTCACAGTTCAGAGTACAGCGGTAATTGGAAGGAAGAAATAATGAAACTGGGAATATAAAGCGAATAAGAAAGAAAGAGAAAAGAAAAAGGGACAAAAGCAAAATGATAGAGCGGAATATCACCAAGAGACAAGGAATCATCGGAAGAGTCGTGAATCCGCGATCGTGATTCTCGACGATTCTCATGAACCACAAACTCGACCGTTCTATTACGAACAACGCAGTATTATTATAGCTACCAGACCGCGGATACTAGCCAATGTCGATTAGCGGATTTCTGTTCCTCCGTTTCTAGGAATCCCTTCCACGCTCCGTGTAATTGGTTTTGCGTTACCGAGAAAGAACCGTTTCAAGAATCATCGATTCTTTTCCTTCTACTTCCGTCTCCTGTTTCACGATGCTTGATGCGAGACGAGTCACAAACACGATACTGCCAGTCGATCGTTGAATAAAAAAGCCTTTTCATCAGTCAAAAGTAATTTATCTTTTCGATGTTTATTTCCCTGTTATCGGTATCGGTCTTTTCCAGATCTTTCGCAATGTAGCGTTAGGCCGTTAGGCGAATCAAACGGTAGCACGAGCAAAGTTATTTTCTAATCCGCACACGCTAGTCCTTTCTTCGTTTCTTTTTTTTCATTAGTCAGTTGGCTCTCTTCCGTTTTCGTTTCTTTTCCTTTCGTTCTTTTATTTGTGTTTTGGCATCGTCACGTTCCACTACCGATATTAACACCGGTCAGTCCGCTCGCGCGTCACGGTCATGAACACTTGCCCTCCTTTTGCAACGCTAAAGCGAGCAACGCGATTCGTGACAACTTCCTAAGCAAGTCCGAATGATGCTACTGCTTGGGTGTTTCGAGCGGAACGGCTCGAGAAACTTTACTGTTTTTCTCCTCTCGAGGACGAGAGATTCAAGAATGCGAAAAGAAACAGAGAAAGAGAGAGAGAGAGAGAGAGAGAGAGAGAGAGAGAGAGAGAGAGGAAATGAAATGACCCAACGTGGAATTTACAAACAGGCTCGAATTTTCGTCTGAACGGTGATGGTAATGCCGTAATCATAATAAGACGGTTAACGTATTTCATTCCGCTCGAACTTTTTCAGTCGCGAATTACGCGGAGCGTTTCCAAGAGAAATATCCATTTTTACTCGAAAGAAAGAAACCAAAATCGCAATCAACTCATTCTCTCCTCATGCCTCTCTGTCTATTGTTTTGCTTTCCCTCTCGATTCTGTGATATTTCTAGTTCTCTTATATAAGTAATCTA